CTACTACCCTAAATACTGCTCCTGCTACTCCCACTCCCTCAAATACTGCTCCTTCTACTCCCACTACCCCAAATACTGCTACTAATATTACTACCACCCCATATACTGCTACTGCTACTACTTCCACTACCCCAAATACTGCTACTAATATTACTACCACCCCATATACTGCTACTGCTACTACTTCCACTACCCCAAATACTGCTACTAATATTAATACCAGCCGATAAACTACTACTACTACTACCCTAAATACTGCTCCTGCTACTCCCACTCCCTCAAATACTGCTCCTGCTACTCCCACTACCCCAAATACTGCTACTAATATTACTACCACCCCATATACTGCTACTACTACCCCAATTCTGCTACTAATATTACTCTAATAGATCCATGATATTACTACCACCCCAAATACTGCTACTAATATTACTACCACCCATATACTACTAGTACCACCACTACCCCAAATACTGCTCCTGCTGCTACTACCACTAACCCAAATACTACTACTAATATTACTACCAACCCATATACTGCTACTAGTGCCACTGCTACTACCATTTTGATTGTTGGCACCCATTATGGAAAGCGCTGCAGTATTCCCACAGATCTGCTTTCTGGAGGGAGCAGAGCCAATCAGCTGGACATGGACAGGTTCAAAGCCCCTTCTGAATACAGTAGCGGCCAAGGCTCATTTGTCTTTCTGATCACGGGGCGAGCGAAACTCCAGGGGGCGCTTGATGAATGAACTTGCTTTTTGACACTTTTTATCTCAAGAAAAACACCGGGAAATAGGAGTAGTGATGAAATACTGCACTTGCTTTAATTAGGATCTATTGCTATTAGACAGTAATTTAAATTGGTTACATTTCCCAGCTTAAAAAAAAACATGTAACGATGAAGACCAACTCAGACTTGAGTGCAGTGGACGGCTACTTGTGCAGCTGATGAAAAACTAAGCAACATGACGGACTACACTTACATGTTCAAACTGAATTCATAATATGTATTGCTTAGAATTGGATCCATGTTTTTCTCCTGTAATGCAAAAAAAAACCCGTCAGCCTTTATCCTTCTTGTGTTGAAATAGACATAATACTTTTTACACTCAATCACATTTATAATTCATTACCATTTCAATAGCATCAGAGACATGAATCCTTCTTCCCTGCTGGAATATGCTACTTTAAAGCAACTGGTTTTCTCCATAAATAATACATGGATAGAAACAGTATATAAAAGCTCAATGTTGTTGTGAGTAAATTGGACAACAACATAAGAGTATTGTTTTTTTTATTAGAAATAATCTTTTTGTCAATCAATCAATCAACGTTTATTTGTGTGAAAATGAGCCCAGTGAATCACTGCTTTCGGCTGATTGAGGAGAGTTCTCCCTTTTACTTTTCTGTCTAAAAAAGTCAAACTAAATATGTCACAAAGGACAAAAAGACATGCAAATAAAAACTTGTGATAGAAACCAAGCAACTGTTTTAAGGTCAGGCACTAGTTAGATGTATTTTAAGGCAAGGCAAGGCAAGGCAAGTTTATTTATATAGCACAATTCATACACAAGGCAATTCAAAGTGCTGAACAAAACAAGAAAGCATTAAAATCATAAATTATCACAGAACATTAAAAAGAAAAGATAGAAATATAAAATCCCTCAGTTGTATGCACAGTTAAACAGAACTGTCTTTAACCTGGTTTTAAACATTGTCAGAGAGGAGGCCTGTCTCACATCTTCAGGAAGACTGTTCCAGATTTTAGCAGCATGAATCTGAAAAGCAGCCTCCCCATTTTAGTAAGCCAACGTACTTTAATTTGTAGTGGTTTGAAAGTGAGAGTTAGTGTAAAATGATTCTACCCTGTTGCAGCTCAGATGGAACTTATAAGACACTCATTACTACTGTTTTTGGTTACGCCATATTTTTGAGATCCTATATCCCGGTATCTTATAAACGTGTTTCCACTCATCGTTAGTGTGTGAAGCCATTTATTGAAAAAAGTTTTCTATTCTCAAATTATAACATAATTGAACGGCTCTTGGGAGATGTGCAGTTTGACCTCAAGGGGAGGTCCCCCCTTCTTTCAGGTGTAGGAGGTCCCCTCTCACTCCTAACCTGGAGGAGGTGGTCCCCCCTCGCTGCTCAGGTGGCTGTGGAGCCTGTGTCCTATGCTCTGCTCTGCTGAAGCTGAATGAGGCCTTTGTTCATGTCAAACATGAGAGCACCGTATCTTCGTCCTAATCAGATCAGTCTCACTGAATTACGGCAGGCTAATGGCATTAGGACCTGCTGACACTCATTTAGCCCTGTCCTGGATGTACCGCATGGACACTGCAGTGTATACAGCGCCATCGTCTGGTCAGGAGGTTCACCTGCAGCCTCTGTTCTTTCACAAAAACAAGATGACTGAGAAACTTCTGGGCTTCCTTGCCAACTACTGGTCATAATAAATATTCTGTATATTCACTCACAGACACGTTCACATCAGAGAGACTTTTATCTGCAGGCCAAGTCTGACTTAACATATTCAAAATTCATATCTGTCACTTTGTTGTATCCAAGTAATTAATTCCCAGCAGAAGGCCATCGCTCACAGTGATCTCATCGGACAAAAGGGGTCTGTGATGATTGTTGCAGGATGTTAAAAATTCTACCATTTATTAAAAAATTAATTTAATATTCCAAATGTAATAAAACATTGCAATTGTTGTGTCTTTTACTGAAGCGTTTAGTGCCTAATATACAAATGCTTATCCTCTGGCCTACTTATTCTCATTTGAATGTCTTAAATCTTTTGGAAGTACATTTCCCCAGAGATATTTATATTGATTTGCATGCAAGTGCACTTTTTGAGGACGAGTGAAAGCTGGGCCTTAAGTCCTGTAGTCTGAAGGAGAGACGTCGGTTCAGTGAGACACGACACAGACACAACTACAGGCTGAGAGGGGACTCCAGGAAACCACAAACCCTAAGGGCAGATTACGCAATCTCGAACTAATATCTAAACAGAGTAGAAGATTCTACCCTATTTCAGAGATCTTGAAGTTGGTGATGTAGATGCAGAAATGGCAAATGCTGATTTAAGGAGCAAGCTTATGAGAAGAGCTCTGGTTCTACAGCCTCTGACCTGGATCTCCCCCCAGTGCATCTGTGGGAGCGGATCCCTTCATCCCTGTGGCTCTCCCTGTGGTTTCTTCTTTTTCCTCACTGGATTTTATGAATTGTTCCTTGCAGATGCTGAAGGGTCTAAGGAAAGGGACAATCTGGCACATTTATGGACATTTATTTACATATACATTTTTTATGAAGTTTTTATTTGGATTACTACATTTTGTTTGAATGTTTTAGTGATAATGTTTAAGCCATATAAACAAATGAGTAAAACATGTTCAGATCTGCTGCTGCTGGTCTCTGTTCGAGGTGTTTATGGCTGCAGAAGTCACGTCCAAAATGCTCCATGTTGAAGCCGTTTGTGTGTAATGTGAGATACTTTTGCAAAACACCAGTATTCCTGTCATTTTTGAATACAGTAGTGCCTCTTTTATTGTGGGGGTTGCGTTTTAAAAGTAGCAGCTACATATTTTAAGGCTGTAAAACCCCTCACCACACACTTTATACACTTTTCAAACCACATGAATTCACGACTGCTGAAGTGCGATGGTTAATAAAACAGAAGCAGGACAGGGGCTATGGGACGACCACGGCAGTCCCCTGAACTTATCACCGCGGTGTACACAAGTCAGAAAAATATTGTGCTGATTTTATATAAAAGGTAACTGTCATGCTATACTTAGGGTTATACAATGTTCTTGGAGTATGAGATGCTTATGAAAAAGCAGCAAAAAAAGCACAAAAAAGCAAGGCTGCAAAAGGTGAAGAGTGTTATAGCCAGGGACGACTATTACATCCCATAGTTACTAAAAAAGTAATTTAATTATTAATTCATCATTGAAAAGATTCAAGATTCAATCATTTATTGAATTTTGCGACTGACTCATAAGGTGTAGGGTCAGAGAGTATTTGGGCCTGTGTGTGTTAATGTCAGTGCGTGTTTTGTGGGTGTACGAGTGACGGGGGAAAAGGTTTAGGGTCAGAAACCGTTTGGGTCTTGTCTGAGTGTGTGCATTTTGTGTCACGTTGAATGAATGAGAGTTGGAGTCAAGTGTTTGCTTCGCCCCCAACCCTGTTTCTATCTGTGCATTTGTTCATGTTGTACATTATTTGTTTGAGGTTTTGTACGTTTTAAATACAAAAGGTCCATGTCAAATAATACAGTATCTGTGCAGATTGTTTTTCTAGTGCTTCTACGGGGAACAGTCCATGAATCTGACCTCTCCAGCTTATTTCTGGTCTCTCAAATGGCAGCGCATTGATCAACACAGCTTTTTATCAAAGTAAGCACAGGCTCCCCTCTGGGCAGTTTTCCAATCTCCTGTGTTGAACAAAGACAAAGCAATTAATCCAGCTTCAATGAGCAGTAATGGGCTCCGTCAGTAAAGAGCCACTAATAGAGTTTGTGATCAATGACAGAAGCTGGATGCACAGCACATCACTAGAAATGTTCTTTGGGCTTTAGATGTGTTAACTTTGCTACCATTTAATAACAAAGAAGGCACGAGATTTTGCAAGAATCTTATTTTATTCCCAAACAGGCACTTATCAACACACTTATTTGTCTTTGTCAGAAGAGAGTGGAGGAGTATGTACAGTCTAACAGCAATAATGAAACAAAAAATATTGAGTTCTTGTTTGGCCATGAAAGAAGTCTGTGAAACTCATTTTTCTCTCCATCTGTGACTCATCCCCAAGCTTCATTTTAAACATGTTGTTTTGTGGTTTAAAAGAAACCATAAAAGGTTGTGAAACTCATTAAGCTTGCTGCCAGTAATGCTGCATCGATTAGCACTCCTGCGACCGTTTAAAAAAGCCTTTTTTACGGGACGTCCCAATGATGCAGCACAGGTCTGTCTGCATGTGTCTCCCCGCTCTCACCTCTCACTCAGGGCTCTGTGGCAGGACTCTTGTGGACCCACGACTTGTTCCAGGCGCCTGGTCCTGATGGGAGGCAGCTGCTCGTACAGCTCGAAGCCACAGTCTGACTGTGGCAGACGGAACAACAGAAGGTGTTTTTTCAACACCTGAAACAAGAGGTTTGAATTATTCATTACATTCGAAATATGGCTTCTACCGGATTTAGCACCAAGCTAATTTACATTTGTAAATTAAAATGTATTTATGCTATATAATAAAAATGAAAGAATGTACCACATGGTCCTATTCTACTAATACCAGATTTAAAGCGTTCTTTTCCCTTGGCATAAACACAACCTTTAAAATTGGGTGGAGAATAGTTAAAACTGGAGTATCCATCTTTGAAACCACAACATTTCATTTACATCCCTTTATTTTCCATTTCTGGGTCAGGGGGGTGGCAATCAGAACTGCCACCCAATTCACATAGCACCAGTAATGTTGTGAAACCACAACAATGTATGCAACAAAATATATGTTGAGTTGAGATTGACATGCATGTATTTTTGCAGATTTGTTGTACTTCATCCAAACATGGTTAGTGGCCAGTACGAGCCTTCCAGCCTTCACTCAACCAATCAGCTAAAAGATTAAATGTTTTCTAACAAGATTAAAACGTGGTTCACCAAAAATGACTTTCTGTTGGGGAAAAAACACACTGTATTTATGAAAGCTACCCTTCAAACAGTTTTAATTAATTTTTGAATAGGACGTTTTCTTGCTCCACAATCAGAAGTAACTTTTTATGCATTATATATATATATATACAAGAAAATATGATTAAAACAACCTGTAGCGCTGCAAATTCCACAATCTTTCTTTTCAAGCAGCGTTACATCAAAGTAGTGACATTTGGCAACTTATATTCATTTGAATACCTTTTAGGTGAACTCTGTACTTGACTGTCTCAAGAATGAGAAGCTCGCTTTTGGCCCTGATTGAGCTGACAATAAGATAACACTTATTCGTCTCAGTTGTGCACATCACAGAAGAATAAAAGAAGGAGTTAAAGCCCTCTGAGATAATAAATAAAATAATGAAGATAATAGAATAATGAACCTAACAAACTATGACTCTATAATAAAGGTATGTTTTTAAAAGCAGAGCTAGACAAGAGAAATGTGAGATTCTGGGGCCGTTCTGTACCTCGTCTGTCAGGTAGAAAGTTTTCCGGAGCATACTGACACGTGCGGCCTCCACCTCCTGTAACACATGTGCACATACACACCATCAGTGCTGGCTCTGTGCATTCTCAAAATCAAGACAAATCACCATGGGAGTGAGAGCATATGCTATGAACACAAAAAAGCTGTGCATTTCTGACTGGGAGTACATTCTCGTGGATTTAATGGAGAATTATGACCACTCTTTCCAAACTTTAAACATAGAATGAAACAATAGATCCTCCTTTGTCTTGTCGACTTCCCATCAGTTCAGGAGCTACAGCCTCTGCCTGCTGTGTGGGGCATGTGCAACTCTTCCACATGAGAAATGAGCTCCAGAGCCCTACAGCAGAGTTCAACAACAAGCTCCTGTCATTCAAAAACACCACCTTTCTGTTTTGCATTAGCCACACATCATTGATTTGGTTTGCTTCAAAGTCTTTGCATAATTCTTGAGGTTTATACTGTAAATCTGCATCTCAAAAGCTAGTCTGACGAGTTGGCAGTATTCGCAAATGTTGAGCAGGGAAAGCAGAACTGAGCTCTACACAATCAATGAATGCAAGAACGACTACAGAACGTACTGGTACAATGACTGCAATCAAAAGCAAACGAGTGCAATTTGAGTTGAAGCAGAGCACGGTCCGGTACAGCGTGTGCTACCTGAGCGGCCGCCTGCTGGGAGAACATGAAGGAGTTGAGGTGAGAGAGTGCGACCACGTAGAGGACCGGGCACCAGCGCTGCTTCAGAACCCCGGTGAGGAGGCAGCGGAAGTACAGGCGCAGCAGGGCCAGGCAGTCCTCCGGGGGGGACGTGAAGTTCTCCAGGGGGAGGGACAGCTGGGATAGTTAGGGTGAAAAAAGAGCAATAAAAAGGGAAATTAATCAGAAGTTGTAATTGGTACAAGGGGACATAACCCAATTCTGTTGTCAGTACCCTGCAAAAATGTATCTTCATTTGAGCACATTTTGTCTGCCTGCCTTAAAACAAGATTTCCCAATGGGACAAAGCCATTTATTCTTATTTCAAGAACTTTTGCTTTATTTACTCATTCCTAGGAAGACATTTCTTTTTCTTCTTTTTAAAACAATATAATTTAGTTTGTCCCATTGGAAAAATTAAAGCTGCACTAAGTGATTTGGGATTTTGAAGCCGCAGATTCGCTGGCCTCGCTCTTTCTCCTCCCCTCCCCCCAAACACACCCACTGTTGTTTACAGAGCTAGCGTCTCCCAATATGGATAAATCCATGGATTTGCACGTGGATGGCGTGACCATAGAACAATAGAACTGGGAAGCGCGGAGGAACGGGACTTTCTTTTGGATGGCTGTTTCGCTGTGTAAGCAGTAACCGGTGACGAAGACACGGAAGCTTCAGGTTAGCTCCGCCGCTTCCTAACTCAGCTGTCTGTGCTAACAACGGACCTGAAGATTTCTCACGAAAGTGGGGGCTAGTGGTGCGCTGTGATTGGTCACAATCTGCGATCTGAAACACATTCTCTTCCTTGTTTCATCAAAACTCAATCTAAAATATAATGTCACGCCAGCACAAATCTGCGCTACTTTTTCTTCAAAAGGACGTATATCCCAATGCACTGCATGGACATGGATAGCATTTTCGTAATGAATACAAAAATAAAGTCAGTTAGTGCCGCTTTAAGATATATTTTGCAAAATTTCAGCAAGACTGGCATTCCAGTGGATGTACAGTAATATAATACCGGCGGTAATCTCTGTTTGCTTCTCTGACATCGAAGAAGCCCCTGATATATAAATAAAGATGACTTACTTATTGCTGGAACTGACTATCATTGAACAAATATCGCTTTCCGTCACGCCTAAGACACGGAGGAGGTAGAACGGCTGTAGCAGGAGGAGAGATAAAGATGTTCTCCTGAAGCACGGGGCTCACTGCACCAACACAAGTTGTAATATTGTCCATAAATGAGGACTTATATCTGACAAACATGGTTTTTGTGCATGTCTTTTCAAAGCTGCTGCCTCCCCTTTCTCACACGACTGCCCTTTCCTAGACCAATCACATCCCTAAAGCATCACTCCGTCAGCACCCAGCATTAACACATGGGGTCCCTGTCGTTGTTGCAGTGAAGTATGTCATAGGCTTGAGTCCGGCCACTATGACAGAGATCTAAAGAAAGTAAATAAAACCCAGGGTAGGGCTAGGTGTCGGTGTAGATTTTTTAAGTTGTGTCCCCTTTGTAAATACTTGAAATGACTCGATTTGTTTTTTCTTGTAAGCTGTAGTTTACCGAGAGGGCTCATACCTGTCCCATAGTGACGCCGAGTGAGCGGAGCATCCCCACATGCTCTCCAAACACAGCCAGTCTCAGAGCCACGCTGTACCGCCGCTGCAAAGGCAACAGCATCCAGCAGCCAAACAGCGGGTTCCCAAACGACACAGCCTCATACTGAGCCAGCAGGGCAGAGTACAGGTCCTGGAAGGAGGCCTGGCCTGGAGGTGGGATGCTCAGGTCCAGAGAGTTCAGTCTGGATGCTCTGTGAACACAAACACAACATATTCTTTGACGACTATGTTCGATGGTGATTTGAGGAAAACGTGCAGGGAGGCAGGAACCTGGTGAGCAGCTGGAACAAAGCCCAGGTGTGACTTTGAATAGGTCTCTCGAGGAAAAGGTCACTGGAGCAGAGGAACACGCAGGACAATCGGGCCAGCTTGGCTACAGGCGGAATCACCTACAATAAAACCAACAGCCAAATTCATTGAGGTTCAGGTGTCCCTTGGAGAGTCTATGATTTAAACTTGGGAAAAGCAAACTAATCCCGTAATGTGGAAAAACGAATAAAAAGAATGCATTTTATTGAGTGTCAATTCCTAAAACAGGTGATGTGGAAATGCATGTCTCCAAAGCTATTAAACACATGTAGGGCAGTAATCCATGAGTACCTTTAGAGCCTTCTCTCTCCAGACCTCCAGCATCAGGAGCCACTGAAGACAATGAGTCGCAGCCATCAGAGCTCCTGGGGGTAGCTCCTGCACAGATAGCCCCCCGCCTCCACACACCCCAGCCCGCTCATAGAGGCTCACTAGGGGAAGGTAGGGCCAGTCAGACGGCAGAGCGGGACCATTAAGTTCTGGGAGGAACTGAGATGTGATCCAGGGGGTTTGTCCAAGAAGCGAGTTCCTGGAAGCGACCACAGCTGGCTCCAAATGGGCCAGTTGAGTCAGGAAACAGGCGCGAATAGAGGGTAACTGAGCACAGGCCGCCCTGAGCAGAGGGCCGATGGCTTTATTACAGCTGGGACCTTCTTCCTGAAGCCGCAGCTCCTCCAGTTCCACCGCCTCTGGTCCTCCACTGTGGCTTTCACTGCATGAAAAAACAAAAACAGGAAACTTGACCACATGAATCATTCTTAGAGGAAATTAATCCCACTTATTAGACTTTAACTAAATGTCATTATATTGAAAGACATTTCCATTCCATTACCTGCCAAATTGTTGGTTTCAAGTACTACATGCAAACGTCAAAGAGAGAAATGTACTTTCTCACAAAACAAAACGACTCACGGTATGAAAGACTTTGTAAAGATGATGTTTGAGAGAAGCTCGTGTGCCAAAAACTCAAATCCTGGTAAAAGCCAAGACAACAGCACCAGCGCCATCTGGTGGAAGAGTGGGGTTCTTTTGGCAAATTCTGGATCAAAGGGAAACTACACAAAAGGATAGAAACAGAGAAAAACACACATCTTTTAACATTGTCATCAATTACATGTATTGTATGAATAAATGCAATTCTTTAAGGGACCCTATGTAATATGCACAATTGGTAGTCTAATAAAGTCACAGTTTTGCTTTTTCTAACATCTTGCACTTTTGTTGACAGAATCTTCCTGCCTGTGACACATGTAGCTCTATGTACCGATCGCTGATTCAACCAACATGCTGGGGTTTAGTTAGAAATATTACAAACTCTGCACTACACATGAGTTCCTTTTATTAAACCAATATTTAAAAAATTCAGTAGGAGGGCCACTCAAGTTAAAAGATCTATAACAGAGCTGAAATTGGATGAATGACAAATGTTTATCATCTCATCAGCTCACAAGTCTTTTGGTTAGCAAGGCAGAGGGCCACATAAAATGACACTGGAGGCCGCAATTGGCCCCCGGGCCTGAGTTTGGACATGCCTGGTGTAGAGGTATTTTTTAAATGTTGTTCCGCTAACAAACGAGACTCATTCTGTCTGAATGGATAATTTGCTAGAAATTATAAATATTCTGAAAGTCATGTCCATTGTGTTTTATTCAAGTGCTCTTGCTGTCCCTTAATAATAATTTATAAAAATACTAAGAAATAACATAATTGTATTGCGTACCATTTTGTTTGCCAGCCGCAGCAGCAGGTACAGGAGAAGGTGCTCGTGACGCAGGAGCCAGGCTGTACTGAGAGACATGGGGGGCGTGGCCTGAGCTGCACCGCTGATGTACTCAAGAACAGGCTCCGAGAGAAGAGCTGTGAACTTCAATCACAAGAATAGTTACCACACACAAGTAAAGGTGAAACTAAATGATTGTCTCCTTACCTTTGGTGCGAGTCCTTTGTGGATGGTTGTGACTGTGTCCAGCAGGAGGGCCAGTCCTGTCAGCAGAGGGAGAGGGGACGGAGAGTCCTGCTCTCTGGGACAAGAAAGAGCAGGCAGACTGGCTGTGGTGTCAGAATGGTCCTTGAGAGCATTACACACTACAGAGAGAGACCTGTGGAATAACATCAAATATTAACACTATACTAGAATATCCCGTAAAATGTTATTACTTATAGAAACACACTTTAGATTCTTAAAGAGGCCTTGTACCGCACGATGAGACAGAAGAAGGGTGAGCTCTGATGACAATTTTTCTAGTTCCTCCAGGGTTTGCACAGGACTGAAGCTCTTCTGTGAAAAAGCATTTTGAATGTTATCAACAATTTTAATCTCCAATCTCTAATACTCCTGTATCTGTAATGGTAGAATATTAAGATTACGATAAAGTGAGGCGTAATTCGTCCCACAATGGGCAAATGTCAGTGTTGCATCACAAGTTACAGAACAGTAGGAATGAGGAGCACACAGGACAAGATAAAATAATAATAACTCGACACTAAAATAAAATAAAAGCTATAAAAAGGAAGCAGAATATAAAATCTCTATATTCAGCATAATAAGCCATTTAGCATGACGTGAGTACAAAAACCTCTGACTTCAGCATAATAAGGAGCAAGTATATTCTAGTTGAATATGCTGTACCTGCCGAGACAGTTGGTGGTAATAAGCCTGTAGGTAGACTAGGTAAGCAGGAATGAGAGTCAGGCTGATCTCTCTCTGGGCCTCATCATCAAGTCCTTTCACAAAGCCTTTCAAATGAGACACCAAGGTCTGCTGAAGTCCAGAGACATGCTCCCAGCACACAGGGGGAGGGGGCAGGCACTCTTCATCTCCAGAACTAGGTTTAGAGGTCAAAAGTAAAGAAATGCTGTGAGAGTTATGTGATGACGCAAGGACAAACCTGAGCATTGCAGCCTGCAGCTCCTGGTGACATCCAGCTGTGTGAGTGATCTGAGTGAGCAGACAAACCAGGGCCTGCAACCTCTGGAGCCGCTCAGGTAAGAGCCGCTCAGATGGGAGTAAGGGCCCAGAACACTGGAGGGACTTGATAAGGGCTGGGTACAGATCGCTTGGAACGACAAAGAATAGTTTTAATATTGAAACTGTATATCCTCACACGCAAAGAGTGCACTCACATGTATAAGTCGCAGGCCTGTCCATAGCGGGCAGCCACAGCCCACATCCTATAGGCCTCAGTGCTAATCCTTATGGCCTCAGCCTCCTCCAGCAGCAGGTCACCAGGCTCCGCACTGAGCAGGCAGGCGAGGCGCTCCTTCATCCCAAAAGAATTCAACTGGAGCAGATAAAGCAATGTTCAGAATGCACATTTCACTTCAGTTCAATTCAATGTATTCTTGTGTAGCCCTAAATCACACCAGCAGTTATCTCGAAGGACTTAAAACCATAGAATTCACCAATACAGATCAGAGAATCAAGCAGTTCAAATACCAGAAGTGCAATGATATAAAACCACATAGAGCCATTGGTTATGGACCAATGGCTCAATGTGTTTTTGTAAGAGGCAGAAGACTTATGTCCATGAATGATGCTCAATGGTGAGTGTCCTGGATCCCACATTTAAATACAGAATAGGAGCAGCCAGACTATAAGACTCACTATTCTAGCACAGAGGTGTCTGCCAGCCGTGGACAGCACTCTGAGCAGCTTCAGTGCACAGCTTTGAGGGACTCCATACGCAGACTGAGGGGGAGCAGAGGTGGGGGTCGACCAAGAGGGAGGGAGGAAGTCACGCACAACCACCTCAATCAGACGAGGGCACTCCAACACCTGACAGAACACAACACATCCATGTAAACGATGCATTAACATGGAAGAGTATGATTCCAAGAGAGTCGTGAATGCACCTGAGTAGCGGAGGGAGTGGAGTGCCTTGCAAGCCGGATGATAATTCCCATTATTTCCTGAATGACGTGAGGAGATGGACGGACAACCTCCAAAATGTATCGCATTCGAGGGAGAAGCTTCATTTTTAGTAAACCCTTAAAACAGAAGAGACATGAGTAGGTGCTGTAGCTGTACACAGATGATCAATGTTGCTGGGATTTACCTTCACAACATCCTGCCGCGCCGTCTCATAGTCACTCTTCTCATCGCCCTTTTCTTTGGCCTCTTTTAGGGGCTCATCTTCATCCTCATCATCTTCCTCAGGCAATGGCAAGAGAGGAAATGTGGACATGCCATTGAACCAGGAGAAAGTGTTGTCTATGCATGCCTGAAAACAGCAAATTTCATCAGCAGTCAATCAACTGTGACATAGTTTGTGGTATATAAAGTGTATATATATATATATATATATACTGTGGCATAATCAATAACACAGAAACAAGAAAAGTGATCCATCCAAAACAATATATTCAATACAATGGCTTCAGGTTTTCACACAAAGTGCCACGTACCAAGATGAATGAATGCTAACATGGTAAACTTACTTCATCCGGAGCACGCACGAGGAGAGCGTGGAGAGCATGTAGCGCCGCACACATGACGCTCTCCACGCTGTCATCCAGGGAGAAGCGCAGCAGGAAGAGCAGGCCAGCATCCAGCAGAGAGGAGAGCACCGAGCCCTGCAGCCCGGAGCGGTACGCACCACACCGCGCCTTGAGGACAAAATTAGACTCTCTAAAATTTAGGCATTTAGTTCCATGCTGATGTAAGTATACACATGCTGTCGCTATTTTTCAAATTCAGATTTGAGTTTAAGAGTCAGAATCTGGTTATGGTTGGGGACAGTTACTTTGGTGAAGGTTGGGGTATGGTGTGTATGGTTAGTTGGCAGTGGGATGGAATACCAAGATTTTAGGGAGTATCCAATACACTTACACCCACATACACATACAATAAAATGTGGCCAGAAGATGCATTGTGCCTTGGCTTTTTACACAATTTAAAATTCACTATTTTTGTGTGTAATTTTCAGGGGGTTTTTTGGCTTTTGTTTTTCTTATAGCACTTATTTTGTGCATGTCAAGCACTTTGGGCAGCTGGTACTGTTGTAAATGTTCTAGTTGACGTTGAAGTACCTTTGAAATAATATTTGCCAGAGTGCTGAGAGCCAAAGTCCTCTGCTGCATCATTTGACTTCGAGAAAGCAAGAAAAGTTCCTGTAGAGAATATCCTGCACGCTGTGAAGAACAGACAATAATAATATTGCTTTAAATACTTGAATATAAAACCAAATGGTCTGGTTCTGCTTAAGTGCATGTCCGACATGGAGCTGCTCTGACCTCTGGTTCCTCTCCGTGGTGATGCAGACCCAGGTGGGTGGGCAGGTCTTGTGTGGGTGGGATCACTGTCCCCACAAAATCGAAGCGTGCCTGCATGGCCTGTCAAAAAACAGACTCAAATACAGATTCTTCTGTTGGAATCAGATACAATACAACGCTCTTACTTTGTTAGTTCCCTTTTTTCTTGGTGGAGGTAAGTCTCTCATCCACTCCAGCTTCTCCGGCTCAACCTTGTCCATGTGCACCCAGTCTTTATGAGGCTTCAGCGGTGGCTCAGCTTCTACATTCATACACAAAGAATCATTACCATCATGATTGTTGGCTTTATCATTTCAGTAATAAGTGAAGAGGATTGCACTTGCTGGACTATGGGCTGCACTTGTAGATCAAGCTCACCAGCTAAATTTGGAAATAAAGTATATTTTGTCCACATACAAGTCGCAGGTTTTCATGTTGAAATGTAACATGGAACCGCAGATGGAGCAAAACAAAACAAATAGCTCACTGTTATAACTAATCACTACATGATTTAATGACGAGGTGTTTTCTCTGCATTCAATATTGATCTATTATGTCACGAAGAAAATTGGTCTTGGACTCACAGGCAGCTACATTGGAAAGTACACAATACCGTAACAGAGAAATAAACAATCACTGCTCTGATCGATGGCCTGCGTTCAGGACATGGACAAAAAACATGATAAACTTTGATGAGGCAAACTGCTGCGTCGGGATTGGCCGAGGTCATTGTGCTGCTTGTCACATGGCTCTGCTCCTGGCTCCAAACACACAAATGTAAATATGATATGCACCGGGGAATCAACAGTATGTTTTTTACCTCCTTCCACTCCTTTTCGAGTTTTAATCATGTCCAATATTATAATGAGTCATTCTTCATGAATGATATGTTAAAAAATTCTATGTAGTGACATTTGATAATAATGCTTGATGTGTATTTTGATTTTGATAATAAATGTCTGTTCTTTAGTTACTAAACCTGGAAAGAATTAAAATAATAAGTCCATAAGCTCTGCTCTGATAACAGCCCTAATCACATAGAAAGTCCCTTGTTATTTGTGGATCTCCTTGTGTCGGCTCTCTCTACTGTTCACATAAACCAAAGCTGATTGAGCTGATGATGATTAAGTCTATTTATGTTAAAAATATATATTTTTTGATTATAAACTATTTAAATTAATTTGAGTAATCATTTTATAGCCCTTCAATACTCTCAATCTTATATCAACCAGTAATATGTATTATTTCTAGACTCCCTCATACATCACCCTTGCATCTCAAACACAGGCCCAGTACCAGGTTGTTGCTCTGGCTCCATCTCCACATCAACATCAGGAAGGGTGCTCTGGTCTTCAGGTGGGTGAGGTGCTGTTGCAGAGGGGGGAACGGAATGGGCGGTGCGCGATTTTACAAACTGCACAAGCCGTGGGTCTAAAGCCAAGGAACAAAGACAAATATTAGGAAAAAACATCAAAGCAGTTACCAAAAGTACCAGCTTATTGTCCGGCAAATACGGTATGTTATTCAATTCAAGCGTTTGTATTCAGCAAAAGCAGCTCAGTTGGTGGAGCTTTGGCCTTTAAGCCTGAAGGTCATGGGTTTGAGCCCACCACAGGACCTTCTCCACCTATTTCCACTAAGTCTGCAGTTGTTGTGTCCTTAACCCCACTTTGTCTCAACCCCCGCTGAAAGATCAAGGCTGTGACGTCACTGACAGAGCAGCCATCCTCCTGTGGACTCACTCACCACCTGCAGGAGGATCAGTGAGGGGCTGGCGCTCACTAATAACACACTTACACTCGGGACTTATCTAGTTAAATCTGATTTGTCAATATGAAAATCCGATCCAAACAAAATGATTATTGAAAAGTGGTATACTCAGGCAGACATAAAAAATTGCATTGTTAGTCAGAAGTATTTCATCTAGGTGTGTGTCCATAATTGTGCCGCCCCAGTTTGTACCAAGTTGAGACAGGAGTTTCTTCTGCTCGTCCAAGATGACCGACTGTGACATGCTCTGAAGTCTTTCCTGGTTCTCAAGGTGGATTCTTACGGTCTCCTCAGAGCCACCTCGCACTCCGAGACCCTGGCCCGAAATCAGCCTGGAGCCCGCCATGCCAGTTTGGTCTGCTTAGAAAAAGTTAAAGTTCAGATAAGGACGTTTGAAATGCAAAAAGAGAAAACATTCACCTGTATCTATGCCACAGTCCATCGCAGAGTTGCTTGTGGTTTGTGGCTGAGAAGTTGGATCATATAATGGAGCCTTTCCCTCTTTTATTCTTTGAGCAGTGATTTGACGTGCAAAGATACTCCTTTTACGACCAGGCCCTGAAGCATCTGGCACCTATCAAACAAGAATTACTGTTAATATTATTGTCATTCATGCAAACATATTGTCTACTTGTGATTTAAAGCCCAAGCACCTATCTTTTGTAAATTCCTAGAGCACAACAGTAGTTATTTCTGAGGACTTTACAGAGATGTCAATTCGCCAACACAGATCAGAAAATGCAACAATTAAAAAACACAAAGAGCCATTGGTCCAAAAGAGGCAAATAACCAATGTCTATAAATGTTAACAGATGTCCATAAATGTCCTTCAATGTCTTAAAATGTTCTGGATCCTCACCACTGTCCTTAGACCCCCCTGCATCTGTTTCATAAATAAATTGCGTTTTCAGAATAAAAAGAATCATGTTTTACTTTAAAAATCAAACCCCGACATACAATCTGTTTCTTTTATTAGAAATGCTACTTTTATTAGCATGCTAGACATGCTATTTATTACATACTGAGATCTGATTGGCTGAGAGAGGGGCTGGTACTTGATCTAAAGATGTGACAAAAATACATGTGAAAACTAGTGATAAAACCTGTTTGTAGCGATAGGATGTAGTTAAATAGATTTGTTAGACGTTGTTTTGAAGTAACAAGCTTCAACTTTAATAAACTGAATTAAAATCTGAGCGGACAAACTGTACATCGATCGATGTAAAAATTCCTTTTTACCTCACAATGTTGAGAGCGATGGAGTACTTTGGGGAAAGCCAGGCCAGTAAACTCTGGGAGCAACACAGGCACAGAGCTGGTATCTTTTTCCTATAAGAAAGATTATAGTTAGAAAGGTTATAGTTATATTGATAGTTGATAGTATTTTTTATGGATGATATGTAAGAAAGAAAGAAACATTTAAAAAATAAATGAATAATTATGTTGTTTGGAAGCATTTCCCAAACACACACTCGATGAAGGACATGCTTTCAGTTTGCATACAATGATTCGTGACAGCACAGCACTGATGTGAGTGTCCTCTCGGTCCAGTCTCTCCTCTGCGTCCTCAGGTTCAAAGGTCACGCGGTGAGACTTGAACCTGGATTTCTTCGGTGGAGCCGGTGTAAGAGAGGGAACTTCATCTGGAAGGTCTACAAGAGAAACGTTCAGAGCTTCAGAAAAACACTTTAGTGCATTACAGAGTTACTATCGTGCTATAAGACTGAAGTGAATGTTTTATCTCTGACATTACAGTGTCAACTCTGGCTGTGAAAAAGAATTATCTCAATAATTGATAGGTTTGCCCGATTCTTCTTCCTTTGAAGTTGATTACTAGTTTAGATAAAGGTATGTTAATGGGAGATTTTTTTAATATATACTTCACCAAAATCCAGCTCAAGTGTTTTGAGATATCAATAATTTTGAAATAGAAAACATGATTATTTGACTTCACACAAGTTTTTGTTTTTATTTCATACAAAAGTCAGCCTAGAAAATCTGGCCAAAACAATGAAAACTCTGGCTGGGTGAGGAAACTTTCAAGCACAACTGTATTCAATCAAGACTGAAGTTTGTTATAGCTTCTTATGCCATCTAGAAGAGCTGTCCTGGGTGTTCTGTGTGTGCTGTGTGGGTACTGAGTATGCATGCTACACCTTCTATGGACACGACATCCCTCTGTGAGCCTCCAGCCTCCTGCGACCCCTCTGGAGCCCCACCCTGCGGTCTCTTGTCTGGTCTGCGCAGCACACTGGCCGCTGCCTGGGCTCCGGAGCTCAGGAACTTCTGCTGCTCCCTCAACAGGTCCACCTCAGAGTCTGTGGGCTTGGGCCGCTGTATCATCCTTTCCACACAAAAGAAACAATTGTCAACATGAGATACACACACGTACCATAGACAGTGTTGGAGAAAAACAGACTACATGTACCGGAAATACACTCAAAATACACGTTTTGAGTAACTGTATTTGGAATTCGTTTTTCTTTTACTGGTATCAGAAGTTAGAGTGATTTTGGTATTTCATCACACAATTTACAAGAATGAATGATTATATTGATTTGATTTAGTGAAGCTTGCGAATGCATTTTTATTCTTCCTGTAATAAAGAATAACCAAAATGCATTTTTAAAAAGGAATAAAAATAAATGGACATCTTTAAAAGCCCTTTCATTAATATGTTGCGTTTGTCCCGATAGAAAGAGACTTGTTTACGGACCGTTTGTGAACAAATCCGACAACAAAAACAGGTCTATCTTATTGAAAAACCGGCTCACTACTACACACTGAGAATTCTATTACATGAAAAAATATTCTTTAAAATACCATTAAAAACATGCATGCAAAACTAGTAATAAATCAATCCTGTTTGTAAAGCAATGAACTAGCTACATGGATTTTTATTATATAGTTAGTATTTGTGGTTTCAAAATTAGGTATGCTTTGATATAATCCAAATTATTAGTCACTCTAACTGGATTTATTACAGTCTTCCTGAAAATGTGAGACAGGAGTCTACTCTAACAATGTTCAAATTCAGGTTAAAACAAAATCTGTTTAGCTAAAAATCTGTTTAGCTGTGCGCACGGCAGAAGGATTGCATCTTCACTCATTATTTATGGTTTCAATGTCTTGTGTGATTGTGTCTTTTCTTCTTTGGTTAAGCACTTTGAGTTGCCTAGTTTATGTACTGTGCAATACAAATAAACTGACCTTGCCTTGCCTTTACTATTAAACAAATTTGCATAGAATTAATATTATTCAGTGATTGGTACATGTAACATTACAAACACATAATTATAGCAATACAGACTTCTGCAACTAGATACATTTTTACAATATATTCTCTCTCCAACACTAAGAAACTGGTTCAAACCTTGTAGGAGAACTGGTCTCACGTGGAACAGCAAAGTGAAGTTTACATTAGGCACAACAACAGTCATCTATTGCTGACAGCCGAGCCGATTAAATTAGCTTCATATCACGACAAAACATGAAATAGTCCGTCGCAACAATGTGAAGATTTACAGTTTACAAAACACACAAAAATCCTTTCGCTTCCCTGATGTTGATGTTTGTATGGTATTACTCCGCCACACAACATCCATGCACTCCACACGGAACTATTTTACTGCGACACCACCAGCCATATTTCTCATTTCCGATTTCAAAATAAAAGCAGAAAGCCCGCTGTTTTTTTATTTTATTTTTTTGCGACTTGTATCTTTCTGACACGCATCATTTGAGTATTATGACTGTGTTCATCCATGAATACGTCGTGTTTTAGGTCCTATTTTTTTCGCCAAATTTGTTATGGTTGCTGCACAGAGACATAAAGCTCTCGTAAATCGCCCTCATCTCAATCTGTGACTTGATCGCTGTTGCAATTGATTCTCTGCACCATGGTGAACCTCTGCTGCCTCTGCTGCGGTGAAATCCCCGAACCCCGCCCACCACGGTGCAGCAGTCCGACCATGGGACCACCACCACCCCGGGACTCCAAGCAGCATCAGCACCGCGGCTCCATCACAGACGCGCATCGCCCAAAGGAGAGACCGAGGAACGCACCACAGCCAGCCATGAAGACGTAATCATCTATGTAAAGGACATGCGAAAGGTGCAGGATGAGCGGCCCGAATTCGGAGAGTGTGGAGGCAACCGCAAGCACTGCCCCAAGTGAAGATGGGACAGGGGGAAGGCAGGTGACAGGCGCAGGGGATGTCCCAGAAGAGGTATGGTGGTCTAAACTGGGGCAAACATAGTCTTCTAATGATAGTTTAGATGTTTAAGCAATTAACCTCTACATCTCACTCAGATCATGACCCGTTTGACAGAATCCAATTGTGTCAAATTGAGGCCTATAATTTACTTTGCATTAAATGTGCATTGCGTCTCTTTTCCGGTAATGTCTGCTCCCTGCTTGCACGGAATGTACTCATGTATTTATTGATTGTCTTATTTTGGTCATCACATTAACAAAAATACAGTTCAAACAAAATACTAAAATGAATTGGAACCAACCCAGGAACAGGCAGAAACTGTGCTTATTTGAGCCAATTATATTATGCACCTTTGGTTTAACTATAGCTTTTAAACTCTACATGCATTTTATACTATATTCATCATAACACATACAACAACAAAGTTTTATACACACTTTTCAGATTCTGTAATATTTGAAACTTAGGAAAAGTTTTAATTTGTTACAAAGAAGTCAATGTTGTAAAATCTACTGTTTATTCCTTCCATAATTTCACTTGCTTTGTATGAATGGAATAAAACATGCAGTGTTATCTAATTACTTCTGAAAAACCTTATTTCTTACATTTTTTTAGGTCAGTTTGCCTATCCATAGACAATGATCTATAAGTGAACAGATATCACTTGTTTCAGTAGACTAATTAAGTAGCAGTAGTTAAAAGTTTAAATTTCAAACTGTGATTCGTTCAAGTTAAAACATTCCAAGCGAAACAACAACCTTTATTAGCGGTGTTATAATATGTTTTAGGAAACTAATTACTATAAGATCATAGCCAAAAGGTTGTGACATGTGTTTCTATAAATAATGATTACTTACCAAGTTACTCACTTACTACTTCTAAGCTCTCACACATAAATTATGTCATGAAGAATAAAATCAATCATTGTTTCTTATGCAATTTGGTTTTCTTTTGGCTCTGTGATGTGAATGCATGTGCAGTATTATTACTCTTGATTATTCTAATTTCTCCATATCTCTCTACAGCAGCGTCCGGAGCAACAGTCGTTGGGAGCGTGCATGTGCCGTGAGGACCACTGGCGCTGCTTGATCCTCTCTCTGCTAATGTACAGCTGCTTGGGAACCTTGGCCTGGTGTCAGCTCACCACAGTCACCAAAATACGTTTCAAGTCTCCTTTCAGCCCCCCTCTCACCGCCCCACTTTCTTCACCTCTGCGGGGTCTGGCAGGAGTAGGCTTTGGGGGCCACTCCATGATCTACCACGACAGCCCCTGCTCTGAGGGCTACATCTACATCCCTCTGGCTCTCTTTGCCATGCTGTATGTTCTCTACATGGTGGAATGCTGGCACTGTCAATCCAGAAGTGAGCTGCAGCGCAAAGCAGATATTGAGAGCATCTATGAGCGAGTGCTGAAGATGAGAGAAGCTCAGCCCTGTATCTGGTGGAAAGCTATTAGTTATCACTTTGTCCGGCGAACTCGGCAGGTGACCAGGTATAGGAGTGGTGATACTTACACCACCACTCAAGTGTACCACGAGAGAGTGAACACCCATCAGGCTGAGGGGGAGTTCGATTACAGCCGGTGTGGTGTGAAAGACGTTTCTTGTGTTCTAAAGGGTTTGGAGGGCCACGCTGCCACAAGACTCCGATTTACAAAGTGTTTCAGCTTTACTGAGACAGGGCCCGAAAACGAGTACTTAAACCAGAGGGCAAGGTTTTTTTCCGAAGTGGAGGGTTTGGACGACTACATGGAGGCTCGAGAGGGTATGCAGCTGAAGAATGTTGAGTTTAGAGAGAACATCATGGTGTATGTGAACCCAGATCAGATGCCCTGGTACAGTTCCCAACCAGCATTCTGGTTTGCAGCTTGTCTTATGTTGTCTTGGCCACTTCGAGTACTCAGTGAATATCGTACTGCGTTTGTGCACTACAGGATAGAAAAACTGTTTGGCTTGGATTACACGCCCTCAACACAACCCAATGATCAGCCAATCGGAAACCATAGCGGCTGCATTATCCCTCGAGTGGACACGTTAGATAGCACAGAGATGGAAGTGCACATACGTTGTAACAGGCAGGTCATTCCAAGCTACTCCGAGGCCATGCTGATAAACGCAAGCACAACTGAATCCATCTCCCTGCAGCACACAGACTACACCTCCTCCTCGGACTATCTCCTGCTGGATCGGTGTCAGACTCCTGCAAGTTACGGCACACTTCTCACCCCAGACACCTGCGAGCCCACTCCAGCTCAACAGGAGGAAAGGCAGCGAAGGAGAACCATCACGAGCAGTTGTTCCTCTATCTTTTCACGATGCGGGACGCTGTACCTCTCACATCGCTCCACGAACACGTCGCGCTTCTCTCTGTGCCGCATGTATGGCTCCCAGCGCACGTTGGGGTTTTGGAGGGGGCGCAGCAGCAGTCTCAGTGAGCCTTGGTGTGAGTCCTGCCAGCCCAGCACCAGCATCAGTCCTCCTTCGTACAGAGACGCACACTTCTTCCCTGTTCTGGCGGAACATTCGGAGGGTCAGGTCAGAGAGGGTGGACGTGAAGGAAGCGGCTGTTGTTTACATAAGGGGTCCAGAGTGGAGACTACACAGTGATCAATGCAAAGTCATTAACTGGAACCCGTAGCTTGCACAAGACTGGAGATCAGTAAAGGGCTATTTAAGGGACAACAATGTTTCATGTTGATGTCTTCCCTAGAAGAAATTCAGGAGGAGTCGTTTCAGATGCACTTTACATCTTGGGCCCTTTAAAGCCCTGATACGTCACTTTTTAGCCCAATATAAATATATAGACTAATATATTAGCATGTTTTTTCACTTTGCTTTTAATGGCACTGAGAAAAGACGCGCATCCTTACAGACCATACAAACCTCGCACTGAAGAAGGGCATCTTGCTTGTTCCCTCCAAACTTCAATTTTACATTCATAGTCATGCATATGGTTTTCTACCTCCAGATTTGTATGTGTCAGAAAGTAGAGGCTCTGGCTGGTCAGGTTAGTCATGTGTTACTTTAAGAGCCAATTGTTTCCTTGAGATTTGTTTTATCTTCTTTGCAAATGGCCAATCCATTAATAAAGAAAACAACCTGAAAGAACCTTGAATTAAAGTATTTTTTATAGTGCTTATCATATACAGAGAGTCACAATTCACTTCAATTCAATTTATGTTTGTATAGCCCTAAATCACAACAGTCATCACAGAGGTTAGATCAGAGAATCAAACTGTTTGAACACAGGAAATGCAGGATGACCAATGGCTTTTATACTTGCTTCTTCATTATTCTTAAGTTAGCAATTTTCTCCTTGCTTCAGTATAGTGAGATTTTATTTTATTCTAGTATAGAGATATTATTTACTTATCTTTTGCTGTGTGCACCTCATTCCTACTGTTCTGTAACTGGTGATGCGACACAGAAAAAGACAAAAAAGAATCTCAATGTCCCAATCACGCACAGTGATGCACATAGCTACTGGATCCTACGACCACCACCCATCATTCACACGTATTATACATGTTATTAGTTAGAGAAACTGGAGCACCCGGAGGGAACATTTGTACCACTGTGTCGCCTGTGATATTTTAGTTTTCTAAAACAAAAATATCAAAATATAAAATATAATCACTACAATGGCTTTTAACACACATTTCTTGATATATTGATATTGTAGGAGTGAATGTCAAAAGCCAGTAATGAGAAACAAAAACAAGTCCGCGTCTGAATTCACAAACCCCTTATTCTTATCCTTCCTTGTTTTTCTCTATGCTTTAAAACAGCTTTCCTTGTGCTTTAAAATAACCAAATTGACATAAAAGTTCACGTAAGGAACAATACGTACTAAAGTGTCTTAAATTTAACTTCATTTTTTTTATTTTAAAGAGCAAAGAAAGATAAGGAAGAAAGAGTTATTTTCTGATTTTGGCTGCATCCAAATGTCTATTTTTGGTAGTTTGCTGTTCCCTGACGTCACTTCCTGCGCGCGAGAAGTCTGCTAACGTTAACTGGCAGCTGCTAACTTCCATCAAAACTCAAGAAAACTTTTCTCTTTCTGGATAATTAGTGTTTTTCACAGATACAAAGGCACATGCCCCTCTCTCCGCCGCTGTCTCAGTTTCATTTGTCTGCGATGGTGGCGTGTTTTTGGACTGTTTCGTGCCAAAATAGCTCCGTTGTTGACATCCCAGCGTTGACAGACTGACATCCATGACCGCGGATACCAGACCTCTTTACGTGAAAAATAAAAAAGCTGAAACCACGGACGTAAATGCTCCCCTCGACTCTCACTGCAGGAGAAACTGTGCCATTTCTACGCATTGGCCAAAATGAAGCTGCAATGCGATGTCGAAGTGCTAAACAGACAGCTCCCTTCGTTCGGGATGAGGGGTCGTGGTAAAGGGACTAGGGCTGTTCTGTCCATCGGGAAACATGTGGATAAAACAAGCCAACGAAGCGGTGTTTACATGTTGATCTGTACTGCCAAGGACCGAGCGGGCTCCAAGTACAAGGTCCGTATGCTAAAGCTTCTCCATGTCATTGACCCACTTATCACCACATCAGTATAAATAGATTCCAATTATAAGCCCTTTTCTGAGGCTCTGGTCGTATGTTTCTCCTTTGACACAGTTGGATTTCTGCCCCCAATTAAAGCGTTGTTTGTTTGGACACAGTTATGTATCCTGATGGTTTGTGTATGTGTGTTTCCAAACAGAATTAAGTGGTTATCAGAAAAGAATAGTTGCCAATGTGCTTCATTACCTTAATATGCTTGCTTTAGTAACTCAAATTAATGGGTGAAGGGCATCAGACTATTTTAGGTTGTGCAATAACAAATGAGTCAGTGGAATGGTCTAAACAGGCTCAAATTCCAGGAGACAGTTTTCAGATTCAATAATATCCAATATTAATGGTAAGGTTATTTGTATAGCACAGTTCATACACAAGGCAATGCAAAGTGCTTAACAAAACAAGATGGAAACAATCAAGCAGTACATTAAACAGAGCTAAGATAAAATCCTTCAGTCGTATGTACTGCTAAACAGAACTGTTTTTAACCTGGATTTGAATGCTGTCAGAGTAGAAGCCTGTCTCACAATTTCAGGAAGACTGTTCCAGATTTTAGCTGCAGAAAAATCTGAACTTCTGCCTCTGAATGTTTAGGCCTGACTTTGGGCTCCAGTATAAGGCCAGTCCCTGTCATCAGAAAGACCTGTTTCTTTTATAACTGGGGTGTGGCTTGTTCTCTCTTGCAGCTCAAAGACAACATTGAAAAGTTCTTCACGTGGTTTGTAGAAGAGGGGAAAGCTACGGTCCGGTTAAAAGAACCAGCAGTTGACATCTGTTTGAGCAAGGTACTACTACATATAGGATAAGATGAGATAAACCTTTATTCGTCCCACAGAATTTCAACGTCATCATTGCGCACATTACAGAAGAATAATATCAGTAAATAAGAGCACTCAGATTGCACACATCAAACAGGAACTGTTATTTAAGACAATGGATAATAAAATATTAACAATAATAATAATCATATTAATAATTCCATCTACAAATAAAATTCACATTTCTCTTTGCAGGTTCAAGTTCAATTTAATACAATTTATTTTTGTCTAGTCCTAAATAAGTACAGCAGTCGTGAGAACATGTGAGAGTTTGCTTGATTTTCAGCTCAAGCTGAAGAGGCAAGAGCTCTGGTGTGTGTCGTCTCTGTCTGGCGCACACCGGGGTAGTCTTGCACAGTTTTTCCAATGTGGTTTTACTGCAAATGGCAAATAAATGAATCTGAATCTGAATCTGATCTGAGCTCTATGTACAAGAACCTAACGTGTGTACTTCCTTTATGTGAGCCAGGCAGATCCAAACAGCCTGAAGAACTTCCTGTCTGCGGCCCGGTTAGCAGACAGAGGGAGTGAGACCAGCAGCCTGCCCCTGTCTACCCTCACTCCGGTTCGGGCTCGAGACGTGGAGCAACCTAAGAAAAAGCTCTCCATCCTGTCAAAGAAGGACTACCCCCTCACCTCCAACTTCCCGTACTCTCTGGAGCAGCTGCAGGTGTCCTGGTGCAAGCTCACGCGGGTCGACATGCGCATGCTCTCTCTGAAAGGTGACTCCCAGCTCTCTCATGGTTAAAATATTGTTTGTCTGGCTTGATATAGTTAAATCGATATGTTTATTTTAAGCTAAAGTTAATCTGTGGAGCAGTAGACACCTAAGTAGTCACTGAGTAATCATTTTCTAAAGCTCACATAGACCTAAACATACATAGACCTGAGATTTTATGACTCAGATAATTCTATGACTGCAAAATTAAATGGAATTGTGTTTACAAACTATTTTTAATCAGACAACCCAAAGTGTAGCAAGTCATCTCTATGGCGGTCTCCTGGCATCACGTGAGCTTTGTTTTGGTCAAATGTATGAAAAAATCCTACTGACTTTTTTGGATCATTGAATTCATTAATTGAACATAATCGGTAATTACAACTCTCATTAACAAGGTTATGATGCATTTAAGGTGCTTCCAATCCACATGTTGTACACAACAGGATTTCTTTTGTGTTTGACTGAGAGTTGTGGCATAAATTCAAATCTATATTATTAAGTATTCAATCTTAGAGGTCCATATTTCAGGCCTTAAAAGCTTTACATTTGACATTATAATGGATTTATACTGTGTCTAGTAAGTACCTTTACTTATAGAGCGTCCCTCAGACTGCACGTCATGTGTGAATCTTTAAATGTGCTTGGAATGACTCTACTTTTCTCTATTTTTTACAAATTCCATAATTTAGGTGCTTGCTGACCCCCTGTTTGGCATTTATACCATACTGCTTTAAACAACTGCGACCCGGCAGTTGTTTGTGAAGAAGGTCAGACGAGGAGCCTGGAGCCTGGAGCCATCTATAGGTCGAGAGATTGTGGCATAAATCTTTCCCCTATCAAAATTAACATTTTGCAGTGAATCTTTCATTTCTACCAAAAGAAAAGGGGCATACTATAGATTAGAACTCTAAATTATATTATTTAAACAAACAGGAAGTAAAAAAAGGATTGCAATCGGACTGAATGAAAGACAACTGCTGCTGGCTTTCCATGTTAGTCCCTGTGTTTCTCTGCAGCTCTGCGTGTCCTGGACCTCAGCAGTAACCACATAAAGAAGTTGCCCGCGACCATCGGAGACCTGGGCTGCCTGTCTCAGCTGAACCTGCGCAACAACCACCTGGAGTCCTTCAGCGAGGCTCTCTGCTTGTCCACGCTCCAGAAAACCCTGCAGACCCTGGACTTGGCCCACAACCGGCTGCGCTGCCTCCCGCCACAGTTCTGCCAGCTCCGCGAACTGGTCACGCTCAAAGTGGACGACAACCGGCTGGACTGTTTGCCCTTCCACGTCGGCCGCCTGTCCAAGCTCCGGTTTCTGTCGGCGGCCCACAACCAGCTGTCTGTGCTGCCCATGGACTTCAGGAAGCTCAGTCTGGAGAACCTGGACCTCTTTGGGAACCCCTTCATCCAGCCAAACCCCTTGGACCACACCATCAAACTCACCTTCCCTCTTTCTCTGCAGGAGATCGCGTCCAGAGCTGTAGCAAACCAGAGGTCAGACACTTATCAAAATACAGCTTAGCAAAATACTTGTTAATCATCTTTATTCATGCTTTTTCTACATTCATCTTGGCTTTTATAAATACTTGAATTTAATGACTGCAACTCAGATTTTTAGACAAACTCCATTAATACATTGATTATAACAGGGGTGCCCAAACCTTTTCAGTCAGGTGGCCTTAATTAATACATGTGTTGCATCATAAAGTATATAAACAAAGTCTAGTATTATTAAATGTCTATTAATCGTTTTGGTTTTATTTGCCAAGTCCAGATGGATAGATGATAGAGGCTACTTGTGTGCACTAGAGTAGAGTAGAGTAGAGTAGAGTAGAGTAGAGTAGAGTAGAGTAGAGTAGAGTAGAGTAGAGTAGAGTAGAGTAGAGTAGAGTAGAGTAGAGTAGAGTAGAGTAGAGTAGAGTAGAGTAGAGTAGAGTAGAGTAGAGTAGGGTAGGGTAGCTTAGCTTTTGTTTTAGGAAGCAACCATCTATGCTTTAAATGATCATTTAACTTAGCAATGTTCTATCTTTACAGTGCTATTTGACCTTCATACACATTCCTAGAGTAGTTTCTTCATTGATTGCTTCAAGCTTAAGTTAGAGAGCGATCTATCGCTTTCATTCTCGATAGGCAGCAAAACATACACATCCATCTTGGTGCCTCTGATTTTCAAACCATAAAATGTGTAAATACTTATTTCAAACCAAACTTTTTTTTTTAGCTCTCAATGTTTTTTAGCCTCTTGCACAACTTTAGATCAGTTTTTTCAGATTGAAAACTAAGAGCATCATATGTTGACTTGCAAATTGAGGTTTCGTAAAAAAAATTGATTATTAAAAGAGGCTGATTTTTCTGTAACAAAGCTCTTTCTGTGGTGATAAACAAAACAAAAACAAATGAAAACATGAAGAACCCTCTCCTTTATATTCCTTATAATGTTTTGTTCTTCCCCTGTTCATAGGATCGGGTTCGGACCTGGGCTCATCCCGGCTCACCTGTGCCGGGACTTGGAGGTGGCCAAGAGCTGCAGCTGTGGACAAGTGTGCATCAGCCTGTACATCCAGAGCAGCGTGAGCATGAACCTACACCAGGTGTCGCACACGGTGGTTCTGGTGGACGACATGGGAGGCACAGACGCCCCCATCCAACAGTACTTCTGCTCACTCACCTGCTACTCCCACTTCTTAGACAGCTCCCTCCAGAGGGCAGCCAGGTGAACTGCACTGTGGAAACGTAAGGATGCAACTTGGAACATAACCCGGCAAATTGCTGCTACAGAATATATTTATCAAACATTCAAACATTCACTGAAAGTATGGTCTTCATTCAGCCTCCCTCAAAGACTATATGGCCACCCGTTTGATGAAAAATAATCAGATAGACTGTATAACCGGAGTTGATGCCTCTTTTTTTTATATAGAATTGTCTTTATTTGTATTATTTCAAGATCTGGAAAATGGAATGGCAAATGGCGATGACAATTCAAAACAAAAAATATGCCCTAACTACAGCCAGCCCTGCAACCAACAAAAACTATACAGGCATAAATCAATAAAAAGGAAGACAAAAGTAGGTGGACAAACAAGATTATCAGACAAACATGGACAAACACAGACGGGACACAGATAAACGAGATGCCTCTTATACCCATGTGTCACACTCCTCATTATGGTCTAAAATAGGGTTTTAGAAGTTTTTAGGGTTTTTGTTCTAATTTTTTTGTCTGCAAACCTTTTTATGAACAATAATGGCATACTAATCCGGTGCCTTCTGATCCTAAAGTTATTGCTACGATGCAGAAGTGGGAAGGGGCAAGTCCTTGCTGTTGGTTGGCTCTTTGGTTACAATGAGGTTGCTATGAGACAATTTTGGCTCCATATTTCTAGCCACAGAGCTGGTCAGAGCCGTTTCTTCTGATAAAAGCTATGGGAGGCGTCGTCAGTTACTCAGTCAGTCCATTCCCCATTATTAAGTCCATGGATTGGAAAAACAGTGCCTAGTTTCCCCTAGTTGGATCGGTTTGATGAATTTTCTTTTCTTTTTTTTGCTTACTCGACACAAACTGACACTAGGGGAAAATAATAATACTGCATGCTATTATCAAATGAGGACTGAATCTCAACAAGGGTCAAGTTGAGTGAGCTGTAAATTTCTATAATTTGTATTTGTTTTAAAAGCAATTCATGAATAAAGTACCCTGACCCTGAGTAGCAAGTTTCACCAAGTTTCACCAAGATAGATCTGTCTCTTCGCAGAACTGTGTTGCTGCTGCTTCCTCACTTCTTGTGTTTTTAAAGATTTAGGACTAAGTTGTTATTGTATGTTATTTGCTTTTCCACACAAACATCATGTATCTTTGTTCAGAGACACATGGACAAATGAATTATACTCTTTTTTTATTAACAATTGTTGCGTTTATTTATTTTCCTTACATACACATTTGATCAATCAGAAAGCTGAATGACCCTCTTATGAGTCCCTCATTTGGGTTGCCAGATTGTACAATCAATGCCATAAGGTGCATTCCAGGCATATTTCCCACCTCTGACTTTAAAGTTAATGGTACTTTTGAATTGGGAGGGAATGCAGGTGCTGCCACTTCATGTGCGATTCAGTTATGACATTAAACCAAAATAATTTTCATATTAATTAAACACTGTCTAAACTCGACACTGTTCACTCACATAATATTAGCTATGCAGTTTGCACCGGTTAATTTGCTGACATTTTACACCCTAGAAGCTGAAGATTACTTTCTAGATTCTTGGGTTAGGGCTACGATTTATCAGCTCTCTGACTGAGTAGCAACTGCAATGAAAGAAACTGGCAAAAAGTGGTACTGTTTCAATACTGTCAGCATTCTACATATTTTTTTTCTAATACACGTTGAGGCGAAGGAATAGACCGCTTTCTAACATTTAAAACATCTGTTTTAAACTATCAGAACATCTCAGCACGACTTTGACAACAGGCCTCAGCTCAGTCCAGTTCAAACATGAGCGAGTTGTAGATGCTAAATCCAGCTGTGGTCACGTGATCGCTGATGACCCGCTGTGAGCCGTCTTCTCTCACCTCCCTCAGCAAAACCGGGGGAAGAATGCTGCTTACAAAGTCTGTCTCTGGTTTCTGAAGCTCTTTGTGCTCCTCTTCAGCTGCTGTAATGTCACCTGAGTCTCCTTGGTGATCCTCTGATGCCTGACAGAAAAAAATAGAAACATGTCATTCCCTCTAAAAGAATTTAGAGATGTGTATGTTATTACCTTTTCTGACTGGGCTTTTTCTGATTTGCTGATCTGGATTTGTTTATTGTCCATTGCTTGTGCATTTTCTTCTACTGCTTCTGCCTCTACTTGCTTCTTCTCACAGGATTGGACTTCTGGTTTTTTCTCATGTACAAATTGGTGCATCTCCTCTATCTTGGTTCCATCCTGGAGGCTAAGATCATTGCCAACTTCTGCATTCTCTTCGTCTCGTTGGCTCATGTCTTTGGTCTCCTCTACAGCAGTATTATTTTGTGCTTTTTCCTCGCTAGAGTTGTCTCCGTTCGGGATTTTTGGATTTTCATTCTCTTGTACGTTTTCTTCTTCTGCTACTGTTCTCACTTGCTTCTTCTCACAGGATTGGACTTGTTTTATCACATGTCCAATCTGTTGGAACTCATCCCCTCCTCTATGCTCCTCCATTTTGGTTCCATTTTGGAGACTAATATCAATGCCAACTTCTGCATCCTCTTCGTCTCGTTGGCTCATGTCTTTGGTCTCCTCTGCAGCAGTATTCTCTTGTGATTCTGCTGCTTTCTCCTCATTTGGGTGGCCCGAGTCATCCTGCTCCACTTCACTTTTCTCAAAAACACCACCAGAGCACTGAGTGTCCTCTGCAGAAGACGGGCCACTGCTATTCAATTGTAAACATTTCCCCGGAGGTCTGACGGGGAGTGTGACCAGCAGCTGCCTGGTCTGTTTGTTAAACTTTGCCGCTCCTTTGTCCTCATCTACACCATAGGCTAAGGACAGCTCCAGTTTATAATCAGGTTTTTCTGACTCCAGCAGAAGACTTCTCTCTTCGACCTCAAGATGGATGTCTGCAACTGATTTTAGCAGTGGTAGGTCAATTGTTAAAACAATCTCTTTTGGCCTGGTGCTTGGGCCGGAATCTCTGGAGCACCTGAAATCTTGGAGATCCACAAATGAGCGGTATTTTAGTGTGTAGTGAGGCTTGGTTGGCCCCTGGGAATTATCAAGAGGTTTGGAGAGACTTTTCTTTGTCTCTTCCTTTTTGGAGATGGTAGCTTTATCATCAGGATATGGAAAAGCCAGAGGATCAGGGTCATCTGTCGCCTCCTTCGCTTTAAACCCGGTTATTGGTTTACGAATGACACAAGCTTTGGGATTTCCTTTATATTTTGTTGTCATATTCTTTGTATTGTTTTTATCTAGACTGACATTGAATCCATCCTGGATACTCTGAATTGCAACACTCGTCACCATATCCATAAAGCGGTTGTTTGTGGTGGCCATGTGAAGAGTGTCGGGGTGGAAAATGACATCATAGATAAAGATTTTGTTTCCTTTAGGATCCAGCTCTTTCCTCTCTGGGTGGAGGCTGTGTGGAAGAGACCAGTGATGCCCAGTTGCTCCATCTTGAGACTGCCCAAGTTTACATGAGGGCTTTCCTATTTTATCATTGGCACATATATTCACGTAGCACTTGTTTTTCCCATTGACGCTGGTCCTAATGCACTGGAATGGAGTTGGGTGAATAAATTGAACATTATTACCTCTTTCTTTCTCCAAAATGGCAATCTCCTCTTCATATTTCTTCCTATTATCTGGGTCGGATATCTCTTCTGCGTAATCTCGCAGCATTTTTCGGAACTTCTCATCTTTGAAAGCCTTTGTGAACCTGCCAATTTCCTCTTCAGTCAATTTTAGCTCTGACGGTTTAATGTCGTGCTCCATGGCCTCTGAAAAGAAGAAATGAATGGAAGAATGCACAAGATAACATAAAACGTATATTAGTCCACTGAGTTAACTCGCGCTCCCGTTAAACAAGTGAATTGTTTGCATTACCATGGCAACAGTGGTCACCGGTGTTACATCCAAATATTACCCCCCTCCCGCCAAAAAACAAAAATCATGGAAAATGAAGGTAAATGGGTTATAATAATTTAACAAGGCACATACGTGTACTTTCAACATACATTTATATATTATATAATCTATGATCCCAACAGAGTCGAGTGACTACGGTGTATTGTGCCGTTTTGCCAGCATGTGTCGCTGCGCTGCAGTGTTCCCAGCCTGACCGTGGAGCGCACGGGTGGAACGTGCTTCCAGCGGGTTTCAGGCTGACGAGAGCGGGATGTCGGTCAGTAAGGCAGAGGGGTGGGTCCAGAGGCGAGACAGCTCATTGGGCGCGCCCCTAACTGTTCATATTTCGCACACTCTGATTGGTTGGGACTATTGACGCACTGTTACTGGGGCCGTTCACTGTGTGTGTATGGCATGGACCCGGAGTGGGGTCACAAACCGAATGCTGTTATGCAAGCTACAACTGTTTTAATTAATGTTTAGCAATTTCTATATAATATTTAAGAAATAATCAATATATATTGAATAATGATTCTGTACGTAGTCACTAGTGATTCAGTAGACTGTATGGTACAATGTAAGAGTTAATCTGACTAATCACGATACACATTCCAAGTTTACTCCTTTGCTCTTTGGTAACATCCAAAAGTGAGTGGGACAGCAGGAAATGGAAGCAACCACAGACCACTCAGCAGGTTTGGCTCGTCCCCACTCTGTAGAGGCGTGGAGCCTGATGCAGAGGAGCTTGGGTGGATGAACTATTATCTATAGCAGGGGTGTCAAACTCATTTTGGTCCGGGGGCCACATACAACCTAATCTGATCTCAAGTGTCAAACTCATTTTGGTCCGGGGGCCACATACAACCTAATCTGATCTCAAGTGGGCCGGACCAGGAGATGCTCTACAAAAATATCCAAAAACGGTACAAAGTCCAACTTTTTGAGCACATAAACACATTTATTTAAAACTTCCTTTAAAACACTATCCTTTAATACTCAGTTTTCTGTTACAAACTTAAATGTAACAGTGAGTTTTCCATAGTGCAAATAATGTAATGTATTTACAATATTACATTGAAAATGGTATTTCACAATATGTATATTAATATTTGTATGTTAGCTTTGTTTTAAGGCTCATTACAGAGAAAACTTGCTCACAAAGGTAAAGTACATGTAGACCAGTGTTTCCCACAGGTTTGAAGGCAATGTGTGGTGGTCGGCGGGGGGGGGGGGGGGGGGGGTGGGGAGTGGGGTACAGTGGTACAGTGGTAGAGGACAATCTTGAGGTCATGAATCCAGTGAAATTAGTCGCACACCTTTTTACAGTAATAAGTTACAGCAGATCAAAAGTGACATGTTTTGACAATTTTTAGGCTATTTTGGACCAAAATGGCTACTTTAAATCAATATTTCTACAGTAAAAGTTTCTGGTCTTTGGTACAGTGGTAGAGGGCAATCATGAGGTCGTGAATCCAGTGAAATTAGTCGCACACCTTTTTACAGTAAAAAGTTACAGTAGATCAAATGTGACATGTTTTGACCATTTTTAGGCTATTTTGGACCAAAATGGCTACTTTAAATCAATATTTCTCAATATTTCTACAGTAAAAGTGTCTGGTCTTTGGTACAGTGGTAGAGGACAATCTTGAGGTCATGAATCCAGTGAAATTAGTCGCACACCTTTTTACAGTAAAAAGTTACAGTAGATCAAAAGTGACATGTTTTGACTATTTTGGAGGTATTTTGGACCAAAATGGCTACTTTACCTCAATATTTCTCAATATTTCTACAGTAAAAGTTTCTGGTCTTTGGTACAGTGGCAGAGGGCAATAATAAGGTCATGAGTCAAGTGAAATTAGTCGCACACCTTATTCCAGTAAATAGTTACAATACTTGAAAATTGCACTAGCGGACCAAATTGTGTACTTTATACATGTAAACAATAGAGTGGCTATCCTCCTGAGGACTCACAATCTGCCGGAGGAATCGTAGGGGGCTGGTGCTATGTGTCATCTCTATAAGGTTTTAATCACAAAAACGTGTCTCCCTGACCCCAGCGCGCTTTCTGTTCGATAAAAATGGGTGACTCCGAAAGGACGTTCCGCTGTTACCGTAAGTTCTCAACAAAACGCGCACCGTCTTTTCCCCGATGAGGGCCGCATGTTCATAGAGCTGAAAGATGCGGGCCACTTTACCGCGGTAAATTAATAGACACAGCTGCTTACAGCGATGATCGCTGATGGAGACGGAGACACGCGGTGTGCACGAAGGGGAGGGGCTGTGTGTGTGTAGGTCTCTGTATGTGGGAGAGACGCGTAGCTTGAGTGAGAGTTACGAAGGGCCGCCACATTTTAAACCCCCCTCCCCGCTGTCAAATTGACCGCTGCGGCGGAACTAGACGATGCATGTTTTAAATAGCGTAACAAAAAAAATATATATATAATAATACGAAACGCAATTTGTGGCGGGCGGTCTCTAATCTGTGGCGGTGCGCCACAGATTAGTCTATGTGTGGGAAACACTGTAGACAGAAAAAAGCACTTTAACACAGCACCTCAGCTTAACCATCTTCAGTGTGGTAAGGTCCATGGTTATGTTATTATCACATTAACCATCTTCAGTGTGGTAAGGTCCATGGTTATGTTATTATCACATTAACCATCTTCAGTGTGGTAAGGTCCATGGTTATGTTATTATCATATTAACCATCTTCAGTGTGGTACAGTCCATGGTTATGTTATTATCACATTAACCATCTTCAGTGTGGTACAGTCCATGGTTATGTTATTATCACATTAACCATCTTCAGTGTGGTCAGGTCCATGGTTATGTTATTATCACATTAACCATCTTCAGTGGGGTCAGGTCCATGGTTATGTTATTATCACATTAACCATCTTCAGTGTGTAAGGTCCATGGTTATGTTATTATCACATTAACCATCTTCAGTGTGGTAAGGTCCATGGTTATGTTATTATCACATTAACCATCTTCAGTGTGTAAGGTCCATGGTTATGTTATTATCACATTAACCATCTTCAGTGTGGTCAGGTCCATGGTTATGTTATTATCACATTAACCATCTTCAGTGTGGTACAGTCCATGGTTATGTTATCACATTAACCATCTTCAGTGTGTAAGGTCCATGGTTATGTTATTATCACATTAACCATCTTCAGTGTGGTAAGGTCCATGGTTATGTTATTATCACATTAACCATCTTCAGTGGGGTCAGGTCCATGGTTATGTTATTATCACATTAACCATCTTCAGTGTGTAAGGTCCATGGTTATGTTATTATCACATTAACCATCTTCAGTGTGGTCAGGTCCATGGTTATGTTATTATCACATTAACCATCTTCAGTGTGGTACAGTCCATGGTTATGTTATCACATTAACCATCTTCAGTGTGTAAGGTCCATGGTTATGTTATTATCACATTAACCATCTTCAGTGTGGTAAGGTCCATGGTTATGTTATTATCACATTAACCATCTTCAGTGGGGTCAGGTCCATGGTTATGTTATTATCACATTAACCTTCTTCAGTGTGGTAAGGTCCATGGTTATGTTATTATCACAGAGAAAGCATCAAACTGACCATGATTCAGTTGAAATGAATAAAACCACTTCCATAACGTGATCCATTCTTAATGACTGCAGCAGTGTCTCTGTGTAAAATACAGTCAAATGTCCAAAAATCATCACCTCCATTTGCAGCTTTGTCACTACACCTGTTTTTACCATCGGTACCGGTCCACACTGTCCAACACACCAGCAACAACAGCAGAACCAGCAGCAGCACCAGCAGCAGCGCTCAAAACTCCTCTGATAGTTTCAGTAACACCACAAATGAATATGTGACATCAGTAACATCAGTCTCTTATCAATGGCAACATGTTGGTAAAAGCGAGTGGTTTCTCAGACTATGTCTGCAGCCTGTGAGAGTTTTAACAAACTCTCTCTCACTGTGCGGCTGCGATGCTAATGCTAATGTTGTTAGCACAGGTAGCTTCCCTTCACAACAGCAGAACTAACCTCTCGCTCTGGGCACAAACAGACTGCTGTGTCTTCAGGGCCAGACATGTTTATCTTCTGTTTTCTCAATTCTCCACTCAAAGTGCCGTATTTTTCGCCGAGTCTTGTAGTTTAAGATGTTATTCCTCCAGCACCGCTCTGGTGGAGCCACTACAGACGCACTGGACTCACCCCTGAGCGCGGCGCTGCGGCGTCGCGTCGCGGAGCGGAGCGGCTTTTTAAAATTTATTATTATTATATTTTTACATAAATGAGCCGCGGGCCGTGTCAAATCTCTTGGCGGGCCGGTTCCGGCCCGCGGGCCGTATGAATGACACCCCTGATCTATAGCAACATCGAATTTGAACTTTCAGAGTGATTGAAGATGAGAGATAAAGTACTTAAGTCATTGTTTTTTATTACAAATATGCATGTATTAAATATGAAAAGTTAGACACAAATGTTTAAAGTTATGATTACTATAGATTATACAATTCATGTTACATTTCCCCAAAGGTGACAAATAAATGCTTTTTATAGTTCAATAAGCAAACATTCACATATACATTTAAAACAGAAATTAGACACAAGTAAAGAGGGTGAAATGTGTAAGATACTCTTCATACAAAGGCTTTGGCAATGTGCATTCATTTTCAGGTTATAAAGTAAACAAATATCAATGTACAAATGAGCAGTAAAGAATGTCTTTCCAGTGCATGTTTTCTATATTCCCATGAATAGATTATTGGCAGCCGTCTGTGCTTGGCTGCTCCCTGTTGATTCTGCAGAACAGAAATTGAAGTCGTTCCATGGCATTTTTGGAGTCTATTTGGGACCAGCAGGTACCAGCATACTAAGGGTGGAAAGGCCTGGTTTGGAGGTTGTTTTGCCGATAGTCATCTTGTTGAGGTTCCTGACATCCGCCTGCCAGGAGGGGATCTTCTTTGTGGTCATGTGACGCCGTGCATGTTTGGTGAGGTGGTCACTGCGCATGAACTTACGCTCACAAACCGGACACACAAACTTCTTCTCGCCTGTGTGGGTCCTCCGGTGACGGGACAGTTCATCAGAGCGGGCAAATCTCTTGTCACAGCCGTCCCAACTACAACTGAAGGGCTTCTCCCCTGAGGAAAGGAACAGTGCATGTTTATCATTTTGAACCAATAAAAACGAAGGCAATCTTCTCTAAAACAAAGTATGATGGAGAACATACCTGTGTGTGTGCGTAGATGAGCTTTGAGGTGGGAGCTCTTGAAGTACGTTTTCCTGCAGCCTGGGAAGTTGCAAACATAGTTCCTTCTACGAGAAAAGTCAATTTTTGTGGTGGTGGCGGCCCCAGGCCCTGCCGGGACATACACAGGGGCTGGTGCCAGAGGTAGCAGCTTGGTGTTGCCCAGAGTCATGACAGTCTGAGGGCAGTGAGAGGTTTGTGGGACACTTGTCTGGGGCAGTACAAGCATGACAGTGCCCTGAGGTACTGCTGAGCCCACCAAAAGAGAGGGGACAGGAGATGAACTGCTTCCTGAGGAGGACTGCTGGACTGTGGGTGTGCAGCAGCCAGAGGAAGGTCGCAGAGATGATGACGTTTGAACTGCACTGGGAATGAATGCTGAGATGATGCCTGATTGATGACTGACAGGAAACATCTGACAAATAATTTGTGGGCTGGAGACAGGAGGAGGGGACCGCGTGGGAGGGGTAGGGGGAGTGTTGTGTGCAGCAATGTCCAAAGATGGGTTTGTGGAAGTTTGTGCTAATGGGCTGGAGGCAGAGCGGTTGTTTATGCTCACAGTCTTTTGCTGTTGGCACACCCCTGATGGGACAGGACTCTGTGGAGCAGGTGCTGTAGGAACATGGTGGGGGCTTCTGTCTGCAGTGTGCCTGATGACACTGGTGGCCATGGCTTTGCAAGGTTGTGGTGGCAGGAGTCCAGAGGGAGGCTTTTCTGTGATATGGGTCAGAACAGACGTACAACGTTGACTGGAAATTGAGATTGAAGTGTCCACAAAACTAGGACTGTGTGGAGGAGTCATGCACTGAAAAAACAACAACAATTAGTCAAATATGAGCGGGATTCAAGATGCAGAGGGAAAGGTACGGATGTTGAAGTCTCACCAGAGAGGACAGTGAGACAAAGTCCTTTGGTGACTCTGTCATCTCTGGAGGTAGCATGGAGTCGCAGGAGTCTGATGCAGGTGTGAGAGGCCGTGCTTTTCGTAGCAGAGGTGCTTGTCCCCATGAGCTCATACACACCAGGGCCTCCGCAGCCTCCAGGTCAGTGTAGTCCAGTCCAGTCCCTGCGCTGCTCTGCTCACTGTCATGTCTCCTGCGCTTTGGTTGGGGCTCGCAGTTTTCTATACAAACAATCTGAACACAACCAAACCAAAGGTTAGGCTAAAATACTTAGAGAAGAATATCAGTAATAAATGTTATCCTTGTTAGTTTTGTCCAAGTTGTAATGTACATCTTTTAAAACACATCAGGATTGTATCACAAAGCACGATTTGGAAGTTGTCAAGACTAATAATATCAATCAAAACAAAACTTCAAACTAAACACAGAGTCTTTGTAAAATTCTCTTCAGTGGGGGAAGTGGCGGGCTGGGGGTATGAGACTACACCCCACTGCACCGTGCACTCAGTGACTTTGGCCCGAGGCCAGGACACCTCCCACCTCCAAATATAGACCACAGAGTGACGTGCTGCTGAGATGAGCCGTGTGAAATCCCCATAAAGCGGGTTTGCACCAGGAAGTAGCCTACAAAGTACTGTAACAATGTACTGTAAAATCACTTCTATCAATATATTGAAGTGAATAACCTGGACATACACTTAAATGAAATGACATAAATTAATCTGATATTGAGGCGCGTTGTGTAAGTGAAGATAAGACCAGAAAAGGAAAAAAAAAATGTTTTTTTTATTTTTTTATTTGAGATTTTTTTGTATCACGTACAAATAAATGTAAACACTATTTAATAGTAATGGGAGATTTGGTTTAGATCAGAAGCACTCTGACAATGTTTGCACACAGATCAATCTCGATACGAGTAAACAACTGAGTGCCAGTGACGGTGTAACCGCGCTTCAAAAGGTTTTAGAGTGGAATAAAGATAAGTGAAGGATTGTCCTTACCCGGTCCGCGTCCATCTCTGAGAACACTCTTGTTGCCATAAAGTCTAAGTTTGTCAGTCCTGAACAAAGAAACGGCGCTGGTGCCGCTGTCTCGCTCTCTCGGCTGGAGATGGAGGTCTTTTCTCTCAGCTGTGTGTAAAACATGGGCAGAGGAAAAAAGGAAAACAAAAGTCACAACACGTACCGGCGGGTGGCAACACTAGACCAATCAGAGGCGAGTGCGTGCGGGGCTGCGGCCAATCCTCGTGCGCCGCCCGCGTGAGCAGTGCGTGCTCGCGGGCCGGTTGGAGGAAGCGGGTGCGTGTCTGAGGGGGCGGGGCCTCCGGAGTCAGCCGTGTCACAGTAAACCCGATGAACCGCCGCCCTGCAAACTGGGGAAAAGGTCGATCCAGTCTATGCGGCGTTCACGGAGCATCCGAGTGAGCAGCATCCACACAGCACCTGCACAGGAGAGCTGTGACACAACCACATTATCGATCCCACATGTCAATGCAGTAGGTCTACATACATTGTATAGAGAGACAATGTAGACTTTACATGGTAAAGAAAGACCCTATGTAATATACGAATTCTAATTTGTCTTCAGCTCCTCTGGGCAAGCGAAACTCAAACTGATAGAGAATGAGTAGACCCCAACGATTGTGTAACTTTTCTTTGTAGTGCTGTTCATATCTTGTATGCAGTGAACCCAGCTGCTAACAAAGTTTGACCGTAGATCCTAAAAGTGTAGTCTCTCAGACATGCGTTTGCAGGGATCTTACAATGCCACCCGATATCTGATATTTCAATTCATCTTAAGTGTTTCCCCCTGAACCCTTGTCCCGTAAGCACTGCCTTGTGTAACTGGCTGACCTACAAAATGAATGATCTCATTTTTAGGCTGTTATTTTGTTCCTTGCTGTCTGCACTTAGGTGTTGTAACCGAGTGGAGCGTGAGATGTATGTAGCCTGATGGCAGACAATTTTTCTGAAGTCAAAGGTACTAGAGGCTTACATAATGGCTTCACTCTCTAGTCTGGTGTCCTGAATTGATTAGCATTATTGTAGCCAATGACCACTGAACGTCACACTAATAATTGACAAGGTGCACTGGAGCAGGGCTGGACTGGGACAGAAAAACGGCCCGGGCATTTTTCCCTTCTTACCGGCCCAGGCATGTTTTTGTCACTTTTTTACAGTTTGTTTATACCAGGGATCGGCAACTCAAAAGGTTCAAAGAGCCATATTTGACAAAAAAACTAAAAACATCTGTCTGGAGCCGCAAAAAAATAACAGCCTTGTATAAAGCTTATATGAAGGTTACACAATGTAGCTACATAGCCTAATATCTAAATGACCAAGTAAAGGCTACAAATACATAATAAGCATTCATGATTATCAAATGTGTGTTTTCACTGCAGCGTGTCCTGGAGAGAATGACGCACCACGTGATGACTCTGCTTTAACTTTGACTTCCATTTATTTGCCTTCATGCAACTGTAGAAATACAGTAAATAAATCTGCTTTTTGGCTCAAAGGTCACACACCTGCACTGTCCGCTCATATCGATTACGTCACAGGCTGAAGTTTGCTGGAGCTGAATGTCCTTAATGGCCTTTTCTTTCACAGTCTTTGCGGAGGTTTTTGAAGTCTGAAAAAGGTGCTCCGGATTTTGTATGAAAGAATCCTTCACGTAATCCCTGTGAACGGTGTTTAGTGCTTCAATGTTCCTCGTGTTGCAACAAAACTTCATCGCAAACATGAAGCAGTCCTTCCTCATTGACTGAAAGCAAATGTTCAGTCTTGTCCTTAGTCCAGTCTTATTATCGACTCTTTCTCTTTTTATCTTTGGGATCCGTGCGCACACGCCGGTTTGTTTACAGCAGTGGCCGCCTGGCGCGGGGCCGCGTCACAGGATATGACGCACTACGTTGACAGAAATGTTGAAATTGAATGTTACTTATACACATTTTTACAGCATTGAAATACGTTAGGAATGTTTTTCCTCTCACAGAAACCACATTCAAACTAGGAATAAAATATAGCCCTCCCACTCCATTTTCAGACATTTTTGAAAAGGCTCCAGGAGCCACTGGAGGAGCACTAAATGTTGCCGACCCCTGGTTCATACAGTATGTGGAAGCATACTGTAGAGGATCAGGATGTCTGTAGTTTCAACAAAAAAATAAAGTGCAATAGTCTACATTACAAGAGAGTAATAAACATGTCTCAGAGTGAGGGAGGTGGGCACAGACAATACTATTGTTTGTTACAGGGATGAGAATTGGTCAAAAAAGTCTGAAATGCATATTGTCAGCCATTGGCTGGCTCTAAATCTGTTTAATTTGTTCACAACATTTTACTTTTGGGCTCAAACATGAACTTTTAATGCAATGGAAGATTTAGGTACCCGAGCTTTAATTTAGTCGCACTTCGAGAGGAGAGGGGAGACGCGGACTTTTTCCTGCAGCGGTGTATTTGTTGGGTGCACAAATTACGCAAAGACATGCATGGTCCTGTTCGCGTTTATGGTCTTGGGTACATGGTCACGTTGTGGCTACGCGCTCACCGTGTTGTGTTGTGAGCGGTTCCCGCGTCCAGCTCAGAGCCGCTGGATGCCGGAACACTGCAGCCGCTTAGGTGGTGGAATCCCGTTTGAGTACATACAGCAGGTGCCCTGCGGACACGCGCGCTCCCCTCAAACATTTCTCAACGGATTTACACTTTTCACAAACATTTTTTTTGTATGAGACAAACAGACCGGCCCAAATATGGGCATCGGCCCTTCGGGCATTGCCCGGTACGCCCAATGGCCAGTCCAGCCCTGCACTGGAGCCAGTCTACTGAATCTGATCACAAATATTCACACATCCTTTTGTCACTGTACTTCCGGACTGTCTCCTCATCCAATGTCTTCCTCCATGACCTATTGGTGAACTAGTGACTCTAAATTGGCCTTGTTCACTGGTCTCACTGGTGGTGGCTACTTGTGCAGAGCTCCAGGATTCAGTGTGGTCCAACCATGGGTCCAGCAGTGCTTACCTCTGACCTCACTGGTCTTGGCCCCCAGCCCCAGAAACGTGGTCTGGGTGGAGCTGTGAGATGTAGGGAGGTGCATTTCGCATGAGGACTGGATCTGGCAGGTCGGCTCAGCAGCTGCCTGTTTGTCAGTGAACTGGGCCAGCCAGGGAATCTGGAGGAAAGGTTAGAGCCTCAGCACCTCCCCTCATAGGACAACTCCCCAGCTCCACAAGCCACCATGGGACACTCCAAAAGGGGTGGGTTAAATATACTGGCAAGGGACTGCATTTCAGGGCCTGCTGCAGTTTTTGTGATTACATACATACACGTCATACTTTCCATAGTGAAACCTCCACACAATAAGCTCTATATTTTAGAGAGGATCGGTCTCCTTAAAATACAACCCATGTATACAATTTGTGTGTGTGTGGGGTATAGTATATTTGAGCCCAGAGCCATGCCATATTAGAGGTGTAACAATTAAGATATCTTACAATTTGTTTTCTTGACACAGGATCATCTATGATAATTGGGCCCAATGGTGGTCCTTTATGGCCCACATAAAGGACCACCATTTGCAGGCTTTGTGTAAAATGCCATTGCGTTCTATTATCAGACATTCAAAGCAGAGTTAGTGGCTGCTCCCCCTCACACACACATATGCAAACTCCTCTGTGTGGTCAGACTTTGAAAGATTTTTCTGTGGAATGTAGGTTCGAAAAGCACCACCAATAATTCACCAGTGCAGCGGAGGCCACCTCTCCGCTCTGCTCCCCTCTGCACCTTTAGGTCGTCCTGCCTGAGCTCAGGAAGACAGTCTTGCAAAGATTTGTAAAAGTCTGCCTGTTTGTCTGTAAGCAGGAGTGTGCAAAGATAATCCATGGTGTTGGTTCTGGTTATTATCATCATTACTATTATTTTTAGATCATAAAACCAAATTAGGTTAAAGAACAGCCTCCATGTCAGTGTTGTCACAAAATGGGATAGTGTGACCTTTTTGTTATTGGAATCTTACTCACAATCAGAATTTGTTTTATCGAAATTGTAAGAAACAAACTATTCATTTGCTTTGGCTCATGGTGCAAACAAGTTGAAAAAAAAGTTGTTACAATTTATATGGAGGCATTTATAACCATTTTTAAATTCTATTATATATTCTAATAAGTAACATCCATCCATCCATCCATTTTCTTCCCCTTAATCCATTTCTGGGTCCCAGTACACATAGCACCAGCCCCTCACTGATCCTCCTGCAGGTGGTGAGTCCACAGGAGCTAAAAAAGTAACAATTACAGCTATTTAATACTTTTTGTACGTTTTAATATTTGGACATGTGTGCTATGGATACATTTGAATCGAGAAATCCACCAGCTTTTTGTCTGGAATGTGGAACGATGGATGTCATTTTTAACTTGACCTGATTGAGCAGAAGGTGCAGTTTCTGGACCTTCTGATGTTTTCTGAATGGTTAAAGGAATAAAAAAAAAAATGTGCGACACAATCCAATTATTGAAGTACAATGCAAAAAAAAAAAAAAACATTTATAAAATCACAAAACATAAAGGTTCTTGTTTCATAATCCTTTTGTTTTGGTCGTTTGGCAGCTCTTACATCACCGTTCCCTGCGGTCCCTCCCCTCGCCCCCTACTGAAGGATGCTGCCTGCAGCGTGAGCCCTCTGATTGGTCCAGCCCAGACTCCAAAGCCAATCTGTTGCTAAGAGACGGCGGCGATGTGCTTCTTGCTGCTGTCTGTCGTCTTGGTAACAGCAGCAGCAAGAGGCAGTTTTGCTCCCCAACAACACGTCTCACCCTCGGATCGTCTGAGCATGTGCAGGAGGATAATCAACAAATACAGTATCTGTCTTTTACAACTGCATATTGTTGAGTGTCTCCTGCCTCGCGCTGAAGAGCCAGAGCCTGAGACAGAGCCAGTGTCAGGCTGTGAAAAGAGTGTCAGGTTACACTGCGGAGGACTGGCACCCGGACTGGCACCCGGACTGGCACATGGACTGGCACCCGCTGAATCATCACACGGACCATTTTGGGATTGTTACGTAATGATCCGCTGGAAGGCTGCTCCTTTTTTGTTTTTGTGAGTACGGAAGTTTGAGCGTTTTTCACAGGCAGAGATTTGTAATGTGTGCCTCATTCATTCGCTCCCTCTTTGCCTGTGATTTACGACTATTTTGATTATTCATTAGTTGGATGATTGTTCTTCAAATTAATCGATAAGTTGGTTAGATCCCAATAGGTTGGTGGACGTGGGATTTTTTTTTAATACATCTGACCAAAACAAAGCTCAAGTGATTTTGTTGGTGAACATTCTCATAGAGATGACACACATTGGATTGCTTGTTTAAATATGTCTTTTAAACACTTTTTTCCCCCCATGCAGTAATTGTAGAATTATCTGAGTCAAAAAGCCTTATATATGGTTCAAAAACAATTACTCCATTAATACATGTCAATAACTGATTAGTTGACATTTAATAATTCACTTATCAAAGCCCCAGTCAACAGTATTGAAAACGGATATTAAAGCTGGAGCACCTAACATGGAACCACAACAGAAATACCAGTGTAATAAAATCTATGTCACTTGTTCCTGGCTCCAAAACAAGTTTGTTCTAGTTTTCATTTGCAAATATTTTGTCACATGTTGAACAGCTTTTTTCCGTATAAAAATGCGGATCTAAACAAACAAAATATATTCATGATCCAGCAAAAGTTAGGTACTCTTTATTCAACGATACAATTAAAGTAACTCAATACTCATTTGAGAATTTATTTTTACTGTTTTTGAATGATTTGTATCTAAATTCTGATCAAAATTAAGTGTGTTTTTTAGGCCATCACTAGTTTTCACATGCCACACATGGATTTGTGGCCTCAACTTTTTAGATCAGCTTTTTTCTTGCTGAGCCGATCTGCTCTCAGTCATAGTGTCCAATAGTGACTCACAGGGCTCTTTCTTAAAAAGTCTGCCACAGATAACATGTTTTAACAAGATGTTGTGGTCTGATTTTTTCACTGTTGCAACATTCTTTCTGTTGGGACAAACAACATGTATTTGAGAAATAAAAGAGAAATAAAAGTTAGATTCCCAGCTGGTTTCCTTCTGGTAATATCACTGTTTTCACTCCGCTGTTTTAACAAGATGTTTATTCAGCATCAGAACCTTTACAAAGATGCACTTTACATACAAAACACACATAGAAATCTTACAAATATACTATTGTCCAAGAACAAATAAAAACCCACATCCATGACATAATAATAAATATCCAGTAAGTACTGTGAGATCATTTCTTATATACAAGAAATACCTTTTCAATTATATTAATATAAAGTGTAATAATAACCATATTCTCTGAATGTGCCAAGTCCAAATCTCATCTGTAAAATAACAAACACAAATGCCAGATACTCCTCAAGCTGTCTCTAGTGGACAGCAGAAAATGCCATCATTTAATACTTGCTTTTCTTGATTTTTTCTTGATTGTTACTAATTCATAAAAAATATATATTTACAACCTTTTTTGCTGAACATGATCAACATCAAATACTGCTGTATGTACACAGTGAGCGACCCCTGGGGCCCGGCACATGTTTACAGTGAAGTCAGTGCTATGGTTTCCAAAAGGGGAACCTCAAATGCTCTGAAGTGATATTTACATAAATGTGAGGGAGACTCTGGTACATCACATTAAACACACAGTGTTTTAAGAGCTTTGTGGCTTTGCATGTTTCTATGTTTGACACAAAAGACACCGTTTGGGACTTGTAAACCTCCTGCGGACTGCGGCCCGAACCCTTGGGCTTCTGTGATGTCATGCCTGGCTCTGATGGTGATGTCACTCAGATCTCAGTCAGGGTGAGTTTGTACAGGCCGCCGCTCTCTTCTATGGACATCTGGAACGTGTCCTCGTTGGAGTAGTGCCGGATGATGTTGTCGTCCATGTGCACCAGGATTCTACAATCACAGTCACCATTTTCTTTCTTTAGTTTTTAATATATAGTTGTGCAATCATTGAACAACCTTAAGCTTCTGACAAATGTCTGTGCCAGTGTCTGTATATAGATGGACAATGCTAACCCACTAGCTCAATGAAGCCCAATAGTGAAACGCTCATGGATGAAGTTTTTCTCCAACTCGCTCTGACTCCTATTGACTCACATTGAAAACGCCTCTAGCAAAGTATCTGTTTGTGTCACACTAATCATTTTGGGCTTAGAATAATCTGTGGATGAGCTCTCTCTGTGATCCTAGTGCTTACGTTTTGATATTGACTTTGCAAATCCAGATATGGGCCATTTAAGGATTGACCAATCAGATATCTTCATTAGAGGGGAAAACTCCAGCTTGTTGTAGCAACCATCTGAGCAAAACGATTGCCCCTGTTACAGCGGAAAGCTAACCCCGTCGGATACAAATGCCCATAGAAGGAAATTGGCTATCTAGCTGTTATTGGAATCGGCCTCTACGAATCAGAGTTTGTAATATACGCTCTATGGCAAGAATAGTGTCTAACAAAGGACACACACACTTACCCTTTCTTACACTTCTTGTAGATTTTTCCCATCTTCTCAACAGGCAGTTCGTACTTCTCTGTTATCTGAAAAATTTATGTTTCCAGCTCATCATCAGAGTTCATAATAATTAATAATCCTAATGATAAGACAACATGGGGGTGCAGCAGTGAACTCACCGCTTCCATCAGGCCCTTCAGAGTTGGATTCTTCAGCATGACGGCATCAAACACCTCCTCTGTCTCTTTGCGCACGTACAGCAGCACTGTGGGGGAAAGAGGCGGTCATCTCTGCATCATCAGCACAAACCACACACATCCACAAAACACTAGGATTTCTATTAGTTCAAAAGATTTATTGTTTGTCTTTCTGTCTTGGACCTATTTTCATTGGCAAGTAAATAATAAAACAGCCAAATTATGTTCAAAGACAAAAACTAAAGCCGTTTTTTGTGAATAAGTTGCGTTCACGAAACAACACGACATATTGAAACATCCTGGTTCAAATCATTCCATTCAATTACATTTTTATATACCCCTGAATCACAGCAGCCGTTGTCTCGGAGGACTTAACAAAGTTGTCGATTTGCCAATAACAGACCAGAGAGTCCAACAGTTCGACCACAGGAAATGCAATGATAATAAACACGTGGGTCCATTGGCCAAAAGGGAACAGGATGACCAATGTCCATAAATGTCCTTAAATGTCCTGAATCATCACTGTCCTTAGATCCTCCTGCATCAGCAAGGATCATCTAAAACTCACACAAAAAACTCAGTGAGGCCCACTTTTAGAGAGGGTTTCACTCCCACAGACGGAAAAGCTCTTAGATCCAGGACTGGTAACTATGGTAACAATTAAGTATTGTGCTGACGTTGTGGTACTATCTTCAGGAGGAGAGAAGAGGGGGCAGCTGTGAGAAGTGCAATTTTAGACGGGGAAAAAAAGGGCAGTAAGTGGAAGTGTGTTTGTAGGCGCACGTGTGAGTGTTGTGAAGGAGCCACTGGTCACATGGCTCCGGAGTGGGGGATGGACTCTCTATTTGCTGCATATGAGAGCTGAACACATACCTTTCTTTGGCTCGTCCAGTCGAACCATTTTGTTTGGAGGCGAGGTAAAGTCATCCTCACTGAAGGGTAACCGCTTTAGGCCCGAGCTGCGTTCAAAAACATAAACTACACATTAGTTTCAAACAAATCTACTTATCTACTTATTTGCCTGCCCTATTTGTATATAACTTTGCACTACATATATAGATAGATACAGCTAGCTAAGAAACATAGCAGATACTTATATTGTATATTTTGTGTGCTCCCTGTGTGCTCTTACTACTGTCCTGTATGTGCGCTGCAACAATGAAATTTCCCCACTGTGGGATGAATAAAGGTTCTCTTATCTTATCTACTTATACTTCATATTACTCTTTGTGTCTTGTTCGGCAGATTTGTCCAGAAGGCGACAACCCAAATTTACATTTAAAGTGGAGTTGCCTGGATTCTGAGCAATGATGGAGTTGAAGTTGGCTGAATGGCAAAATATCATCTCACTAAAAGCTTTAATTGAGCCTTAAAAAACAAAATAAACAAAAATTGTGTCTTGCTATGCTGCATGTGACGTGATAAAAATATGTGAACACAATAGAATAACACTAACAAAAAAAAATAATAATAATGTCATTAATGGAATTATGTGACACAATCCAAAACAAATATCAGCACATAGTAAATTCATCGCCTGAATTCCAGAGGTTCTGAAATTTACAACGAGGTCTTGCATGTCCTTATTGACAGAGCTGAAGTTGGCTGGATGACATTGTGGTGTCCAAAATTATCTCAATGACTACTTTGTGTTGGCGAGGCAGAGGGACACATACAATGACACAGAGAGCTGCAATTGGCCCATGCACCTTCATTTGGACATGTCGTTTGTTTGTCACTGGACAGGGGCGGATCTACTGTTAGGCCCTTAATAACCTGGGGCCCCATATCTCTGAAAAAAAAGGGGTGTCACGATGAAGAACCCTCGATTCACAATGCAGTGCCATGAGTAAAATGAATGCGTATTATACATTTTTTGTATTTTTTTTTTTATTTTAGTGGCAAAATTACAAATTAGGGCTGTTGCATTATGTTATTTATACATGTTAGAGCTTGAATGCATTTGTCATCTTTAATTCCTAAAGGCATTCACAAAAGTCTTCCTAAACATAACATCAAAAAGCATTATGGAATACCATCCCCAATGTTTGTCCGAGACTCCAAAATGCCTGAATCCGCCACTGATCAAAGCCTAGAAATGTGAAAAACCCCCTGAATTGAGTGTCTCTTGTATAGTCCTCACTATGTAACTAAAATCTGCCCATGACACACAGGGGGGAGGGAGTGCACAGAGCCTCCAATTCCTAGAAGTCGCTGTCGTTAGCTGGAATGCTGCTGTGTGTGTTTTGCTTCTTTTACACTCACCTATCTTCTCCTTCTTCTGTGGTGAACGGCTGCAAAACAAACAAACAAGATGTGGCATTAGCTTTGGCTCAATGGTGTAAGGGCGGAAACGTGTAAATGGCTGAGATTTGAAAGATGAAGCCTGAATATTCTCAAACATCTGGGTCACGTAGTTCTTCCAAACCCGGTGGAGAGTGGGGGGTATTGAGATAAATCTTGTTGTCAGTGGGAGTGAGTCGAAGGAGTTTTGGAGGTTTTAAGATGTGTGAAAGGTGAAATGCAGTGGTAACGGTTCCTCCCACACAAGTCAAAGAGCAAAATATTATATCATCGTCAGCATAAAAGGGGTATAAACATGATTGTTTCACCTGAGTGTGCGAGAAAAATCGTTGGATGGCTGAGGTTACTATGTACAACTGTTTTGTTTGCAAGCCACAACAAAACTTTTTTAACCAATCCACTCCTGGGATTAGGCAAATGTTTTGGGCGCCGCCAACTTTGGAGCTGGATGGGACTTTTCACTTTGCAAACGTATCGAACCGATTCTGTTAATAGAATCTGCTCAGAGCATTGACCCGGCCTTTATCTGCAGCTCCAGTCCTGTCACGTTCACCTCCGCAGCTGCTCTAAAAATACAGACCTTCTGCTGCATGGGCTCTGCGTGCACAGACCTTTCACACAGTTAGGGAGTGTGGGCTGTTTGCCAGCAGGGGGCAGTCAGGCTGTAAGTAAGCATAGACTGTATATAGATGGACAGTAACCCTCTAACTCAATGAAGCCCAATAGGGAAGTGGTCATGGGGAAGTTTTTCTCCAACTCACTCTGGCTCCTATTCAATCTAGCTCACTAACCGTTAAAAAGTCAGTGGTTTAGCGCTTTCCATGATCCTGGGGTTAAAATCCATGGACTCCAACCTTCTCATTCCCATCATGACGAAACACCGAACCTTGGAGGACCGAGCCTTCGCCGCAGCGGCCCCCACTTTCTGGAACTCACTCCCACAACTCAACAGAAACTCTGACTCACTACAGAACTCTAAAATCCCTTCTCAAAACCTGTTTCACCTTGCCTTTCCTTAATTTTGTTCCCCAATATTTATTTTTGTATGTTTTTCCAAGTGTTTTTAGAGTCCAAAACGTTTAATGTATTGTTAATATTACATTAAAAAAAACTCCGGCTTTCCTTAGCAACCATCTTAGCAACCATCTGCCACGTTATGGTGTAAAAGTTGCCTTATATATAATTGTCACAGCCGAATGAACGCGTCTTCACTCACATGACGTTGGTAGGCGCTGAAGTGGATGTCTGGGATGAAAAGCACCGGTTGTGTCTCCATGTCACTCATCATTTTGAAGATCGTCACATCGTTCCTCTTCTGGATCATGGGCATTTTGATGTCCACAACTAGACAGAATTAGACAAAAATCAACTTCTGTGTGTGTGTGTGTGTACGTGTGTGTGGGGCAGAGGACGGGAGAACTCACAGGGCAGGTTGGGGTTGAGCTCAGGCACCTTGCCCTTTCGCCGGGACTGCTTTCTCTCCTCGTCGCGGATCTTCCTCTCTGCCCCCTTGTCGCAGAACACCTTGATCTGGCAAAAGGCCCGGTGGATGGGCTTGTTGCTGCGGTTGTTGTAGCTGTACGTGTCGATCTGGAGGTTCAAAGGCAGACCCTTCACGCCCTTTTGGGACGAGAAGTCTGTGCTCAGGCAGTTCACCGAGATGAAGATCTGAGGAGCAGAACAGAGCAGTCAGAGCATTGCTACAAACTTTGCATGTATTATATGCCTACATCTGAAAGCCAGCATGAAGCTAAGCAGGGCAGGGCCTGGTTAGTACTTTGATGGGAGACCTCTAGTTCCACAGTGGGATGACTGTAGCTGTAGAGTGCCATTCCAAGACAGTTTACCCACATTGCCTAGAATAAGTCTGGTGTGTGAGTGAATGGTTGGTGGTGGTTGGAGGGGATGGCACACACTGGTTGCCTCACTTCTGTCAGTGTGCCCCAGGGCAGATGTGACTACAGCGTAAATAAATAATGACTTGACGTTCTTGAGAGTCCAAAAAGTTCTTTATAAAACCGATGCAGTATTAGAATTATTATTTTATTTTATTTATATTTTTAGCCATTCTAAACCTGCGACGCTGTGCATATCCTTCGATGTTGACCTATCCTTGTATTGTATAATCTGCTTCTTGACCACACTGTTTTCCAAACCTTGAGACTTCCGTGAACTGACTGTTCCCGGTGACAGTATTTGCCTCCCTCTAGCGGCCAAACTCAAACATTACAACATTCTTAACAAATCCTCAAACCCATTCTCACGCATGCGCAGCTTCTCGCCCCCCTATTCTGAGCTCGCACTTGTTCCAATTCCATCCTCCAAACTGTCTCTTCTGAACACACTGTCTCTCTCACGCACACATGCAAACGCATACATGTACATATAGATGTACATACACATGAACATATACACACACACACACACACACACACACACACACACACACAGGAGCCACGTGAGGATAGTTAGAAACCGCTCATCAGAAATCATTTGAACAAACAGCCCCAGAGAAGGTAAACAGTTCTGCCCTTAGTAAATAGACATGACTGTTTGCAGGGGGAGACCGTTGTCATTTAACACCTTCAACATTTGAAGTAATAACACAGGGTGAAGAATCCATTCTGCAGGCCGTTAGCTGCAGGTCCTGGTGATTATAAAACACACGGGCCTCTTAACTGTCACCAGCGGTCACACTGTTTCTGTTTTCTACATGTTAGACCAGACCGGTGAGGATCCAGGTCTGTTCCCGGCTGTGTGAGTTTCCTCATTCCTCAAAAAATACCTTCACAATAAAAACTCAACAATAGCGAAGACAAGGCAGGTTGGACCAGTCTCTCCGCACAGACATGACATCACCCGCAGCAGATCACAATGGATCTATTCGCTTTACAACAGCAGGCATGTCAAACTCAGGCTCTAGGGCCAAATCGGTCCTATAGACCAGTTTTAGAGGCCCCTGAAATTATTTTAAATTATCATTATTACATTAACTTGAAGCATTGTATGGATGGGTTACTATGATACTTAATTTCAAATAAGTCTACCATCTGGGAAAAACAACCATAAAACTGAATCTGTTCTAAAATGTAAGTTCAGTTGATAGTTATTAAACTATCAGTCTGTAAACACATCTCGTATCAATATTTGGCTAGTTGTGGTTGAAACCAAATCTCAAGTTGAATATTTTGGCCCCAACCAGCTGTGTTTTTAAATCTGGCCCCCAACCATAATGAGTTTGACACCCTCTGCTTTATAAAAACGACGTTCGGGTTTTAAGATATGGTCTTTGTTTTGATTGTGTTTTTACCAATGGAGTAAATATTATTTTGTTAATCTTTTTATGATCCTCACCAAGTTCCACGTCCATAAGTCAACAGTCTTAAGAGAGGCCCCTGATTAAAATATTTCAAAACAAACTGAAAGTGAATTTTAGTTACTTTCCAAAAAGTGAAGAGCAAGTGAAACTTTTTAAAGGCCAGGACTGGTTAGACCCGCCCACGCTCACCCTGATTGTTTAATTGATTCAAATCCTGGATTGGTTTAGCTTTTCCCCTCCATCAAATCTTTCAGGTCGCAGTTATGCTGAGGGGAAGGACTCTTTTAAAAATATTATTATTGAGAAATACTTGCTTGGAGTATACATACGGCGTACGAGAAGCATGCAGTACAACAAAAAAATGCGAAATTGCACACAAAATAAGAGTTACAGCATGGCCCTGCATCATACTGAGGCCCTGTACTGAGATACAAGTTAAGTTACTGAGAAGAGCTGAAAATAACATTACAATTCCAGCCTCTGTTCTGGTTTTAGTGTATCTGAGAAGTACTTAATTTTTGTTTAGTGTACTCAATCATATTCTTAAGTCTGTTAACAGCTTATCCCCCCCCCCCCCACCATCCCCACCCCTTTTCCACTGGTTTTATGATCTCCTTGCTAGTATTTACCTAACATTTACGATTGTCGACATGCTGAAGTGACTGTACTGTTTTGATTTCTTCCCAATAAAAAAAGGACAAAACCAAACATACACCTGCCAACCCTTTTCCTTACAAACCTGGATCTGTATCTTGTTCACATCATTCTTCAGCAAAAGCCAATTAAACCAAAAATTTATGATATTCTGTTACCTTTGCTTCCTCGTTAGTGTCCCATGTGAAAGAAATAGCGTTGTAGGAAATCTCCTCAATGTTTCCGATGGTGTTGAAGCTCTCCTTGTAGTCGGCTGAAAAACACAAGTTCAAATATTGACGGTTTGCTAATATTTTTAGACTTTTAGATTATTAGATCTTCTCTAGAGGCCACTTGCTTTCACTTGGAAAAACACATGTATTTGTTTTTGTTTGAAAGCTACGTCATTTATGATTATGTATTTAAGGGTAGCTCACATTTTCCATCTGCAGCTTTGGTTTAGTTTGAACTTTCTTAAATTATGAAGGAATTTTGAGTTAAATTATTCTATTGATAATGGGTTTTGATATTCTTTTTGGTTTTGCTTAAATTACAGTGTTGCAGACTTATTTAAAGACCAATCATCATCATTATATACAATAACAATAATAGTCAGAATTGTATTTGTATCTGTATTTTTACTTGTACTCTTTACAAAGTACAAACAGACTAAGATCAGACAAAGTGCAGCAAATAACAACTGTATATAAACAATAAGATATGTAGCAATATGTGAAGCAATGAAAAACAATAACAAAAGTTAAAACAATTATAAAAAAATATGTCTTATTTAGGTGTTTTTTTGAGAGAGTTCTAAATGCTGCTGCTTGACGCTTGCTTCATCTTGATTTGAGCACCTTTGGGTCTTAAAATAATATCAGTTAAAACAAGTCGTTTGATCCTCATCTCTAGCAGTACTTTTGTCTCATTCCAAGTGAGTAACCTTTATATTTGTTCCATTGGATAATCTAGTTGTAAAACCGCTAAAGTGTCCTCATATCCTGCAAATATTAACTTAGTATCTTGAGTTCAACTTTTATGGCTATTTGGCAATTCACCAATAATGGGCTGTACGTTTAAAGCTCGGGTACCTACCTTTGAAAGCACAAAAAATAGGCAAAAATTATATATATTCCGCCACTAAATCCAAATTCCTCTTGTTCTACCCAGTTTGGTGCTAGTAATTTTCCTGTATCTCTGTCTCCAATCAGCTCTCAGCACGTAAATGCTATATTTTCTGATAATAAAAAACTGAATATTCACTCACTGCTGGAGCAAACAATATGTCTCATGAAGACCATAAAAAGTTAGGTACCCCGGCTTTCAACAGCGTTCTTACCGATATCGAGACACCTCTGTTTGGCCGTGTGCTGCCTGGAGTGCCAGTACTTCCAGTGTTTGAGCTGGTCGTCTCTGCACTTCTCCTCTCCGAACACCACCATCACCACACTCTGCCACACAGACCAAAGTTATGAGGCTGCTTCAGAGCTCCAGAATCCCTCACACACAGAAAACACACTCACTCGGACTTTGGTGATAGGTTGCTGCAGTCCTTTGCTGTCCACCTCCCTCAGAGTGATGGGGTAGAACTGGCCTTTGTTCAGATACGTCATTGTCCCGTCTCCGGTTTTCTGCCGAAGAGATTTGGACGCTTCTAATGTGTATTCAAAGTTATTTCTGAAATAAAAGCAAAAAGGAAAATTAATAAAAAGACTCAGATAAAGTTCAAATCCAGTTTGAAGACAGTTCTCTTTGCTTGATTATACAACTGAAGCATTGTATCTTTATTCTTTTTAATGTGCATTGGTTAATTGTGTTAGTTATTTTAATCTCTTGCGTGATGTTTATTAAGTGAGTTGAATTATTATGATTTGATGCAATATGTGATAGGGGCTGTGAAGTACAGATGTATACATACAACTATATATTGCATACATACAGTACAACTTAATATTTCTTGCACTGGAATATACAGTATTTTAGACTTGCTTCACTATTCGGCTAATGTTAGGGGTTTTATACCTACTTCTTGCTAAAATATATATGCTAAAATATGCCTCTTACTTATTTCTTTCTACTTCTGTATTTTAGATTTAATTTTAGACTTGCTTCCTTATTATATTAAAGCTAGAGGTAGCTCCTTCATTAGCTGAAGCGAGATATTTTATGCTAGCTTCTTCATTGTGCTAAAGTGAGGGATTATATATCTGCTTTTTTATTATGTTAAAGTTAGAGATGTTATTTTAGTATGTGTTATTCTGCGTTTATCTTGTGTGCTCCTCATTACCACAGTTCTGTAACCTCTGATGTAACACTGACATTTCTCATGTAGGATGAATAAAGGATCTCTTAAACTAATCTTACTTTGTGTAACCTTGTGTAGGAAAAGTGTCAGTGGTGTGTGTAACTTTGTTGTTTTTACCCTTGCACATTTTCAAAGTGTGCGTAGTCCTCGGGTGACATGGTGGCCATCCTCAGCTGGAGTTCCCCTGGGAAGGAAAACACCTGCAAACAAAGCAACACCCTCAGCGCTTAGTGTAGCCATATTTTTCATGTTTTATTTCTTGAATATTCTAATATCTCTCTTCTTGTCTATACCCTCCCTCCAGAGCTCCTCTTTGCCGGGCCTTTTGTTGGGTTGCTATTTTCCGTGGTAATTCCCCCCCAGGTCAAACAGAGAAAGCTTTGGCTATTGTGAAGCTAAAGTACAGCACTTTATTGTGTTGGTGAGACAATGGCATAATAACACACTGGCCACTATTTTGGCATGTTCAAATAAAACCAGGGAAGGTTGAGCCCACCACCGGCTGTATGGATCAGGTGAAAAGTTCTATTGTTAGTGGGATGTGAGAGAGAAACATACCTCCTGGGAAGCGTCCTTGTACGTCTCGGAAAAGGTGGAGTCGGGGGGAGTGCGGGCCTGGGTGCTGGGGCTGAACTGGACTGTGTTGTGGACGAGCTGCCGGTCGAACACGTGGGCCTCTTCTGCACAGTTGTTGGGCACAGTGACAGAGAAGCCGTGAGTGGGCACTTCTGTCTTGATTGGAGGAAAGTTTGGTACGGCAGCAATAGACAGTGTCACTGTGGTGTCTGGAAGCATATGAGCCACAGATGTACTCTTGACTTTTACAGAATAGCACCACCACATGACTATACTTTATCTGTCCCACTGTGGCACTTTCCGCAGTCTCCCATCCAAGTAATAACTAAGCTCTGAGATGTGACAAGATCCTCTGACAAGCAGGTACTATTACAGTAATTATATGGTAATTGTCTCTCACCTGGAGAAGGAAACTGGTTCCGTTTGTCTGTGTTCAAGTGGAGGAAGTTGAAGGGTCCTTTCAGGACCTGTATACGGTTCTCCACTCCGGCCTCCTGCAGAGGGACGAGGCTGTGCGCTGTCTGAAGCTGTTGCCTGCAAACAAACATCACCCTTATCACAACTTCAACACAACTATTTCAATTAAGTGTGACTCTGAAGGGTATTAATATTGTATAAAGGAACTTTTGCTTTGCTTTGTTTCATTTTGTTTGTTGCTACAGAAAGAACCTGGGGAACATTTTGTGAACAAATCAGACAACAACATCTTGATCTTATTAGAGAATATTTCATTCTTTATATACTGAGCTGATTGGCTGAGGGAGGGCTGGCAAAACTAGTAATAGTGTTTGAAGAGCTAGAAACTATTACTATTATTTTGTGTTTTATGAGATAGTGAATTGTCTGTGGTTTCAAAGTGAGGTTCTCCATGCTGCGTTAACATTTGTACATATGATCATTTGCTGAGGATGCACACAGAGTCAGGCCTGTGTTTGTACCTTTTGTTGTGATCCACATCAGAGAGCAGTGCCTCAGGTTTGCTCTGTGCTATTGTCCTCTTGTCCTTGGGCACCTGCGAGAGGGTAAACATGTAGACCACATCACATTTCACATCCCCACTGACGGTCATTCTGTCATGTGTATCATGTAAGAACTAAAGCAGATAAAACAACAATAATATGATGTAAAAACAGACACAGAGCTTCTACAGCGTCTGCAGGAAGAAGATCCTACAGTGAAGAAGGTTAAAGAATGTGAGGTGCAGATGTGACAGTGGACCTTGTAGTAGTCGTAGAGCAGCCCCAGAGCAGCAGCACTGTCCTCGTCTCCGTTGATGCTCATCATGGCTTTAGTGGCAGCCGTGAGGGGGTTCTCCAGAAACGACTTCCACGCTTCGTCTTCGTTGGTGAAGGACCGGCGCTGCCCCCCGTAGCCCGCCTCATTCTGGAGCACCAACACGGCTCGCTTACTGCAACATAAAAGTTAATTGAATCAGATATGACAAGTTGATATTCATATTAAAACTAATGAAGTGCACCATTTTCCCTGTTTCTTACTTTAGCACCAGCTTGCGGCAGAACGACTGAGGAAATGAGATTCGGTTGGACCCGTTGTTCAAGCTTTTCAATGATTGTGCAACAAATCTCAGCCATAGTACGAGTGTGGAAAAGATGCTCCACTGCCCTGTCCAGTATGACAGCTTTCATGGCGTGTGATTGGCTCGGAGTCGACCTCAGCATGCCTCTGATTGGCTGCGAGCTGTGGCGATGGAGGTGGCCCAGCTACATTCCTGCACTGATGACTCTGTGCCATTATGAAAGAACTTATTTTCAGAATACTTATGCTTGCAACAATAGTAGGGAAATTATGTATCTTAGAAGCAAAGTCGGCTTCCGGGCTTTTTCTTCTGCAGTGTAATGAACCTAAAGTGTGTGAAGACATTTATAGACATTTATTAACATTTATGGACAGCTGCCCCTTAAAGATGTGTTTGTGTTTATGATTTTTTTGTATTTCCGGGTTGGAACGGTTTGAGTTCTGTGTTCTGTGTTGGCAAATCCTCCGAGATAACTACTGTTGTGATTTAGGGCTATACAAAAAACAAATTGCATTGAAATTAATTGGAAGTGTCTTAGTATTCTGCCAACCCATATGCCATTATCACACCTCATTCACTATGGAAATCTCCCTCTTGAGCGTCAACGAACAGACTCAGTTTCCAAGTTCTAGTATCTACAACAAGTGCGGCTTTAAAACTCAACAGTGCCACTAAAGTGATCATTAGTAATCCTAGAGCTAATTGTGCCACAAACAAATGGCAACCTGATCAGAAGCATTCATGAGGGCAGTGGGCTTTAGTTTGAACAATGCCTGAGTGTTTATTACAGCCTATACCGACAAACCAATGTGATGAACACAATGTAGGCATATTACACTTTTGCGTAGTCCTCACAACAGTATAAAATTATCCCAGTGACCAGTCATCATTTGTTTGGGCATGGGGTGAATAGGCTTAGGGGATGTTGTTTGAGGAAAAGAACCCTGTATTTTTTTTTCTTTTTTTTACATTGTGTGTATGAGCAGTGAGCCAACGCCTAGCAGGTGTACAGTTACATTCTGAGTCCTGTCATATGCCCCCGTGATCAAAATCTGTTTCCCACTACAACCGTGCGCAAGGTCCGGGTCTGAGAGAGAGAGACAGACAGATAGAGAGAGAGAGAGAGAGAGAGAGAGAGAGAGAGAGAGAGAGAGACGAAGAGAGAGAGAGAGAGACAGAAAGAGAGCACTAACTTTTACATGTTTTGTATATATATATTTGTTGTTAAATATATTTATTCTAGTCTAATCTAACTGTCAAAAGAGCGTAGTTTTCGCGTACATCTTTTGGTCTCTCACATCTTTTGATCGGTATTTTCAGACAGAAAAAAGTCCCGGGGCTCTTTTCTAAAACAAACATGATTAGGACAGATCCACAGAACTGTTGGAGCTTACAGCTAAACCAAACACACACACACACGATCACGGGACGCGACAGGTGGAGATACACCTGTGCAGGCTCCGACATGACAGGTGAAGGTGCGAGAGGTGCGTGTGCGTGGGAAAAAACAACCAGGCGAGACCGCAGAATTACGATCCCGTTAAGCAGCCGCTCTCACAGAGAAAGTAAACTACATACTGGTGGTAAAAGGTCACATCCTGGACCAGAGGCCACAGAGAGCAGCGGGCAGTGGGCATAACAAACATAGAGCTCAATCCCCCATTACATTCAAACGCTTTATGTCACAGAAAGTGGGACATAAAAAGTGCATTTAACAGATAAAACTAATCCAAAATAATTCCCCTCGTCTTTTACTTTCAAACGTGGAAAATTAGACACAATTCTAGATACAGTAGTCTCTGCCTTTTCAAATATTACATCCAAAAGTCTTCCCTAAAGCAAAAATAGTATATCTATAGTGGACATAAATAAGGACACACAAACTGCAACAACTCAATGACACAAACAAAAAGGCTAAATGCGGTGAGATCATCTGCAGAGGTCAGGGAAGCATTATAAGGTGAATAAATGTCAAATCCTCCAAAATAACAGAAATGCCCGGTGTGTCCAGTGGGTCAGAGCAGAGGGTCTGTGAGCCTCGCAGTCGGGACTACTTACTTGTCATGCTCCTGTGACATCTCCGCGGTCGAACTGGACTTTCTTGTTGGTACTGAAAATCCAATCCGTCTTCTTTGGCTTACTCTAACGCAGTGGATGAGGGCTGCCGCAACAAACAACCCGAGAACCCGTTTAGTCAGCTTTTCTTGCTTTTTGGGGCAACACAGAGGAATAAGGCCGGTTTTACCTGTGACAGGGCCTTGGATTGGATTACAGGTGGCTGGGGGGCGGGGCCTAACACTAAATACTGTCTATGCGCTCTGTGATTGGACAGGAGCCGTTAGACATGAGCTGCAGGGGGGCCACAGGGGCCTCTGTCGATGAGAGCCGCTGGAGAAACCGCTACCATTGCGTCATTGGCACCTATTATTAGGCCTGATACAAATAAACTACAACTGGATTAATGAAATAGTTGTTTTGAACGTCTTAGCCACACGTTTTGTGCATTGGAAGTGTTGATGACTGTGTTGGTTGCGAATATAGCATCACGCGAGATCATCAGACACACGTGAGAATGTGAAACCTGAGGAAATGAAGACTATTGTTATTGACAACCCCCCAGTATAGTTTACATTTGTGTCATTTTGAGCCACGTTGGGGATAAACCTGACTCCAGAACGCAGCATATCTGTCTCAATGCAGATAGTTCCTCTGTTACTTGGAATCTATGGAATCATGCAGGTGACGCTTCTACACGCTGTTCTTTGTCAGTGCGTGACTTGACAGGCGCGGCTCAATAAAGTGAATTACTAAAGTCATATTTTTATGGGGTTTCATTAATGACTTTGCTCCATTCAACCCCTTTTTTCAAACTGAACTTCTGTGTCTTGTTCGTTTTGTGTTATGCATGTGTGAAGACCTGGCTTAAACAAACAAGTAAAAAAAAACAAAATTAGTTATAAAGGCATGCATACACAATATTAATAGAATTCTAATAGATTTTTTAATTCTAAATATGTAGTTTTTATTTGGCTGTGGATTTATGCCTCCCATAAAGTGGCAAAACTGAACAATGAGGTGGGATCGTCAGGTTCAGGGGGCAAGCATTAAAACGTCCACTCTTAGTCAATTCTATGTTGTTTGCTTTGCAGTCGCCTCGAAGGACTTTACAAATGACTTCTGTGGGATTTCACAAGTTGAGTATTCCACTTGGGACAGAATGTTTTTAGAATTCTGTCTGTGAGTATCCTTAAAGCTGCTATTTGTAAAATCTCAATCGCATCTGTTTCTGCTGGTTTACAGTTTTATTGTCCCACCAACCATGCCTTAATTTAGAGGCTACTAATAAAGGCTTGTTTTTATTCTTGAAGTTCAATTTCATTTCAATTCAAATTATTCTTGTATAGCCCTAAATCACAACAGTAGTTATTGGTCCGTAAGTGCCGATAAATGTCATCACCAATGTCCTTTTAGATTACCCAACCCAACCTTATTAAATAACACATTCAACTAAATACAAACAGTACTATATAAAAAGGGTGAACATACAGTCCTTTAGTTGCATGCAGAGCCAAACAGACTTGATTTGAACCTGGTTTTGAACATTGTCCTGAGTAGACGCCTGACTCACATCTTCATGTAGACTGTTCCAGATTGTAGCTGCATACATCTGTAATGCTGCCTCCCCATGTGGCATAAGGCATCAGTTATAGGGCTGTAATTATCAACTATTTTGATAATTGTTTGGTTGTTTGGATAACGAAAGCTCAATGAATGTGGGATTTTTGGGGATTTTTCATCTATAATTATGTCTACAATCAATGAGTGTAATAGTGTCATTAAAGAATATCGTTCAACTACTATTTTAGAGAATGAATTAATGATAATAATATGTCCTTCGTATCCATCCCTTCCCTGTGGTCTCAAACATATTACAGATCAGACAAGGCAGATGCATGACATGAAAACAGAGAGAAGAGAGAAAACAAACAGCTTTATTTGTGAGAGAATAGGCTTAAGAGATGCTATCAGCAATATTCAAAGTACATACAACCCCCCCTTCCCTCTCCCAGGCACACGGATGGTAGGGCGGGGGACAGAAACCCCCGCCCTTTCCCCCGGACCCCCCTCCCTCTGGATCCTGCTCTCTGTTGATGCTGACATGACACACGGCTCTAAGCCAAAACATGGAAAAAGGAGATCAAAGTACTCTCAGCCCAGAGCTCTAGAATCTCTATAAGGATATTATTATTATTATTATTATTATGACGACTGGGTGTTTTCTGGGACATGCATCTATGTGGTTTTTGTCCAAATACGTTTATAGCATAAAAAGAGCCGTCCTTGGCCGATAAGGATAAGATGAGTATGTAGGACACATTTCAACTGCATATGACTTTTCTCTGTTGTCAGAACATTGAGCTGCTTTGCATTAGAAAAAGCTGAGTCTGAAATCATATCAACAACAACGACTTAGCAGTGGGAGCTGTAGCGACAACTTTACTTCTTTGATCATCACCAAAACTCCTGTTGGTGCCATCGAGACTGAATCGAAAGACCGTTATAATCAGTAGATACCTTTGAGGATGGAAATGAGATGCAAATCCACACCCACTTTGGCCAGTGTGGGACATGTTTGCACTTATCCAAGGGGTCTTAAAGGTGTATCCCCCCCACTCCCATTTATAATGCGTCTGTCCCAACAGAAAGTAAAATATCATGAACAAATAACATAAAATAAGATAAGATAGACTTTATTGATCTCATATAGGAGAAATTTACAGAAATTTACATGTCACTTTGGCATGGATAGAATCACTCAAGATTTGTGCAAAAGACAGAAGTGTGCAAACATGTTAAAGGCAAAAAATATTGTCTTTTCAGGATATAAAATGGACAATAAAAAGTGGCAATAGAAGTGCAGGTTTTTAAGTCCTAATGCAAGTGGCTTAAAGTGACTTATTGTACAGTCTGACAGCGGTGGGGATAAAGTCCCTGTGGTAGCGCTCCTTCTTGCACTGAGGGTGCCTCAGTCTTCCACTGAAGGAGCTCCTCCGCTCCTCAACAGTCCTGTGCAGTGGGAGGTATTGTTCATGATGGAGGTGACTTTGACTAGCACCCTCCTGTCCCTCACCTCCTCCACAGAGTCCAGGGAGCAGCCCAGAGTGGAGCTGGCCCTCCTGACCAGCTTGTTCAGTCTGCTCCTGTCCCGCTCTGTGCTGCCCGGGGCCCAGCACACGGCAGCTTATGGCAGAGGCTACCACAGAGTCATAAATGTCCTGAGCAGAGGCCTGCTCACTCCGAAGGACTGGCATCTAAATAGAAAACATGTTATCTTTTGCAGACTTGTATGAAGAAGATTGGTCGAGTGGTCCTATTTTTTTCCCTTTTTTGTCTGAAAAAGCGTATCCAAAGATGTGACAGAGGAAAAAAATACATACATGAGCAAACTAGCGATAGAACCCAACTGTTTTGAAAGCAAATAAACTTTTTGTTGTTGTTGAAAAATTAAGTACCTCAGCTTTAAGTGGGCCTGACTGAGCTGTTATTGGATACACTTTGCAAGATAGATAACAGATAACACACGATGCACTGCAAAAAGTGAGGAAAAAACAAGACTGCCTTAATTCAAAATTGTCACTTCAAGATTATCTTGTTTTAAAAAGATACAACTAATGTCTCCCTGTTAAATGTTATCTTTATACATTTAAAGCTGGAGTGCCTAACTTTTAATCGTTTCATCAGAAAGAGTAACATTTTATGAACAAATCAGACCCCCTCATACTGAGAGCTGATTGGCTGAGGGAGTTGATTTCAAGATGTGCAAACAAAATCGTTTTTAGAGCCGAGAACTAGTTACGGACATTTTACAACATAGTTCAATGGCTGGTGATTTCAAAGTTAGGGATCCCAGCTTTAAAATGAATGTCAGTTACTTTTTTAATTGTGAAAAGCAGTTGAAAGTTTTTGAAGACAAGCACTGGTTAGACCCGCCCGTGCTCACCACTTCCTCATTGATCTAAATGTAATCAAATCCATGAGGCACCTCGTTATTGGTTTAGCTATTCTCCTCCAACAACTCTTACTAGTCAAGTTTATTTATGTAGCACAATTCATACACGAGCTGAACAAAGCAAGATAGAAACAGTCACACAAATATCACAAATAATAAAAGAGTACAGGTCAAATCCCTCAGTTTCATGCACAGCTAAAAATAACTGTTTTAACCTGGATTGAAACATTGTCAAAGCAGAAGCCTGTCTCACATTTTCAGGAAGACTGTTCCAGACACAGGCACAAACCTGAAATGCAGCCTCCTCATACCCAGTCAGTAGGAGACCAGTCCTTGAGTAGTCTGATATGGCACTAATACTGTATGTCACCGTTACTTTTAGTCCCAGTTATTCAAGTGGATGGATTATTTTATTATTGTTGAAAAAGACCAATACATAACAATACAGTGTCCCATGATAAGAAAGACACGTTATTTTAAACAGAAATACACTTAAAGTCAACATCACTTCTAACACTTGTGGTCCCTTGTTTTTTCAGGCCATGTTTGACTTAATAAAAAGCATTGTTCTTCTTCACATTTCCATGGAGCAGGACTTTGCGACAATGTTCAAATCATGTTGGTGTTGACATTGTGGGCTGGTCTTCTGCGTGACAGTGTATTTGCCTTTAACCTGCCGCTATGTGTGGAGGGGGGCACGAAGTGAGAGCGTTTTGCTGAGACTCAGAGATGTTTATCATATCCTCTAGTGATGACAGTAAAAACAGTTGGGAGAGAGGACTTGGCACACCTGTAGCTCTCACACACACACACACACATACAAACACACACATACACACCGCTACATCATCCTGCACACAAAACAGTTTTTTTCAATTACTGCTTGTACTTGTGGATCCACTCCGCTTTAGAGTAACTGATTCAACCTTGTTCTATTTTCAGAGCTTCATTGGAAGTCGAAGGGAGGAATGTAGTTGAACCGAGCACACAGCATTCCACCGGTATGGAAAATCTGTCACAGAGTACACGGCAAATGCACAAACAAAATGTAAATAAAAGTAAAATAACAAGAAAGACAATAGAGCGTGCTGTCCGGGAGCTCTATACTCTGCCGATACAAAAGGGGTTTCCTATCATCACATCTACATGCAAAATTTCATATCAACCTGTCCAGTCGTTTTGAGCAATCCTGACAGACAAACACACACACACACACACACACACATACATACACACACATTTTACACGCAATTACAATTACATTACAACCCTAAATTACTGTCGCCCCATGACAGTGGCTCATTTGGTAGAACCTTGGCCTTTAATCCTGAAAGTCATGGGTTCGAGCCCACCACAAGACTTTCTCTACCGACTCCCACGGATGCCTGCTGTTGATGTGTCCTTGGGCAAGACACTTAACCTCTGGGAACACCAGGTACCACAGTGGGGCGGCTGCGGCTGTAAAGTGCCAAACTGCTGTTGTGTCCATAGGCAAGACACTTCACCCCCATTGCGAGTCTGGTGTGTGTGTGCATGGTTGGTGATGGTCGGAGGGGCTGATGGCACATAGTGGTTGCTTCGCTTCTGTCAGTGTGCCCCAGGGCAGCTGTGGCTCCACCAGTAGTTTGTCTCCACCGTATATAGAATGAATGAATAATAGCATGTGAAGCGTCTTTGAGTGTCCAAAAAAGCGCTATATAAAACCAATGCATTATTATTATCATTATTAATACCTCTTGTTATTGGGCATTTAGTTCACAGATGACTTTTGACTTTTTCTCTATTCTTAGCTCTCACACTTGTTGTAAGAGATGTCTATGCAGCCTGTGCCATTTGTTTCCCTATGATTTATAGTCATTTATGAATTTATATTTGATATTTTCACAATAAGACACAGGTACTTAGAATTTTATTTTATTTAACCAGGAAAGTCCCATTGAGATTAAGAACCTCTTTTTAAGGGAGTCCTGGACAATCTAGGATGAGTAGGTGATATTGTGACAAAAGGATGGGCAGTGTAAGCTGAGGAGGCCTGTGATTCTAAGGGATTGCTGTCAGTTCTTCTCAAGTCTCTGCACTGGCTTCCTGTGGCTCAGAGAACAGACTGTAAAGCGGCTCTGCTTGTTACAAGTCGCTTGCACCAAATTGCATCTGTGACATGTTAGTGCCATAGAAAATCAACTCAGACTATAAGGAGCACTGGGACTAGCCTCCTGCTGGGACTGTGAGAAGCACCAGGACCTCGACTTATTGATTAATTTTAATCTTTTGTTTGGAGGATAAGCCCTTAGAGATGAAACATTTCATTTTTGAGGGGGTCTAGGGGGGACTATACTGCTGGGATACTGAAGAGCACGGGGACTGGACTACTGCTGGTTCACAGGACGAAACATGGAGAGACAACGCTTCAGATTTTCACAGCTAAAATTTGGAACAGTCTTCAGTTTTTCCCCCACTTCCTTTCAATTAAAAGACCTATAATTTGAGTCAAGATTAAGAGATTCTTTATTTGTCCCAAAAAGGGGAATTATTGAAATACTCATAAGCTTTATACAAGATAAGTTAAAAGACAGATAAGAGGTTAAACTTTGGTTCAAATGTTTATAATTCAGCTGAACCATTTGATACTTATATATAATAACAACCAGTGACATGTGCCGTGTGTTTTTTATAATTTTGATGATTATGGCTTACAGTTGAGTCATTATGAATTAGTTACAAGCTGCGAGCCATAATTACCAACATTATTAGACATGAAGGTTTGATATATCTCTCTTGCGTGTAATAAGCCTGTCTTGCTCTGCATTAGTTTCACATTATACATTGAAGCACAGAAGTAAATGGACTTTTGAACCCTATTCTAATTTTTCACGTTTCACCAGTATGACCCCACGCTGTCTTGGGTCGAGCAGGTTAGATGATGAAGGACGGAAAACCAGCTCTGCGGCTCGATGTCACCTGTTCTCACCCATCAGGTTTGGCATCTTTGAGCAGGTCTGAAGCCAACATCCCAGCACAAATCACTGCATATACACTCTCAGGGCGTGAAGCAAAACAACTAATCCATTGTTCCCTCAAGAGACTGATAAACGGGGAAAATCTTTGAACGTTTTTAAAAGTTATATTTTGTTATGACTTTACAAGAGAGGGGACAAACGAGCTATTAATGTTGTGGTTTAGTTTTGAATCTCACACATAAAAAAAACTTAAATAGCAGTATATAGGCTATTTTTTAGGGGGTTTTGTTAGGTTGTTTTTCTCTAAATTCGACTGATTGTGACCTTTTTCTTCTCCACAGTTATAAAATCACGCAGTAAGGTCTGTGTCTTCGTTTGCGATTTGGGTGCAGCTCATCCTTTCGCCCACGGAACGACTCAAGGGAATCCTCCCAGAACTGAACTGCGGTCAAACCTGAATGGCGTCTTTAGAAGGAACTAGACGCAGAATGAATAAAACCAGTCATAAAGTCATAGAGTCATAAAGAGACATGGCCCTGGCTTCATCTCTCCTCTCCTATCCTCCTGATGCAGACGGTTCCTCGGATGGTGCTTCCTCAGCTCGTTCATCTCAAGTTTTTATGTTTTCAAGTACATTAGCAATTGTTGTTTTGCTGGTTGTGTTCATTTATTCATCTGAAGCTGTCTCTGTTTAGGGTGAAACTGTCGGGGGGTGATGGATGGGTCATTGGGATTGTTTTTCGCTTTTTCCCTCCTTCTTTCTTTATTATTGTTTTTCTTTTACTTTTTACCATTTGCAAGACTGACTATGCCAATGAAATTAGCACAATACAGAGAGTCATATGAGTATGAGGGTCATATTCTCTGACCTGTTGTTGGCAAATCGACAACTTTGTAAAGTGCTCCAAGACCATCACTGCTGTTGTTATTAAGGGCTACACAAAAATAAGTTGGATTGAGGATTACCCCTATTCACCCTATTTTTCCACAAAATGTTCTTGAACTCATCTATATCAGAGATTGCAATTTGAGGCTTCTCTCATACAGCGGGGAAAAAAGTATTTAGTTCTTCCATTTAAAAAGATGAGAGATGCTTGTAATTTGTATCTTAGGTAAACCTCAACTGTGAAAGACAAAATCTAGAAAATGTCATATTTATTGGCTCATCAAAGCCCCCAATCAACACCATCCATTCACTCTCTCATTTACATTTACATTGCATAGAGGAATGGGCCAGAATACCAGCAACAGTGTATGAAAATCTTGTCCTGTCCAGTATATTTTTTAATGACGGAAAAAGCTCTTTATTGCAATAAGGGAGCCAACCCCTGCACGGGCTTCCATCTTTACCTTTAGAGCCATAGGATGGGCCAGAAGAACACAGGCAGAAGCTTCAGCTGCACTTTATTCCCTCATCGTAACAGTGTAAAGTTCTGTTTATGCACAGAACTCTCTTGCTGGGGGCAGTAAAACTCACTGTTTTACCCACTGTTGTCCTATGTCCTGTGGGTAAAAAAAAAAAGCTTTGAATCTAAACATAACATCTACTGACTGCCAACCGACTACATCATAAAGAGTGCAGTGATGAGACAAACATTTCACACTGGAGATGAACCCCAGGATCCTTGGCACTGAAAGAAAAAAACCTGATTAGAAGTTATAGAACGATAGATAGAAAGATAGAAAGAAAGGAAATGGTGCATCAGTCTCTTGGACACATTCGCACAAACACAGCAAGATAATTAACAAGTAAAAAAAAAACAGATCATTAGAAAAAGCAATAAATAATAGATACATAAGATCATATCTAAAAAGTTAAGGCACAGCAAGACAACGTTTAAGACATTTCCCTCTCTGCTCCGCCCTGAAGGGTTTTGTTATTAAGCCTGATGACATGAGGAACAAAAGAACTCTTTAGTCTGTGCTTGAATCTGAAATAAAACCCAACTTTTGACACATTCTATTACATATATATACATATACATCAAATATATTCAAATATTTTTGTAGTTATATTCAACGCAGTTTGAATCTGATAAAAATTTTTTTTTAAATAGTAACCAAGACATGTAAGATTGACAGCTTTTGACATAATACCAAAATGAGAAGTATTAACGTTGCATGGAACAGCATATTATGATAAAAAGAATTACATTTCTTTCACGTTGACTGATAATACTTTCTTTTAGCATTATTATACAATAATCATAAAAGAGACAAGTCTGCAGTCTGACCGTCTCAAAGCTGCCCTGTGTGAATCCAGTCTGTGGAGGATCACGACAAGACATGGGTCATTTCAGAATTGCTCTTTGCAGACTTGTGACTTACAAAATGTGCGCCAGTGAGAGCTACTATGTGTTCATACTTGAAAAGGGTTAATTTGGCTTCAGTCACAAAACTAATAATACGGCTTATGGTAGTGCATTAGACGGCTGAGAAATCTGACTCAGTTTCAGCTTGAGTTTGCCCCAATGACAAATTTGTCAAGATCTCTGCGACATGTATGAGCCTGCACCAGTTTCTGTTGTCTTCAATCTAACTGTCAACCTCCCAGAACCTTCCCAGCACTGCAGCCAGCACCCAGTAACCCCCAGCCCAGCCCAGCCCAGCCCAGCCCACACCCTCACACTGGGGCATGTGCTCTGTGGGTCACTTTGTGTGTCGTCTACAGGGTGTGCATGTCTGGTCCTTTAACCTGGGCACAGATCCTGGTTTAGTCCTGAATAAAATGGTCTAGTTGGAAGTCAGTTGGCATCAGGAAGTTTCAGTTGAACCGTGGCCAAGTTTCTGAACCTCAGAGGTATCGAGGATTCCAACACACACACATTATTATGAGAAATATAAAAAGGATGGGAGCAGAGATGACTTTGCACTGTCACACACTGGTCTTGTTACCAGCAGAGGGCACTAGGAGACAATCCAATCTGATTACCATTCTTACATACAAGTAAGATCACAAATTGAGTTGAATAATGAAAATGTAAATCTTGTTTTAATTGATAAGTTGCACCTCTTAATGTTGTAAAACTATGGGTTATTGTGAGCAGCTATACAGTAATGGCCAGTATCCTGCCACCAGAGTTTGTGCAGGATTTCATGCAACATTTTTATGCAGGTTTGAAATGTACCAAGTCTATCAGTTCTGCAATTTTTATTTTTATTTATTAATCCTTCATTTAACCAGGAAAGTCCCATTGAGATGAAAAACCTCTTTTTCAAGGGAGTCCTGGACAAGAGGCAGCAAAAGTGACTAACAATTACATAAAATAACAGATTATAAAAACAGTTACATGAAAATGAAGATGTCTCCAGTGCTCTCAATCTGGACTTAAAAGCATTCAATGAAATAATAATAGTTAATTTCCAGTCTTTTTGCAACACAATGATGAAGGAGCAGAGCATTTTTCCTCCAGTTCTGTGCGGGAAAAAGGACGCAAACAACAACAACAACAACAACCAACATTTTTCTGTATGATTAAATGACGGATGTAAGAGGGCAGTAAACCAAGCTCTAGGGACTGCAGATGGAAAGTAGCTAGCAGCTATAATCTGGTGCAGGACATATCTGTCTCTATGGGTTTAACATCTCTGTACACTGTCCATCAATAACAATGAACTTAACTAGTTATTCATCCTCAGTGTGTGATATAGAATTGAATTTCTAGCCATCTAATCTTTCCAAAATGATCCATGTTTAGACCCATTGTTCTAAGACTGACGTATTAGTACAGTTTCATGATATGTAGCAGTCTTCATCGTATTGTTGAGCTGGGTTGTACTCCAACGAGCAGGTAAAGCCTCATACCGAGCTCTTATGGCATTGAATCGGAATGGTGGCTGAGTAGATAGCACTCTTGCCTCTCAGCAAGAAGGTCCTGGGTTCGAACTCCAATCGGAACAGGGCCTTTCTGAGTGGAATTTGCATGGCCTGCTTGTGTCTGTGTGGGTTTCCTCCGGGTGCTCAGGTTTACCCTACCACTAGAAAAATTTACAATAGTTCCTATATGGCGACCCCGCTCCCAGCTCTGTGTGGATTGAGAGGAGTTGGTCTGTGAAAGGCGCTATATAAATAAAGATTACTTACTTACTTACTTGAATTCTGTCCAAACTATAAGAAGTCCACACCAGCAGCCTGCAGAACAACCATACCATGTTTTCATTTAACTAATGTTCCTGTAATCTTTCACAACATGGCAGTTAATGTACAGTGAAAGCGGGCGTTTATATGTGTAAAAATACACATTGTTTTACCTAAATTCTTTCTGCTGACTCAATGCCCCAAAAATGACAGATGTCAGAAAGGCAAGAAGACATGCGATTGTCTACTTTACAATACGTAATGATAGTTTGGGCAATATAGGCGTAAATAATGACACAATTCCTCATAGTAGCACAGGAACTGGCCTCCTGCTGGTGCCCAGGGTCAGGACAAGACATGGGGAGGCAGTGATACAGATTTATGCATCTAATGTTGGAACAGTCTTCCTAAACATGTGATGTAGGCTTCTTCTCTGACAATGTTTAAATCCAGGTTAAAGACGATTCTGTTTGCCTGTGCATACAACTGATGGATTGTATCTCGACTGTTTTCAGATTCAGATTCAGATTCAGATTCATTTATTTGCCATTTGCAGTAAAACCACATTGGAAAAACTGTGCAAGACTACCCCAGTGTGCACCAGACGACACACACCAGAGCTCTTGCCACGGCGCCATCTTTACGAATTCTTTTGAATCCATTGTTGTTTTTTTATTATCTTAATCCCTTGTGTGATTTTAACATTTTAATGGTTTTAATTACCTTTGTGATTTCAATTGTGTTTTTAGGTGTTTTACGTGATGCTTTGTGTCTTGTGTAATGTGAAGCGCTTTGTGTTGCCCTGTGTAGGAAAGGCGCTCTACAAATAATCATTGATTGATTGATAGAAAGTGTTAATTGGAACTCATCAAAATTATGACTCTTTATTTTCATGAGTATAAAAAATAGCATTCCAGGAACCAAAAAGCATCATAAAGTACCTCTCCAAAACAGTGAAGGTTCCCATCACTAAGCACCTCAAAAAACTAGAACTGAAGCCCGAGGATTTTACAACCTATCAACAACCGCTATTTATCAGAATAAGAATCAGAATCAGAATAATTTATAGACAGTTGATGACCTACTGGAGACAAGGGACTAATATTAATATAACTAACTGAGTGTCCTGGTTATCTCAGGAGAAAACATGCTCAATCTATGAGTGTTTGATTTCAATGCGATTTCTGGAATTAACTGAAATTGATGGATTGGGTTTCTAAGTGAATGAACAATTTATGTTTGGAGAGAAGCAATATCTAAAAATAATTTTAACAGTATCAATTGTTCAATCGATCTTTTTAAGCCTCTCATATTAGTGCCAAAAAACATCGTTCTTCTATCGAGTCAGTATCGTCTAAAAGTATGGTGTGTCTGGTGTTTGCATGACTGGTGGTGCTCAGAGGGGGCTGATGCCCCAGGGCAGCTGGGGCTTGTAGTTTGCTTGTGTGAATGAATGTGAGGCATTTTAAGTGTCCAGAAAAGCGCTATGACAGATGCATTATTATTATTTTTCTATTGGGGCGACAGTAGCTTAGTTGGTAGAGCATTGGGATTTGAGCCTGATGGTCGTGGGTTCGACCATCGGGCTCAAATCCTATATACAGTCTCTGGTTCAAGCCCAGGTCTCCACCGACGTGCCGAAGTGCCAAACTGCTGTTGTGTCCTTAGGCAAGACACGTCACCCTCATTGCCAAGAATGAGTCTGGTGTTTGTGTGAATGGTTGGTGGTGGTCGGAGGGGCCGATGGCACATACTGGTTGCCTCAATTCTGTCAGTATATTGAGTATTTACAATGACGTTCATTTTGAACCCATGAGCCTTGGGCAGTAGTGTTTGTGTTCATGTGACCTTTTTCTTACTTTATTGTATTTTCTCTTCATCGAGGTTCAGCCACAATGACTCATAATGCCACTTAGGTCAATATAAACACGAAGGAAGGACAAGGAAGGATGGAAGGAGGCATTTTGCTGAATCAGGTGGGCCTTCTATAGACCTGCTACAGCGCACTTAAAACAAGGGCATTTTCGCATATTTCAGTGTTGTAACAGCTGTAATGAAGCAAAATCTGTATTTTCCCAGTAGACTGTATGCAGTCATATACTGAATGATCTCCCAGGCTTTCTTCCGTGGGTGGGGCCACAAGCCCGGGGAGAGAGGACTGCAGCTCTCATCAGACCTGCGCAGAAAGCCCGCCCACTCCACCAGTGCAAAAACCCGATTGGTCTGTGCCGTGTATTCCTACTGTCAATCAACAGTAAGCTTCATTTACAATTGGAGGCTGTTCCTCCGAGGAGTCGCCCCAGTCCATCACGTTAAGGTGGTCTTTCACCGCTGTTACTTTCTGCTCCCCTGGTCACCTCCCAAGCCGATTCGTGAAGCAAATTTGAGATTTAACAGGTAGGATGCTTTCTGTCTTGTATTGTTTTATCTCTGTGCCGTGGTGCCCCTCTGTGTAGCAAAGAGCGGTCTTATATTCGTGTTTTTAGCGTAGAGATAGTGCTCATGATCGAGTTGAAGAGAAAGGAGTGGCCAGTGTAGCTGCTACGGCTACATTCCGCTCATGCTAACATTAGCATGCTAACGTTAGCATGAGCGTGCTAACGTTAGCACGCTCATGCTAACGTTAGCATGAGCGTGCTAACGTTAGCATGCTAGTCAGCCCTTGCAGACAGCTTTGTGGCGGGGGCTCTTCGTGAGCTCCAGTGCTGTTGACGACCGAGTCCTGTGTGCGTGTTTATTGTAGTTAGGTATTTTTTCACGTAAGCTTAGCGCTCCATTTATTAAATGTGCGAATGTCATTTCTTTACCGTACACCACGTTCTTCATGTGTAATTTCACACCCTGCCCTCTTCCGCAGGTACGTCTGTTGCAGTGGTCAAAGCCACCACCCCCTCTCAACCTCCACTAAAATAAAATCCAAGTTTTACTTTGCACCGTCCACAAATCCCGTTCAACAATGGAACTCGAGGAGCTCATCCACAAGGCCAAGCTGGCAGAACAAGCGGAGCGCTATGACGACATGGCTGAATTCATGAAGACCGTGACAGAGAAGAGCGAAGAGCTGACCACAGAGCAGAGGAACCTGCTCTCTGTGGCGTACAAGAACGTGGTCGGGGCGAGGCGTTCTTCATGGAGGGTGCTGACCAGTATCGGGACCAAAACAGATGCCAAAGATTCAAAAAAACCTCTGGTCAAAGAGTACCAGGAGAAGGTGGAGGAGGAATTGAAAACCATCTGCAACACTGTTTTGGTAATTATGTTTACAAGAAACTGACACCCATTTTAGAATCGGGAAATGCATCCTCTATTCATTTCAATCTGACATTTTGTCTGGTCTCAAACTTTACTGTAATCATTGTGAAAACTTCTTTTAACCTGTTTGGGACAGGCCGTGCTCATGCCTTAACTTGTCTGAGTTCCTGCTCCAAGCTTACTGCAGCCCTTTTCTTCAACAATATAATTATAGTTTTCCACTAGTTTATAATTTTAGATTTCCCAAGTTTTCCTTATGCCAAATCTGAAAAGGACAAATTAAGCTTTGTAGTGATTGGTGACATATTTTAATTACCAACCACTACACTTCTTGTGCCAAGAATTTTCTGCTCAAGTATTTTCAACTGATACAAACTTGATTTGATTTTGTCATGCGTCAGTCATAAGCCACAGCCCCAAAAATACATTTTAGAATCTTAAACTTTCTATTTATTATTTTAAGGGGTGTTTTAGTGATCCGTAAGTAGTGATGGCCTGTTTGATACGTATGCATCATAACCCTGGAGGAAGTTGACTGACCGAGATTCTTTTTGCAGGAGTTGCTGGATAAGCATTTAATTCCGAAAGCTGAGGAAAACCTTGACAAATGTGCCGAGAGCTATGTTTTTTATTTGAAGATGAAGGGTGACTACTTCCGTTACCTTGCTGAGGTGGCCTCTGATGCTGACAAACCAGGTAAGTGGCTTTAACTGGGGGAAAGGCAAATACAAGATTTGTATTTTCTTCCTCAATCACAGAAATAATTATTAAATTCTTGAGGTAACTGCGTTCACCCGGGGCGGCCAGTGTCCATACTAGCGTTGTAGTGAGTTTGGCGTTCTCTTCAGTGCGGTCTGACCCAACAGTACACATGGACATGAGTGGATAGAAGTCTTTTGACTTGAACCTTGAGTTGCCCCTCCAATTTCGATGGGTTCGAATCCCGGTCGGAACAGGGCTTTTCTGAGTGGAGTTTGCTTGATCTCCCCGTGCCTGCGTAGGTTTCTTTCGGGTTCTCCGGTTTCCCCTACCACTAAACATGCATGCTAGGTAAAAACCTCCAGCCTGACCAAGCCGAGCATCAACATCTGGAGTTGGGGCCTTAGTGGCATCAACACGGGTCAAATGCAGAGGATAAAGTGCATGTTTACCTCCACAAATTATTTTATAAACATTCAAATATTGTTGTAAATCACTGGCGCGTCATTACGACCCGTGGGTAGCACAGGGGTTAAATGTAGGTTTATTTATGTAGATGGAATTTTGCATATGTAATTAATGCATTTGTTATGTTGAGTTGTTATAAAGATAAACATTTATTTACTGCAAGTCCTTTCCACAAATACGCCTCACACAATTTTGTACTATTCTTATAATAACATAGACATATTTTCTTATATATTGTAACATTGTAAATTGGATTGTCAAGATGATGCTTGGCCCAATTTTTAAATGTTGGAGTAGGGCACGGTTTTCAGAAGTTAAAATGAGCCTCATGGGAAAAGGGCACCTGTAGCGATGGGGCCAAAGCCTCTGCAGCTTAGTTGGTGAAATACTTTTGTTCAAAGCCGCAAGTTATGTTATTGTCCTTCTCTTGTGTTTTGTATTTTATTTTATTTTTTTTCTTAAATCGTGACTGTCCCTCAATGTTATGGTTTGATAATTGCTTTATTTTCATCTCTAGAAACTACTATAAATTCCAGAAACGCATATGAGGCTGCGCTGATATGCTGCAAGGAAAAAATGCCGTCTACTCATCCCATCCGCCTGGGCCTGGCTCTGAACTTTTCGGTCTTCTATTACGAAATCCTCAGCACACCCAAGGAAGCCTGCCGACTGGCCAAAGAAGTGTGTATATTTGTCAAAATGGTGAAGTCAAAGTATATTCTGGGGTTTGTTTTTTCTAACATTGTTTTTATAGGCCTTTGATGACGCCATCGCTGAATTGGATAGACTAAGTGAGGATTCCTACAAAGACAGCACTCTGATCATGCAGCTATTGAGAGACAACTTGACGGTACATTTCTAGTTTTAATAATGCCAAGAGGCATGTAGGGACTGCATGTATAGTAGAACGTTGTGTGAAGAAAGATTTATAACTTTTTAAAATTGCTTCACAGCTATGGACCTCTGACAACGCTGGTGATGATGGTGATGTAGAAGGTGGAGAAAATGAGAACTAACTCATCTCAAGTAATCTCCTCATTCCTGATTTCTCCTCATTCCTGTTATGGTTCCCGTTGCTTAGAGTTGTGAATGGAAATTTTCAAATAAAACTTTTTGTTTTTAGATCTGAGGTAATGGAAAAATGTGTCCATTCCTTTTGGGTTGTCCTATCTTGTATATGTGCAGTTTTACCACAACTCAATAACCTGCCATCAGCTATTTGGGCTTTGAGACAAATGTTACATCTCTTTTCCAACCCTTGATCGATCTTTACCATTTACTATTATATGATACGGTTTGACCAATTGCGATCTACATACGGCTAGTAGCTAGTGTTCCATTACAAGCTGGCAACAATAATCCATTGTTAAGACGGTTTAAAATGTTTCTTCTTGTATCATTGTTTATTGAAGCATGGCTCTTGGGCTCTTCTGATCAAACGAGGTTCTACTATAAACCTTTTTGTCTTAGATGTCGCACTGGAATGGGAACGATTGCTAGTAACACGTGGTCAAAATTATACATTTTCATATTTCTCCATCTTGTCTAGTGATTGTCATAAATTATCTGAACCACTATTGTTTTTAATATTCACACTGCAGTGCTCAAAGCTCTGAGGAACTGTCTGGATCCCAATGTATTGGCTAACAATAATAAAGCATTTTATAAACCATGTTTACTGTACTGTTCTCAACTAAAGATGAGTAGTCAAACACTTTCATGATATTGCTAGATTTTGTATCATTTTCGTGAAATCCAACCAGTAGTAAAACAAAAAAATAGTTTAATGGAATTTATTCTTTGGGAAAAGTGCTTATAGCAACCTCATGTGAGAACTAGAGATGGATTTCATTGCTATAGAAAATGACATTGGTTTCCAAGGGGGGAAATACGTTTCGGTACCTTAAGTTAATGGACATAATAAAATGTGCCAAGCGTCACTTGAAGCGAAATACAAGTTGCAGAATGCACCTGCCAAATCTTTAAAGTTTAAAATATTCGAGATTCCTCCTAGAATTTCACTGAGGAGTCAGAACAGTTTTCCCACGCCATCTATCCATCCATTTTCATTCCCCTTAATCCATTTCTGGGTCGGGGGTGGCAGTCAGAGCTGTACACAGCACCAGCCCATCACTGATCCTCCTGCAGGTTGTGAGTCCTCAGGAGCCTTGATCTTTCAGCGGGGGCTTCAGGCAAAGTGGGGTTAAGTGTCTTGCCCAAGGACACAACGACAGCAGTCATCAGTGGGAGTCGTGAAGTTGTGCCGAAATTGAAACAAATCCAAAATAAAAGCTTGAATCACAAAAAATAGATAAAATGTTCATCAAAAGCATTAAATAATCATACGCGTATTATTAGTTTTATTTTGACCAACTCGAGTTTGTAGTTCCGGGTAAGTTGCCACTGCGGATGTTTAGCAGCCGCTCCACTTCCTGTTCTCTTTATTACAGATGCTCAAACTAATCCATCATCTACAATGAAGACACTGTTTCTGCTGGTTTTCCCCTGCTGGATAATCACTGCTAATAAACTTGTGAAGGAAAAGGACCACGAACAAAGCCAAAAATACGGTAATTCTGCCATTGTCACGTCTTACATTTGAGCTGTGTCTTATTAGGACCCATCTCCGCAGATCACGATTCTCTCTCTTTTTGTATCAAACTTTTTCACAATTCGTCAATGTGTTCAGATGTTCTCCACTCAATTCTGTCGGATTTTGAGGTGCTACCGCTGTCCAGACTGCAGATGCACTCAGTGAGGAGGAGAGACGTCCACACCCATTCGCACATAGAGAGACTGGTCAGCTTCACGGCTCTGCACAGGTCTATTACCCTTAAAACTGTATTGAGTTACAGCTTTGACCACTGCGACTCATTTTAACTTAATATGTTGATATTGGACCAGCACTCTCATTGGAATATCTAAATGCTTTTGTTTTGCCTGGAATGTTTCACTCTCTGGCTCTCAACCTATCAATTTCCATTGTAGACAACAAGCCACATATCTGCAGATAGGCGAGTCTGCTTTCTGTAAGAATTTGGGGTTTTGACCAGTAGAATAAATAAGAGAAAATGTATTCATTCCACAGTGGGGACAATTTAGTCTGAGGATTGGGTGTTAGCACTCTCGCCTCTCAATAAGAAGGTCCTTGGTTTTGAATCACGGTGGGAACAGGGCCTTTCTGAGTGAATTCTGGCAGTTTTAGCTCTTCTTCAGGTGCTCCTGTTTTCTTTACCTGTAAAAACATGTATAATCGGTCATATCCCCCAGCTCTGGTCCTGAACAAACTGATCATCATACTGTCATCCACTCAAGGGACAGAAATAACTAAAAGTAATCTTTGAAAAATAATTTAAATACAAATTCACAAGGTTCAATCTCGATCAATATCACAGAAATGGCTATACTACTAGTCAAAGGATACAGGCAGACCAAATAGTTAAAGTGACAGTGGACATATTGTGTTTGCATATTGCACATTCCTGCATTACTAGAATATTTCACATTATCACACAGATGAATGACATCCACAGGGTCAGCAATAAAGCACTCCTGACTAACTATTGAAAGTTCTAAAGTTCACCTTTAAATTGAATTGGCTACTTCTAAAAGCTTGGTTTGATGTTTTGCTTATTAAACATGCACCACACAAGTAAAAAAGTGAGATGACCTCTTTTGGGATAGAAAGGGGTCATAGATGGTTTTTGGTTGTCACTCTAGTTTTTTGTAATTATTATTTAAGATGTGAAAAAAATAATAATAATGCATTTGTACTTTTTTAGAAACTTCAAGCTGTATCTGACCTCGAACACTGGGCTTTTTACGGATGACTTTAAGGTTGTGTTTGTGGATAAAAACGGTGCAGAGAAAGACTATGATGTACAGCTTCAAAACTATTTCAAAGGACATGTTGTTGGTGAGTTAAATCTATGTATTTCTCTATACTTTGATAAGAAAAACTTTATTGACCTGACAATGGAGACATTTACAAACACATGATACATAAATGTGATGATTTAGGCTCCAATGTTGCAGCATAATTACATGAGCAAATGACTCCCAGACATCCCTTATGTATAATTTGTTCATCTTCTTGTTTTAAATGGTGCTCCAACTCTTTTGCTCCAGCTCTTGTGTGTTCGTTTTTGATAAACCTAAAGGGTTAACCTGGGTGTTTGTATTTTACAGGGGATGAACATTCACATGTCCAAGCACACATCGATGGGGATGAGTTTTCTGCACACATACTTACTGAAGAGTCTGAATATACTGTAGAGGTACGTACATTTGTTAAAGACAAAATATTACTTTGTTGTTTCATGTTTTTGAAGATGTAATAATAAAGGTTAAACAGTGCTGTCAGCCTGCACTATCCTTATAATACAGCCATTATGTTCGCCAAGCTGTTACCTCTGAGCTGTCTTTTCAATGAATGTAATTTCACCTGAAATTAATTTAGGAGCAATATTTAGCAATATCAGCAATGACAGAACTGAAGTTGGCTGAATGACTACTGACCCTCTCACCAGCTGAATTAGTGACATTTTGTGACACAATCAAATCAAATGCCAGTCTATGCACTTATATTCAACAGCTACATTCCATAAGTCCTGAGACTTTCAAGGAGATACAGCTTGTCTATACATTTCAGTCACAGCTGAAGTTGGCTTGATGACAACTATGTTGTAAGATGATTAAACAGGGATTTTGCATTTAAAAAATCCTGTTAAAATATTTTCAAATCCTATTTAGAAAAATATGCTTTCAGAGTCACATTTTCTCGATCTCTTTTGCAGCCACTGTGGAGGTTTACGAACTCTGCAGCTGACGGAAGCCTTCTCGTTTATCGTTCTGAAGACATTAAGAATTTGAGTCGATTGGCTTCTCCAAAAGTATGCGGATACATGCACGCTGCAGACAAGCACCTTCTGTCAGAGTCGGGATGGAACCGCGAACCGCAGGAGAATGGTATGTACATCCTGGTACTTTGGCTTCATGTTATCTACAGTATATTGCAGGGGTCGGCAAGTTGGCTTGGCTTCGGGCCAATATTTTTTTACGCCGATAGGTGGCGGGCCAACCGGTCAATTGATAAAAAAATAAAATGTATTCATGCATGGATATTCAATACTAGATAACCCCAAACTATACATATTTTTTTTCATTTAAAAATAAAATATTGTTTGAAACAATACTATCCCCGAGTCTGTCTGATTTTCGCGGGTTACACAGCACTAGCAAAAAAATAAAGTTAGCATCACAAACATGTCGCTTTCCAAAGGACAAAAAAGAAAAGTGGACAGTGAAAACAGGAGTTTCAGGGAGGAATGGAGACAAACATATGGTTTCATCCTACCTGGATATGTGAATGCCAAACCTCTCTGCCTCATCTGCAACGAGGTAATCTCCGTGTGCAAAGAGTACAATATTCGGCGACATCATGAAACGAAACATGGGTCATTCAGTGCGTCCTTCCCATTTCAGTCTGAGTCAAGGCGTCTCAAAATCGATGCTCTTTATGACGGTTATATCCGGAGCAGCAGGGTCCTAGTTCGAGGCCTGACCACACAGGAAAAGGTATCCAGTGCCTCGCTTAAAGCGTCCTGGATTTTGGCCCGTCATGGGAAGCCTTTCACTGACGCGGAGGTTATGAAGGATGTGATGGTGTCCGTGTTGCAGGAGCTGTCCACGGATAAAACTGCTGATGCACTGATCGCTTCTGTAAAACAGATGCCACTCTCCGCGCGCACTGCTGTACGGCGTATCGAAGCACTGTCCTCAGACATACATGGGAAAATAACGCGCGCTCTCCATAAGGCTGATCATTATTCCCTGGCTATTGACGAAAGCACAGACACGACGGACGTGGCACAAATGTGTGTTTATGTTCGATATTTTGATGACAAGTCAGTCTCATTCCAAGAGGAACTTCTTTTTCTCATCCCATTGGAAGGTCAAACTACTGGGGACATACTGTTTGCCAAACTCGAGGAGCAGTTTAGGGAGAATTCGTTACCCCTTGAGAAGGTTAATTTTATTGTGACAGACGGCGCTCCATCTATGGTTGGAAAGCGAAGAGGTTTGGTGAGCAGACTCAAGGAAGTTGCTCCTAACATTCAGGCTCTCCATTGCCTTATCCACCAAAGTGTGCTGTGCGCAAAGCTGAGTGGAGAGCTTAAGACAGTCATGGACAAAGTCATGCGCATCATTAATTATATCCGAGGAACATCAAGCACCCAACACCGTATTTTCAGGCAACTAGTGACCGAGTCAGAAGAAGCAAGCCATGGTGATTTGCTGCTGCACAACGATGTGCGCTGGTTAAGCAAGGGGAGAGCGTTAGAACGCATGTGCGCACTTCTCACTGAGATTAAAACCTTTCTTCAAATGAAAAATAATGCAACTGCTGCGGAGCATCTTGCACAGCTTGAGGACAAAACATTCATGGCCAATGTTGCTTTTTTGACCAATATATTTGGCCACCTCAACCAGCTCAATCTGCAACTACAAGGGCGAGGGAAAATAATTGTGGACATGGTAGAGAAGTTGGAGTCGTTTATCAAGAAGCTAGAACTGTTTGAGACAGACATGACATCCAAACGACTCCTGCATTTTCCGACATTAAAAAGGCACGCGCCAAAACAAGTGACAGAAGCGATGGTGAATTTTGTCAGACATGTGCGGGAAGAATTCCTTTCGAGATTTGAGGAATACTCTTACCCAAAAGAAATATTTGCGTTCGTGCGTGATCCATTAAGTGTCCAAGCAAACCCTGAGTTCTCTACAATCGTGAAGAAAGCACTACCATCACTAGACGAGGCAACATTTGAACTGCGACAGAGTTTCATACATCGTTCCAAGTGCGCACAGCTCTCCAAAATGCGCAGTCCCTGTGTACGTTCTGGCTCTCCTGCCCTGAAGATTATAGTGAGGTTAAGAAGCTCGCTTTTTATGTGCTGACAATGTTCCCGTCAACCTACACGTGTGAATCAACATTTTCTTCAATGAATGCAATAAAAACCCATGAAAGAAACAGACTGACACACAATAACCTGGAAAATGCCCTGCGCCTGAAAGTCACGTCGTTAACGCCCGACTTCAAAAAGATCGTGGAAGAGGGAAAATTTCAGTATTCCCATTGAGTAAGTTTAATAGCCATACAACGGAAATAATTGTAATTTATAATCCATTACTAATTGTAATTATTGTATGTTTTTAGGGTCCCAGTTCATCCTGCAGAGCAACTATTGCGTTTGTTATTTTTCATCTATATCGCCAATACGTCCTCGTGATTTTCAGCGAGTGCTTTAATATTGTTCAGCTTTCGTTTAATTCTACTTTCAAGAAAAAAAGTTATTTGGTTCAGTTAATTCCAAAGGCCTTGCATGTGAATATGCTAGAATGAAAAAATAAAAGAATTTAATCCTTTGACAAAAGCTTTGCTCTTTTATGTTTATTATCAGCGTATTTGGCGAGGATTTTATTGCAGTTTAATTCAACACTAAGCACAATTAGGTGTTGGGTAGCCTACTATGAAAAGCATCTTCATTTTAATTTCACTTTTTCCCAACTTATTTCTCCATTGTGACTACTTTAACATTAATATTTTTGTGATAAAATTGTGCGGATCGAAAAGATCTCTTTCGAAGAATATTGTAACTTCAAACAAGATGCTGCATGACTGCTGCAAATTGTCAAAGATCTCTGTAACCAAGACGAGTTTCCCATGCTGTCTCCATGTGCCTATCACTGTTTTTCAACCCTTTCTGAGTGCGTGAATGTCGCACGGGCCGGCACGCGACTTTTTGACCTGCAGTTTACGCACAGCGTGAGCAGCGCTGTAGCGCCTGTATGAGGTTAAGTATACGGATCGGGACAAACCACAATTTAACCTAGAAGTTAGGCTACTTAGAATGAAAATGCAAATGTGGAATGGTGTTGTGCCAAACACAAGCAAAGATTAGGGGCAAAACATTTGCGGATAAAGAGCAATTAAGTCTCTGTGAGGCTTCTTTTTTTTTTTTTTTTCTAAATCTTCCCGCGGGCCAAAAAATATTGGCAACGTGCCAAAATTGTCCCCCGGGCCGGACGTTGCCGACCACTGGTATATTGCTATAAACTCGTCATTTAAATTAAATTTAGTTTTTTATTACCTTAAATCACAAAGGAGTTATCTCAGAGGGCTTTACAAAGTTGTCGATTTGACAACACAGATCAGAGAATCAAACAGTTCAAACACAGGAAATGCAAAATAAAAAAAAACATTGAGCTTCTGAGATTTAAAATGAGCTATAACAGTCTTTGTTGGCTGAGCTAAAGCACGACCAAAAAAGTATAAATCGATTTCTCCTCTTCGCATATTCCGTAAAAATGGTGCCGTGGCAAGAGCTCTGGTGTGTGCTGTGTGGTGCACACTGGGGTAGTCTTGCACAGTTTTTCCAATGTGGTTTTACTGCAAATGGCAAATAAATTCTTGAATCTTGAACTCTAATTTTTTAAAACAGAATTGAAGTTTTGACCAGCCCAATGTGATGCAGTTGCAGTGTCCAGAGTGATTTCAACATGTGGCTATTTGAATGTTAGTGTCCCAGAGTCGAGTAAAAAGGCAAGCCCACGACCACCGGAAAAACACCTGCCCTCTGCTGTTGGTGGCCGATTACCGCTTCTACAGACACATGGGGAGAGGACAGGAGAGCGTCACCCTCAACTACCTGGTATGTCTTCAATGTCTTGGGTCCATCACTTTTACAGTATTTCACCCTTATCATAATATGCCCCAATAGTTTTCTCACAATACAACATTTATTTATTTATTTCATATCAGTTGTGGACATGACGATACACGGCATATCACAATAACATTTCTTAGAATTGTAGATCTGTCACACAAATGTAACGGAGCAAAAAGAACAGAAAACATCCTCTAGCATTTTAAACTTAATGCTAGAAAAAAGTACTGCAATTTCCGGACTATAAACCGCTTCTTTTTTTTCTACTCCTTGGGACCCTGCAGCTTGTATAGTGATGCGGCTAATAGACAGTATGCATTATTATTGTATTAAGAGTTGTCAAAGCAGAATTTATGGATGTAATATTCATTAGTTCTACTCTTTTAGTCGACTAGTTTATTATAGTCAGAATAGACGGGTGAATGAGTACAGGCATGGAAGCTAACAGTAAAGTTGCTAAACACTTATTAGCATCAAATCATGTTGTGACCAGTGAAACAGTTGTCTATCTGCTACACTACAACATGAAACCTGTGGCTTATATTCAAGTGCGGCTTATGTGTGACTAAATGTACTTTCTATTGTAATTAGGTGGTGTGGCTTATAGGAGTGTGACAATATATAGATTTTTCGATATATCGCAATACTTTTTCCCGCGATCAAAAATCAATTAGTATCAATACTCAATATATGGCTACATTACACATCTCCATTCCATTTATCATGAAATAAAGTGTATTTTTTCACTTAACATTTTTCTATTTTATGTATGCCATATATTGGCATATGGTGTATTGCTGACCAATATTGATATCGTGATATAATCGGTATCGTGAGCTTTGTATCGCGTATCGTATCGTGAGGTACCCTTAGGTTCCCACCCCTAGTGGCTTATATATAGGTGTGCCTTATAGTCCAGAAAGTCGAATTCAAATACCACAGAGAGATTCTTCTCATGTTTTAAATCCTCTTTTTGGACAACGGATTGTACTTTTCAACCAAAGATAATAATACTTTTTTTATTAGGGCCATCAAACAAGGCTCAAGAAATGTTTTAGTATTGGGCTAACCCATATTTTGGTCCAGCCTACACCCCAATAATGCTTTGTGACCATCTTCTAGATTGAGCTGATCGATCGAGTTGATGACATTTATCGAAACACAACATGGGACGAGGAGTTCAAAGGATATGGAGTACAGATCCAACAGGTATCGAGCGGCTCTTTTCCACTACTTTCATGTAAGCTTAAACCGTTTCTCGTGTCTTACTAAACAACACCTGGGAATATTTCAGATAATCATCAACAAAGAGCCCACAAAGCCTCCACCAGGACATGACCCGCGCTCCTGGGTCCACTACAACATGGGAAACAGCTCGGTGAAGGGAAAGGATGCCTGGGACGTGAAGAAACTCCTGGAGGTACGACTCAGCGATGTTGTAGCAGAGGCTGGTTATTATGTGTTTGTGGTGATGAGCAAGTAAACAAAAGTCTTGTAATATGAGGCAAAATAAGGTGTTGTTTAGACCAGGGGCGTCAAACTCACTTTGGTCAAGGGTCGAATTAAAACAATCGGGGCTAGTTGGGGGCCAAACGTGTAAACGTGATTTTCATCTATTAGCATTTTTTTAGATTATGAAAGTATTAAGAGAAACAACTTTGATTTGACATAATAAGTAAGTAAGTAATCCACAGTCACAAAGCGTTTTACGAAGGTTGTGGGTATTTGTTCTCTCACTCCACACAGAGATGGGAGAGGGGTCGCCATGCAGGAGGTGCATGCCGGACCTATTTTACATGGTTTTAGTGGTAAGGGAAACCGGAGCACTTGGAGGAAACCGGAGCAGACTCGGGGGGAAAACATGAAAACTCCACACATAAAGGACCTTCTTGATATGATACACAAGGGTTAACCACTGACATAACTTTAATTTCTGGTGGATTTTCCTGAACCAAATGAGAGTAGGATTGAACCAAAACTTGACTAAATATACAGAAGGAATGACATGGAATTGAAGACTTTTTTTTATTTAGAGCTATTTTACGTTTATTTGTTATATTATGTGTTGGGTCAAAACTTTATAATGAATTAGTTTGAGTTTGAGTTTGACATGCCTGGTTTAGACAGTCAAGATGCGCAATACAATTCCAGCAAACAAAATAACATACTTCACTCATTCAAAAAGGCAATGTTGAACAAAATAGTTAAAACGCAATGCAAAAATTATACACAACACAACTTTGTTTTCTTTTTCAGCAATTCAGCGCAGACATAGCGGATAATGCGTCCAGCGTGTGTCTGGCTCACCTGTTTACATATCAGGACTTTGACGAGGGGACTCTGGGCCTGGCCTACGTGGCTCCCTCCAAACCCCATGCACTGGGTGGGCTCTGTCCCAGACGTAAGCATTCTCACTTCAAACATAAGTACATTCAATTGCTGGATTTGACGAATTTCTTATTGTTCGATTTAGCGTGTAATTATAATAACCTATTTTTGGAAATGTACTATTATGTGGGGAGATATAAACAGGCAGCGTTCATGTGACATCACAACATTCCCAAGGGCCTCTAGTTTAACATTGTGTCAAAGTCTCAGTTAGTTCATATGGCACTAACATACCACAGATGCAAGGAGCGCTGGTGTGTACTATCCTGGTGCACACTCGGGTAATCTTGCACAGTTTTTCCATTGTTGTTTTACTGCAAATGGCAAGTACATTCTTGAATCTTGTAGAAAATTGTTATACACATCTATTTCTATGTCTATTTTCTCATAAAGGTGTATAGAGGTGGTGACAATAACTTACGGCCAGTAGAAAGGACATTCTTCTTTAAAAAAATAAATAACTTATTTTCCTCAGTGTTGCATTGGCACCTGAACTCCAATTGAAATATTATTCTACAACATGGATGCAACCTAATGATGATAATAATAATAATAATAACAGCCGCAGCTTTCTCTGGGAAAACTGACAGAAGTGAGGCAACCAGTATGTGCCATGGGCCCCTCCGACCACCACCAACCATTCACACACACTAGACTGTCCTTACTTACTTGTTGTGCTTGTTCTCTTGTAAACTACGTATAAGTGCAATTCTCTTTTGTGTCTTTGGTAGCGTACTATCCTTCTGCCTCAGCCAAGAAGCCCAGTTATCTAAACACAGGTCTGACCAGCACCAAGAATTACGGCAAAACCATCCTAACAAAGGTATTTTTTCATTGGTTGACACAAATGTGTGTTTACAGCTGATGCTGGAGGGTCTGAGGACTGTGGTGATCATCAAGGACACTCAAAAACATTTATGAATATTAATCATCTACTCCTAATCAATGGCTCCATGTGTTTTTATCCTTGCATGTCTTGTGTTCAAACTGTTTGATTCTATGTTCTGTGTTGGCGAATTCAACAGTTTTGTCCTCCGAGATAACCACTGTTGTGATTTAGGGCTATACAAGTATAAATTGAATTGACAGTAAAAATGTCTTGTTGACTGCATTAGGAAGCAGACCTGGTGACCACTCATGAACTTGGACACAACTTTGGTGCCGAACACGATCCAGACAATATCCCTCTGTGCGCCCCCAGTGACGATCAAGGGGGAAAGTTTGTCATGTACCCCATCGCTGTGAGTGGAGACCACTACAACAACAAGGTACTGTACTTTGCATCACAGCTACAGTAGTGCCATTTACGGGACTTTGTGACACAATCAAAAATAAATGCAGATATGTATATATTAAAAAAAGTTAACCAAAGGATTCCAAAGTTGAAGTTGGCTGGATGACACCGTGAACGTCTTTGTGTTAGCAAGGCAGAGGGCCACATAAAACGACACAGCAGGCCGCATTTGGCCCGGAGGCCTTGGTTTGGACATGCTATAAACCAGAGGTGTCCAAACCGGTCCAGAAAGGGCCCGCTGTGGCTGCAGGTTTTCTATCAGACCCAACAGGAGCAGAGCAGACTCCTCCCATTTCATCAAATCTTCAGGTTAAGACTGAACTCACTTGAGGAAATGGCCGGAGTCTGCACTGCTCCTGCTGGGTCTGAAAGAAAACCTGCAGCCACAGCGGCCCTTTCTGAACCGGTTTGCACACCCCTGCTATAAACAGACCTGAGACCATCACAGTCAGGGCTGATTGGCTGAGTGAGGATGGTCCTTTTATTATTCACTTTTCTGTTGAAATCTGATCTAAAGATGTGAGGGAGACAAAAATAAGAATGTATAACTAGTGATGGAACCAAACTGTTTTGAAAGAAAAGCAACAGTTTTATGCAAACTGAGGTACGCAGCTTTAAATACAGTTTTGTCTTACTTATTTAACATAAATACATTTACATTTACTGTTACGTTTTGTTGAAGAATTGTTAAACGGTTTGTCCCCTGCAGCGTTTCTCCAACTGTAGCAGGACGTCTATCGGGAAGACACTGCGGTTTAAGGCCCCGGTGTGCTTCAAGGAGCGGAACAGTAAAGTGTGTGGGAACTCTCGTGTGGAGGAGGGTGAGGACTGTGACCCAGGGCTGCTTCACCTGAACCAAGACCCCTGCTGCACAGCCGACTGCAAGTTCAGGCCTGCCACCGTGTTCAGGCCTGCCGCCGTGTGCAGGTGACTGGTACTATCCACACGAGCCTGCTTACAGAGAGTACTTTTCCTAACTAATTTAGACCCTTTTAGACCATAATTCACAATTTTAGGGTATTATTCTTCTACTCCTAGTCATCTTGACCCGAGGTTAAGGGTTAAAAAGACAAAAACAAATATTTTGTGATGAAAGACTTCTTTGCAGTGAAATCTTTTGAATTTACTAGAAAAAAATGACTTGGGTTAGAACTGTGTAAGAGGTAATTGCTTCTTCCGGTTTTTCAAATGGAAATCTTTATTTTACTCTATTTGACTTTTTAAACATACAGGATATCGACCATCCCAAAGCTGGTCAGAAACATTGTAGTTAGATATTTGGCTTTTCTCTTACTTTGCCACAGTGACAGAAACAGCGCGTGTTGCCGGAACTGTACATATAAAGCAGCTGGGACGCGGTGTCAAGAGGCCATCAATGCTACTTGTAAAGGCATTTCCTCCTGTACAGGTGCACTGTTTAACTCTGTACGATTAACAGGGCCTTTACAGTTGATGTGCAACTGTGATGTTTTTCTCACAGGAAACAGCAGTAAGTGTCCTCCTCCAGTGAACGCTGAGGATGAGACGGTGTGTGTGGACAACGGCCGGTGTCGGAGCGGAGAGTGCAACCCCTTCTGTGAAGCCATGCAGCACCTGCAGTCCTGTGCCTGCAATGGTACAAGCCAACTATAAACTATTCAGACACCAGCTTTTTCTGGCATTTTATATGAAACGGATGACAAGTGAAGCCCTGAGGCGATGTAAGAGATAAAACTAAAAATAACATTTATTTTTGTATAGCCATAAATCACAAAAGTTGTTATCTCAGAGGACATTAATAAGCCATTGAATTCGCCAACACAGATCAGAGAATCTGTGTTGGCGCCACAAACAATAACAGAAATAAATAAAAAAACAAATTTGTAGGAATAATGTAGGGAATAGTTTGAGGGAATCCAGAGAATGTTCCCTGGATTCAGGAGCACGTGTTTCTAAAGTCTATTGTTGCAATGCTCCTATTTTTGTGCCTCAAGGATTAATATGGGGAGAGCCAAGAGAGTGTTCATTTTTTAAAGAGAAAAGCGCACTATTGAAAAGACTTCACAAACTGCCCTTTACTGAAATATATCGAAAATGGACGTCAATTCTGGACTATAAGCTGCAACTTTGTTTCAAATTCTGAACTCTGTTCCGACATTAGTCCTAATCACATAAAAACGAGTTCTGTGTATTCTTCCTTGTTTCTTTCTGCTGTTCACATAAACACAGCAGGAAACAGGAATGTGAGGTATGTCATAAGCTCTAAAGAATTATCAATGTGTTTACAGAGTGCTTTTGTATTAATAATAACCTGTAATAGTTCAGATGCAAAAATTTGGGATCTGAACAACTGTTTATCAAAAATAATTGTTAATCACAGTCTTTGCCCCACTAAAAATATTGCTACAGGCTTCATATTTAAATTCTTAAAGGGTTAGCTGACTGTCAATATTGACTTTTCTCATGCTGGAGTTGTAAAGTTCTTATACTTTTCTGCTTTTGCTGTGGCCTGCAGAGACCGAGCACTCGTGTAAAGTGTGCTGTCGGAAGAATGGATCATGCTCTCCCTTCATCCAGGCCAACGGGAGCTTCCTGTACCTCCGCAAAGGCAAGCCCTGCACCGTGGGCTTCTGCGACGAGTCGGTAAGTCCTAAATACACTCATAATTAAACCAGCACAAAGATCTGGGCTTCTCACTGTTCTGTTTCATCAAAGGGAAAATGCATGAAGCAGGTCCAAGATGTGATTGAGAGACTGTGGGATTTCATTGACAAACTGGACATCAACACATTCGGTGAGTGGACTGTATTCAATTCTATTTGTGTAGCCCTAAATCACAGCAGCAGTCGCCTCGGAAAACCTTACAAAGTTGTCAATGCAGATCAGAGAATTAAACGGTGAGAATACAAGAAATGCAATAATAACAAACATATAGAAGCCATTGGTCCATAGGGAGGATATCCAATAATAATGTCCATAAATGTTCTCAAATGTTCTCAAATGTCCCGGATCATCACTGTCCTTAACAATCCTGTATATGACGAGGCCTAAACATGTGGCTAGTTTCTGTTCCTTCTGCTTCATAGTTGTATCAGCCACAGTTGTTTCACCAAATATTTTCTTCCTGGATATATTTCACATCTAATGGCTAAGTTAATAGTTTCATTGTTTTAAGAATAAATATTATACTGTGGGGGAAACGTACAATCTAAGTCAGAGGGCATTTATAGTTAAGGGCGGCACAGTGGCTGAGTGGATAGCACTCTCGCCTCTCAACAAGAAGGTCCTGGGTTCGAATCCCGGTTGGACCAGGGCCTTTCTGAGTGGAGTTTGCATGTTCTCCCCGTGTCTGCGTAGGTTTCCTCCGGGTGCTCCGGTTTCCCCTACCACTAAAAATATGTACAATAGGTCTGGCATGTGCCTCCTGTACTGGCACCCCCACGCCCAAAAATCACAATTGTAAACCGCTTTGAGACTCCGATGTGCAGTGAAAAGGCGGTATATAAATAAAGATTACTTACTACTTACTACTACACTTAAGCCTAGTGTATACTTGCGCGGCGTGGCCTACGTTAGCGGTTGCGGTGGACCTACGTAAGCACAATTGATGTTATACTGGCGCGTTCCCCTTACGGAGTTTTGAGGAGAATGTTGTAATCCCACAACAAACCACATGAGGGCGATCACACAGGAGCGGTCCTATTTACGCTTCTACTTTGTCCTCTTCAGAACAACAATAACAAACAAAGCTGTTTGAGCTCATTACACGTGTTTCTACTGTAGGTTTATGTGATAGTTTTATGGATTCATTATTTTATAAGTCATTTCAACTGTGATGCTGTGAATAAAGACACAGTTCTTGTTGGAAACATAGTTATTATTAAACAGTTTTCAGCACAAACAGCATAACAATAATAGTGGTAAATATCTGAGACAAACATGAACGATTTACGAGTGCAGGAGGAAAGCAACAAACGCAGCTACGATTCAAACAAAGACAGGAACAGTGCAAAACAAACGACTGCACAGTTTATAAGTTATATATATGTTAGATATAAGTTAGATATATGTTATATATATGTTATATATATGTTAGATAGTCCACAGTCTCCTGTATATCAGGCTCTGAGCCCAAACTGCTTTTCCTTCGAAGCACAAAGCTCTCTGCTCCATAGTGCCTCGTCCATGTCCCTGCTGCAGCCGCTCCGTGCTTCCTTCCAATACACACACACTGACCAATCACAGCGGAGATTCCTTGCAGCGACCCTTACGTAGTTTGAAAATTTCGATGCTGCGCGGCAGGCAACGTAAGGGCCTTGCGGTGACCAACGCGTTGCGCAAGTGACGTCACGTCACCTCCGTAAGCTCCGCGCCGCGCGAGTATAAACTAGGCTTTAAAACTAGGCTTTAAAACTAGCACTTTAGCCACCTCTGCCTAAATGTGTGGGAATTGTGTATGAGGTAACACTTGTGCATGTAGGTGTATGACGAGGCTGCTAAACCCTGCTTGTATCTAGGCAAGTTCCTGGCCGATAACATTGTGGGCTCTGTGGTGGTTTTTTCCCTGGTCTTCTGGATCCCTTTGAGCATCCTGGTGCACTGTGTGGTGAGTGCGATGCCCTTTCCTGGTTCTCTTTGTCTACATTATTGTGGCTCATAATTGTGTGTGCGTCTGCAGGACAAAAGACTGGACCAGCAATATGAGGAAAACGCAAAAGGCTTTTACTTCCCCCCCTGTGTAAGTCCACTCCCTCTTTCTGATAAACACAACTGCTTGAGTGTTGGTCTTCCAATAACTTAACTAACATAGTGTCTTACTGGCATGTTCAATCAAATGTGTTTGTATTAAGCTGTGTGTTTCAGAAATACGGTAACAAGATCATTTTAAAAACAATGTTGTATGTCAAATGTAATCACTGCATATGTATATGTTGAAAATGTATAAAAGCAAGATGGCAGGCTCTAGGTGTAGGTGAGACTTACGTGTGGTGAGTGTATTTCTCAGTTTGGTTTAGCTCATCTCTATTCTCCACACAGCTCCTTTGCCCTGGAGCACCTTTCGCTCAATTATACATGACTCATTCAATGGCTCAGGATTTAATCCAGAGCTCAGAATGAATAACCAGTCAGGGTTTCAGCACTAACCAGATGAGTGCTGGGGTGGGACACTGACCTGCTCTCTGCCTTGACCCCTTCACACACTGCAGCGGATGGTGGAGGTTTGTAGTCGTGCTCCGGTTATCGGTGAGTGTGTGTACGTAGCTTGTCTCGGGCGCTGCATGGTCTGTGGCCCACAAGTTAAATATTTTTGCACTCACTCGCTGTTTAATGTGATGCCTGCTCTGGCTGCACATTTATTCTGAGCCTGGTGAGGCACCAGGAACAGAAAAGACTAAATGAGAGCAGCAGCAGTGGAGTGCGACGAGTGCTGAGGAGCCGCTGCGCCTCTGTTGTCTTGTGCCCACTATCATTGTCTGTCCACATTTCAGTCTGTACTACTCCGAATATTCTGTGAGTTGGTTTCACTAGTTCACCTTCTTTTATAATAGACGACTTGTCTATTATAAAGGAATCTTTTGAAGTGGTCAGTGGTTTCCTGTGCTTTGTGCACTGTTGGGTCTTCATTCTGACACAGAAAGCCCATCAGTGCACAGAAACATCCACACTGAAGTACCATTTTATCAGTGACTCCTTGTCTCTGTGGGAATTATACATTACAACTGTACTGTTGATGCTCACAATTGTATATTTATATCACAGAGTCAAGAAATGTTGAGCAATCTGGAATCCACATCCGTGCGCATCGTCAAGCCTCCTCGATCACACTTCTCCCCTTCAGAGCCGAGCCAGCCTCTCGCAGGCAACAGACTCACGGGGTTCGAGGAGAGCTCCGCCCTCACCCCGGACAGCGCCCTGGCCACCATCCAGGAGGACAGCAGCGACTCTCCCCCAGGAGAGGAGGCCCTCGGCGGCTTCACAACCGTAGGAGCCTCCTCGTCGGCTACGAGGTTCTCCTGCGAGGATCTGAACGAGAACCCAACGGGCCCAGAGCGCCGGCGCCTGCATCGGCAGGACTGTATTGACACCAATGAGACAGAGTGCTGAGCTGAGCTTAGTGCACTCAAACCAGCCTCACAAATACTTGCTAGACCAGAAGCAGGCAGACCAATTAATTTCCCCAGGGGCAAAAATTCGAGTCCAGGCATGTAGTGGAGGCCAGAGCTCCGTAATAATGTGCTTAGAATTGGCTACTGTGATCTATGCATAATACTTAGTTATTATGATAAAAAACTGCCTAAAAACCTAAACTGTACCTGGGGTGGATTAACATGCAGTAGCCTCTTTGGGGAAAAGGCTGTTGGAACCGCATTAATTTGTTCAAAAACACTGGCAAGTTAGTTGTATAGCTGAGTTTTGTTACATCATTTCAACATTATGGCTGTGGACAACAGCACATGTGAGTCGCAGCAGTGTTTTTATCATGATTTCTCAAGACAAGCAGCAGTAATGTGTGTAATGTAGTTTTTCTATTTACGTTTAAGTGTTACAGTAAGTCTAGTGACTCTTGTAAGATCATACTGTATGAAGCTCAGAGTGATTCCAATAAACAATTGTATTATTTAAACTTTATATTATAATATAACGCACTTTTCAGTTTCACCACTTATGCCTTGATTTATACGACAAGTTTTGAAGCTTGTGCTTTTACTGTGCGAGCTTGAAATGTTACCGCTGAAATCTGAGCTCCATGTGACGTCAGGTTGTTATATGTAAATGAAGAGCTTGACTAATAAAACGTTTATTATACAATTTCATGATTCATAAATTCTTATATTGTACTATCATTCAGAGCAGACTGGTCTCAGGACTCTCTTCATCCACATTAGCCCAGTAAGGAAGGATGAAGGGCAGGTCCCCCACACGCCTGTCCAGTAGCCTCCACAGCTGCCTGCTCACAAACTGGTTTCCTTTCTGAGAGAGATGCAGTCCGTCACACAAGTACTCGGTGAAATCCTGCAATTAAAAAGCACAAACAAACTGCATTTAAAACTAGATACATCACAGCTATCCAGATGCATTTCCTTTTCAGATGTTAGAAGCTCCTTTGTTTACGTTGTTTATTTTTTTGCTCAATTGGCAAAATGCATCTTAATTTGAGCACATTTAGATGCCTTAAAAACAAGATTTGACAATGGGACAACAAAATTGTTTTTTTCTAAGAGATAAAAGATATCTCCCTTGGAATGAGAAAATAAAGCAACAGTTATTGAAGTAACACTAAATATTCCCATTGGCAAATCTTGTTATATAGCAGTCAAAATGTACTCAAATTAAGATAATAATTGCTTAAATCAGTGGCTTTTTTCCTCATAATTTATCTTTTTTGCAGTATTTACATTGACAATACAGTTGTAAAAATTCCTGGATTTAAATCATGAGGGATTCAGGGACTTTCTGCATGTTCTTTGTATGCACCTATCCTCCAGGGGCTCTGCTTTTCCCGACAATAGGAATGAAAGTGACCCTATCCAGTCACCAAGTGCAAAGTGAATGGAAAATGCACTCGTATTGTTCGTCATGATAAATTTGCGTGACCCTGGTATATGAAAAGCACTGTCATGCAGATAATGAAATAAGAGAGTAAAAGATCAAAACAAATGCAGAACAAGTCCTAGAATAAAACTAAAAAGGACAAACTAAATACTTTTCATTTTTCAGGAGATAAGCCGTGGCCTGGATCACATTGTGAGTTTTTCCTTGCCGATGCAGGAGGGTCTGTTGGACAGTTAGTGTCCAACTAGAAGGATGTGGTGATGATCCAGGACACTTGAACATTCTACAACGTACAGTATATGGACATTTTTCAACATGTGTTCTATATTCTTTATGTGTTTTAACTGTTGGTTCTCTGATCTGTGTTGTTGATATCAATGGTTTTGTTAAGTCCTCTGAGATGATACTGTTGTGATTTAGGGCTATACAATAATAAATTGTGCCGGCTGGTTCAATTTGCCTGATTCTGAAAATAATAATTCCAGCTCTCCCACCTCTCCCTTCTGCATTAGAGTCCATAAATCCAACACCTCCACGCCACACTGAGCTGCTGCTTGGACACAGGCCTGAGCGTACTGTCCAGTCACTGCATTCAGTCTGTTCAGCGCACACCCTGGAACAGATATAGGAAGCAGATTCATATCATTTTCATAGTCCAGTATTATGAAAAAGAATAAAAGTCTCACACACTGTACTCTCATGGAGATTGCAAGTATTCTTCCCCTTTTGACAGTTTGACTAAGCTGTGTGCAGGGCTCGCTCTTATACAGCTATCACAGGGGCAGAGGTATTCTGCCCTTTATAATAAGTATTTATTATCCAGAAAATAAAAATAGTATCAAAACTAGATACCATTTTATCTATCCATCTATAGACATAAAGCATCCCCCCCTTCGAGGGTGGTTGACTTACAGGAATCAATCTGCAGGTTCCAGTCAATCAATACTAACACTAAAAGTAACAGGACTTGTGTGTGTATTGTTTTAAAAGTATTTTGATCAATATCAGAACTTTTGCCACCGTCTTCCCATCTCTCTTACCTTTTGCAGTGCACTCTTTCCTCCAGGCTGACTCGTGAATGGGAGGGGGAGTGATGAAGATGACTTTTTCTGCGCACACTCCTGCCGTTGCTAAGGTCTTGGTCATCTCTTTCAGGTTTTCGGAATATTCCTTGAGTGGAACATGCTGCTTCGGATTTTCATCTAAAAGAAAAATAGAAGTATAAGATGAAGAGATCTTTTATTCACCCACAGTGGGGAAAATGTCAGTACTGCATCACAAGTTACAGAACAGTAGGAATGAGGCGCACACAACACAAGATAAGTGAATATATAGCACAACTCTTAACCAATGTCTATCTTTATCCATCCATCCATATTCTTCCCCTTTATCCATTTGTCCAGTGAGCACCAGCCCCTCACTGATCCTCTCCAGGTGGTGAGTCCACAGGAGGACGGCTGCTCTGTCAGTGACGATACAGGCTTGATTTTTCAGTGGGGGTTTCAGACAGTGTGGGGTTAAGTGTCTTGCCCAAGGACAGTAGACATCAGTGGGAGTCCGTGGAGTAGGTTCCATGGTTGGCTCGAACCCACGACCCTCAGGTTCAAAGGCCAATGCTCTACCAACTGAGCCACTGTCGCCCCCGTCTATCTTTAGAATAACATAAAAACAATAATAAATAGATATAAACATGTATACTTAAGTGCCAAGAAAGATATATTGTATGCATACATCTGTAGATCAAACTGTAATACGCTCTAGTGTAAGAATATATAAGTAATAAATCATTATCTAAGAGTGAAGAGACTACTGTACGCATTAGCAACATGAGGTTTTACTGAACGTGTTAAACAAATGAAAAAACAAACAAACATGCACAAGATACAATTTTTCATATATGATAATAAGAGAAAACAAGAAATACATGGTTTGAAAAGTGATTGGCATACTACAACCAAGAAAACCCATTTTCAGCACGTTCTGGGCTAAAAGTAATCACCGTTAAGTAAAGTGACAGTGGACAGCTGTGACCTGATGTTTCACGCTCTGACATACACATTACTGCACAGTTGAATGACATGTTAGAATATTACAATAGAAATGAAACAAGTGAAGAGATTGTATTACCTTTTAGCGCAGCGTCATTTGCCCCAAAGAAGATCGTGACCCCCGCAATGTGGCTCTGAGCGGAGTCAGCAGGTCCAAGGAGCCGCGGGAGGAGGATCCGGGCCCAGCGGGAGTTGTAACCAGACAGCCCCCGGTTCAATACATCACACTTTCTGGAACAAAAGCGTTTTCATTCTACTACTCAAAGAGGACATTAAGTTATATTTGAGACCATTGAAGTATAGTTTGATTATAAACATTGGTCACCCTGCTCCCTGAGGCCCAGTGGCCCCTATGTGTTTGTTATTACTGCATTTCAAGTGTTGGAACTGTTTGATTTACTGAACTTTTGTTGGCGTCCTCCAAGGCAACTGCTTCAGTGATTTAGGGATACCCAAAACTAAATGTATTTGAGTATAGAATCAAATGTTGACATAAATGGTATGGCTCTTTCCAACCTCCAACACATGGTAGAATCATATCAACCAAGCACTGCGATCACAAAACTGCAAACTTCTGGTGGTTCCTAAAGTGTCAAGTATCAAAACAATTGAAGTGTTGATTGTAAAGTGTCAAAACAATTGGAGGCAGTGCGTTTAGCTAGCAAGCTTCTTTACTGTGGCAGACAGTCTCTACATCCAAGACCAGGCTGAAACCATTCATTTTTAATTCAGCATTTGGCTCAGTAGGTAGGCTTAGAGAAAAATTAAACCTTAAAATTATATATATATATATATATATATATATATATATATATATATATATATATATATATATATATGAGGAGGATTTTCCCAAATGTTCAGAAAGAGCCACACTCTTCACCTTTATAATAAAACTCTATGGTCTTTTTGACGAATATGTGTCACCAGAATGATTGACAATTTGGAGGACCAATAGTCTTGATGATCCACCCAGAAGTAGAAAATCCTCCACTATATCTTGAAGACAAATAACACAGATCAGTCAGTGAAGCTGCATATGGAGACAGTTTGCTGGGAGAAGTATGGTAACTTGAGCACTATCTTCTCCTTAACCTGTCATAATTATCACTTCAGCTGTAGTTTGTTAATCGCTATCCACCTGCTGTCCCATTCTGTTTCAAGGCGTGATGATGGGAACCCTGAACCCCCGCTTCCCGCCAGGGAGCCTCTTGAATCCCGCACCATAGTTTTAATTAAATTATATATTTATTTGTATAGTTCGTAAACGTTTAGTTTGATTGTACTGTTGTGGCTGAGACACGGACGTACGCACCTGGCTAATTTGTCTGAGATTTCCGCACCCCATCCATTTGGCTGAAATGAAAACTGAAACAGCAGTAGAATAGTTCATGTCAAAGGAAGAAAAAACTTTAAAAGATGAAATAAAGAAAGCACCATGTACTTGCGTAATGGAATCTCCAAATAAAATGACTTTGGGCCAAACCACGGCTCTAGTCGTGGACATTTTAAACTTACTTCCGGTTGTGTTGAAAATGGGTTTTCACCATGGATGTATTATATTAACGGTTTTCACAGTAAAAGATAACGTTAGATCCGTAAAAACTCCTACACCCGGAATTCTGAAACTACTTGAAATCCCAGAGAAGTAATTTTCACGTCTCCCATTCAAATCAATGGAATACTGAAAAAAGTGGTAAAAAAAAACGTTTTTAAACATTAATTGAAACTCTACTAAATGCTAACTGCTGTCAAGTAAACTTTTTAGTGTTGCTATGGTAACTTGCACTCGCTCTTCTTTAGTGGAAAACCAAAACCAAGCTCAGAACCAGGACAAAGAGGCATTAACTGCCATAGAAAGTCTGTTTAGCTGCAAAAATCTAAAACACCGCCTCGCCATTATTCCTGACTCTGGGCACCAGTTATTTTTGTTTATTATTTCAGTATAGATCCATGGTTATTTATCATTTTTCATGGTTGTACCCAGGCACCAGGGGGCGCTCGTCGTGACGAGAGTTGATGTCATGGAGCCAACATGGCGGACAGAGCGGTTCTTGTGCGGAGAACCGCTGTCATTGGGCTCAAAACCGTACTTGGAGCTCGTCTAAACTCTGCTCCTCTTTGGCAAAAAGGCACACGGCGTTTCTCTGCTTCATCTGCCTTGTTTATGTTGGGAGACACTGGAAAAGCGACTGGGAAAGACGCTCGGAGTGTGTGGGACGGTTACACAAGGGTAAACATTTCGGACACTCACTACCTCAAGGAAACAGCTGCTTTTTATACGTATAAAGGCATTAAAACACACGGCAGAAGATTATTGGACAACCTATCCTCAAGAAACTGTACTTTATGTTTTATCAGGACATACGGAGGCAATGGTAATAACCAAGAACCACTGTATAAAAACAAAACGGCCTATTACGATATTTTAGGAGTTTCTGCAAAAGCCACTCAAGCCCAGATCAAAACGTCCTACTACAAACAGTCTTTCTCCTATCACCCGGACAGAAATGCGGGCAGTGAGGAGGCTACACAGCGCTTCTCGGAGATAAGCGAGGCGTACATGGTGCTGGGAAACAAGGCTCTGCGGAAGAAGTACGACCGCGGCTTGTTGAGCTCATCAGACCTCACAGCGGGCAGAACTTCCACCAAAAATCTCAGCACCGCGGGATCTAAGCCCCAGAGCGACACCCGTAGCCGGCCCATTGTGGAGCTGAGGAGGGACGGCCAGATCTTTGACTTTGACCAGTTTTTCAAATCTCACTACGGCGACCAGCTGCAGAGGGAGCGGAACATGCGCATGCGCAGAGAGGAGTTGAAGAAAACCAAAGAGGGAGTGGCTGAGAAGAACGTGGAGATGATGACGGGCGTAGGTGTGGGAATACTTCTGTTCATGATTTCGGGCGTTCTCTTGAGCCTTAAATGAGACCGAACAGTGCAATAAAATATCAAATAGTTGAGTATGTGTTTGTATGGTGAATACAATTGAGTAATTTCTGCATAACTGTTAGTGCAGAGATGCTGCTTATCAATGGAACTGTTGTAAGTGCACTTACAGAGGGACAATGTTAAAGTACTGTTCATGGTTTGTTATTTTAAGTCTGCTCAAAGAGCACTCTGGTGAGAAGGCTGTTATCGCTGGTACATACTAACTTCTGGTTGTCTTTGACTTTTATAAAGTCACTTTGACCTAAACTACATTGCAACAAGTTGTTCAAGTTTGAAGAGATCACACACAAATGTCAGACGTACACGTCAATGTAATAAAGTGGTTTTACCATAAGTCCGTTTTTGGTTTGCCTTCATGAAGATTTAAACATTTCAAAAGTGTATATCTTTTATCATTTATTTATAACTTAATGCAGGTGGTGAATCCACAGAAGGATGACTGTTCTAAGTGAGAGCATACCGTTGAACTTTTGTCGAAGTGGGGATAAGTGTGGGATAAGATTTTCGACATCTTGGGAATTGGTGGAGAAGGTGTGGTGCGCTCGAACCGACGGTCTTCAGGCTCTACCAACTGAGCCACTGTCACCAACTGCTTTTGGACGCAACTCTGAATGCCGCCTCCCCTGACTCAGAAATGCTTCATACAGCCAGTTGCTACATCCATGGTTGAATATTTCATTTGCAAAAACAGATAAGTGACATTTAGAAGTATATTTGAAAGACTTACAAAGTGCCCTTTACCAAGTGGTTTCTTAAAAGGACAGATTTAGACATCCTCATATCTTCAAGTTTAGTTACTTGAGGAAATGGGTAGAGTCTGCTCTGCTCCTGCAGCCACACCAGCCTTTTCTGGACTAGTTTGGACACCTGGTATCTTCAAATCATATAATTTTTCTTCCCTTTGAAGTCCAGAACTATACAGGATTGTCCGACCTCCTGCCCAGCCCCCTCTGGGATATTTGAATAAATTACATAAACAAATAGGATCAAATAAAACATGCATTGAAATTATAACCTGGCAAAAGCCAGATTGATGATTGTGTAGAACTCTAACGCGTTCTCCGCGATATCATATATTCTCGAGTGTTTGTGAACTCACAAATACCGCGAGAATTCAGCTTGCAGGCAAGGTTATTGAAATTATGCATACATGAGAAATCAAAGTGGTCGAGTACAGCTTGTGTCTTGTCGTCATTATTAAATATTAAGCGTTATCACACAACTATACTAGCATGTGACGGAGACCTTATTTTACTTGCGGGTGCCGATCTGGTGCCGATATTATAATCAGATCCATGAGTGTGGGTGTACCTCACGCGCGTCACCTAGCACTTCCGTCAGTCGACCAAAATACGTCCGGAGAGGAACAAACGCTACACTCGCATTAGTTCCTAGTCACATGAATCTCTACGTGACTCTTAGGCTTGTGTATAAACGGTGTAAACTCAAGTGGACTTTATTTCTGATGAGCGGAATTGTATTGGGTAACTTTTGTATGTTGTAATCAGCAAAATGGACACATGGTGGTGACTTTATGACGGAATAGCTTTTGTGGGTGAAGTTCGCTTTAAGATTAGCTTTGGGTGGAGGCTGTAACTCCAATGATGGCAACTCGTCTAGTCGATGTCAAAATGCAGAGACTTGTTTCTGGAGAATAAGGCCGATGTTTTCAACAGAACAGACGTCAGTGCGAAATGCTGTGATCCAGGTGTGTAATTCTGTGGTGGCCTATTTTAACATAATGGTTTTGTTTTCGTAAGTGCAGTTTGGGATTGTTTGTTTTGAAATACACATGCTTTTTCTCGTGCACACAACGTATGCCTTAATTTAAGTAAGGTTTGCTCTCCAACAGTGTCTTTAATAATTTACAAGCGCCGCTAACAGGTTATACATGTTTTATGACCACTTCCACGCTGTGCAAACTGAGAAGAGCAGTTTCTGTGTCTGTGGTGGACTAGGGGGAAGTGGAGAAAATTGTCATTTCATTTATGCATTTAGAATAGATTGGAATGATTAGATCTGAAGTATTATAAACTGACTTCTTACGAATCTTGTTTTATTATTATTTAGTGTGTATTAATTGGATTCTATGTTTGTCTTTTGTGTATGTGGAAGCCTGTGAGTACAAGATAAATTTGCTTCTGGACCAAAGAAATGAATCTTGAATGATAATAATAAAAATAAATGTATAAGATAAGAAAGATAATAACACATATAGCCCCCGCCACTTAGTAACTTTAAAGTTTAAGTATAAAAACATATTCTACTTGCTCCCACTATGAAGCTTTTACAGCATTTATAGCTAGCTAAGAAACATAGCAGCTACTTGCTTATTATGTGTGCTCTTACATAATAATTACATAATAATAATAACGTCTATAGCTGCAACATTGAAATTTCTCCTCTGTGGGACAAATAAATGATATCTTATCTTTTGCCTATGGATCCACAAAACCAATGACCAGATATTTTTAATGATGATATTCCTCTTGTTTCCACTATTGTTACCATATAAATATCTTAGATCCAATGGTTTCCAATGGTCTGATTATTATTGATGTCTACTGTTTGCAGTTTGATGTGGAGGCTGGATGCGGTCGTCATGGTGAAGAATGTTTCGTAAAGTAAAGAAGCGCCACAGCAGCAGCAGCTCTCAAAGCAGTGAGATCAGCACCAAGAGCAAAGTAAAGGCCTGGGTCTCGTCTACTCACATGTGGTGCTTGTAATCAGCTAGAACCTAACCCTAACCCCCTGCTCCTCCTCAGTCTGTGGAGTCCAGTCTTGGAGGCCTATCTCGGTCCAGCACGGTCGCCAGCCTCGACACTGATTCTGCCAAGAGCTCAGGTGCGCCGCGTTAAAAGACTGTTTGTTTAGATCTATTTACAGTCTGTGGCTGTGTTCCATCCAAACATGTGCACTGCGAAACATTTTGTCGTTTAGTCGATTAATTAATATGTATTATTTGACCAATTATTTCTATTCTAGATTATTTTGGATTTATATAGTACAACAACACAAAACAGAAGATGAGCTTTAAATTAGCTAATTACTTGTATTTTTGTTTGTTGAGGCAGAAGTTACAATTTATTTGCGTGTCTATTTCTCTGTTTTAATTTAATTGCATAAGTTTGTCATGCTTTAGTCTTTTTGCATGAAGCTGAAATGTTGTAATTGGGTCACATATAACTGTTATTGTTTGCCCCCTCCCCCCCCTTTGTTATCGACTAATCCATCGACCGAGCCTGTTCTTAGTAATTTGGTCAAAAATAAAAATAATAGTTGATATTTGACAACTAGGCTACATTTTGACTGTCTCAAACCTAGATTTAGACAGTGTTTTTTTCTATATAAGGTAGGAAATTGCTTGTTTTCCCTTTCTAAAGATAGAGTAATTCATAACATTTAATTTGGACTTGAGTTAAAAAGGTTTGTTGTGGTTCTTTTGAAAGCTAAGTTAGATGTATTACCTTGTTAACATGTTTCGACTGCAAAGCTGTGAGCTATCTTCTGAACCCTGTGCTATACAATTAAACTTGCCTTTGTAAATAAACGTGACAGTTGTTAGTTAAACTTGTGATTTTATTTTTATTTTTCAGGAAACAGCTCTGAAGCATGTGCAGAATTCCGGGTGAAATATGTAGGGGCCATAGAGAAGATGCAGTTTTCCATGAGCCGGACTCTCCAGGAGCCTCTGGACCTCATCAACTACATCGACGCAGCTCAGGTTTGTGTGTTCTAAAGTCCTGGGACAAAAGCATTTATTTAAAAATGCAACTTCAAATGCTGTTTAATTCCATTTATAAATCACAAATGAGGATTTTGCTCCTTCTACAGCAAGATGGGAAGCTGCCGTTTGTGTCTGCAGAGGAGGAGAGGATCCTGGTGGTGTCCAAGCATGGAGTCAAATTGGCTTCAGTCGATCAGTGTGTGAGTGTTTAAATCTTTTTTCCTTTTTTTAAATTAATGTTGCCGCTCCATAATATCTCCATAGAGACAAGAGATTTTGATTGTTTGATTAGAAATATAAAAAAAAAAAACATTTCAAAGTAATTATGTAGTAATTATAGTTCTTGGAGAGTCTTAAAGCCTATTCTAGACTAGTGTTCCCCAACTTTTTTTTATTGCCTGAAGCTCCCGCTGAAACATTGAGGCTGTGGCACTATTGATGTAGCAGCCATCTTCCTGTGCACTCACCACCTGCAGAGGATCAGCGAGGGACCGGTGCTATGAGAATTGGGTGGCAGCTCTGATTGTCACCCCCCGCCCAGAAATGGACTAACAAAGGGGCAGAAAATGAATTAATAATACAGTCAATAATCGACTATTTCAATAACAATTTCAGTACTTTCTGGACCACAAGCTGCTACTATATTTCTGTGAATTCTCCCAGGGAAGTTGCGAATTGGTCAATGTATGTACAATATTTATATATTGTTAGAGCAGTGTCCGAATCCATTTCTGCTGCTCTATCAGCTGTAGATCTCTTTCAAACTTCTAGACACCTTTTTATGAGAAGATAATTAGACCATAGTTAATATGTACTGCGGCGGCACGGTGGCTGAGTGGATAGCACTCTCGCCTCTCAGCAAGAAGGTCCTGGGTTCGAATCCCGGTCGGACCAGGGCCTTTCTGAGTGGAGTTTGCATGTTCTCCCCGTGTCTGCGTAGGTTTTCTCCGGGTACTCCGGTTTCCCCTACCACTAAAAATATGTCCAATAGTTCTGGCATGTGCTTCCTGTACTGGCGACCCCGCTCCCATCTCTGTGTGGAGTGAGAGACAAATGCCCAAAATTAACAAGTGTAAACCGCTTTGAGACTCAGAGCTGCAGTGAAAAGGCGGTATATAAATAAAAACTTACTTACTTACTTACTAATGACAAAGAAGATGAGGAATTTTGTGAGTTTCATTTGTCCAGGAATTGGAGACATTAGCTCAAAACTAAGATTAGAATTCTGACCTAGCAGTTACCATCGTCCAAGGATAGATCTTTTAGCATGCCCTCCACCAGTGTTAAATCCCTGGCTCTTTAGAATTCCATCCAATTCTTTTTACAGCCCTAAATCACAAGTTGTCACAGATCAGAATATCAAACAGTTGAAACACAGGAAATACAATGATAAAAACATATAGAGCCATTGGACCATAAGCAGCAGATGAATAATGTCCATGCATGTTTATAGATGATTATAAATGTCGTTAAATGTCCTGGATCATTACCGCTGTCCTTAGACCGCCATGCATCGTCAAGGAACAACTACACACAAAAAACAGAGGAGGAAAAAAAGTGAGAAACCTCGGTGAGGCCTATATTGGTGTCTGCTCCTATAGAGGCTGCAGATCCAGGACTCAGGCTGTAGAACGAGGATTGATGAACCTATACAAGGCTCTGATCTGGCTGTGTGCAGGACGTTTTGCATCGACACCCTCTGTACCTTATCGTCCGAATGCTGTGCTACGACGACGGCCTCGGAGCAGGGAAGAACCTCCTGGCTCTGAAAACCACGGACCTGGACCAGGGAGAGTGCAGCGTCTGGGTGTACCAGTGCCACAGCTCGGTGAGTGTGCTCTCCAACTCGGAGAACTCCCAGAGCCGTCATTTTGACTGCTCCCATTCAAATCAATAGAAGTCTGGAGAGGTAGTGATGCCTTCTGTGTGAATTGTGCTATACAAATAAATTATTATTTTTTAAAAGTGGTGAATACAACTTGAAATACAGAAAAAATAAACATTTTGTTGAAAGGCTAAATAGTAGCAAGTCAATTGTATGTTGCTATGGTTACTAGCGTTTGGTCTTCTCTACTCTATTTCAAACAGATAATGTCATACAAATAATGACATAGAAAGAAACTTCATAAAGAAACAGAAAAAGTCACAAAGTTATGAAGATAAAAAAGATCAGTTATCACACTTCAAAAACCAAAAGCTGTCAAATTGACTGTTCTGGGAGTTCTTGGGTTAACACAGTCCTGTTCTGTGCAGGAGCAAGCCCAGGCCATCTGTAAGGTGCTGTCCGCGGCCTTCGACTGTGCTCTGACAGCGGAAAAGTCCTGACCCACTCAAACTCAGGGAGGAGTGACGAAACATATGCATCATCCCGCTCAAGGCAATAAGAAAGTGGACCTCACATTATTTACATTATCTACAGTGTTCACACATTTGGTACAAAGAGACAGAGATATTTGGTACTTTCTACTCGAGCGCAACGTTGGCTCTTGGTACACGTATAATCCTCATACTTGGTTAAGGAGTCATTTTTATTTTCATTCCATAACATTCTACTGTTGGGAATGAATGACTGATAAAAGTTTTTAGTGAAAAACCTCAAATAGATCCTGCCTTTTCTTATGGTACCAATGTATTGAATGTATTAATCTGTATATGCTAGTTAAAGCTGGGGTACCTAACTTTCTTTGCATCTAATGATAGAACCAAACAGTTTTGAGAATGAATGACAGGTTACAAAGGACTTTATTGCATAGTTGTTTAGTCCGACAGTGGATCAGTTGGGGCCATGACCATTAGTGTCAACTACTCCCACTGAAGTCTGCTGCTGTCATTTAACCCCACTCTGCCTGAAGCCCCAGCTGAAAGATCATCCTCCTGTGGACACAGCACCTGTAGGAGGACCAGTGAAAGGACTGGTGCTATTAGGATTTGGTGGCAGCTCCGATTGCCCCTCCCCCTGACCCAAAAATGGATTATTAAATAATAATGTTTTGTCGATTCAAAGTTAGCTACACCAACTTTAACTATAAATATATGTATAATGCTTTGAGAGATTTGTGTTTCTATATACTGTATCTGTTAATATTTCTCATAAGCTATGTCTAGGTACTCGCAACTTTAATTCTTGAATAAAGTGTTTTATGTATAATACAAATCTGATTTTAATCCCTGTATCACTAGCAATATAACTTGATGTGACCGATTCCACAAATCTCCAGCAGAGGGAGCACTAATGTAGCCAAGTACAACATGTGCAGAAAGTCATACATTTTTGAAATAATCAAACAGATAGTTTTATTAATTTTTATTTCCTCTGTCTATCTATGCACACAAGTCCAACTGAGACATTCTACTTCACCCCCAGCTCGTTCATTCTTACATTACTTTCAAATATAAACAACTATATTTACACAGTAGCAAGGAAAAGTCCAGTGAGTTATCCTTCATCTCTCCTTCGTTTCACCTACAAATAATTGGAATGTCCTGCTTCAGTGTGCCCCATATTTAAGCTCGATTCATCACAGTCTCCACAGAAGTTGATCTGTTCTCACATTATGGAAACACAAGGGAATTGTCTCTATAACAACAGAACGATGTGCCGAATCTGAAGTGTGTGAGGACTTTAATGTAGTGTTCAATGCCGCCTCCTCAGTCTGCAAAGTAGTGGACGAATGTGACCGGGAAGGCTCCTCTCCTGGTGGGGTCTCCCTCGATGTGGCCCAGCTGTGGACATAAAAAACCTTTCTAAAAGCAGGTACACAGAAAAAGACGTCGCACGTACGGTAAAGTGACAAAGAAAATGAAAACAACAGAAAAAGTGTGGCTTCTAGTGACTAATGGTCAGTCAAACAGACGACCTGGTTCTAACACATTTAAAATGATCTGGAGCAGCTACTTTAGGGAAAGGAATAATGAAAGCTGAACTAGTTTAGGAAATTCAACTGTACAATTCCACCACCGCCACTGGGAAACTATAGCGTTAATCCAAGAAAGTTACCTTATGAATAGAAATAAAAGCTATTCTTACACCTGCAATCAGAAATCATTTACTTTAAAACTTTTACGTCCGTGTTGATGCATGTAGATTAGTGACGACATCAGTTTGATCCATAATACTTATAATAGAAACATGAAATGGACGTTAGCCTGAACTCTGGAACCTGGTTACCCGCCAGACCAGGTTCTCTCCACAGAAGCACGATATTTGATTTTAATGTATCAATAAACACAACACATACAGTACATTACAATGCCATCCAAACATTTAGCATTTACACATTTAACACACACAGGACAAGTTTGCTACTTATTCATTCAGGCACCACATTCAGACATCTAACATTTACAAATACATTTTACTACATTTGGTTGAATTTGATATCAGTTTGTTGATGACACATGGACAAGTGCAGCCCTGAGCAGTGTTAAAGAGACAGACATTTGGAGAGTTCAGCTACAGTCCTACTTTAGAGGCCGCTCGTGCTCGACCACTGTTCGTTTTGGTCTTGAGTGAGAGCACCCTTTACTTACCTCATAAATTAAGTAATCTAAGAAAATATCGAATCTTTATTAATCTGAAAATGATTTCTTTCTTATAATACTGTAATAGAAATAAGTATTGTTAATTCAGAAAAGAGTAATTCCCAACTCTTGATTCAAATACAGCACAAATGATGTGTTGTTCTGTTGGCAGTATTCCGGCTCTTGGTTGTTTACATTGTTTTTGCTCTTGGCCAGTACAGAAATGCCACAACAAAACAATACTTACACCGATAAGGAGTATCTTATGTTCTATAGAGTGATACTGACCCACCACTCCTGGTCCTCCTCTCCATCCACCACGATCACCTCGCCCTCAGAGAACGTCAGCTCATCTGGGTTATCTGCCACACACTTGTACATGGCTTTGACCCTCTTCGGCCTCTGCTTCTGAAAAACAAATTCCATCAGAACTATTTCATTCAAAGCGACCGTAGTGAAAGGGACAAAGGCAGTAGATCTGGGACAGAGTTGCGGTCACTCACAGTGTGGGTCTTTCTGTGCGCCGGCCCCTGGGACACACACTGACCACTGGAATTCAGAGAGCTGCCAGGAACTTCCTTTGCTGGAACAGGAACAGGCAATGACATCACACCATGTTTGACAATAAACGGGGCTTCCCTTTCTCCGTGTCAAACAGGAAAGCCGTACGAGCAGACATTTAGTTTACTCACCCATTTGTTCAGGAGATTCATTTTGAGCAGCAGCTCCCCGCATGAAGTCAAATCTGAACAATAAAAAGATCATGTTATGAAGTCCTGGCCACAATCAGCAGGACATTCATTCTCTGTGGTTGACCCTTGTTTAGTTTAGCCACCGATTGAGGGGCGCTGGGCATCTTTCAAAGCCTGAAGATATGATATGCACCTCAATTCTATTAACTTTCAATTTGATACGATACATTTCCAAACAATATGTATGGTTCATTAAAAAGAGCTTTTAATAATGTTTGCTTGAACCCTTACATTTGAACGCTTCACATGTCATTATTCTTTCACTCCATACACAGTGGTGATAAACTACTACTGTAGCCACAGCTGCCCTGGGGTAGACTGACAGTAACGGGGCAGCCAGTACATACCGTCCGCCCCCCCGACCAACACCAACCATTTACAAACACCAGCCTCATACTATTACTAAGCAATGTGGGTGAAGTGCCTTGCCAAAGGACACAAAACAGTTTGCCCTGCTTAGCTTCAAAGGTCCGACTCCTGTCAGACCTTGGCTTTCACATGCTGTTAGCGCCACTACAATATCGATGCATTTATACTTAAATGATTGAAGATGGATTATTATTTAAGGTAAAAATATGTATGTAATTTAGAAACGTTGGGCCTCATTCACGAATAACTTCGTAAGAAACTACTCAACTTTCTTCTCAAGTTGTCCTTAAGTAGATTTCTAAGAAGTCCCCACGTGGGCTTCATCAACGCACTCGTAAGGCGCTGAATTGTTCGCAGCTGTTCTCTCAGATTGATGAATCCCATTTCCTCGTAAGTACAGCGCGCGTGCCAGGTGCTTCATTAGCATAGGTACTTAGCATAAGTAACCGCCCACTAATGCCCATATAAGGGACTGCAGGGCCGTGTGCAGACGCCAGAGGAAACAGCAAGAGGCCTAAAGCAACAGGCCACGGAGCAAAAGATTCACCCTTTTTCCTTCTTTTACCAGACTGAGAATAAAGTTATAAAATGTTGACTTAAAAGTCGAAATATTATGATAATAAAGTAGAACTAGCAAAATTATGAGATTAATCTAAGAATATGATGAGATTAATCTCAAAATGTTATGAGCTTAATTTAAAAATATATTATGTATTATTTTAAAGATGAATCTCAAAATGTTTTGAGATTAATCTCAAAATATTTTGGACCCTGGGAGGAGATCCAGCGCGGACCAGCGCTGAGACCAATGCAGACCCGAGGAGAGACTGGAGTGACCAGCACACAGAAACCAGCGCGGACCTATAGGAGAGACCGCATAGACTGGAGTGACCTGACTGGAGAGACCGGTGCGCAGAGACCAGCGCGGACCGAAGATAGACCGCATAGACCAGACTTGAGAGACCAGCGCGGACCCGTATGGATCCAGGAGCATGCAGCACGGACCCCTATGGAGAGAGACCAGTGCAGACCCGTATATGGGAGAGACCAGTGCAGACCCGTCTAGATCCATGGGAGAGACCAGTGCAGACCCGTATAGATCCATGGGAGAGACCAGTGCAGACCCGTATAGATCCATAGGAGAGACCAGTGCAGACCTGTATAGATCCATAGGAGAGACCAGCGCAGACCCGTATAGATCCATGGGAGAGACCAGTGCAGACCCGTCTAGATCCATGGGAGAGACCAGTGCAGACCCGTATAGATCCATGGGAGAGACCAGCGCAGAGACTCAGCGCGGACCCAGTAACCTCCTGCAGCAGCAGTATATATGCCGTTGTTCTGTGGCCCGTGGATAAAGAAATGCCCCCTATAAATAGGAAGGGGTCACTAATACACGGCAAGATTTCCAATGTATTTGATAAAGTGTTGGCACATTTCATTTCAAAATGAATTAAAAAGTAGGCCAGATCTGCAGTGAAAAAGGCGGTATATAAATAAAGATTACTAATAAAGATTACTACAAATAAATAAATACATACATCGATATGACTGAAATATCACTGGAATGTTGTATTTTTATTCAACTTCACCAAAGAGGACAACCCCGGCTGTGAACATGTCGGCACTGAATGCGTACGAGTGCTCCTGAGGACTCGTAGGATTTGTACTTGCCCAAGAGAAATTCTGGTTACGAGAAATATTCGTGAATGCCACTTTCTTCGTAAAAACCGCGTAAGTAGGATTTACGTACACATCTGTTCCTAAGAACCGTTCGTGAATGAGGCCCAGTGTCTATATTCTCCTGTTAGTGCCCAGAGTCGGGATTAAACATGGGGAGGCTGCTTTTCAGATTCATGCTGCTAAAATCTGGAACAGTCTTCCTGAAGATGTGAGACAGGCCTCCTCTCTGACAATGTTTAAAACCAGGTTAAAGACAGTTCTTTTTAGCTGTGCATACAACTGAGGGATTTGATATTTTTATCTTTCTTTTTAATGTTCTGTGATTATTTATGATTTTAATGCTTTCTTGTTTTGTTCAGCACTTTGAATTGCCTTGTGTATGAATTGTGCTATACAAATAAACTTGCCTTGCCTATATTGATTTGACAGATAGGAAATGTATACTGAAATATTGGTATACATTAACTAAAGAAATAATCGATCCAACGCAGTCAGTTCACCAGTGTGGCAGTATGGAAGGATACTACAGTTTTATGAATACTTTACCTCGCAGACGAGCGAGGGGGAGTTGCTCTTGATCCAGACTTTGACTTCAACATAGAGGAACTCATCCCTGAGACAGAAAAGTACACACACATATATAAGATCAGCATGAACACGGGACTATGGCATCAGTACAAACAGGCAATCACACCTCCTGCTGAGATAAGTCTGATGGGAGGGGCGGGGGGGTGCATGTTTGGGGGGTCCGACGAAGACCTCTGTCGCCCACACATGTCGAAAGAGCCGGGTTTCCAGTTGGACGCTGATGTTGGAGCCGCGCCACCTAAACCGGGCAACAGAACTGAAACACAAATGTCTGTAATCATCAAAAGTCCATCAACCATCAATAGTTTCCAAAAGATAGTCTCTGTCTTGGATACAGCCTCAGGACTGACATACCCAGGTTTCTTGGGGGCAGTGGAGGGGCAGAGCCAGTGCAGGGGCCCCCAGCCTGGGTGTTGGAGGTCAGGATAGTGCCGTATGTCTCGTTGTTGACCATGAAGGCTCTGTGCTTGTCCTTGAGGCCGTCGCGACTGCTGGAGGTGGGGGTGTAGCAGCTAACGGGGCGCTCCTCTCTGCGCAGGGGGCTGGGCTGTTCAAACACAGGCGTCAGAACAGGCCCGATTACCGCTACGTGTGGTTAGTTCGCTTGTGTTTGAAAATATGATCGTGTAACCTCAGTTTTACTTAACCGCCATTGGCTTCATGTTCAATACAGAGTCGATTTTACGATTCTCTTGTTTTTTTAAAAAGGAGATGAAGCAGATAAACAAACTATTTACCCCACTCGTTTCCTCATTCTTTTTCCACTGAAGAAAATATTTCACATTCTAAAACATTAAATGACAAAGTAAGTTTAAGATTATGTGATCCTTTACTCTTCCCACAGTGAAGACATTTCAATGTTGCAGCACCGGTTACAGAACAGTCTGTCTGATCGGTTGGTGCTGTACTGTCCAGATCAGCTGACCAGGCTCCGCTTGTGTTGTCTCTGTCCAAGCGGAAATTTGGAGGACACAGAGCTTTTTCTATTGTTGATCTAAGGTTGCGGAATGAGCTGTCACTGCACGTTACGCGAGCTGATTCACCCAGTGCTTCTATAATAATCACTTTTCTATGCCTTTTTTTTCTTCAAGTCTTTCTGATATATTTTCTTAGACTGATAAGAAACACACACTCACTTTCTCGTCCAGGTCCTCGTCGCTCTCGTCCATGTCCTCGTGGCGCAGACACCACTCGTACTCCACGTGGACGTGACCGTGGAACTTCCCCGCCAGAGCCTGAGCGAGCTGAGCGCACGCAGATAGAGACCCAGAGGTGAGTTTGACCCTGAGAACAGTCCAGGGTGTGATGTGTTACTCACCAGCTCCTCGCACTGCACGTGTTTGAGCCTGCGAGCAATGTCCAGAGGAGTTTCCCCAGATTCATTGGCTGCAGAAAACACAACAAAAACAGTTTTATCGTTTCCACATTACCTCCTATCAAAACACGTGCTCTGAGATCTGCTGCATGTGCTGATCTAGTGCCGTGAGGTCTTAAAGCTGGAGGAGAAAACTTTATAACAAATGCAGTAAGTCCAACAAAGTGTCTTGTAAAAGTAAAATGTGCATAAATCAAACCACATCATACCAATGTCAATGGACGCCTTCCCTCGGAGCAGCAGTTTGAGACACTCGCTGTTGTCTGTCAGGCAGCAGTAATGCAGTGCGGTGCTGCCTTTGGTCGTCTGCTTATCCAGGTTCAGACTGTAAGGCAAGGCAAGGCAAGTTTATTTGTATAGCACAATTCATACACAAGGCAACTCAAAGTGCTGAACAAAATAAGAAAGCATTAAAATCATAAATAATCACAATACATTAAAAAGATAGATAAAAATATAAAATATACAATCCCTCAGTTGTATGCACAGTTAAACAGAACTGTTTTTAACCTGGTTTTAAACATTGTCAGAGAGGAGGCCTGTCTCACATCTTCAGGAAGATTGTTCCAGATTTTAGCAGCATGTATCTGAAAAGCAGCCTCCCCATGTTTAGTTCTGACTCTGGGCACTAACAGGAGTCCAGTCCCTGTGCTCCTCAGAGTCCGGGCTGGTTCATATGGGACTAACATGTCACTAATATATTTTGGTGCGAGGCTATGGAGAGATTTGTACACAAGCAGAGCTGTTTTAAAGTCTATTCTCTGAGCCACAGGAAGCCAGTGCAGAGACCTGAGAACTGGACTAATATGGTCGTACTTCCTGGTTCTAGTCAGGACTCGAGCTGCTGCATTTTGAATGTACTGCATAGGGATGTAAAAAACTATGAATTTTCATGACCGACCACCGAGCCTCATTAACCGGTTGAAACCGGTTAACCGCGTAGTTTAAAATAGTCCACGTTCTTTGAAATAACAGCCATTTCGAGCCGCGTACTTTTCATAAGTGCAGCTGAGCGTTCTACTAGATCAGAGCCGAGACAGCGGCGCCAAAACCCGCAACAGCTCCGGCACCTTTGCGCACAGAGAACTGCTGTTTTAATCTTCCCATTATTCTGTGCTGCGGCTTAAAGCATTTTTAAGCAAAAGACAGCTCGTCCACATGGTCAGAGCAGCGAGTGACGAGCCGCGTCTCGCAGGTCTCCGCTAAAGTTTAAAAGTGATCAGTGTGGAGCTGATGCCAAGGACCAGCAGCACAAACATGGTCCATGTGGTTTGCAAGAATGCTTTGGGCTCCGTGACAGAGGAGCGCGACAGACCGGTATGTGTGTGTATATGTCTGCGTGTGTGTATATGTATGTGTGTGTGTGCAATACATGTATGTATGTGTGTATATGTCTGTGTGTGTGTATATGTAAGCTATGTGTGTGTGTGCAATACGACACACACATAGTGTGTAACACAATAATATGTGTGTGTAAATATAAGCTCCAATGTAGTTCTGACCCGCGCCAGTGTGCAACTAGCAGACGGTAACAGAGGGGAGAGATGATGCGTGTGGATGTTACGTGTCAATGGAGGGGGGGAAAATGTGTGTGTGTGTGTGTGTGTGTGTGTGCGTGTACATGTGTGCGTGCATATGTGGCGCGTACGGCAGAGTTTACTGTTACATTGGCGCACACAGCTAGATAGGGACCCGCTCGTCACATCGTGCAAATAGGGCTTAAAATAGCGTTATGAAGAGACCTCCCCTCTCCCCCTTTTTTAACCGACAGCTTTGACCGGTTAACGCTGTGACGGTCAACCACCGGTTAAACGGTCACCGATTTACATCCCTAGTACTGCAGCTGTTTTACAGCCTGTTTGGACAGACCTGTGAGCAGGCCATTGCAGTAGTCTAACCTACTGGAGACAAATGCACGGATAAGAATCTCCAAGTCTGCTTTAGACACTATGTTTTTGATCCTGGCAATGTTTTTTAGATGGTAAAAAGCTGCTGATGTTACTGATTTAATGTGGCTATAAAAAATAATGTCAACAACACACACCAAATCTTTTACACCACAGCTACAGTCAGGAACAATGAGAGATCTACACTAGACTCATGTTTGAATCCATACACAAAAACAATGAAACATACGTGTTTAAATATGAGGGTATTTACATGAGGACTGGAACAAATAATTATTTTGATAACCGTGTTTTCTGATTATTCTCTAAATTCATTGTTAAGTTCTTTAGGTCCCGAAAGGTCAGAGATTCTGGGATTTCTTACACATTTGACAATAACAAAGCTGAAACCCCTGGAGAACAGCTTCATAGAGACGACAAATATCAATTATCAAATAAAAAACATGAATAATCAGAGTGATAAAACCTCTTCTCAGCGTCAGGTTCAAAACACACATTTCAATAATTGATTAGTTGCTATTAAATTACCTTAAATCAGTTTTCCTGAAAATGTGAGACATGCTTCAACTCGGTACAGTGATTGATTATGATTTTTGTGCTCTGTGTAATTTTGATGTTTTTCTTGTTTTGCAAAGCCCTTTGAGTTGCCTTGTGACTTGTGTTATACAAATAAACGGACCTAATTTACATACAAAAAAAGTGTGGGAAATGAAATGTTTTATATGTACCACCCAAGTTTGGAGATGTGAAGTAATAGAAGAATTTTCTGCTTGGCCAATAGTGCGTTGTAATATAAGCAAAACATTTTGAAAGTTGATGTTCTAGGTAGTTACTTGAGTTTCATTTATGTGAACTAGTGATCATTTTTGTTTAAAGGCAATTAAAACAAATGGGACAAAAGCACTTAGTTTCTACTTGAACTGACTCCTCAATAAAAAAAATACAATTGCAAGTTTGTATTTGCAGCAGTTTTTGGGGGGTTATTAATGCAGTAAAAATACAGAGATATACTGAGATATATTGAGATATAGAAAACTATATAGATGTAAAAATATATATTGAGATTTATTTTCACTCGATATCACCCAGCCCTAACATACAGACTTGCCTGTGATTTGAACATGATTTAAATATATATCTTTAATTTCATTCACCTGTTCTGTGTGAGGAAATCCACTATGTGAAGAGAAGTTCTGTCCACCAATCTCACAGCCAAGTGCAAAGCGGTCTCTCCTGGTTCCTGTGGTGGAGAGTCATGAAAACAACTGTTAGAAAGTTTAAACCTTGTTAAATAATGATTGTTTTTATGTTCCAGCTTCTTCCTTCTGGCAGAATATAATTTGCTGAGATGTCCTGCATCGCAGCGAAAAAGAAAAGTGCTTTTTCAGCTCATTCAGTTTAAGAACTGAATTTGAATCTCTATTTTTAGTAAGTTTTACAATTATGTATTTGTTAATGTTGTTAGATAAATGCTAAAGATAGATTTTATACTTGTTTCTTTTTGATGCTTTTTTTTTGTATATAGTAATTGTTCATTTATCTTATGCTGTGTGCTTGTAATTCGTACTGTTCTGCAACTGGTAATGCAAAACTGAAATTTCCCCACTGAGGAACAAATAATCGATTGATCAGAGTAGGTAGTGCAGGTGGGTCACTCCATATCGCCACTGGGTATGGAGTGAATGAATAATAACATGTGAAGCGTCTGAGTGTCTGAGGCACTGACATGTTCGTTGGCCAGAGGAATGGGCTCCATCAGATCCACGCCCTCGGCATACACCTGGAGCAGAGAGGAGATGTCCCGGCCCTTCACAGCCTCACACAGAGCCTGCAGCCGGGACCCAGCGTCCGGACACCTCTTTGACGCAAACCGCTTCTCAGTGTATTTAGCAACAATGAAATCTTTCCTCGTCTGCCTGGAAAGACACAAGAGGTCAAGTATTTTTATACACACCTTTAAATCAAGACGATACTGATCAAAACTGACCCAAACTTGCTTTAACAGACGAGCACTCGAAGCAAGTTTAGGCACAGTTAAAGCTGAAGTACCTGAATTATCGGTACATCTACGCCCTTTATACATCAGTCTCTTAGATTATTCCTAATCAAAAATACAATGGATATGATGTCTGCAATATTCACGGTCATGATTTTCAACCAGATTATCCAATCGGAGAGCAGAATGAGTCACATTTGGATTGCCAGCTTGTTTCGAAATTGAAAGAAGTTTTGGCTTCCTTTTTGCATGCATGTATTTAAATGAAAGCAGATACAACAATTTAGGAGATGATGAATGATAAACACACTCATCAAGTGTGATTGTAATAGTAACGACTTTATTATCAAATCAAAATCAAATCAAATGATTTGATTTGATTTGATTTGACTTTATTAGACCACAAAGTCTGCATATTGCACTGTCCCTTGTTGTAGCATACTGTATATTGAGTTTTAGTCTACAAATTGTTCTTGATTATGCCTTTACAGTTAAATAGGAAGGAACTATAACGAGAAAAGGCTAAAATGGCTTGACATAGTTGAAGACGACTTACATGTCGCTGGCTGGATTGGGCTTCACCACACTTTGAGCAGAAAGACCCGCCTCCATGATTTCATTAAAGCTGGCATTCCCCACATTCTTGGCCAGCTGTGGAGCACATGCATCAGGACAGGCTTTTGCAGAGGTCAGTGAGGGGCTGCCCAAAAGTGGCCATAGTGATTTCTGACTTTACACTGCACTGGACATTAGGGACGGCTGATGCTTCTGTACATACCAAGAGCTCTGAAGTGCTGAGGACGTCCAGAGTAAGAGACTGGATCCTGGAGAAGTGGACCCCCAGCTCCCGGTGAATCCCTGAGCACTCGATGCAGGTGAGGATGCCCAGGTTTGTGGACAGCCACGTGGGGTCTGCGAGGGAGGAGCACGCAGGGTCACCAAGGAAACTTTATTAAAACGTGTAGGCATTTTAAGTTTATTGCCCCATTTGGTAAAAAAGGTTTTTAATAATATCCTTTATGTGTGTTTGTTACACAAACATGTGCACACCCACACATTTATAGTTTTAGTTTATATCATCATTGGGGAGCTCTGCAACGCACAGATCAGAAATTTGCAGGAACTTTTGACCAAGAAGAAGCTTTCAGGTCTCAGGGGTTCAAATCCTGGCCAGATATGCCAGATATCAGATATGTGGACTCATTCAATTAAATTTTAAAATTTAGGAGGTGCAGCTTTTATACAAGTGCGTCTTCTGTGTGTGTAAACCCTCTGATCCACAGCACTGATGCATGGGAGCCGCTCTCGCCAGGAGCCGCTCTCGCCAGGAGCTGCAAGAGCCACACTCACCAGGAGCCCCGCAGTCGCAGCACTCGCTGTTCCCGCTCATCCTCTTCACCTCCGCCAGAATGGCCCTGGTCAGCTCCTGTACGATGTTGTTCTCTCCGCTGTGCTGGTTCCCTCTGAAGGCCTGGTTCAGAGCCTCCTCTTTACTGTTCTGCAGCACAGAGATCCAGCTGCCGAGGCCCGATGATGGAAGATAACAGAGTTAGAATGAGAGATAATGCAGGAGTAAGCGGATACTATGATGGCTCGCTAATGGGCGCTTGTGTTTAAGGCTGATCGAGTTAAAGCGCTTACATCTGACAGTCCTGGTCATCCTCGGCCTGAAAGTGATATGTTCGGTCATCTGAAAGTAAAGCAAGACAAGTTTATTCATATGGCACAGTTCATGCACAAAAATGCTGAACAAAAAAAAAAAAAACATCAAAATCATAAATAATCACAGCACATTAAAAAAAGAGTGAAGATACAGTCCTTCAGTTGTATGCATGTATGTATGTATTTTTATTTTTCATGCTGTTTTCTACATGAGATGTTGCTGTAGTGCAGTGTTCATGGTTTTATAGTCCGAACCAAGCGGCTAATCCACCTTGTGACCTGTCCTGCTCCACCCAGCGGCTACTCCATCTCTGCTGCTGTGGCTTGAAGGGCTGTTGCTGATTATCATTACTATGGTTACCTTTTTAGAATGATCAATTTTATTTTTGCTGCTACTGGACAACTGAGTTTCTCCTATGGGGATCAATAAATATCTATCTATCCATCTATCTAGTCAGGACTCAAGCTGCAGCTTTTAGAAAGAGCTCCAGATGTAGTCAATAATTTATCCAGACGCATTTTTTAAAAACGTCCCTAAACCGCAAAAGTAGTGAAGTTAAGTGTTTTCCCAGATGCCTGTAGCCTTAACAAATAAATTATAAATATTTGGAGTTATTATTGAGTCGGATTTTCTAAAACACCTACAATGGCTAAAGCGAAAACCTAATTTCACGTTTGCCACCCACTCGCCCTGTTGTAGCAAAGAAGAGAAAATCAGATGTGGAAAATGCATTGTTTAAGAAGACTCGGGACGCAGCCAGGGCTATGTAAGGCAACAGGAGACGAGTTTAACTAATTGCTCGTTTGTAGGGGAACCTCGCGCTTGTCAAGTATGGCAGGAAAATCTATTAGACAGACAGAACATGTAAAGAAAGTGATGATCAAGATACTCCAGGAACACGGTCGTCCTGAGGGGGTGCAGGTGCAGAGCAGAGGGGAAGAAGACTGATCTTACGGGAGATGAGGTCGAAGCTCTTCTTTTCCTCTGGATTGTGCTTCACCTGGCAGGTCAGCAGGTTGAGCTTTGCAGGCAGTCTGTTCGCCTGACAAAAAAAGTAATCAATGTTTCAGAAATTGGAACATCTCTGACAAAACATGGCAAAACATTTAAAGTGGGACTAAACAACAAAACAACAATGATCTAATGTCTAAAAATGTGATAAACAGTTACAATTCTTGGCATTACTTTGAGATTTAAACGTAAATAAGTTTTACTTTTGAGCAGAGGTGTGCTAAAATAATGTTTTGTATTGAATGTATTGAAATGTATTCAGTAATTAATTGTCTTACTGTAGATATTTTCTTGATATTTCTTAGATAATAATAATAATAATAATAAATATATATGTATGGAAAAAAAAAAACATTTCAAACATGTCTTGTTGTCCTTTTCCAATTTCGAAAGGTCACTGCATACAATTTTGATTTCTGAGAGGTAGTACAAGATGACGTCATGATTTTATTCCCAGAGGATATAATAAAAAAGTGACAAAAAGAAACCAGCCCACATAAATGAGATCTAAAACGGATCATATCGAAGTGCAGAACAGTTTGCTTACAGTTCCGTGTGAAATGGTGAGAAATCCATTTTTTGCAGTGCACTTTCTCTTCTGCCAAACCTTTCGCAACCTGCAAACATTTAAATAAGAAAGATTATCCAATTTCAGTAACATTAGCATTGATGCAGCACAGCGCCGAGGCCGAGCCTTATGGAAATCTCACCCGTCGCTCTTCTTGTACAGACAGCCGCTCCGCTCGGTGCCGTGCTCCTTGTTCCCCTGCGGCTGGTGCAGGCTGTAGGTCGTCGAGGGCCTCGCCTGGGACTCCTGGGAATTCACAACACCAATCAGATTCCATTGGAATGACAGGGAAGAAGAATGGAAATGTAGCAATCGCACTTTCTCAATAACCAAAATAACTGACATACAGACATTTTAAAGGGGACATAACCTGATTCTGTTTTCTGTAGCCCCATTTCCACCAACCCTACTTGGCTCCACTCATCTCTCTCTACTCTGCCCTGATTGAGTGTTTCCACTGCCCCTGTTTAACCAATACCAAGTATATTTTTAGTACTGCTGGAAGCCATGGTTACCATAAAGTTTCTGTAGATACTGGTTTGCTGTGGGTCGGTTTCTAGGATATGGTACCAGATACCAAAGGGTAATGAAAACACAGCCAGGTAGAGTAGAATAGGACCGAACGATTTTATTCACCCTTAAAGCAGAAATGAAGGCGAGAGACCAGTGAATTCTCTACATATCAAATGAACGCTCAGAAGACTGATGGGAGAGCAAATGTGTTGTGCATAAGTGAAGATCTAAAAAACTCAAACATGCAGGAATTCAGCTAAAAACTGTTTTGTGTCTGTCAATGACAAGGGGAATCCACTATCACATGGCCAAAAGCAGGGAAAAGTCATTTTTTAGGTTATGTCCCCTTTAATGATAACAATACAAACGTGATGAGTTACAGAAGGTACATCCAAAGAATAGGCTCAAAAAACATCACTTACTCTCCTAGACTTGGGGCGCAGCAGAAGGAAAAAACATTTAGATTAAGTCATTCAAGAGTGTTTTTAGTGCGTCTGTTCAGTTGATATCATCTTGTACATATTTACCTCGGTATGTCATGTTTTAGAATGTGAAATGTGTTAGGTACAAAAAAATCAAACACAGTCTAATTGAAGGTACTCAAATGTAAAGAGCTTTATTGACTGGAAAAATAATCTTTGGCCATTACAAATTATAATGCTCCTACTTTGTTATTTCATGTTTTGGAAAGTCAAATAATATCTTATGTGGAAAATATTTGGTGAAAGAAGTATGAAGGATTAAAAAATGCTTTCCACCTGAAACTGAGGGAATCACAATCACATTCTTTGCACGTGATGGAAAATAAGGAAATTTCACTTCAGAAACTGACAAAACTAATTTAAAAATGAATACATATATACGTATATACAGTACATACATTTTGAGCTTGATGTCACAGCGGTACAATGACATAATGTTACAGGACTGCAACAGGAGCGTTTAGAGTAGACAGAAGGGCGCGTTCCTGCCGTTAGCAATGATGGATCTAAAGAAAAACTAAAAACTGTCTGTTTTTGAAGAGGAACAATGTTTATTTGCCTCCTTTTAACAGCAGACAGCAGCTCAGTCCATGTGGTCATACTTTGAGAATTCTTCACAGCATCAAATTTGAAAGGGTGGATGTGTTTGGGCCAGAAGTGCCTCTTATCAGTGTGGATGGTGCTATAAAAAAGTACCTCTATGTTTTTGATGGAGCAATATCGCAACATGGGTAAAAAGGGCCTTCCCGAGATTTCTCACATTTTTCCAACTGTTTTTTTTTTTGCAGGAGAGTTTAAGGACTGTGATAATCCAGGACATTTAAAGACATGTATGGACATTAACATTGGTCATCCAGCTAGTATTGAATTTAGAAAGTTCAAACCGTTTTAATTAATTCAAAAAGAAACGGAGGCACAAAAACGAAAACACGGCTTTACCTCCTTCTGATCCACCTGTAGAACGGTCTTCAATACATCTCTCAATTGTGTCAGCTGCTTCCGCTCCTCGTCCTGCACCTGCTTTATCTGAAAACGCACAAACTTCTGTCATTTGAGGTGTTCATATTGTAGCAGTAATGATGTGGATGATGTTTAAAAAGTGCACCGTATGCAGATCAGAGGCAAGTTTCTCTATTGACGGCTTAAGGTTGTCCACTGCCTTTAAACCATCCTGAAAGAAACTGAGACAAAGAGTTGGTTTTGTTTACACAGAGAAACCTTTACTAAGTACAGTAGTACAAGACAAGCTCACATGGAATGAATGAAACAACTTACCGGAAAAATTAAATATTCAAAAATCTTAACAGAGCAAAGAGCAAGTGACGGGGGAGAGGTGTAGGGTCAGAGTGTTGGGGCCTGTGTCGTGTCTCGGTTTCGGTTTTGTCTTGCAAGTCTGCTTTGTCCGACCCCTTTTAAACTCTGCAGTGGTCCTTCAGTAAAACATGGTTCACCTTTCTCACAGTTTTGCAGATTTGCAGTGTGCCATTTTTACAGCATGCTTCTCATGCGTTACTTGAGCGTTACTTCAACAACAATAATATATAAATGATCTCTTTTATAACTGCTAGTATAACATGACAGTTAGCATTACACACATACAGTCAAAAATATAAATGATAATAAAACAAAAATAATAATTTAATGAAACTATTGTGGCTTGTGTGCACTGCAGTGATTAGTTCAGAGGACTACTGCAGTCTTCCCGTAGTCCTTCAGCGCGGTGTCCTCTACAGCTGTATTTTAAAGTGTATGCACAGCTTTTACAAGCTTTACAAAAGTGTATGAAGTGCGTGGTGAGGGGTTTTACAGCTGCTTCTTTGCTGATTTTGCTTATTGCGTGTTATTGTTATAATGTAACCGCCGCGATTAATGAGGACAACTGTTTTGCACTTTATATTTTATGTGAAGTAAAATAAAATACAAAATTACAATTTGAAAAATAATGAAAGTAGTAAGACACTTTCAACTGTCATTCTCCACTCCTAAATCATACATATCCATTTACTTATCCAAGGGAGGGCGATGTGTTTTGCCCCACACTGAGCCACAGACAAACTAATAACATATACAGTAGGTTTTAGGCTTAGAAGAGCTTTTTTTTCTCTTATTAAAACGAACCTTCCAAGCCATAAATATAAAGACGACATAATGAACCTTTCACATTTAATATATGTTTTCTTCCCAGAGAATCCTTGCTGATCGTATAGTTGAGGAGCAGCTTTGCGAGAGAGGACTGCGTCTGAGGTAGCCAGTGTTACGAGGCATTTCAGAGTAAAACTTAATTAAGAGTAGTTCAGAGGCTTATGCAGTACAAACACTTAAGTGGCTGTGTGGGCAGAGAGCCAGAGTCTTACTTGCACTGCGCGTGGAAGTACTTGATGAGGTTTTGCAGCAGATCCACTCCTTTCTTGATCTTGATCTCATTGACTTTAAGCAGGAACTGAAATGATATAAAGCGTGGAATAGATACCAATTAACATATGGATCTTTGCGTCGCGGATGTTTTTGTGTGCACGCTCACCTCACACATCTGCAGCTGGAAAAACCTCCTCTCCTTCTCCATCTCCTCCGCAATCTCACCGCCGCTGATCTCAGTGCGGATCATCCCGTGCTGCCGGGCGTGCTCCTTTTTCTCCTTCTCAATCTTTGTTCTGACAAGAGTTTACGGAAAATGTTTGTGACGATCTGTGTCTTGACGAGATTTTCAGTCAAAGACACGACCGGCTTTTTATGGTTGTAGATTTAAACCTGGGGTACGTAAGCTTTAAGACCACAAAAATTTGTAACTACAGACATGTAATTAAAAAAAGGATCCAACTACTGTAGTTCCTGGCTTTCAAAACAGTTTGGTTATTACTAGCTATCACAGGCTTGTTGGCTTTCCCCTTCCATCTTTAGCTTTTTCAGACAGAAAAGACGGAGAGAGATAAGACCAGAGCGAGATCGAGACCAGGGAAGAACGACAGCAAAGAGAGAGAGAGACCAGAGTTCTATCACTCCTTAGATCAGCTTTTTCTCTCAGCCCAGAGCATCAAATAGTGACTCAATAGGTAAAAGTAAAATAATGTTATCGAACATACAAGATACATGAGCTAGATAATGTCAAAGAAGCAGCTAAAATAAATGTTGGTTTTCCAGTAGATTTCCAAAACAACTGTCTTTTTGTTTTTCTGAAAAATGCTTGTTTTTTTTTACCAAAGCCATAATTCTATTGTAACGTATCAATATCAAGATATGAAATGTTGTCTGTATTGTTTAGCCCTAGTCAGAGTATGATTGATTTGGGCAGGTGAGGTGTATAAATAGGATGCTACAATGCCAATGTTAGTGTGTCATTTCAAGAAAACAAAATCCTTACACTTTGGTCTCATAGTCCTTCCAGGCTTTATCAAAAGGCTTTTTCAAGTCCTGTGAATAAACAATAAAATATGAATAAAAAACAAAGTAAAGGAAAACGCACAAGTTAAAATATGTTTTAAACAGGGGTGTCAAAACTTTACAGTGGGAGGGCCATTCTAGTAAACTGTGCTAGTCCAGGGACCTAAAACCTGGGTCGTAAAACTTCAACATTTGAGCTTTTTTATGTTGTTGAGCTGAAGTAATTTCCAACGACATTTATGGTAATTTTGTCATTTAAAATTGAACTGCATGCAGCCTGTTCCCATTACCATTTATGAATGAGCCGATTTACATTCTGTCCCAGGTGCCGTGTGAGTAAACATGTTGTAGGCGATAAGAGCGAAAGCTAGTCTCCTTAAAGAAAATCTAGTTCCGGTTGCAAAAAAGCCCACTTTGTCCCAAAATACGGAAAAGTGGAGAGGAAGCAGCGCTGAGTGAAGGTCAAAGATGGGTCATAAAAACAAGGGTGCGAGGAAGGAAATGTCAAGCTCCAAAAAATCAGCAACCGGGGCTAAAAATATGGAGGTTGTCTGGGCACAGAGTGGCACTGATCGCACAGAACACACAAGCAGCTATTGTGAGAAATGTGAGACCGGGGCTTATGCCTGTGACCGCTGCTTCACTGAGCTGTGAAAAAGGACATGTCTTACCCCCTTCACTCCCTTCAGGTCTCCTTTGAGCAGGCTGTCCAGAGGAAAGGTGATGATGTTGTTCATGTTCTGAAACTGGGACAAAACAACACTTACACATAAATTATTTTTAAAGTTTTGAAACTTTAACATTCCAACCATTCCGGTTAATTTTAGAATTCTTCTTTTTTGCCCTTGTAACAGGAAGTCACAAACTAGGAATTTGCCTTGGCTCATGGTGCAAAAAAGTTATAAGTAAAAATAGCTATTAAGCTTGCATCAAAAATCTTAACATTTCTTAGAATTACTACGATATATATACTGTATGTATGTATGTGTGTGTATGTATGTTTATGTACATTATATATATATATATATATATACAGTGCCTTGCGAAAGTATTCGGCCGACTTGAACCTTTCGCCACATTTCAGGCTTCAAACATACAGATATCAAATTTTAAGTGTACAAGAAGTACACGCAATAGAAATTTAACTTGACAGTAGTACAGTATAAGGAGAGGATGTGCTACAATAGGTTATTATGTAAAAGAACATTTTCTCAACAAAAAACAATCACATTTATTTTACTTTTAAAAAGGATGACCCAAAATGTCTTTGATTAGTACAATTTGTTTTTTGTTTTTTATTCAGTCGACTGTTCGTAGCCATCTTTACCTTTGGTCCAGTTACGATTCAATCAAAGCAAAACTAAAATAAAAAATTCAGAAAAAACTAAAATCAAGACTATCCAAACCCATATCAATTAAACCGATTGTTCAAAAAACATTGATAAAGTGAAAAGTAATTACATAAATAACCACAAACACAATGGATGAGCTATAAACAAAACCTATCCCCATCAATACCCATTAAGGGATTATGAAATAACCTTGATAAATGTCATAAATGTAAACCAGCACATTAGCCCATGTTTATTTCTATGGGACTATGAGAAATTAGGCCTAAAAACCCGTACCGGTCCATCCCTAGATGCAAATGACTTAGGTTTGTAAGGTTAGAAACTAAAAGCAGGACTGTAGTAGTTCTAATATTTAATTTATCCGCCGGATCAATCATCATCTTCCTAAAATACCACTGTAACTGCAGACAGGAAAAATCAATTATACTTTCCTTGTGAAAAGTGCATTATCATTAGAGTCTGGTGTGTGCGTGAATAGATGGTGGTGGTCAGAGGGGCCGACGTCACATACTGCTTGCTGTGGCTACAGCAGTAATTCAGGACCACAGTGTATAGAGTGAATGAACAATGACATGTGAGTGCTAAAAGCGCTATATAAAACCTGATGCATTATCATAATTATAATTAATATTATTTGAAGAATTCTATGGTGTAGTTCTCAAACAGATTCACGATTATGTGAGAAATTATACTTGGTCTTCAAACTAGTAGTACAAAAATCCCATTCGTTATGATCTCACCAGGTTTTTGAAGAGGGCTGTGAGCTCTTTGGTGAAGACTGAGAACTTGAGGAAGGCTGAGCCCAGGTCGGGATCTTCTCGGCACACACAGTTTTCCCCAAACTTCTCCAGGGCCTGAGTGTACTGCTCCTCGTTTTCCACGTGAGCTAACAACAGCGTCAGGTTCACAATTACATACAGAAAATACATTCAACATGTGGCACACTACAGTCAGAAGCAGCTGAAAGTTTGAGCATAAACTGGGTAAAAACAACAATTTATTCATCACTGTCTGAAAAGTAAGCCGAGTACTGAGCAATTGGCTGAACACAACAATATTGACAGAGGTAATAATTATCCATCAAGAGTATTATAATGACGTCATGGCCTTGGAATCCACAGATATATTAGCTGACAAAACACATTTTGAGTGAATTAGAGGCACATCTGTGAATGTATTTATAGCCACACCTTGGTTTTGACTCGGATGCTCCTGCCAAGCTAACAATAATCCTTTAGTGCACTTTTAATATTGACTATTGTCACACTCCTTGTCTTTATGCTTCTATAACTGTACAGCCCAGCACTTTATCTGTAGTCAGTCTGTGAGAGTCGCTGACACCAGCACATGGGACTATGCGGAGCCGGGGCGGAGCACAGGGACCCGCTGCCATGGTGACGCTGACTGGGGCTAGAGCAGTCCCTATGACAACAATGGAGTGTGGAGATGAATCTAAAGTGGGAGACAGGCAGCTGGAGGCTCTGGGCAACTCCTTTAACATGAGGACAACTTAGTAATGAATCATCTGAACTTTTCATTGAGTCTCTGACCTGAGAGCTGCTTTATACAGGTTCAAATTAGCTGTAGCCAATTGTGAAAAGATTGCAAGCACCTTTGCAATACCATCTTTTGTAATGCACTCTATAGACTTGTGCTTAGAGTTTCGCTTTTCAGCCCGAGCCCGAGCAGGCCCAAGCCCGAGCAGGCCCAAGCCCGAGCAGGCCCGAGCCCGAGCAGGCCCGAGCCCGAGCAGCGCTTAGCAGTCGGGCCGTTCCGGGCTCGGGCTCCTTTTTATTTGTACTTTATTCATTTTTTAAAATCTTTTTATATTAATAATAATGTCCGTTGATTGACAACAAGTTATTTAAAAAGTTGATATATGTACGGCCGCAGCAAGCCATGAACGCTTCATCCCTGTTTTTCCTGTTGAATGCTACGGTCAACAGCGAACACACGGAACATTAACAGAAATGGATCAGGTGGACGTACAAAACACGTTCAGAAGTGGCTAAACTTGCAATTGGAAGGTGAGTGCGCACAACAAGGGAAATCAGATGTGTCGGGCTTCTGTCGGGCTCGGGCCTATTATACAACCTTAATTGGTCGGGCTTATACGGGCTCGGGCTTAGTATTAGCGGGCTCGGGCCGGGTCGGGCTTGATTTTTCAGGCCCGAACGAAGCTCTACTTGTGCTACACAGCAAAAAGTTATGAAAAATAAGTTAAAAATAAAACCATCTTATTTTGAGCACATATTACTTCCTTAAAACAAGATTTGCCAATGGGACAAAGCAAAATAATCTTGTTAAAATATACAAGAAATGTCTCCCTTAGAATGAGTAAATAAAGCAATAGTTCTTGAAGTAAGAATGAATGGCTTTGTCCCATTGGCAAATCTTCAGAATGCACTCAGGTTAAGATAGAAACCGCTTGATTCAAGCATTTTTTTGTCTCACTAAAGTATTACACAAGCTTCTTTAAATGTTGTCATGTTACAACCACAAACAATTTTACTTTTGATAATTTACTGAAAGGCCACAACAAAGTAACAGACAACTGAAGAGAAAGCACTTCACCTGTTCTCACTTTGCAGGGGCTTACGACACTTGTGTGTTCCTCTGCACTTTTTGTCTGTGTTTGTTGAAACATCTTGCCCAAAGGGAAAGAGCAGATTTTATAGTAGTTACCAGATGTATGATGGAATGTCATCAGTGCATCCTGGATGCACTTTTGGGTCTGTAGGTTGTTTGTACACAAGTGCAGCTGTGCTAACAACGTGCTATGCTAGGGAGCCCCCACACAGACGTGCATTTATGTTGATAAGCATGTGAAAGCGTGAAGGGCCACCATGCCTCAGCAACCACACACACATTCAGCCCTTCCCAGCTGCTCCCCGGGATCCAGGGTCCACAGCTGTCCCTCTGTCCCTGGCATATTCTTCAGGTTGTGTGTCCACGGCAGGGCAGTACGTATTGGACTGAATATAGACTGTAGGCGATTCATTCCAGACTGCATTTCAGAATAACCAAATCGAGTCTCATTTGCATTTGGCTGAACTCGAAAGTAAAGAGCTGCTCTGCTTTGTAAGTTCAGCTCTTACAGGGTTAACATGTATTAGATATGATCTAGATCTATTACTACTAATCTAGGTCGATTACTACAATAATTTGGATTATATCAATAAATTGTGACAACCCTAGTGCTAACCCTTAAATTATCTGTTTAATCCAGATCCAGGCTGCAGCCCTCACCGAGTCCAGACGTGTAGATGGTCTTCACAGACTTCTTCATCTTGTACAAAACACTACGGTCAACATCCAAGGCCTGCACACAAAGACAGAATGCAGAGAACTGACTTTTAAAATAAAATTCATAATATTAATAAAGGAAAGCCTTTGTTATTGTTCGGAGAAGTGCTAATCATGACAGTTTCCAGATATAAGGAGTCTGAATGCTTCCCTAGAGCGGCTTCTCTTCCACATCTAGTGCTGTAGTAACATGCGAGCGTCACTGGATTAAACGGTTTCACGTAATTGTTTTCTGTGTTGATTGTTCTAAACGGCTTAAGTGCAGTCAGCCGTTGTGATTCCAGAGTGAACGGCCTCCAAACTGACAAAGGGAACCGTGACTCATGAAAAGCCCTGTTACAAACCACCTCTGCAAACTCGGCAGAAATATCAGCAGTTTATTCAAGGAAAGAAAACTTCATGCCATTGGTTTGCGACATCCCCAATGAGATTTCCACAAAGTTGGACCAATTACACATTTGCATATGTACATATGCTGCTAATACCAAAGTAACCATTCTTTAAAAGGTGCCATATTATTTTATATTTATTCCCTTAACCTTTAGTTAGAGAGCGATCTTTCTCTTTCATTCTCAAGAGGCACAGGAACGAGTCGTTTCAAATTGTGACGTGCACCAGTGCATGTAAATATATGTCGACAGTATTTGCCCCAAAGACTGAGAATGAGGCAAATGGGGATCGACTTTGTTCATTTGGGATCTGCCTCTGAAATTTGTGACAAACTCGCAGATGTCTTTTGGGGAGTGACGATGACACTTAACCAAAGACCGTTCTAGAACTACAGTTACCTTGAAACTGGACCAAGTCAAAGGCTGATCTGGAAACCTGGCGGTATTTCCAACATAAAAGACACCAACAGGGAAACTCGATCTGTGAGTACAATGCAACTAACTCGCTGTAGGTCACTATCAACTAAATAATTAGGGTCTGATTCTGGATTGAGGACATAGGGCTCTATGTGACGGATTGCCATAGTTGGAAAAGGTTATTCTCAGGTCTGACATTACCATGTAACCACAAAGCTGTACAGTTAGCTTTGGCTGATTTGTTTACCTCAAACTTAGCAAGAGGCTGCGTCACTGTGCAGGTGGGAGGAGGCGAGCTCACAGGCAGAGGAGGCCTGTGAGCACGAAATGCCTATAATTTGACAAGTTTTGTATGGTGTATCACCCAAATTACTATCACACATGTGCTTAGGATGGGCCGTGAAAAATGAAAAAAGCGAAATATTGTGCAAGATTATGTTTAGATTGTACGAGAGTTTGTAATTACAGTTCCTACAGCTTTTGTGGATTTTTTGTTGTTGATAAAAATCTTGTTTACCATGTCATACACTGGACCATCAAACAGACTTGTTGTAGGCAATTTGTATGTTCTAATCTCAATTATTTTCATGGGGGATTTTTGTTAATTTTTCACTTTGTTTTTATTTCTATTGAATAATGTTTTTACACATTTGTTGATGCCTATATTGTTCATAAAATATGTAAATGTCATGTGACTTTCATGATAACTACTACGGTCATTCACCGCATTAAAGATGACACCATGGAACATAGCATATTTTCTCACTCCAGAGACCACTCTGGTACTTTACTCAAACATTCATTCACACCTGCGTCCACTGCGTATTTTCCAGGGCAGCAGTAATCTTCTTAAGGCACAACTAAAGTCCTGTTTCATGAAGCCAAACCGGGACGTGTGTGCACAGAAGTGGATTACAGCTGAAGCCTTGACACTTTCCTCTGTCCCCAGTCTGGAAGCAGCTGTCCAAGGCTGGTCTACTCCCAGGCTGGTCCCAGGATGCTCCCAGGACAGTCTCAGCCAGAGCTTAGACCCTGACTGAAAAGTGCCAAAGATTGACTGACCAATACCAGATTTTAAAGGCTGTTTTTAAGGCTGCAGATAAACATGGTATAGGGGAAAATGCTATTATGTAAGATAGATGGTGGTGGTGCACACCGGGGTAGTCTTGCACAGTTTTTCCAATGTCGTTTTACTGCAAATGGCAAATAAATGAATCTGAATCTGAATCTAGAGGAAAATATTCTGTATGTTTTTTGGTTATAGCTCATCTTTCGAAATTGTGGGGTCTTTTGTTTGTTTACCTTTTATCATTCTGGGAGGTATTTTTAGCATTTTGGGTTGGCAATTCTTTTTTAGTTGTTTTTTTCAGAAGAAAATTTGTGGATTGAGACAAAGGAGGGCCAATAATTTCAGTTGAAAAAGTCACTTTTATGGCTAATTATTGCTTTTGTTTGACAATAATAAAACTGCTTAAAACATATATTTAAAACACTTCATTATGCTAAAAAATGTAAATTTTAAATCAAATATAAATGCATCAATGCCGTTTTTCTTGTAAAAATATTGTGGATTGTTTGATACGGGACCAAAAGCTGGATAAATTATCAGTCGACACAAAATAAATCGGTATCGGATCAGTTCAAATAGTCAGCTGCATCTATAAACTGTTTGTATGGTATTAAAAGGCTCTGAAAGATACACAGTGAAATCAGTGCTGCTGAATGGATGCAAAAAACCACATTTTGGTGACAGTAGCTCAGTTAATAGAGAAGTGTGTCCTCTGATCCGAAAGTCTGATTCAAAACCTGCTACCTGACACATCAATAAATAATGCTGTCACTGTGTCCTTGGCAAGACATTTTCTCTCCTCAGCCTCACTGTCTGCGTGCACTCGCACATGTGCGTATATGGGTGCATAGTTCATTGATGTAAAGCACCTGGACGATGGAAAGATCCTATTTATAAAAAAACATTCATCATCTGCAAAATCAAGGAATGCGAGTATGCAAGAATGAAAAACTCTGTTAAGGGACCTATAATAAAACTTATGGTTCAAAACTTCTGATGCCCCCCCATAATGTAAAGCTGTATCTACTCTAAGGCTAAAACAAAAGTATAGCTTTTTCGCAACTAATCGATTATTGCAATTTTTGTATCAACCTTCCATAGACTTGAGAAGAGGTCTTAGGACACAGATCATTTGACATACGTTATGAAACTGAAATACAGCGATAGCTTTTGTGTTTATGCGTACTGGTATCAGATCCTGTATGAGTGTAATGCAGCGGCTGCGCAGCCGCTGTGCTGGAGGAACTCTGTCCATTCCGCAAAACTAGAGGCTCCACGATAACCAGTGTTGACGGTAACTTTCAATGTAAAAATACTGAATTTTCTCTGTAGGTTACAGCACCTGCTACGTCAACATTGTCAACATTTGATTGATTGGCAGACTGAGGGTGATCCTCTTTATATTGTTTTTTATAAATTTGGGCTGTTTTAAAGATTTTTACCAGCAGCTTTTATTGTGAATCATATTGTTATTGCTATTATTTCCTTCGCATGTCGAGATAAAAAAAGTCCTATTTAAACAAATGATTGATTCATCCAAAGAATAATTGTCAAACTAGTTTATCGTCAAAAAAAATTTTCATACAGCTTAAGTGCGTCTAGTCCGAGTTGTGACATCATGTGCGGAGCCTCAAAAAATGCTGCATCAAAGATCTTCCTCGATGCCCGCTGGTTTTAGGACTGTGTGAAGGACTCAAACACATGTAACACACACACACACAGTCAGGGACGTATACGCAGAAACACCATTCTGCTCATGTGGGAAAAATCTATTTTTATAAGAGACAGGGCGAGGCTGTTGTGAGCAAAAAAGTAGGGAAACTGGGCCAGAGGAGGAGCCAGTGAAAGGCAGTGGAGCCAGCGGAAGTGTCCTTCCTGCTGACCTGCACTGACAGCAGCATTGGGGATCAGCTACATGCCTGCAGTGCACTCATTTACACTCACTTAAAACAAGCACCACATTTCCCAATGTAGGAATCTTTTAAATTATTATTCTTATTTTATGTATAGAAGAGAATGCGGCCACGTTTTGGGGGCTTTTTTAGCTCCTGCTTTTGGGCAGGTACTTTCCAGTTCAAGGCTTTTGCTGACACCAGTATTTACACCGACTTACAAAACTAGAAGGGAACATTTTTAATATATTTGCATCGAACTCAAAAATATCTACATTTTTAGCCAATGTTTTCCTTGTTAACTTCCTGAGTTAAAGAAACAACGAAGATGGCGGCTGTCGTGTGGCAATATTTTACAATATCAGAAAAAGATCAGTGTTATGAAGTTTGCAATATGTGTTCCAGAGAGATTTGAAGAGCGGGTACTGCTAATATAAAAACCATCCATCCATCCATCTTCTTCCCCTTAATCCATTTCTGGGTCTTGGGGGTGGCAGTCAGAGCTCCAGCCAGTTCACAGAGCACCAGCCCCTCACTGATCCTCCTGCAGGTGGCGAGTCCACAGGGGCCTTGATTATTCAGCAGGGGCTTCAGGCAAAGTGGGGTTAAGTGTCTTGCCCAGGGACACAACGACAGCAGTCATCAGTGGGAGTCATGAAGTAGGTCTCATGATGGACTCGACCCCACGACATTCAGGCTCTAAGGCCAATGCTCTACCAACTGAGCCACGGTCCCCCCTAATATTAAAACACACATCAAAAACGTATGCCCCTGACACATACTATCTGAAGAAAAACAGAAAACTGAAGCCACCACGAAATATAAATAAATAAATACCAAAAAGAATAAACATAGACCAAACATTGGCCACCGGCCAAGTTATTATGTTAAACATCAGTATCGACCCAAAATTTCACTATCTGTGCATCCTCATTAAATTTGATGTTTGAGGATTTTATCGTTGGACTTTGGGATTTTTCTTATGAGACAACAACATAGGGTTAGTAGAAGTGTTTTTTTATCCCCAACCTAATCACATATGTAAATGTTTCAGACTGCTATGATGCCAACTCATATCAGCAGGAACAGGGCACAGGAACAGATTTGGATACAGCTCTATCATTCCTGCTTCTCATGTGTTTATGTGAACAGCAGAGAGAGACAGTGCAGGGGTAGCCTGGCCATAGCCATCCGTACACTCCGCTCAATCATCATTTCACTGCATGTAGCGTCTGGGTCTGGTCCCTGTGTTAGCAAATACAATCGGTCGTATTTCGACCGGCTACTCAGAGAGCGCGTTGTAGGTCGGTGCCAGTGACGTCAAGAGTTTGGGCCGAACGGGAAGGTTGTAGTTTGGCAATGGCGAAGAATGCGATAGTAAAGTAATCCGGTCTGGTTCTATCAAGAAATTGAAGCAGGAGCAAGAGGAATGTTTAGCAAATGTAATCGTTGGTCAAGATTGTGGCGCTACTCTCCACAGGCTCCGTTAGCGGCAAAGGAGATGGCTAAGCTAAATGCTAAATGCTAACAACTCACTCGGGCGCACTACATACGTCACGGTAAACTCAGATCCAATCGTTTCAATCTGCAAAAGGAGTTAACCCCTCCCACCTGTTCACGGAGCTCAATGAAGCAAATCCAGACCTTAGTATGAAATGAAATGTGTACTAAGGTGTGGTAAAACCAGGCTAGTGCAGGGGCATACAGAATGTATTAACTTATTATTTTGACATTTGATTCCTAGTAAGAATGTGACAGGTTTATTGTCCAAAATAGACTGGATTTACCAGAGTGCTTTGATCATGAGTCAATAGAGCGTTCAAACACCTCGTCATAAAATCATGTTGTGTCTCGTTTAAACAGTTGTCCATCAGCTTTGTTTTGTACCATCAGCTGTCGGTTAGACATTACATTACAACATGAAAACCTGCGGCTTATATTCAAGTGTGGCCTATAAGAGGGACAATTACTGTCTTTTAAAATGGAGCTGTGTGTGGTTTATATACAGGTGCCTTTAATAGTCCAGCCAGTACTGTATAATCTAATAATGCAGATGTCCTGGTGAAACATGACTGTAGAGAAAGGAATGTTTAGGGCATAGTATGATCTCATCAATTATAAACATACAGTAGGTTGATAAGTGACTTGTTTGAATAACCATTGCCAAATTCTACATGAGATTGAACACCTTGCAATTTAGTACATGCAACTATAGGGCTGTCGTCAACAAAAAAATATCACTAAAAATATCAAATATCAAAATATCACACAAAAAATATTACAATCGATTGGCTAAATATTGGGCCCAGAAACAGCAAACGATCACATATCAAGCTTAAACTACCACTCTATCTGTCACTGACCTGGAGTTGTTTTAAATTCCTACACGCCGATATCAAGAACTCGTAATTTCTAACTTATTTCTAAAAGCTCCCATCTCAGTCCTGTAATAGTATGATGTCATTGCACCACTATGAGATCAGTGTCTTTTATTGTTTTTATTTATTAGTTTATTTGACAGGGACAGTGTACATTAATGAACATTACTGTAAATGTACCAGAATTAGCCACAAGGCTATTTTCCATCCGTTGTCCCTGGACAGATTTAAAATGTCAACCTAAAAGCAAACACAACACTTGTATACAAAACAACAATGATAAAAACAGTGTACATTTACCATATATACAATTAGTTAAAAGTTAGTGTTGACAGGACTGTTTTGTAATGAACCATGATTTGAGATGAGTTTTGAACAGATTGTATGAGGCCAGTTCTCTGATGTTTGATGGGACTGTGTTCCACTCCACTTTTAAAACAAAAGTATTGTCCATAGATTCTTTTTGACAATCTCAATTTCACGATCAAGTGAAATGATGTTCTATGCATGAAAGATTTTGAGAAAAACACACACATTTACCCTTCACACCATATATTTTAAAATGACAACAATATTTCACATTCTAAAACATAAAGACAAAGAAAATAGTTTAATAATTATTAGTGAGACCGTTCTTTCCTCAGTCTCCTTCTCTGGATGCACAATATTTCTATAGGTAATGTAAAAACAACTATATTTACAGGCATAACATTACTTTCCTCTGCCTGTGAATTGAGAGTTTGACCTCAATTCAATGTCAAAGTAAATACCAAAATCCTCAGGAATCCATGCCTTCTGAATTGTGCAGTTTTCCCATAGAAATTCTTAAAATAATTGGACAACTAGTGCCACAATGCAACATTTCAAACTCTATTTTGATACTAGAAAAAGTATACTTTATACTCAATACAGCAGCGATTGTTTATGAATGCTCTCCATGTAGCACGGTGGCACAGCAGTTAGCTTCAAAGCAAGAGTTGGGTAAAATTCCACCTCCAGACAGAGTTTTTCTGTGTGGAGTTTGCATGTTCTCCCTGTGTCTGCCTTCCTTTCCTCTACCCCCTACCACTAAAGCCATGTACAAAACACAGACCTCCTATCTGGCAATCCCTCTCCCATCACTGTGTGGAGTCAGAGGAACACAGTCAATGTAAAGCACTTTGTCTGTGAAAGGCGTTCTATAAATACATTTTACTTCCTTACCTAAACATTGAAGCTGAATTTGTAATTCAGTAGTTTTCATTCATCTTTTCATTAATATCTATTTGAGTCATGTTATACTTGAATGGTTGTTTTGGCATTAGTGCAGTTTAAGCTCATTTATATTATATTTACTTACTTAATCTAAGTGACTATTCAATTAATCGATTAGTTGTTTAGATTAAAAAAGTTGGTGAAAATGGAATTAGTTTGATACTTTTGTCCTAAACAATAAATGGGAGAACATCTTTGAAGAGATTATTTGTTGTACATTGGGTTGTATCGCAAAATACTTTTCATTCATCAGTCATAACCCTCTTCTCAGCATGTTAAAGTTGATATGAGGTTAATTGATTAGTTGCAATGAATCCAATCATATGTCACAGCCCTAGCAGAGTAATAAGCGTTGTGTACAGTTTAAGCTAGATGCGTGATCGGTTACGAATGCTTTTGAGTGCAGTTTATAGTCAACTAATCGATCATGAGGGCGCGTCTTTAGTCGACCAAGATATTCTTTAGTCGAAAATAGATGGAGAGATGGAGAAGGCGTGCAGTTACCTCCTCCAGCGACGCCACCGTGTTGCGACAGTGCGACATCCTGGTGGTGAAGTTCGAGGCGGTGGGCGACTTGTAATCCTCATTGCTCTCTGCTACAAACTCCGCTACTGTGATCTGCTCCGGCATAATGGCCTCTTTGTAAACCAGGAGAACGGAATTAGCTATTTATTTAATCCCGTTTCGGAGCCACGTCTGGGCAGCAAGAAAACAAACAAAAAAGTTCACAAAAGTAACCGCGGTGAGTGCAAGGCTGTCCCCAAAACACACATCATCGCGCGGCTACCATGACCCAGGACTCTCCGCAACACTAACCCGACCACCACTCGCTCCAAGTCGGCTATGTTTCTGTCGGGGGTACCCTGGTTTAGCGTCCTGCTGTTGTTTGGCCCTTGATCCAGTCGAAATTCGTTGCTGGGGACCGCTCTCTGTGTGTGTGTATGGTCGGTTTCTTTTAGACGAGTCCCGGGAAACAACAGCGCTCTGCTCTGGCTGCACACTGGAGCGCATGGACACTGACAAAGGTGGAGGAGGGACTAGGTGGGAAAGGAGTGGCCAATGGGCAGCGGCGGGTGCTCGGATGTAGCCAATGACAGAGCGCGATGGGCGTGTATATGAGCTATACTGTGTGACGAGTTTTGTCCTGCGTATAAATAAAATAATAATATAATATATAAGATATTGATTCTATCTGAAAACACACACACACACACACACACACACACACACAAAAATCCCAAATTTGATTTCGAACATGAATTGTTTTTTACTGTGATTTTATATTTGCTTCTTTATTAGTTAGTTAGTTAGATACTTCCCGTAGGAGATATTCAGGTTTCCATTAGCAGCAAAAACACATCCATCCACACAAACGAAAAAAAAATATTATTCTAAAAAGCTAACAATAGTAATAGTACAAAGAAACAGAACTTCAGGTCACAGCAGAAGAGGTGGTCCATCCGCTGGGGGTGGAGCAGGACGGGTCAAAGCAGAAGAGATGGCTTCTTTATTATGCTAAATTTTTACATGTTATTCTTGCTTCTCTATTAAGCTAATGTTGCAGATTTTTATTTTATTTTGGTATAGAGTTATTGTTCTCTTATCTTAGTGGTGTTCTCCTCATTCCTGAAATGTCCCCACTGTTGGACAAAGAAAGAGTCTCTTAATGTTGTTATTTGAGTATTGCCCCCAGGGCAGGATGTGTTTATCAGTAAAGATGCACTATGTTTTTTATTATTATTATTCAATTCAATCCATTTTTATATTGTTCTAAATCACGACTGTCGGAATCTTGGAGGATCAGATAAAGTAAAAACAGGAGATGCAATAAAACACATGAGAGCCATTAGTCCATAGGGAGCAGTTGAATCTTGTTGGGATGTTAAATGTCCCGGATCATCACTGTCCTGAGACCCTCCTGCATTGGCAAGGAACAACTCAAAAAAGGGGGAAAAACATGTGAATGATTCATGGTGGTCAGAGGGGCTGATGAGTTGCCTTGTTGCTGTCAGTCTGCCCCAGGGCAGCAGTGGCTACATTTGTACTAAATTATCAGCTTGTTTTAAAATGCATTATTAATAATAATGCTTAACATTTCATGCAATCATATGTGAGCTGTACAATTAAAACTACAGTAGGTCAGTGGTTGTGTTGGTCTTTCAGAAATCAGACGGGTGTGCAAATGTTGTCGCCTGGTCTTACCAGTATACCATCATATTCAAAGCGTTTTTGTAAATATTTTCCATCAGTTTGAACACAATACTGAAAACTTCCTTTTCAAACTTTAGTGATCCACAAGGGGACTTGACTTGGACACTGTAGCTCAAAAAAATACAATTAGAATGGCAAAAAACCTCCAATTGTTGATTTGCCAACAAAGATCAGAGAATCAAATGGTTCAAACACAGGAAATTCAATAATATAACACATCAAAGGTAAATAAGGTGAGCGTTGAAAGATATACAAATAAGACGAATAGCAATAGTGCAATATGTGCAAAGATTCCCAGAACATTCCAAAGAGCCAAATTGTGGTGGAGGACATTAGAAAAATTGTGTACGGAAACTATGGTAACTGTCAATAGTTTAGAGCTAATTTCTCTGTAAATCCCAGGTCAATCCATGTCCAGCAGCAGAAACACATCCATCCATAAAAAAACAAATAAATACATAATTCTAAAAGTTATTGTAATGGTAACTATAGATATTATATTTGTGAATATCAAATAATTTGTAACTAATATCAAATAATCTGGAATCTGAAAAAAAATATTTTAAAAATGTTCCCATACATCTCCAACCTCACTATAATTCTACAACATGAACAGAAACTTAGGATGATATACAGAAGGAACATTTTTTTAAAGAAATGTATAAAATGTTGAAACTTTAGCTCTCCCCTCCCTGACAGAGGAGTTGTTGTACAGCTGTACGGAGTGAGTGGGGTGAATACGGTCCCGTATCAATCACTGTGGGAGGGAACCTGCCAGAGCCTGTTGGAGAGCGAGCTCCTCTGCTCTAGTATCGGGTGCAGTGAGTTGGAGACACATGATGGAGAGCAGTGTGACCAGTGTCCTCCTATCCTTTACTGTGACAAATGGCTCCAGCTCACAGCCAATCACGAGGCCCGCTCCACGGACACATGAGCCTGTATCAGTGAGTGAGTGTCCTAAAACAGACCATCCGACTCAAGACCCGATCACGTTTTCATTCTGTAGACAGTGTTTTGCCCTGCACCCCCATCCTGCACAGCCAATTCAACTCCATGCCTGAATTACAATATTGATGTACTATGATCATTTCCATTTTGTTGTGTCCTGAAGCGTATTTTGATTGCCTGCAGCAGCCAGAAATGGGCTGGCACATGATCCATCAATAAGGTCAAAAGGTTACTCTGAATGCACCTTTCCCATAATTGTTCAGTCAACAATAGACATCCAATAATCTGCTCTGTCGTCAAAACCACTTTTCTGTGGTGAGGTGCTCTTCTGGACATTGTATAATATGATCTCAAATGGATTAATCCCCATCCACTAAAAGCCTCATTAATTACACTAGAGCTGTCAGTGTTCTTGACCCTCACGTTGTTTTCCACCAAAAAAAACGGCCCAAGTCGACCTTGTTGCTCTGAGATCCCAAGAGCATGAGATGACGAGAGGATGTAGCTTTTACACTGATTGCCATAATCCGAAAAGTCATTATGCTCAATATAATTCACAATCTGTTTCACTTCCAGTCTTGGGTAAATTGCTTTGAAATAGCAGTATAAAAAAAATTGTATATTGGTGTCTTTGTAAGTGAAGCACTTACAAAGGCTCAGATAGGCAGCCTTGCTTCTGTTGGTCAACCCAAGGGCAGCTGTGGCTGTGGTAATCTACTAAGAATCTGAATTTTCAGGAAAGACAACGAAAATAATGCCTTGATTCTATATAGAACTTTTTTGGATACTCAACAACGCTTTACATGTCCTTATTTGAACGCTCTCAACACAGGGGTAGTAAAAAACTGCTACAGCCAGAGCTGCCCTGGGACAGACTGACAGAAACGAGGCTGCCATTTTGAGCAATCAACCACTCATTCACGCATGACACTCATACCAGACAATGTGGATGTCTGGAAGGATTGTTTTGTCTAACGATATAACAACAGTTTCTGCACTTTGTTCCCAGAGATCTCCTGTCACTGCACTAACCAGGCCCTGTCCTGCTTAGTTTCAGTGGTCTGTTAGTTACAGTGTGATTCATAATTAGTTTTCATAATAATACTCCAACGTTTAAGCAGTTTATGTGTATGGTATTTGCTCTGCCTTTGATAAGAATCATTTATTTTGAGCTGGCAGAGATCTCCACCATCTGCAGGTTTTTAATATAGCAAGGCCATACCTGCAGGTGAAGGCCAGATCCCGTCAGTTAAGCTAAGCAGGGCAGAACCTGATTAGTGGTGTGATGGGAGACATCTTGGAACACCAGGTGGGGCGGCTGCGGCTGAGCAGCACTGTATGACATTTTTCCTGGGCCACTTTCAAAGCTTGTGATGGTACAGGCCATCACAGGTCTCCATCACAGGCTTCTCCTTCAGATAAGAGTATTTACAGTATGTGGTGTAATCTGTATAGATGTTATTTTCCTCTTTCATAAGTTCAAACCATACAGCTGGTACTTTTGAGGAACAAACAGGTGAAGGCTGACTAACCTGTGACTTTCTAATGTTTGTATTAATTTGATATGGACTTACAGTCTATGATATGGACACAACAGTAACATTGGACAGACTAGATGCACTGCCTTCGTGTTGTAGCAAGACCATGCCAATTTTAACTCAATACATTTTACAAATATACAATTCATTAAAATGCCAACAACTCTGAACCAATTTCAGCCACAGTTTCAAACATCTGGGAAAGATGTTTCAGTCCAGTAGATACTGGCTGTATTGTCAACAATTATCACATTGTAGGCCATAATATATTACCCAACTTTCTCTGTTGTTCATGTCTTAGTGTTGGAACTTGGCCTTGAACCCACAAGCATATTGAATATACTTTCAGTAAGAAAGTTCTGGGTTCGAATCCCGGCCGGAACAGGGCCTTTCTGAGTGGAGTTTGCATGTTCCCCCTGTGTCTCGTTTCCTCACCACTAAAAACTTGTGCAATAGTTCAGGGTGAATGTGAGTGCGAATGTGGGACAATGGATGGAAATTAGACTATGGCTACAATACGGAGTGATGTGTTCATTAACATGTACTGTCCCAACCAAATAAAAAAAAACAAAAAAAACTTGTATTATAAGATGCATCATTTATATAAAAGATCATTGTAAAGGTTGAATGTAATTAGGGATTGTTGAGTTTTTATGGCTATTGAATCATTCATTTTAAAATATCAATACTTGTAATATTCTGCTATCTGAGAACTCTTTGCTCTTGTGTTGAAACCCCAAATGTCCTCATCATACCTGTCCCACCTCCTATACTGTACCTTATGACCTTTCCTTTTGTGTGGAGTTTGTAGAAGGCACCGCTAGAGGGCGGTAAAAGCCAGCAGAGGAGGGAACAGCTGGTCTGGCTGTTTGAGAACTTCAGCTGCAACTGACTCAAGCTTCAGGCTGTAGCTTTAACACAGCTTAGAGAGGTGAGAAAGCAAGGAGGCATCTGCGCTTTAGAGGTTAACACAATCTGCTGTGAATGCCCTCAACGCCTGCTGTTAGTAATCACCATGGATCTATGATATTATGATGTGTGACTTTCCTCTGTCTATACTCTATAACAAACGTTTTAGAAAAAGGAACACTTGAGTTCACCAGAATTGTCCAGAGGCCATTGAGAGACCTGAGAGAGGCCAGAGAGAGAGACCAGAGAGAGAGAGAGAGACCAGATAGACCACAGGGAGACCTGAGAAAGACCAGAGAGAGACCAAAGATAGACCTGGCCCCCACATGTCTTCTATGTAATAAAATATAATATGATACTATACATTATTCATATATGCCTGCTCTACACTGTCTATATCATCGTGTGATGGAGCTCACAGCTGTACCGTGCTGTAATGCACTATTCTCCAGTGTGAGGACTGGGCACGCTGGCCCCGCCCTCACCCCGAGTCTGTGACGAAGCGGCGCGGGGGCATAGCGCTCTGACGCACGGCTCTTTGTTGGATGAGAGCCGCTGTGACCAGTGTCCAGCCATCGGAAAAGCAGCAGCCGCGTACAGAGGATTTATCACCGCAGCAGCAGCGGCTGAGGCCACAGACCAAGCAGAAGCCGAGGACTCCGAGAGAGCGAGCCAAGCATGGCTACCCATACGACAGCATCATGCACTGGTTCCACTCTGCTGCAGCCCATCAGCGAAATCATCAACCTCCCACTCGACCAGGTATGACTTCTGTTGTGGGAAACGTCATTACAAGGACTGTTATGGTCGAGATGTCCTATCACACCGTGTGTACTTGTAGCCATCACGCCAGCTTCTTGGCTGGCAGCTATGGGCCTATTCACAACATTCCAAAACATTAGCATAGCCAAAGCTACAGACTGCGCATTTGGCGAAAGGCGTGCACACATTCAGTTAGTATCATCATCTGGCCAGCTCCAGAGACTGCCTTTGTCTGCCCCTGTAATCCAAAGGTCTCTGTGGGCCCGTAAAGAGCACCCATAGGTGTTTTTGGTCCACTCCCTTTCGATCAACCTCGTAATCTGGATTAAATAGTTTCATTTTTCTATCAGTGTAGGTTATCAGTGAGTGTGCATTTAGGCCGGCATCATTAACATAATCTTCTATGGTTCATTTTGCAGTGTTAAATGCAATACAGGTCCTGTGTATCCCAATACTCACTGGGCCTGATAATGAATGGGGTGGAGGAGGTATTATTTATGATAAAACAGGTTAGGAATCTGCCACTTTCATAAATGCATGTCATTTCTGTGGTGACTTTCCTTGGAGATTCTGAGATCCACCAAAATGAATTCTTTACATTTTATGACATAGTTTTTGAATGAACTTAACAATTAGTATAAGCCAATGTTTTACAAAACTGTTGCTGTGATCATAGAACATCAAAGTGAATGTACCTAATGATGTCAGTGCTGTTAGAAACTGTTGAGATTAAGAGTGAAGTCACAGAACAATTGGAACGAGGAGCACACAACACAATATAGAATAATATTCAGTTCACAGAGATAAACGAAAATCTCTATGTATAGTAAATGAAGAAGCCTATAAACACATGTCTCATGTTGATACAGCTCTGAGACAGTTTTACAGTAGGTACAGGACTTGAGGCAGTATGACAGCTTTTCCTGATCTAAAGTTGGCATTGCCAAAGATATGTTTATTTAGAGGCCCTGTGCTGCTAATTAGGCATGAAACAACCATTTAAATTACCGACGCACCTCTTGTTGGTAGGCATCAGAGCAAAGTCAAGATGACATTTTATCTGAAGAGAGACAGTGTGGTGTAAGGAAGATATGTGTTCTTAAAGGGCCTCTTCTTATTTAATAATTGAAAACTGAATCGTTGTTTTTCAATTACATTACACTGATGAACTGAAGCAGAGGCCTCTCTATAGATTAGCCAATTAGAAAGGGCAGCTGAGAAGCCCCAGTGGAGGATCCCAGTCCAGTGGGACATGAGGCATAACGGCACAACCTCACAGTAGTATCAGGAGTCAATCCAACAGGAAGCTAATGTTAATGTGCGATACAAGGCCTTACATCTTGATGATGTTCTTCTTTTCATTTAGATTGGGGCAGTTGCCAACAAAAAGACAGCTGCTGCCACTTTGCCTGAGGGCAGCTTTTGTTTGGAGAACCTAAGACAAAAATCTGTGAATGAAATACCACACTGAGGCGTGTGTATCCGCAAATAAGATGTGTGTATGTAATCTTACTCTGCCATTACTGCCACTTGCACAAAAACTTGTGTCCATACAAGCAAATAAAAACATTTTTGATATAGTCTTTTGAATAATTGAATCAAATGTCTCTTCTCCAAATTAAAATACTGCTAACTAAAACACAATGTTCAATGTATACTCTATGTGCAGTCTCTGGAAATAATTGCTTTTCCTTCTGGAATACACCATATTTTTGTAAGTGCAGAGGAGGAGTGTGAGGATTTGTAGTGGCCTTTGGTCAAGCTGCCCACACAGACTATGCTGGTTGCTGCTGGCCCAAGCTTGTCTAACTGTGTCTCAACAATTCTTAATTCTTGGCCAGGAGAACTTTTGGACTTTTCTCCGGGAGAGGCCAAATGTAAATGGCTTGTGACTAACCATTAGGTATATCACTTGCCCCTGAATTTAGTGAATTTGATGAGGAATAGAGATCCTCTTCCAGATGGAAGTGTACAGATGGCATGATGCTGCATTTAGGCTATTGAGGAACAAGTCTGATTGTAAACTAGTCCACACTCGGGAACCTCTCTAACACTGTTCTGCATTCAAAATACGCTTCCATGTAATTTGGGTAATTAAAGAATAGTATTGGCTCAACAATTGGGCTGAGGTGATTAGTTTATTTTCAACCCAAGTGACCCCCTTGGACTGCCACCTTAACGTGGTGGGGGAGTTTGTACTCTGATGATCCTGGAAGCTATGTTGTCTGGGGCTTCATGCCCCTGGTAGGGTCTCCCATGGCAGACAGGTGTCGGGTGACGAGTCAGACGAAGCGCAGTCTGAAGCCAACCATGGACGTCACTATCAGAACAGTGACGTCGCCCGGCCTGGCGCAGCCGGGGCCCCACCCTGGAGCCAGGCCTGAGGTCGGGGCTCGCAAGCGAGGGTCGCGTCCCTCCGCCTCCGGGTGGGGGACGAGTCTCTCACTGTTGGGACAGCCTACGGGCCTAACAGCAGTGCAGAGTACTCGGCTTTCTTGGAGTCCTTGGGAGGGGTACTGGACAGTGCACCGCCCGGGGACTCCGTTATTCTCCTGGGGGACTTCAACGCCCATGTGGGAAATGCCAGTGACACTTGGAGAGGGGTGATCAGGAAGAACGGCCCCCCTGATCTGAACTTGAGCGGTGTTCAGTTGTTGGACTTCTGTGCCAGTCACAGTTTGTCCATCACAAACACCAAGTTCGAGCACAAGGGTGTCCACCAGTGCATGTGGCACCAGGACACCCTAGGCCGGAGGTCGATGATTGACTTTCTTGTCGTATCATCTGACCTTCGGCCTCGTGTCTCGGAGACTCAGGTGAAAAGAGGGGCGGAGCTGTCAACCGATCACCAACTGGGCGTGAGTTGGATCCGCTGGTAGGGGAGGAAGCCGGTCAGATCTGGCAGACCCAAGCCTGTAGTGAGGGTTTGCTGGGAACGTCTCGCTGAGCCTCCTGTCAGACGGACTTTCAACTCACACCTCTGGGAGAGCTTCTCCCAGGTCCCGGCGGAGGAGGGGGACATTGAGTCTGAGTGGACCATGTTCTCTTCCTCTTTCGCCGATGCGGCGGCTCGTAGCTGTGGTCGCAACGTCTCTGGTGCTGGTCCCGGCGGCAACCCCCGAACCCGGTGGTGGACACCGGCAGTAAGGGATGCCGTCAGGCTGAAGAAGGAGTCCTATCGAGCCATGATGGTTTGTGGGACTCCTGAGGCAGCTGTCCAGTACCGGCAGGCCAAGCGTGCCACGGCCCGGGCTGTTGCAGAGGAAAAAACCCGGGACTGGGAGGAGTTCGGAGAGTCCATGGAGCATGACTATCGGTCTGCCTCGAAGAGATTCTGGCAAACCGTCCGGCGCCTCAGGAGGGGGGAGCAGTTCTTTGCCAACACTGTGTATGGTGCGGGTGGAGAGCTGCTGTCTCAACTGGGGATATTGTCGGGCGGTGGAAGGAATACTTCGAGGTTCTCCTCAATCCCCCCGTCCCGGAGGCAGAGGCTGAGGATGTTGGGGCGGATACTTCTATCTCCCTGGCTGAGGTCACCAAGGTTGGTGGCAGCCTCCTTGGCGGCAGCCTCCTTGGCGGCAGCCTCCTTGGTGGCAAGGCGCCGGGAGTGGATGAGATCCGTCTTGAATATCTAAAGTCTCTGGATGATGTAGGACTGTCTTGGCTGACCGTGGCGATCTGGGGCGGTGCCAATGGAGTGGCAGACCGGGGTGGTGGTCCCTCTCTACAAAAAGGGGATGCACTTTTTACTTGTATGTAAGGCGATCTTGAGTGTCAAGAAAGGCGCCTAAGAAATAAAATGTATTATTATTATTATCGGAGGGTGTGTTTCAATTATCGTGGGATCACACTCCTCAGCCTCCCCGGTAAGGTCTACTCCAAGGTACTGGAGAGGAGGCTACGGCCGATGGTCGAATCTCGGATTCAGGAGGAGCAGTGTGGTTTTCGTCCCGGTCACGAAACACTGGACCAGCTCTGTACTCTCCATCGGATACTCGAGGGTTCTTGGGAGTTCTCCCAACCTGTCCACATGTGCTTTGTGGATTTGGAGAAGGCGTTCGACCGTGTTCCCCGGGGTATCCTTTGGGGGGTTCTCCAGGAGTCCGGGGTCCTCTGCTGAGGGCCGTCCGGTCCCTGTATGACCGGAGCCAGAGCTGCGTTCGCAGTTAAGTCAGACCTGTTCCCGGTGTGTCTTGGCCTCTGCCAGGAGGGTCCTGTCTCTGCTTAGACTGCTGCCCCCGCGACCCGGCAACGGATAAAGCAGAAGAAAATGAATGGATGGATGGATGGAAGTGACAGCAGTAGAAACGGCCCATCTAGTCCTCATCACAAACTGTTCCCCTCACATTCTGTTCCTTCTGACGTCCACTCTCACTGATTCACGGCCTTCTCCGAATGTGAAATTCCTCTCGCTTCTGTCCACACGCCCATGACACTCTGCTCGTGTGGCACAAACACAGACTTCATCTTTTAAGGATAAGTGTGCGAAATCAAATTAAAACAAAAATCAATCAACATTCAAAACAGAAATCCATTTCAGTTTATTGTATTGTTAGCCTTGTGTGTTGGTAAACACATGCTGTTTGCACCTCAATCCATTTACATCCCCTTAATCCATTTCTAGGTTGAGGGGGTGGCAATCAGCTGCCACTCAATTCACAGAGCACCAGCCCCTCACTGATCCTGCAGGTGGTGAGTCCACAGGAGGATGGCTGAAGGCAAAGTGGGGTTAAGTGTCTTGCCCAAGGACACAACGACAGCAGACATCAGTGGGAGTCAGTGAAGAAGGTCTTGTGGTGTCTTGTTTGAACCCACGACCTTCAGGCTCAAAGGCTCTACCAACTGAGCCACTGTTTGCACCTGGTTTGGTTATTTTCACAAAGCAGTCAACTGAATGATTTAAATGAATCCGGTTATTGACAATATCAAAAGGTCATAAAAGTGAAATGGAGGTCAGGATAATATGTAGGGGTTCTCAGGCCTCTGCAGTTTGGCTTAGTCCAGATTAACAAATCCTTTTTGCTGAGGAGTGAGTTGTTTGTGTAAATAGGTTGCATTATTTTTGACAAGTCACTGGTTTGGGAGTGAAATCCTAAATTAACTGAGATATTTAGAGGAAAAAAAAATCTTCTCATCACTTCTTTCATTAAACAGTGGTCTTCAGTGACTTCTAGCCAACAATTGAGATCAGGGCTCATAAGAACACTGGTAACTAGTACTTTTATACTATTATATCAAATATCTTTGGTTAGTGCAGCTAATAAACATTTAGAGCTGTAGTTGTGTCCATAATAGTTATATAACAAGTTACGACCATACATCTCTGTCCCACATTTTGAGTTAAGAAGTAAATTACTCTGTAATTGGAAAACGGTTATAGTAATTTGATTACTCCTGTAAATAGTAGATTTCGCTTTCCTGCCAGTGTATAGTTCCTTGGCTATGTCTGAGAGACGTGAGGACAGACTGAGACAATCTGAAGGCCTCATGAATCATGCATCCGCTTTAGATAATGAATGGAGCCTTTCGCTGCTTGTGGTCAGACGATCTGTGCATCTGCATGTGAGGAACAATGTCAGTGTGAGGAGAGGACCACATGAACAATGCCCCAAGTGTTGTTTTGGAGATGTGGCCATACATGACATAAAATATCATGAAAGTGCAGTATATTTCAGAAACCATGACCTACTGTATGTCTCTTAGACATGTTGAACATGCCGATATACATCTTATACTAATGTTTTCTAAAATACAGTCGTATTAACTTTAACGTGAATCTCACAACTTTACTAAGTCACTCCTGTCTGCTCACACCCTGTAAAGTACTGCTTTCTTGCTTAGTTACAAAATTATGGGAAAGGATGGAAGAATCACATGAATCTCAAAATAGGATTTCAAGTTTCAGCGGAAATCCAGTAGCCTTTACCCCAAGTTTGTCAGTCATGTCTTTAATAAAAAAGTGAGTATTTGACATCATTTCATTGCATATTTAATGCACAAAACTATGTTAAAAATGACTTTGGCGCTGTTGATGGATGGACACTGAAGAACAATTAGATTTGGACCAAACCAAGGGACAATCAATGGAAAGAAGAAAAGCTTACACTATGCATTATCTGCCCACATCTGCAGAGGAGCACACATAAAGTGGTTCTAATCACAGTTACAGGCTTCTGTTGTCCTCCGAATGGATCCAGTCAATTGCACCATTGTCTGCAAAAGTCCATGGAGTTGCTGTAGTCACTCACTCACTCTGGAACTTGAAGCGTTTTCGGTAATGTCAGACTTCAAATAATCTTTCATAATTGATTAGTTAGCAGATTTATTGTTTTTATTAATCCAAGACCCCAGTGAACGGTCAGTGCATATGAGATTTTACCCCTAAAAAGGTCAAGTGAAGAGAACATCTTCATAGAGATGACTTAAAACAGTGCTTGTTGGACTATTAAGCTCAGCAGCTAAATTTGATAAAATACATTTTTCCCACATAGGCCGTAATTAATGGAGCAAAACAAAGCCGATAGATGACTGTTGTAAGTGGACACAACAAAACATTATTTAATGATGAGCTGTTTTAATGCAACGTTTGTTACGGACAAAGCTTAATGTCAGCACTCATTTACTATCTGTGTCTGTTACCTAGTAACGTGCTAAATTTGGAGGAAAAAGGGGAAGCTTATGAGTCGGAGCACACCATCATGTGTCAGTCACATGCTATGGAGCTGATTTGTTGCAGGAAGAACTGGTGAACTCCACTATTTTATTTGCTATTTTATTTAATCTATTTGAACTGCATACATTATTGAACAAATCATCATGTACACAAATCATAAATGTGCCAGATTATAGCAAAACTTCTTATTTTCATCTGTAGTCCTGAGGCACTTCACACAAGTCAAAAGATGTATTATTGGATACTTGATTCATTTATATTTGAATAATTTGATGAAAACGTGATGAGGGTAAATGAAAGAGTTCAAGCAACATCTCATCTCATCAGTTATTCACCACATGTTTTGCTGATTTCGTTATTTATGTGAAAGTATGGAGGAAAATTGTCTTTACACGTATGTCCACTCAGTGTGCCCAGTGCAACATAGAAAAAAAAAACCTGTGTAATAATAACAATGAAATATAGAGCTAAGGCAGCGAGTAAGAAAGCAGTCACAAGCAAATGGCTGAAGCCTGATCGCCCAACAGTCTGGATTGACTGGATTAGTATTGTCAAAGAAATTTACAAAATGGAAAGAATCTCCTTTCTCATCAAAGTGAAACTGGATGCTTTCTACACCCTCTGGTCTAAATGGACAGAATATGTGAAGCCTGTTCATACAGACTTTATGTAAAAATTCTCAGTAAAATGTCCCGTGACTGCAATATTTGTACTCCCCACCATGTTCACTGATGTTTATGTCTGTTTAGAAAATGAAAATATGTGAAAGAGCAAGCTTACTGTAAATGTATACAATGTAACTTGGAATGTACAATATACTTTTTCAATAAAAAGTGAATTTGAAAAAGAAATAAAGACCTAAGACAATCCTCAAAACAATGAAGTGCTTGATCAACCTCCTAAGTGTGTTGTCAAACTGACAGCAGCCTGAGCTTTTATAACAATGTAGTTTGTTTTTGTCCCATTTGACAAGGCTACACCAGGAAACCCTCCTCCACAGCTTACGCTTATCAAGAACAACATGAGACATTTGTCTTTATCTGCTCCTCCACATTTCTTTTTTTAATTGAACCTGATTGATTTGTAATAAGCAGAACAGCAAGACCTGCATGTGCAAAATTCTCCTGAGGTCTTCTCCTGGGTTTTATCCCGTGTCAGCACGGACCTTGCTAAGTGGAGCATCTGGGTGTGTTTTCTCTTGATCTACCCCACCACCAAACAACATGTGGCATTGGTGAAATTCTCTAGCCCCAGTGACTGCTATTGACACGTCCTAGTGCGGACCCCGAACGGTGCCTGCAAAGCATGTTCCAAAAAAGACATTGGTCACTCGGTTGCCTGTTTGCTGGGCTCCATCTTATCTATCCTTCTCTCAATGGCGTTTGTGATAGAGAGGAGTCGAAGCTTTGTGATCTTTGTCTAAAAAGAGCTTATCTTAGATCTGACTCACTAAATAGTTCAGTTACAGAATGAGGAGGAAACATGTCAATGTGTGCGGAAAATATGGACACAATTGAAGACAATCTGGCAGCAATGCACCACTGTTCATGCCCATGTATCAATCGATGTTTGAAACCAGCTACGACTATTATTCCTATGTCTTCCCCACATGTTTAATTAACAAGGCCGTTAGCTGCTACGTTACAGATCTGAACCAGGATTGAGCATGCAGGAATGAAAGAGGCAGCTGGGTACTGGACTTTTTGTGTTTTAAGTGTTTTTGTCCCAAAAGATTCAGATTCAGATTCATTTATTGGCCATGTGCAGTATAAAAACTACATTGGAATACATTTGCAAAAAGAGGTACTCTGTGTGCACCGACAGAATAAAAAGCACGATACAATGTATTATAAATACACATACACTGAATATAAAATAATAAAAAAACAGCTGACACTGTGGCACCGATCAACAAAACAATACAAGGGGTAAAAGCAGGAATTAAAATGCTCTGTTTAGGCACCTAACAGCCTGTGGAAAGAAGCTGTTAGCATAGCGAGATGTCTTGCATCTCAGTGACCGATATCTTCTGCCAGAGGGAAGAAGCTGGAACATGGCTTTCCCAGGGTGGCCAGAAGAGTCACCGATGATTTTAAGAGCTTTGTTTAAAAGTCTGGATTTGTAAAGAACCTCCAGAACAGGAAGCTCACAGCCCACGGTCCTCTTTGCAGAGCGGAGCACCTTGTTTAAAGCTCTCTTTTCTTTATCTGTGATGTTTCCAAACCACACAGACACAGAACCAACAAGTAAACTCTCAATGGTGCAGCGATAAAAGTTAAGCAGAATCTTAGAGTTAGTGGTAAATTCTCTAAGTTTCCGCAAAAAGAAGAGCCGCTGACGAGCTTTCTTAACAACCCGGTCAGTGTTTTTAACCCATTTCAGGTCGTTAGACAGAGTTAAACCCAGGAACTTGCACTCCTCTACGATCTGCACCTGGGAGTTGTCAATAACAACAGGAGTGTGAGAACTGCTACGACTGAAGTCAAAGACAAGTTCACATGTTTTTGCAGTGTTCAGCTGGAGATTGTTTACTTTACTCCACTGAAAAACATGTTCGATCTCTGCTCTATAAGAGGAATCATCATTGTCACTGATGAGACCGATGATGGTGGTGTCATCAGCATATTTGATGATCAGATTTGAGTCAGAGGAGGACACACAATCGTGAGTGTACAAAGTAAAAAGCAGAGGACTCAAAATACATCCCTGGGGAGAATAAATAAATTATTAAATCATTATTAATTATTATTATTAATAAATCAGAGCATAGTATGCATTTATCTTATTAGTTTTGCATCCTAAGGAGGAGCCATATAAGTCACTATTTTACGCTTTAGGCAGAGAGCTTCTGATTGATCGAGTAAGGTTTTTGAAAATGCTTATCTGAAGGATGTGACAGAGGCCAAAAATAGCAATAGAACTGTTTTAGGTTCATTAAGGTTTATGACATAGTTTAACATGGCTGGAATCATCAATAGTAAACACATTATAAATTAAGCCAATAAGAGGATAAATAACATCCCCTTTCTAATAGACTGTGAAATCAATATGTAATAGTTGAACTTCCATGTTGAAAAATGAAATAATCAGGGTCTTTATACAATTTCACGTTTTTGATTGTTGAGCCCAATCCACAATTAATTGCAATTCAACTATACATACTAACCATCGAGCCATTTGTTAATCTTCAGGTATTCCTCGGTTTCATGTGAACCTTATCTTCATACTTGCTGTTTACATTGTTTTTTTCAGGTGAATTTTGTGGCCTGCCAACTCTTCGCACTTCTCATGGCTTTATGGTTCCGGATCTACCTCCATCCCAGTAAGAGCAGCCCTTTTGTTCGGCATGTGGTGGCCATGCTGCTGGGCTTCTACCTGGCACTGTTTTGCTTTGGCTGGTGAGTGTCAACCTTCACTTCAGGCCCAAGAATATTTTTCTGTTTTAGCAATAGTTGTGTCTACGTGCGAGTCTCTCTCTGGAGACAGACTGCGACTGAAGAGCACTTGCTGAAAGCTCTGCCCGTATTGTGACAGACGATCATTTGCATGAGACCAGTAGCTCTGCACTCGCCGGTGTAGTGTTTCACAGTCATCCTGAGGTCGTATTCAAGTGAAAGCATAGACACAAATGTACAAGCAATTTCAAAAACAACACTGATGTACTTCTCTTGTCCCACACTTCTCTTCCCGGACTCTTGACTTGATAATAAAGAATTAGTACTCGACTAAGATCTTTTGATGTTCTGAGAGCTGGACTTGACCTGGGGTTTAGCCAGGAGGACATTGAAGTCCACGCAGACCCTCTGTAGCTACTTTTAAAGGGATCATTCAGTAAAGAGATATTTGCTGTCTGATAATGTCGCAAATAAGCAGATGAGTGTGCCGCTCCCACTGACTGAATTGAGAAGTAAACCTGGAAAGAAAAGGAGAAAGGTTCATGTGAAATTGGATCTACAATAATCTTTAGTATTGTGTTGGCTATACATTGCAAAATGTGCCTCATAGTTTGTAAGAATAAAAAATCTATCAAACAAACGTACTGTATGCGTCATGAGGACAACATTTTTGTCAAACTCAATATTGCGATAATCTTGTCTTTATCTCATGTCTCGTCCCATCTCTACTTTTAACCACTTCTTTGTAGGTGAATAATAACATTGTTGCTTACTGGCAGAAACCATTTTTTACCCTTCATCCTTTTTTTATATAATATATTTTCTACTTGAGATATTATTTCCGATTCTAAAACATGAAGGAAATAGTCATGGCCAAAAAATATTGCAAAATGTTTTCAAAATTGTTGAGCAGTGAGTTTTACAGCAGTGCCATGAGGAGAGCAGCAGGGTCCATCAGTGTCCTTACTGTACCAAAGGCCTCCCGTCTGTCTCCTCACAGGTACTCCCTCCACTTCCTGGTGCAGAGCGGTCTCTCCTACGGCGTCATGATCTTTGCTGGTTTGGAGAACATGCACAGGTAAGTCCAGTCATTGCTTTTAGTACCTGCACATATTCATTCATTCACTGCCCTGACTGACCAATAAAATGACATGTCGGTGACATCATGCTCATACAGTATATATGGGGGTGTCTCTCACTGGGGGCTCTCTGTCTGTGGACCCTCTCTGACAAGAACATGCAGTTTGCCAATGAGGAGAACATGGGAGTGGACGGCGTGGTCCTCTACATGCTCCATTGGTCCGTGTCCTTCCTGGAGGGCCCTGAAGGCTATGTGAGGCTGATGTTCTTCGAAGTCTTCAGGCCTTTAACACCATCCAACCTCTCTTACTGAGGGAGAAAGATTGCAGCGTTGATCCCATATTTACCAACTGGATTTACAATTACCTCACTGTGCGGTCACAGTATGTCAGGTTAGGGAAGAGCGTGTCTGGGACTGTTGTGAGCAAAACGGGAGCACCACAGGGTACCGTTCTAGTTCCCTTCCGCTTCCCAAGTTACACTGCAGACTTTGCCCACATCTCTGCTACATGCCATGTACAAAATACTTCGATGATACCGCTGTTGTGGCATGTGTGAAGGCAGGGGGATGAAGCGGAGTACAGGGAGGTGGTGTCTGCCTTCTCAGACTGGAGTGAGAGAAATGGTCTGATCCTCAATGTGTCCAAGACCAAGGAGATGATCATTGACTTTCACAGGAGCCCTTCCCATCAACCGGTCACACTAAATGGACTGGACATCGAAGTGGTACAGTCTTACAAATACCTAGAAGTTCACCTGGACCACAGACTGGACTTGTCAGCTCAGGCAAATGCTGTCTATGATAAAGGTCAGAGCAGACTCTTCTTCCTGAGAAGACTGAGGTCCTTTGATGTTGTCATATTTTACCAGTCTGTTGTTGCTAGTGCCGTGTTCTTTGGGGTCGCAAGTTGGGGGCAGTCTGACCTCGAGAGACAGGCTGATCAGGAAATGTCTTTCTGTGATGGGAAGAAGTGTGGACAATGTGGAAGCTGTGCTGGAGAGAAGGATGAGGGCTCTAATGCAGGGCATCCTGGGTAACTCCAGACACCCTCTGCATGACACTATGGCCGCTCAAAGGAGTAATCATGGCAAGAAGCTTGTATCCTTTGTTCCTTTGGTTGTCAGACTGTACAACAGACCTGTATGAGTCTTGGCTGCTGGACACCTGAATTTCTCCTATGGGGGATCCATAAAGTATCTATTCATCTACCTAAGATAAGATAAGATATTTCTTTATTTGTCCCAACAGTGGGGAAATTTCATTGTCATTGTTGGGCACATTACAGCAGAGAAAGAAAGAAATAAGGATTCGGCACTCGGATTGAAAAATATCTATTGAAAAAAGCTGGGGGCCAGAGCCTCACTCTCCCATGATATGTGTTTGTGTGTATGTATGGTTTATGCCCTGTTCAAGAAGGCCAAAGTTGCCTCCACCTTCTGAGGAGTCTGAGGTCCTTTGGAGTGAGCAGGCCTCTGCTCACGACTTTTCATGACTCTGTGGTAGCTTCTGCCATACACTTTGCTGCCGTGTGCTGGGCCCTGGACAGCACAGAGCGGGACAGGAATAGACTGAACAAGCTGGTCAGGAGGGCCAGCTCTGCTCTGGACCACCCCCTGGACTCTGTGGAGGAGGAGAGGGACAGGAGGGTTCTAGTCAAAGTTACTTCCAGTATGGACAGCACCTCCTATCCCCTGAATAGGACTGTAGACCGTTGTATGATTTTTTTCAGATCTCGTGCAAATAAGGCTCACGTACAAAGGGTTGAATTAATTTCCACTCCTTTTGTAACAAAAGGAGTGGAAGAGTGACACACCCTCACACTCAGAAAAAATGCAGGACAGTCAATAACTATGATGACAAAGATCTACAAGCACACTCGCTGTGGGGAAAACAGCAGATATATCTGGAATATGAATCGCCTTTGCCCCAAACCGGTCTGACCACTCATGTTCCAGTCCACATGCATCGTCACATGATGAACAGGCTTTGAGACGAGTACACTCTTAACTTTAAACTTTGCTAATCAGCATCAATATGTCGCAATCCTATGATGTCACCGCCTGATCATTGTGAAAAGCAGCTGAAAATAATGAGAAAATCCTGGTATCTAAGGTAATTGTCAAAAGTCAGATTAGTCTTAGTTTAGAGGTAATTTTTCATGGACTACTCCACATGAAACAAGAACTTTCACAAAGTTCCACGTCTTCTTTGTCAGCACATATCAACTATGTTCTCATTATTTTCTCATAAAGGTGTCTCTAAGTGGTGACAATAGTCAAAAAACATATGCATGATGTGGCCAGTAGAAGGTACTGTCAGATATCAGAATCTGACAGTACAAAACATTTTGACTATTAATTTTTCAAAATTTCTTTCAAAAAGGCCGTCTTTGCCACAGAGACGTCTTGGCACCTGCCCTCAAACTGAAATAGAATTCTAAAACATGAACGCATCCTAGTAAGTACATTTCCTACTATCGCTTAATTTTGTACCAGCATGTCCACACTAAGGCCCGAGGGCAAATTGCAGCCTGCTGTGTCATTATATGTGGGCCTCCCCCTTGCTTACAAAAAGAACCATTTGAGATTATGAAAACACAAGTTCAAAGTCCACCAGCCAACTTCAGCGCTACCAATATAGGCATCTTATACCTTGTTGTAAAGCTCAGTGCCTCTTGAATCCATTAATTTATATATATACTTACATGTATTTTTCCATTTTCTCACAAACTTCTGTCTATGGCACTGATGTACCTTTTTATAAGAATAACCTTCGTCATTCATAGCTCTCATACCTAATTTTTCATCTCAAAATGGGCTTATTCCAGTTTTATGTCCATGTTATCGGCCCCTGGACAAGTCTGGGGAAATAAAGTGGCCCTTTTACTAAAGATGTTGTTACAATTGAGAAGACAATTCAAGTCCAAATGTTTGCTATACCGTGAACTTGGATGTATCTAGTAGTAGTAATCTGCTTTGAGGTTACATGAGGCTATCCTCTGTGTACTGAGCAGCTTGGGTGACTCGGACAGCGGAATATCAATCATCGTGCCCAGTAGGTACCAGTTTATGTGTTTGATCAATGCATTTATATTGGACTAGTCCAGTTCTCCAGTTCAGTGGTTTCAGATGAGTGATTGAGCCTAAGGGACTACCCTGTGGAGCTCGCTGATCTACAAAAACATAAATACACACATTTGCGAGCTCCGTTAGCAGGTGGAAGGAGTTAACTCGTTTTCCAGATTGAAACAATTGAATCCGAGTTTACCGTGACGTACGTAATGCACCCGAGTCAGTGAGGTCTTTAGTATTTAGCCTAGCCACCTCCTTTGTCACTATTGAAGCCTGTAAAGCCACTACATTTTTGCCTTGAAACATTTAGCATTGAAATTTACTAAACATTCCTCTTGCCCCGGCTTAAATTTCTTTATCTGGGAACCGAACCAGAACGGAAAACTTTACTCCGCCATCTCCAACTACAACCAGCAAATTCGGCGAAACACTTGACCTTAAACTACAACACCCACTTCCCGTGGGAGGCCAGTCCCTGTCCCTGTGAGGAGCACAGGGACCGCCTGCTGGGATTCTGAGGAGCACAGGGACGGGCCTCATTTGGTGCCCAAAGTCGGGAGTAAACATGGGAGGCAGTATATCATTTTTCTGCATATAAAATTGGGAGCAGTCTTCCTGAAAATGTTAGACAGCCTTCTACTCTGACAATGTTAAAATCCAGGCTAAAAACTATTCTTTTTAGCTGTGCATACAACTGAAATATTGTATCCTTGCTATTTTTAATGTACTTATGGTCTTGTTTGTATCGGATGATACCGCTGTTGTGGTATGTGTGAAGGCAGAGGGATGAAGCGGAGAACAGGGAGGTGGTGTATGCCTTCTCAGACTGGAGTGAGAGAAATGGTCTTATTCTCAATGCGTCCATGCTATCTAGAAAGGTCAGAGCAGATTCTTCTTACTGAAAAGACTGAGGTCCTTTGATGATAGCAGTCAGATGTTGTCATATTTTACCAGTCTGTTGTAGCTAGTGCCGTGTTCTTTGGGGTTGCGTGTTGGGGCGGCAGTCTGACCTCGAGAGACGGTAACCTGCTCGACGGGCTGATCAGGAAATGTGTTTCTGTAATGGGGAGAAGTGTGGACTCTGTGGGAGCTCTGCTGGAGAGAAGGATGAGGGCTCTAATGCAGGGCATCCTGGGTAACTCCAGACACCCTCTGCATGACACTATGGCCGCTCAAAGGAGTAATCGTAGCAACAGGCTCCTATCACTACGCTGCCGAGTTAAGAGATCCTTTGTTCCTTCGGCTGTCAGACTGTACAACAGACCTGAATGAGTCTTCTGCTGCTGGACACCTGGCCCGATATGGTAAACCTGTGAATAGGATTTCAAAGGAATCTAGATTGGTTTTGAAGGCTACTCTTGTTTGGCTTATACTCTGAGGAATATGAAAACACATGATTAGAATGTTGAAATGTGTTGAATTTGATTGCTTTAGGTTTTGAACTGCAGGAGAGCTGGTTTTGAGCTCTATCTCTGAGCCCGACCAGTTTGGCTGTTATTTGATGCCTGTGGGACATTTATAGTCTGCACTTGAGTCTATGTTGGGTGTGTTTGGACACTTAGCTGCAGGCTGGTACTAAGCGCTCTTTTGTGTCTGTGTTGACATTTAGGCCGGCGCTGCCCTTTGTCCACGTTCTCAACCAACCCCTGTTTTAAGAATATTGGCAAAAAAAATTTTTTTTGGGGGGAATCACCTGAGCTTTGTTGTGGTTAAATGTAATGAAAAATTTACTGAGATTTGGAGATTAAAAATTGATGAATGATCATAACAATCGTTCATTCCAATGGCAAAGTGTGGCTACTGTAGTTTTCCACCACTGTGTACGGATTTAATAAATTATCTTTTAGTCTCCAAAAAATGCCATATAAAGCCGTCGTAATGTTATTCATCTCACACAACCATTGTTTTCAGAAGTGCTTATCTTTGCACATTTTCTGTGTCCCAGGTACTGCTTCATCGTGACGTTGGGCTATCTGATCCTCTGTCAGATCACTCGAGTCTACGTCTTTGACTATGGAATGTACTCTGCAGATTTTACAGGGTAAACTCTGTGCAGACACCATGCACACACCATGCACACACCATGCACACACCATGCACACACCATGTACACACCATGTACACACCATGTACACACCATGTACACACCATGTACACACCATGTACACACCATGTACACACCATGTACACATCATGTACACACCATGTACACACCATGTACACACCATGTACACACCATGTACACACCATGTACACACCATGCACACACCATGCACACACCATGCACACACCATGCACAATGTCCATATCTTCAAAAAAAGTGATGGAAGAATGACCAGAAACTACTTTTGAACAAGCCATATCTCTATCAGCTTCCTAATTATCCAAATATCTAATTTTCCTGTTTTATTTGTTAAACAGGATATGACACTTTCTCGCAAGAATTTAGGAATGTTTTAGTTGATTACATGTTCTTCCCAGTCTGAAGTGACACACAGAGCTCCACTCACACATCAGGGCAGAATGACATGTGCTTTAACGGTTTCATCAAACAAACATGAAAGTGGTGAAAGTCCTGACTCTGTTCTTGTGACAACAGGCCCATGATGGTTATAACGCAGAAGATCACCAGCATGGCTTTTGAAATTCATGACGGTAAGAGATGGACATGTGTTCAGTCATTACTCATTATTTTGTAAGGGTTGAAAAATGAATTTTTACAGAATCGCAGATGGACCTTGTTCTCTTCGGTTAATGTTACAGCCAATCACACAAGGCCTAGTCTACACTGACACTGTGAACATTATTATGTAACTCAGTACAGAGGCCGAGGGTCTGGGAGTGAGAGGACTCAACCTGGCCAGGGGAGGGGGTATCTATGTTTATAGCACATTTTATAAACAAGAGAGTTTAGTTTTCTAAGTGCTGTAATAAGTGAGTCATAAAAAGTCACATAAAATGCCCTATTTGTTTTTATTAAGACCATAAAATCAGTCAAATCAATTGCGAGCGTAATGTTATAAAAACATGAAATAACAATCAAATTAATTACAGAATATATAGAAAAACACAGAAAACCATGGAATATACGTGGTTCATAAAACAAGAGTTAAAGAAATGTTTGTCTCATCTTAGGCACGACCACCAAGCTTGCGGGATGGATGGTAAATTTGAAAGATTTACTGTGACACCATTCCGTTCAAAGCTTACAAAGATACCATTTTAAAAGGATCTCTAAAAGAAACTGGGAAACAGTGCAGCGAGGCTAAAATGGGTGTAATGTGGTCTTGTTATTTGGCCTGTTTCTTTTTACAGTATACAATACTATGATAATAAGATTCAAAATGTGATGCACTTTTCTTCAACAAACACTTTGATAATTGATGTGTATTTTAAACATTACATTATACCTATGGAGTACTGTCTGCTATAATGTGTTCGGTTTGTTTGATTAGAAATACTGAGTGTAATGGATTGAGTATTGCTTTTTAAAGGGTCATTATTCTATGTGTGTGAAAACAATGCATAGTTGACCTTGAAGTAAAAAAAGGCAAACATATATTGCTGAATGCTCCCTTTTTAAAGAGATTTCATCCCCATTTACAACAAGGACACAATATGATTTCCTGATCTTTTCTGTTGAAGGTTTGACAAAGCGCGAGTCACAGTTGAGCCCCAATCAGAAATACCTTGCTATCAGGTACGTGTCATCTGTATCATCATCCTCTCTGTTAAATCAAGAATAACCTTGGTTTTATATACACTCAGTTTTGGTGTTAGAACATGACAAAAATCTGTACTGTCTCAAAAAGTGTATTTTTGCAGTACTGTATACATGTGATGTACTATACTGTACATATATTTGCAGGAGGATGCCCAGCCTGCTGGAGTACCTCAGTTATAACTGTAACTTCATGGGTATTTTGGCTGGTCCCACTTGCTCCTACAATGACTACAAGGCTTTCATTGAGGGCACAAACTACCAGCCTCGGCATCATGACAATGCCAACGGTAAAGAGAATGGCAAATGGAAGCAGAGTGAGCCCTCTTCTCAGGTACAGTCCCGTCTTTGTGCTCACTATAGGGACACTATGTAAGATGTTACTTTTAAAGCTACATCTGTTATCTGTGTCCCCAGACTCTAGCTCAACACGTACATTCATATTCAACACCATCTCATAAAAAGGGAAAACAAGATTAATTTGTGGGCATGATGGCATTATCCTTTTATGTTAATGATATTATGGTTCTATCTAAAAGCAGAATGAGCCTCTCATTTTGGGTTGCCAGTGTCTTTGGTGAAATCAAAAATTATGTTTGGTCTCAACTAAAACCTTCACATCTGTTGCACATGCTGCTGAGTCTGAGTTGAAATTACCTGAGACTGTGCATTGTATATACTGAGCTTTCATTTTGTTACACACAACCCTTTTTCATCAACTACCCCCTGAATGACGACTGTACAGTCCAATGCAGAGGTGTCTACAGTAACTGTGTTCATGGAGGACCACACAGTGAAAAAGCCTCTGATCTTATATTTTCATCTGAGATTAGCTTAGATACATGTACTTACTGGATTTCTGAGGACCAGAAATGTCAATTTTCTTTTAGTCGAGTGTCGAGTCTGGTTTATTATTATTGCATCTATTTCAATGTTTTCTTCCTATCATCTGGGTACCCTCCGAGCTCTGAAATCATGTTGTGATTAGTAAAGAACCACATTATAAGATAAATTGTAGTTCTTGCAGTGCACATACAGGACAGTAAGAGCACTCAAGGAACACACAAAACATACTTTGATATGTATGTAACTTCATCTGCAGAAGTACAGTGATGCTGGAGTATTAAGCCCCTGGTCCGGAGTCAAAGAGCTGGTGAAGGATTTGATGTGTATCACTGTTAAACATCAGCACCACTGACACCGTGATCACTGATTTCTGTGTCACACTACTGGTGTGTGCAGTACGGTAACACAAATAATTTCTCCTTTATCTCTTTCAGAACGCTGTGGTGTCCAAACTGTGCACATGTGCAGTCTCACTCGGGGTGTACCTGTCCCTGTGCAAAGTGCTCCCAGTGGAACATGTCATTAAGGAGGAGTTCCTCTCGTCTGTGCCAGTCTACACTCAGGTTGTCTACCTGTATCTGGCCATGCTGGCGCTCAGGCCCAAGTACTACTTTGTGTGGACGCTTGGTAAGTAATCATCCAAAACTGCAATGTGCCTGCCCACAGCTCACCTGCTCTTTCTCAAGCCTCACTTGAATTAAGGACTTAGGGTAGAACACTAGGGTCAAATTTCCGACCTAAACGCAAAAATACTTTATCAATCCAGTGTTTGCTCCATGTAAAGCACCCCCTGATTAACATAATATTTACTGTCTATGTATTAACATGCATGCACCACACTAAGAAAATGACAACTATGGCGTCGTACAGTGTTGTGAGTCACTGACACTCTTACAGCAACATCTGTTTACACTTTTTTGTAGAAGTGAACCCCTCACTTCCCTTCGAACCCCTCCATGGAAATCGGGTTTTAATCCCAGTCTAACTCAGCGCCACCAACAGACCTGGCATAGCCTGGTTGTACCACACCTTAGTACAAATTACATTTCATACCAAGGTCTGGATTTGCTCCATTGAGCTACGTGAACAGGTGGGAGGGGTTAACTCCTTTTGCAGATTGAAACGATTGGATCTGAGTTTACCGTGACGTATGTAGTGCGTCCGAGTGTGTTGTTAGCATTTAGCATTTAGCCTAGATATGCGATTACATTTGCTAAACATTCCTCTTGCTCCTGCTTCAATTTCTTGATAGAACCAGACCAAGTTACTTTACTATCGCATTCTTCGCCATTGCCAAACTACAACCTGCCCGCTCGGCGCAAACTCTTGACGTCACCGGCACGTCGTACAACACCCGCCTTCCGCGCTCTCTGAGTAGCCGGTCGAAATACGACCGATTGTATTCGCTAACCCAGGGACCAGACCCAGACGGTTACATGCAGTGAAATGATGATTGAGCGGAGCGTACGGATGGCTATGGCCAGGCTAGGCCTGGCATGGTTTCACAGCATTTTCAGACCTATTAACTTCATTAATGTGAACACAAACACACTTAGAAACATTTTCTGTAATTAAAGCGTTTTGAATATATTGTCGGGATGTGTAGGCATTCATAATTCCTGTGTTTGAAAGCCTGATCCCGGGCAGATCTCTGAAACTGAGCTGGTCAGGGCCTGGTCAGTACTGTGATGGGGGACCTATAGGAACACCATGCGCCACAGTGGAGCTGCTGCGGATGTACATTTTTGTTATATCTTTAGCAAGACCTTTCACCTAAATTTCCCAGAATGATTCTGGTGAGTGTGTGAAATGAATAATTGGTGGTGGAGGAAGAAGCCAATTGTACCTACTGGTTTTCTCCAGGGCAGCTCCGGCCACAGTATTAGTTTAATGAGAAAAAAAACAAAACAACACATAATAATAATATTATTATTGTTATTATTCCACTCCTTTATGTTTCTGTGGGTGAATGCAAAGATGGGTGAGGCATGCAACGTTATTCAGTATATTAAGATATTCAGTGCCATCTAGTGGCACCCTCTGTTACTGCTGATGCTTGCACTGGTATACTTACTGATTTTTGTGTTGCAGCTGATGCCATTAACAATGCTGCAGGATTTGGTTTTAATGGATACGACATAGACGGAACTCCGCGCTGGGATTTGATATCCAACCTCAGAATTATGGACATCGAGGTGAATCTTTTGACTAAACTTAAAAAATGTTTTATTTTCTTGGGAAACCCACGCCTGCGGTAGTTTTCTCATTCTACACCCTTTAACTTTATATTAAGCAACCAAAAAAACATTTATTCATTTGTCAAAACAGGCAGTTAAAAGAATGTAAGAGAGACTACTTATTTCAATAATTAAGTGTAGGGTTTTAATCACGCTTTTTCTGAATACTGAAGGAGTAGTATAAAGGCACTGTTCAAGTCTATTCTTGTGCCTGCAACAATGCGCAGGGGAAGTGTGCTTCACTAAGAGGACTTTTTATTTAGCTTATGTTCAGTGCTTCAACAGGCTTAAGAATCAGTCTCTGAAGGCATGTGCAAGGCATCTTGAGTGACAACAGCAGAAGCCATATGGGATCACTGCAGACTAAATGCAGCTCAGAGGCGTCTACACAACAAACAATATTGGGATTGTTCTGTCTTTCTGTTTTAAATCCTAAAATACACAGCTTTTGAGACATGTGCGATCAGAGTGTCCACACGCACTAACAGCTGTGGGGTTTTGGATAAAGACCAGGTTTGGCTTGGGCCTAACACAATTATTGAAATGGTTACTAATTTAGTGATGGAACCTTACACAGACTCCCTGTGTCTGCTTTGGCCTCCTCCAGGTGCTCCAGTTTCCGCTACAGCTAAAAACATGTACAGTAGGTTCAGAATGTGTGGAGGGGTCCAAAAAGAACCACTATAATGTGCTTGAAACCTGCTAAATGAATGAATACGACTAACTTACTTAAACATGCTGAGAAAAGGTTTTATGACTACGATAATTATGTGACTGATCTGTCAGAGCTGTTCTCTCCAAATGCCCCTTTCAGATCAGTGAGGTCAGAAAACCAGCTTTTGTTAAATGTGCCCAGGTCTCGTCTAAAAACTCCAGGAGAGCAAACCCCAAACTGTGGAATAGTCTACCTCTGTATATTAGAGCAGCTCCTTCATTAGAGGTTTTTAAATCTAGTCTAAAGACAATTTTTTACGCCTTGGCTTTTAATACGAACTGAGTTATATTTTTTACATGCATTTGACTATGTATTTTAAGCTGGTTGCTGTTTTTTAATTGTTTGTGCCTGTGAAGCACTTTGGGCAGCTGGTGTTGTCGTAAATGTCCTATAGAAATAACTCTAACATTGACATGACCGGAGAATGAAAGAAACAAACCAAGTCATCTCCCTATGAAGATGTTCTCCAAGAGCATCACTTTGGCATTATTTGGTCAAATGTATAAAACAAAATAAAAATCACTCACAAGATCTAAAGCAATTAATGAAAAGAATCGTTTAACTAATCAATCTAATCGATTATCAAAATAATCGTTTTTTTACAATAATAAACCTCATTCTGACAATATACCTATTGTAACCTAATATTCTGTCTAACCCAATTATTCTTGTATCTGTTTAGTTTGCCACAAGTTTTAAATTATTCCTCGACAATTGGAACATCCAGACATCCCTTTGGCTTAAGAGGTAAAGTGAAGTGGTAAGGTTGAACTTTGCGTCAGTGCTTTGTTCTGCTCCTAAGTGTGTGCGTCTGTGTGTGTGTGTGTGTGTGTGTGCGTCTGTGTGTGTGTGTGTGTGCGTCTGTGTGTGTGCGTCTGTGTGTGTGTGTCTGTGTGTTCCAGGGTCTGTTACGAGAGATGTCCGGTCAACCCCACTGCAGCCACCTTCCTGCTGTCGGCCCTGTGGCACGGAGTTTACCCCGGCTACTACATGACTTTTGTCACCGGGATAGTGGTGACGATGGCTGCACGAGCAGTGAGTTTTCTTATGTTGTCACTCGAGTGTGGGGAAAGACGGAAGCTAAAGCCATTTGTGCATTATTATGTTATAATTGAGGTATTTGTCAATTGATTGCAATTTTGCGTGTTTTATTTACAGTAAACAAAACGGCTGTTTACAAGAGCATTAGCAACATAAGCGCAACTTTGCCTAATTGTTTAAAGTCAGCGCAAAAAAGTACTTAAATGTTTAGGGACTGTCCGCTTCTTGTATACATATCTTTGAACAATACGGCTCATTAGAGGATCTATTGCAGGGGTCTCAAAAACTATTTAGCTGGGGGACTGGCTATATGACATGATAAAGATGACTATATATATGTCATTATAATGCTGTAATGTTTGTGTTGTTTAAGTAGGATTTTTTTTATAACTTCACTATAGTCTACTTTTTATGATGAAGAATGTACTTAATTTGTGGGTAACCAAAAGCACATCTTTTATCTCTTTCTTTTCCCAGGTGCGACACAACATCAGGCCGTACTTCCTGGTTTCAGATTCCCATAAAAGAGTGTATGATGTCATGACGTGGGCCGCCACACAGGTCGCCATCAGCTACACAGTGGTGCCCTTCGTGCTCCTCGCTGTGGGGCCATCGCTACAGTTCTACAGGTATCTAAGTTCAACTGTTTACACACACTGAAGACAAACATGCTTCAGAGGTGGGAGAAAAAATGATTATGATCACTAAATGAAAAGTCTGCTACTTCATATATAGTTTTGTTTGGAAATCCAGTTGTTTCATGCAAAGACTGTATATTAGGAAAAGACTGATTGAGTGGTGACGTCATCATAGTTTTCTTTGTTTGCCTTAACGCGGAAGAGGCCGATTTGAACATAAACTAACTGGAGCCAAATTCCTAAAGCAAGATTGAGAGTCCCCTGATAATGAAGGCATCCAATTGGTCAATCCTTATGGCTCATGTCTGGATTGACATATCTCAAAGTATAGTCACCAGGATCACTGAGAATGCTAAACCACAGATTTTTTAAGCTCAAAATGGTGAGTGTGACACAGACGGTAACTGAGCCAGAGTTTACTTTTCAATATGAGTCAATAGGAGCCAGAGCGATTTGGAGCAAAACTTTGTCCAAGAGCACTTCCCAATTGGGCTTAATTGAGTGAGCGGCCTCGCACTGTCCATCGATATACAGTCATGGCAGAACAGTCTGTTTACGATGAGCATACAAAAACTCACAATTGAGATCGCAATTAAAGTGTAATTCATTTCACAGCTCCGTTTTTAACAGATAAGATTAAGAAAATGACTTATTTACTTCTGTAATTCAACTTAACAATATATATGATTAGTAGTAGTAGTAGTGATAATATGATAGACCTTTATTCCTCATAACATTGAATATTGGCTCACAGCTGTAAAAAAAACCCCAAATAAAACATCTCAGAAAACTTGGAAAATGGACTGTAAGCCACAATCATCAACATTATACCACTCTACCATTATGTCACTCTGCATGTAATGAGACAATAACATATTGAAATAAATGAACTTTTGAACAATATGATTTTCTGGGTTTACCCCGGAAAGTCTCAATAATCTCTCTAACAAAGTGCCTGGGTGAACACAGCTTGTTCTGTCGTTACGTATCAGTCTCGGTGCTCGGTAGAGTGAAAGATGCAGTCTCATTACAGCCTCTGCAGCGTGTAACAATAAAGGTTAACAAGGCCTTAAGAGGACACTCTTTAAATCCTTGGGCCGCTGCCATGGCACAAAACCAGATCGCTCCTGCTGCTTCAAAAGTCATGAAGTGATGGTGTGCAAAGTCTTTTAACCCTATTGTTATTGGTGAATGTGGCTACATTTATTGCAGATATAGCTGTTTAAATTTGGTTTCCCAGAGTGAAATTATTGACAAGGCAAGTTTATTTGTATAGCACACTTCATACACAAGGCAACTCAAAGTGCCTTGTTTGTATGTATTTTATATATAATTTTGCCCTTATAAATTATATTGTGCCCTTAATAAAAATAATAATATAAACATGATAATGATAAAAAGTAAAATAAAACGGTACAATAGTGATAAGTAACTATAGCTCTTTTGGAAATAATTTGTGAAATTATGGAAATACGAAGCTGGTCATTACAACAGATGCAACAGAAGTCGGTACTTTTCGACTTGATGTTTTCATTTTCCGAAGGTCGAAGCAAACTCATTTACTGGCGCTGTCTCAGATTCTGAGGGGAGCTAATGTATTTTTGTCTTTGTATAAACCATGTGAACGCTGTGAGTCTCTTCTACTGAGACACGATCCCAGACCTCAGCACCTCTTGTTATATTCTTCAGTTGGTGGAGGATCTACAAAAGACTTTTTGTTGTCATAAAAAGGTCTCATAAAAGATCCATATAAATATAGCCTTTTATCCAACTTTCTATTTCTTGTCCTATTCATGGGCATCAGATTTCTGTTTCATTGAACATTTTGAGGACCGTTTCCCCATACATCCATTTCCTTTTCCTTGCTGGGTCACAGTCGGTAGTATCCATGCTCTCTCTCTCCAACCCACCCGAGAGAATCCTGAGGACTTTTACCATTCATAAAATTCAATCCCCAGTTTTTAATTAGTCACTATGAAAACAATCAACATTTTTCACAATTCTGAAACTTTTATTAGTCCGTATGTTTTTCATTGCCATGTTTGATGGTTTCATGACTCTTTCTGTCTGCCTTGGTGTGTTCGCAGGTCGTGGTACTTCAGTCTCCATTTCCTGTGTTTACTACTGGCCATGGCTCTCCCCGTGAAGCGGCGCAAACGGCAGCAAGACTCCCTGGTCGACCACAGCAGCACAGACAACAACTGCAACCAGAAAGACAAGAGCTCCTGAAACTTAATCGCACCGGGACGAGTGCTGGGCTGTTTACAAAGAACCAAATATCCCGAAGGACACAGATCTCAAACCGTCGGAACGTCCCGTAGCAAGGATAACATGACTCCACTTTTGGACTTGGATCTGGGAAAATCTCATGTGCGCATTGTATTTATGAAGTGAGGGTGGGTTCACACTTGTTTGAAATGAAGTGGGCTATAGGGACACTTTGGGCTTGGTCTGGGTCCACTAGTCCCCTCTGTCAGTCGAAACATCGTGACGTCATGAGGTCCGGTGCGCTTGCTTCTGAAGAGAATCGAGTCCTCCAGACCAATAAGTGTGAACGCCCCCTCAAAGACAAAGCCAATTCAATGTTGCCTTTGAAGCCTTTGTGTACCGGACAAAGACGGCTGCGTTGTATGCGGAGGTGTTGTCATGTTCAACAAACTGTTATTATCAGCTGCCAATTACAAACAGGCCTTACGATCCTTACAGCTTAGTTTGGTTCTGTCTTTTAAAAATTTAAATTGAATTGTGTTTTGTATGTAGATGTTTGTGATAACTCTGTTTGAAATCCATTTCAGCATTCATTTTAACTTGAAAGATTGTGAATATAAGGCTCCTAAAGTGGGATTCCAATGTTGGCTTACTTCACTAGTCTAATATATACGCTCTAATTTCACTATTTGAGTTTTTATCATTTCATATCTGCTGCTTCCTTGGACATCGTTAATTTATAATTTCCATGTTTTAAGGGACTCTGGTGTATAATACTTATTTCTGACTATGTAAAATTTCTAAAACTCTATAAACTTAAAAATGGGGGAAGGCAATCGCTTGTTTACATCACTGGATAAGTAGACACGCTCCAATTCTGGATATGTGCAATTCATCATTGGACTTTGATGGAAGATTAACCTATTATACTGTAGTAGTTTGAATGCAGCAGTTTTCAAAGTCATGATTGTTGTAAAGTGGCTTCATCGTATGGAGTTGCACACTGGGTTTTTAATGTTTCAGTCCTTGTCCAGTCACTGTATCATTCCATCTTGTCCTGCCATGAAGATGCCAAAATTCTTTGCCATTCTGTGATTCACGTCGCCGTACTCTGTGTTACTCAGCCGTCACTTTTTAGACATGTTTTTTACATTTTTATGGCCACTCATCTGTGGAGCTATATCAGTTTTCCATTCTGATCCAGTTGTGTTGTGTTGAATATTCCTGCCATTACGGTGTAAGTATTATTGTGGCCGGGTTGCTCTTGTAGCCGTTGGGCCAAACTAAAGGGAGCGTCCCCCTCTAAAGGGAAACAGATGTCATTTTCCAAACAGCTATTCTTGCACTGCATGGCCCTAAACCAGCACAATGCAAAGTGCTCCATGTGTTCAAAGTGCCAAACCCTAACTGGCACGACTTTGGTTATCTGTCTGAAAGCCTGGTGTGAGTGTGCACATGTCCATGTTGTATGTGTGTGTCTGCTAACATAAGTTATTTTTGTGTGGAAAAAAGGAAATTTATTGACAGATTTGTATAACAGTACATTTAAATCCTCACTTACGTGGAAATAAAGAGAATTATTTTTAAACACTACAGCTCGTGAATTCATTGACCTGTTGTGATGCAATAGTAGAATTGCATTTGAATCTTGGAGTATCAGTATTTGGTAATAAATGTCCAATAGATATAAAATAGCACACTCCTTATCCATCTGCACGTGTGTATGTAACTATAGCTTTAATGGTATGCATTTTATATTAAACATAAAAGTATTCATTTGAACTGTTAGGATTAGCGGCCGGTACAGTGCAGCATCGTGGTCATAGACTATTGTGATTCAAGTAAGAGTGTCAATCATTCCCATTTCATGACGCAAGTATATAAGTACAAGCTTTGTATGTACAACATTTTTGTTTGAGGCTTAAACCATTGCCTCTGAGAGACTTAACACCATACTGTTGAAGAATCGTTCATTCTGATACTGGCGATGAAACAATTTTTGAGCTTTCATCTGAAACTTCAGCTGGATGGTTATCTCAGCATAGCTGAACCTCTTCAAGGAAATATTGTGCCTAAAATGTCTTGTAGTTACCTCAGTGATCTCAAAGACAGTATATCGATGCGAGTTTTTGAACGATGGTGATCTCGTCTTTATATGTACATATAGTCTGTACGTAGTGTAGCCCTCACATCTATTTTTTGAATTTTCTATGTTTTTTTTTTCCGAGTTCACACAATGGAGTGATCTTACATTTGCCCTCAATAAGATCACCCAGGGTATGCATTATGCAAATAGACAGGCTAAAAGTAAAAAAGTAAAAAAAAAAGATGTATAAGAGGTAAACTAAATTAGAATGACTTTACTGATTGGACTTCCCTTTTGAGGAATTTGTAAACTGTTGTAATGTTTTATCATTACACAGAGCCTCCCAAAGTGATAAAGCCACCATGGAATTCTGGGACGTCCCCCAAAAATGATTAGTTTTTCATCAGATTAATAGAAGTGATGCATTTATAGGATTTATATTACCTTTACTTACTTTAATGTGCTAAACTGGTAGATAAAACAGCCAAAACGGTTACCAAGCGACCTACACATGAATATTAGTAAAAGGTCAAACTTCTCACATAAAACAAACACAGAGATAAACCACATCCATGACACAGATACAGAAAAAGGCATCGAGCTAGGAAGCCCAAAATGTACATAAGCGGAGTACATTTACTTCCAAAAATAAAAACCGTCAAATTGACTGCTCTGGTAGTCCTGGAAATGGCTTTGATCCATTAAGGGCGGGGCATCACGAGTGGGGGAGGGGCGATAGCAGCAGTGGGCGGGGCGTACGCTGGAACGGAGTGCCCCGAAGAGTCCTGTCACAATGCAGCCGTAACACTACTCACTTTTTCTCACTTTACAACTGCTTTTAGAAGAAAAAACAACGTAAAAACATCTGCACAGTTGTGGTAAGTTTCCACACTTAGCTTCCCCCCCGTACAAAGCCCCAAACCCGGCTTTAAGCAGCACCAATGACCTGTGGAGCTGTTAGCATGATGTTAGCTTCTGGAGTTTTACAGCTGCTGCCAAGATACGAAGCCAAAACATTGACAACACTCGACTTAGCTAAGAAGTCTTTTGTCTTTGTGTGTTTAGTGAATTTGCATATTTTCTAGTTAAAGGTTAAAGAAGGTGATTGTGAAACTTGTAATGGCTGCCTGATATGGATCCAGATGTTTATTTTCTCTGCTCGCTCTTGTGTAATGCTTTGCTATGTCTAATATTTTTAGAAAGGCTGAGTGCACTGTGCATGCAAGAAGCTAACTCCACTTTAGCTTTGACTTTGTGTGTGTATTCATCTGATGCGTGTGTAGAACTGCTTAGGATTTAATATGTGTAAAAGTAGAGTTGAAGTAGAAAGCAAAGTAGATTGGCTTGAGCAATCTCTCTAGTGTTCTAATGTATTCCATCCAATCATTGATGAATTGTGTAAATATTGCAGCATAATTTATGTTATAATTATTGGAGATTAGGTTTTCAGGCTTGGAGGGCTGATCCGTCAGCAGTTGTTCCCAGATGACTCATTGGAAACAGTAGAGCTGACTGGTTAAATTTAGGTCAGATCCAGTTTTGCCACTTTATACACAAAAGACTCGTATACAAACGCTGACTACTTTTATTTCCCACTGAAAGTATGTACCTTTCTGAACTTTTCACTACACCCAGACAGTGTGTCTCTTAGTATAAATACATTATTTTGCTTTTTTGCAAATGACATTGGAAAACTCAAAAATATGCGTGTTATGATTGGTTTCAGCACTGATGTTGTACATGTCTGGTCAATCAGTGCATTGCCTGGAAGATCATTGCACAGTCACTGACCGCATGTCTTTTGCATCTTCTGATAAGTGTATTTGAGTAGTTTCAAAGGTTCAATCGGGTCTAGTGCTGTTGGCCTGTGGTTATCCATCTGACAGCCCTGTAGCATGTGCCTATTGTGTAGCAGACATGGGCGTGGGCTTCCCCTCATCTAATATTCAGTCTAGGGGGTTGTGGATGGATCTGCGCAGTGGAGAGACTGGAGAGAACTAGTTAGTGGACTAGTGCTCCAGCTTACAATCCGGTAAGTTCTGCCTGTCTGTGGTTGTTTTGGTTATTATTATTCATAGTTCTCCTGCTTTACTTAAAATTATTTCTGCCAGATGTGCTACCTAATAACTATTCCGACCAACAGAGGGAGTGGTGATGGGCAGGACAGGGAGGGTGTGTCAATAGGCTGCTGCTTCCATCACAATAAACAAAGGATTTTTTTATTTATTTAATTATTTTAGTTCATCCACATTTGACCCCAGAGTGGTAATCATTAAGGAACAATATATTGTTTGGATGTTTAAGTGATTGGACTGTATGCTTTTACTACTGGTTCAACATGTGGCTATTTGTGGTTGTCATCAGTAAAGTGGATTTCATGTCGGGATGGTGATTGCACAGAGACAGGAAGTGAGAGCACACTCAATCAATAATGGATGCTTTTGTATTGTTCTACCAACAAAAGATGCTTAACAACAAGATTATAATGATACGTTTTTTTTTTTTTACAAAACACTTTTCAATTTCTCAATGACTTAAGTGAACCCTGAACAGACTATAATATTGTGTATCTTTTCCCCTCAAACTATCTGTGTCACTGCTGTTCCCTGTTGTTTCTTGTTTCAAATAAACAAATTCTTTCTCTTCCTGTCTGTGTGGGCACTCCTAGTTTATTTAATTATAAAATGGCCATCTTGCAATCTCTGCCCTGAGAGATTGTCATTCAGTGGTTTAGTGATTTGTGTTTGCAGCTCATGTCATTACTTACATATAAAACCATCATGTCAAATCTTGATCTTCATGTTGTCCTTTTAGGTTAATGTGATACTCAGGGGTTTTTCATAAATCTATATTGACTAATATTAAAATTGTACGATATATTTTTAAAAAGCTGCATAGCTACAAAATCCTAAAATTTATATGAGCAGCAGTCCAGTTGGCAGAGTGGGTGTGTACAGGGTGTGTTCACAGTAAAGTGTCAATTATAGTATTTGGAATTTAAAAGGTCACTCAAAAACTAAATTTACAATAATAGATTGGAAAGCAAGATTTCAAACACAGACATATCAAAGAGGTAGTGTGGAAAAAATCAAAATGAAAGTTTGACTAATACATTTTTTGGCGAAATTTGAAGATATCAGCCTCTGATTTGATCTGTCAACTGTTACCCCAGTTACATAGAAAATAAAACGTCATAAGCAATCCATAAAAAAAATAAATCAAATAAAAATCAATACCAATTTAAATGACCCTTGAAAAAATATCTAACGGACGTTTTTCTAAAAAAAAGAAAAAAAACCTAAAATATTGTCTGGTTTCACATTTATTGTTTTACTACATGAAAGTAATCACTTTTTTTCTACTCTGTGTAAAAGAAAAAAAAATCTCCTAATCAAATGTGGACATCTGAATATATGTAATAAACTTCCGCAAAGCTCATTCCATCAAAGGATTGATTTAACAGATAAACAGCTTGACTAATGTTTAGAGCAGTTATCTTCTAGCAACTACTAATGGAATAAAGATGTATTTGGATAAATGAAAACTTAATGTATATCTTCTGATTATTGAAATCAATTTTTTGGCATTCTGTCACACTTTTGTTCCCTTTAGTGTGAACAAGCCCTACTAAGCCGAAGGTTGGTGTACTACTTGTGTGGTAATGTGCTTGTGTTGGTGTGTTGTTTGCAGGTGGGCGTGGAGCAGCGAGTGCGCAGCCATGGACACCACCACCTCCCTAAAGATGACCTCGCTGGCCGTGCAGAGCCTGTTCGGATACGTGGAGGAGGAGAATCTACCGGCCATCAGAGCGCACCTGGACAAGTTCAGAGACGTGGACAGCAGGAGCGATGTACGTACACTCATGGACAAGAAATCATAAAAACTGTGATGCATATTTATGAAAACTGGAGTAAAAAAATCAGTTGTTGTTTCATGAATACATTTTGTTTATTCCAACAGAAAAAGGGTTGTAGAATTAACATGTTATGAACAAGTCAAGTTTAACTTGCTGTCTTTATATTCTGAGATTACGTTTTAAGATTTGACATACTGAGAGTTGATTGGCTGAGTAAGGGCTGGTCCTCGCTTTTTCACTGAAAAAGTTGGTCTCCAGATGTGACAGAGGCAAAAACACGTCCATGTGCAAACTAGTCATAGAACCAACGAGTTTTGAGAGGGAGTTCTTCTATAACAATGTTGTATGTTTTATGACTATTTATTTACATGTGTATTTTGGACTACAGAATCGTTTTAGTGGAACCCTGAACTAATTTTAATATGTGATGGTAATATGTTAATATGGCTACCTTTTTTTTTTTTTTTTTACTTTTAAAGCTATCACCAGAATGATAGACAATTGGGAGGACCAATAGTCTTCATGATCCACCCGGGAGTAGAAAATTCCACCATATACCTTTAATTTCAATCAAAAGTAACAGTGAAAATTTACTAGAAAATAATATCCCAACTCTTTATAAATAAAAGTAATAATTTTGTCAAAATACATTCATTATTTTTTTAAATAAAAAATAAGAAGATGGTCTCTGGTTAGCTATTTCTTTTTAAAACCCACCCTGGACGAAAATGAGCTTGAAACCCCTGTATTCATTATATAAACTCCACTTTCATATTCATAACTTTCCAAATCCAGTTGAATTTGCTGCGTGTGTGTGAAAGGTTGGTTGTGGTCGGAGGGGCCGATGGCGCATACTGGTTGCCTCGCTTCTATCGGTGTGCCCCAGGGCAGCTGTGGCTTCAGTAGTAGTTTATCACCACGGTGCATGGAGTGAATGAATAATGACATGTAAAGCGTCTTTGAGTGTCCAGAAAAGCGCTATATAAAACCGATGCATTATTATTATTATTATTATGTATTTGTATCCAACAAAAACATATTTTCTTTGCATTGAACACAGCAGGAGTTTGACAATTCACAATTGCAGTTTTGGAATAATGGCGGATGTTCTTTCAGAATGGACAGACTCCTCTGATGGTGGCTGCAGAGCAAGGAAACCTGGACATAGTTCAGGAGCTCATTCGAAGAGGAGCCAATGTGAACCTGGATGATATTGTAAGTGCACTATTGATGTTGTAATGAGATTTACATCATGGCACAAAACAAACGCTTGCCTGCCTTGAGAAAAAACTTTGCTGCCATTAGTCACAGATTTGAAACATATGGGATCTGTTTCAAATCTGTGACAGAAATGGGTCTCTGAGCCATTGGCCCAGCCTTGGTTAAACCCTAGCTTTGTTGCTGTATTTGGACTTGAGTTTGTGGATTTTTATATGCAGTATAATGAGGTTAGAATCTGGTAATATGGTCAAAAGGAGTATTAAAGAAAAGCCTTTATTTCCTGGGATCAAATGAATGAAGTAATGGAAACATATGACTCCTGTGTTTTTCCTTCTGAGTAGGATGTTGCGTTACTGACTACTCTTTCTGCTGAGCTCACCAGACTAAGGCTTAGTCCATAGCTTGGATGAGCCATAATGACATATTCAACACACATTTAACAACACTTTTGGCTAAATGACAGGATTTAGAGACTGGCCAACGCCCTGCATACCCACGTTAGCCTTCACAAGACACTCACTAATGCTTCGGCCCTCCTCTGTCACATACACACACACGTACAGGGCATTACGAGTGGCACAGGATCACACTGACAGAAAGTTTAGAGGAGCAGCAACATGAGTACCTGGTACGACCAGCTGGTAGGTAAGGCCCTCTGAGATAGGGCTGGCTTTGTGGATGGGAACCTCAGGACTGGATCTCTTCCTTACAGCCTGTTGTGTGTGTGTGAACAGGACAGCTGGACATCACTCATCTGTGCGGCGAAAGAAGGACACTTCGAGGTGGTCCAGGAGCTGCTGGAGAATGGGGCCAATCTAGAACACCGTGATATGGTGAGGGTTCAGTTTCATACTTTCGAATGCATAAAGAACTGGACGAGCTGGGGCGCATTCAATGTTCCATTTGGTTATATAATATGCCTATAGTCAATATAGCTGGAGGGGTTTGTGTAAGAATTTGCAGCTTTGTAGTTCTCTATATTTTAGCTGAAGTTGACATTAAGACCCTGTGAGGGTAATATCTATATCAGAAAAAGGGTGTGACTGTTTAATAAGAGCTAATGCTCCCAGAGTTTAGCTGGGGAAACTCCAGGTAGAAGTGCATGTTTATCAAGGGCTCACAATTGTGTTAATATGATCAAATGTTTAGAGAGTAGTTCAGACCACAATCTGTTTTTTGTCCGCTGTACATTGTCTCATTCCATGTCAGAGAATAAACTTTATTTTCATAATCACCACATTTAATACAAGGGGTCAGAAAGGTTCCCTTGTCAAAGTCTGCCTCACTACAAGCAGTGTGTCTTTTAATACTTTTGTATCTGCTTTGTTGTCTTTTCAACACTGGGTTCCTTGTCGTAGGGAGGCTGGACGGCGCTCATGTGGGCTGCCTATAAAGGCCGGACCGAAGTGGCTCGGCAACTTATGGAAAAGGGGGCCAACCCTAACATCACTGGGCAGGTTTGTTGAATAGAATAGTAATTTGCAAAGGATTGATTGATTGACTAAAGCTCAGTGATGTTGTCTGTCCTCTACAGTACAGTGTCTATCCAATCATTTGGGCAGCCGGGCGGGGTCATGCAGAGATTGTCCATCTCCTGCTGCAGCATTCAGCCAAAGTCAACTGCTCAGATAAGGTACCACAATTTCCAGACTTGGAGCGGTCCCAGGTACAGTATTTTTTAATTGAAGTGCTTTTTATCTCTTCTGTTTACTATGTCCAGTACGGTACCACCCCTCTGATCTGGGCTGCCAGAAAAGGCCATTATGAAAGTGTCATGCATCTTCTAGCAAATGGAGCTGACGTGGATCAAGAAGGAGCGGTAACAGTCCTATAATTCATCCAGACCAAAGAGACAATAGACATTACTTCAGATTAGGGGTTTCCAACCTTTTTCGACTGGAGATCTACTTTCAAGAAACAGAAATGGCAGAGAGCTACTCCTTCAAGCAGTCGTAATACAATTGTAGTCTATACTATAACTATAACAATCATTGAGAACACACATGCATAATACACCATTATACTGTACAGTATTCCTGCATTAATGAAGTGATTGATAATTAAAAATCTATTAAAATAGATATGTGATGACTCAATCAGGAGTGAATCATTTAGGACCTGGCATATAAATTCATTAGCCCAACATAAAATTATTTTTTTGTTTCTCAGAACTCCATGACAGCGCTCATCGTAGCAGTGAAGGGGGGATACACAGAGGTTGTTAAGGAGCTGCTGAAGAGAAATCCCAATGTCAATATGACCGACAAAGATGGAAACACTGCCCTGGCCATTGCAGCTAAAGAGGGACATACAGAAATAGTGCAGGACCTGCTGGACGCTGGGACCTACGTCAACATCCCAGACCGGGTAAAAACTATATACTTTTTATTTTTGATGAACTGTACTCTGCTGCACCAACTCAGGTTATGGCTTTCTCTTTTGTACTTTTTTTGACTGGTTGTTCTCATTGTCACTTCAGAGCGGTGAGACAATGTTAATTGGTGCCGTTCGAGGAGGTCATGTGGAGATTGTGAGAGCTCTTCTGAACAAATACGCTGATATTGACGTCAGGGGCACGGTAAGAAGACCAAGAATTATTGGATATGTTTTAAAACAGGCAGAAGTGTTATTACTTTTGCACAAAGCAGAGTCTATTGAATAATTGTTGTTATTTTATGGCTTTAGGATGGAAAGACGGCCCTCTATTGGGCTGTGGAGAAAGGCAACGCTACCATGGTTCGAGACATCTTACAGTGTAATCCTGATACCGAGAGCTGCACCAAGGTATTTGGCTGTTACCAATGGTACGGGTTTTTGCTCTTAAAAAAAGAGAGGGGTCTTTAATTTCCATAATTTCCTATGTGAGAGAGAAAATTTAAAATCACTTGGTGTGAAATTTGTTTAGTATAATTGGCGCAGCTCTTATAAGGTCACCCTGCTGAAGCCAGCTAATGTCTTTGCTCGTCTCGAGTTTTCCACTGACCGTCTGGATGATCCAGAAGAGACCTGGGCCAAATTACCTGCTACAGTGTGTGGAAATGTTTGACCTCTGTCTTTGCCAACAAAGATTTCATTGCAAAGTACTGCTGTGAGGTTTTTTTTGGCTTTTAAGTACATTTATGAAGAAAAATAAGGACACCTGTATTTTTTATAGGTGTGACAACTTGCACAATCTGCAACTTCCAAATACTGTTTTGCCCTCTGCACGTACTTCATATTAATTATTTTCTCCATGCTTGCTGAACAGGACGGTGAGACGCCACTTATTAAAGCGACAAAAATGCGCAATATTGAGATAGTGGAGCTGCTGCTAGATAAAGGAGCCAAAGTTTCTGCCATAGACAAGGTAAAAATAATTGTTTATCTTTTGATCTTTGGCTTTCTCATAATCCCCTCTTAGCCCCTGCTATATGTGCACCTGTTAACAGAAAGGAGACACCCCCCTTCATATCGCCATCAGGGGGCGCAGTCGGAAACTGGCTGAATTACTGTTGAGGAACCCCAAAGATGGCCGCCTGCTGTACCGTCCTAATAAAGCCGGAGAAACTCCATACAACATTGACTGCACACACCAAAAGAGTATCCTCACACAGATCTTTGGAGCGAGTACGAGCTTTTGTTTATTTTTACTTGTACATTAAAGCTGGGGTACCTACATTACAAACCACAAAAAGGGATTTAATTACTGGTGGATCTATATCACACATCTTTAGATCAGATTTTTTTGACAAAAAAAAAGGTAAAAGAAAGGACCACGCTCACACAGGCCATCAACTTTCAGCTCAAAGAATCAAACAGAGTAGTATGCGAAGAATGTTTCCTAAATATAAGATGAAGACAACATGTAGTGGTTTAGTTCATATTAGTTTTACAAGAATCTTTCTTTTAGGCCATAAAATGCATTATTTAAGATACAATAAAAGTGAGGTAACCCAGCTCTAAAGCACAACTTTTGTCATATTGGGTGTTTTAACTTGTTTTTCTAACAGAGCACCTTTCTCCGACCGAGTCTGACGGAGACATGCTGGGCTATGACCTGTACAGCAGTGCTCTGGCCGACATCCTCAGCGAGCCCACCATGCAGCCCCCCATCTGCGTGGGACTCTACGCACAGTGGGGCAGCGGCAAGTCTTTCCTGCTCAAGAAGCTGGAAGGTGAGTGCTCTCAGGCTGCAGCTCCAATCGCACACGGTTCAGCTGACCCCATGCCCCTCTGACGCCCGCAGATGAGATGAAGACCTTTGCTGGGCAGCAGATCGAGCCGCTCTTCCAGTTCTCGTGGCTGGTGGTCTTCCTCACACTGCTACTCTGTGGTTCAGTGGCTATTGTCTTGGGTTTCACTGTGGATCCTAAGCTGGCCATAGCAGTCTCCCTCAGCCTCCTGGCCCTGCTTTATATTTTCTTTGGTGAGAGGCTACACACTTTTACTAATAGGTTTTTCCTGTTTTCAAACATGACTAAGAGAGTACAATGGGGGTTTACTGCAAGGCTTTGGTTTATTTGTTTATTTACACGGATGCCATTAGCTCAAAACAATCAGCTAATCTTCATAGTCCTCCATTCAGTAACCCTATAACTCCTAGAGCAGTCCTGTTTGAAGGATTTTAGTTTTGAACGCATAGTTAGTTAGTGACATTGGAAAATCTTGTTTTAAGAGTCAAAATGTACTCAAAATTACAATTAAAACTTAAAACAATTAAATTTTGATTCAAGCAATCTTACCTCATGTTTTATAATTTTTTGCAGCATATGTAGATCATTAGAATTCTTTACATTCAGCCAACGTCAACTTGTCAACTATGAATCATTGTGTGGACATGTCCTCCCTAACCCAATCAAAACAGTTTTACAATACGGGGCCCTGGGACAAGTCTGGTTAACTAAAGTAGCCCTCTTAATAATTTTGTTAACACTTTTGGTAAATTACTCCATTGTGAGATCAATAAAGTTTATCTTTTCTTATATTTAATTAAAGCAACATTTATAGAAATGAGTACATCTTACAGAAATACACAACTGCTCTTCTTTTTGGGTGGTTGTGCAGTAGAGGGCACCATTGCATTTGTGATGTCTCTTAATCCACTGCAGTGCTGGTGTATTTCGGGAGTCGGCGGGAGAGGGAGAGTTGGAACTGGGCCTGGGTCCTCAGCACCCGACTGGCCCGACATGTGGGATACATGGAGCTGCTGCTGAAGCTGATGTTTGTGAACCCACCAGAGCTGCCAGAGCAGACCACTCGTGCTCTGCCTGTTCGGTGAGCCTCGCCACAAAGACTTTAAAGTAACCTTTGTCTTCCAAGCTTTTAAGTCACGTGTCTCTTCCAGATTCTTATTCACAGATTATAACCGCCTGTCCAGTGTGGGCGGGGAGACGTCAATGGCGGAGATGATTGCCACCCTCTCAGACGCTTGTGAGAGAGAGTTTGGCTTCATGGCAACCAGACTTTTCAGGGTTTTTAAGAATGATGAAATTCAAGGTATTTTCTAGTCTGAATATCCCACGTCCTAAGCATAATTAGTATTTTGTTTTACTTAGTAGCTCAATGCTTTTAAATGTATTTATTTTCCAACTACAAGGACAAAAGTGGAAAAAGACTTGCTGCGTTCCATCATTTGTCCTGTTTGCCATTACGTTTGGATGCCTCATCACTGGAGTGGCCTTGTTAGCCATATTTAAAGTAAATAGGGTTGATACTATACTGTATATTTGTTTTTTGTAGCGCGGTACAGCCACAGCTGATGTTTTCATCCTCTGGTCTGCAGGTGGACCCTGAGAACCTGACTGTGAATGCGGTCTTGATCGCCATGGCCAGCGTTGTGGGCCTGGCCTTGCTGCTGAACTGCAGAACGTGGTGGCAGGTCGGTGACTCTGTCCTCAACTCCCAGAGGAAACGTCTGCACAGTGCTGCCAACAACCTGCACAAGCTCAAGAGCGAAGGATTTATGAAGGTAAAGAAACATCATCCTTTCACCCCCAGGAAAATATATGCAAGACACATTGTAGGATCAGATTATAACTTTTCTGAACAACATTTTATAGCAGAGCTTTTCTAATTATTCTTATTATCCAATCAGATGGCAGAATGAGTCTTAATTGAGGTGCCAGATTGTTAGGTGAAATATCGCTGGTTTTGGTTTTTTTCAACAACAAAAAATTGGGCCGCACATACAGTAAGTAAATGAAACCAGGTAAAAAAACAACTGATAGTAACACATAGTTAGGGTACCGTTCACTAAACCCCAACATTACTGGATTGCATTAGTAATGTGTCAGTAAGATTCTGGCAACAAAAGTTGCATTGTAATAGTAAGATTAAGAGATCCTTTAATCATCCCACAGTGGGGAAATTTTAGAAAGTATTTAAATGTAATAGCTCCCATCCTCTGGTAATAGGTATTAGATAATAGTTATGACTTTATTTGACCACTAATTTTACGTATTACATTTAAGGCTTTAAAACATGCTGTTGTCTCATAGGTCCTAAAGCAGGAGGTGGAGTTGATGTCCAAAATGGCTAAGACCATAGATGGCTTCACACAGAACCAAACCCGCATGGCTGTCATTATTGATGGACTGGACGCGTGCGAGCAAGACAAAGTGCTGCAGATGCTGGACACGGTGAGTACTTGTAAACACCAACGCTAGTCTTTTCATAGTACTTGCTTTCATCTAAATACATCTGGACAATATTGGCAGTCTGGTGGAATATTTTTTTTTTTCTGGGATGATATTTTAGCTAAACAAATTCCCGTCCTGTGATACTGAGGCAGAGGAAATCCCCCAAACCATGTGCTCGTCACGGACTTCTTACAGCCACATTAAATCACAGACAACAATGGTCACTTATGTAACATTAGAGGAGAAAACATCACCTAAATTATTTCACAATTTTTATTGTATTTTACAGGTGCGAGTGCTATTTTCCAAAGGTCCTTTTATCTCAATTTTTGCCAGTGACCCTCACATCATCATCAAAGCCATCAATCAAAATCTCAACAGCGTGCTAAGAGACTCCAACATCAACGGGCACGATTACATGAGAAACATTGTCCACCTGCCGGTCTTCCTCAACAGCAGAGGTCTGAGCACAGCCAAGAAGCTCTGTATGACCACGCCCACCACCCTGGAGGGAGGGGCCACCGAGGGTAAGGTTCCAATGCACTCAAGAAATTTGCATAAAAGAAAAAAAGGTCCTTAATATGCCGCTTTCAATTACAGGATGGCCTGAAGATGTGGATAGAAAATGTTCCCTTAACAACTTGGGCCAAGACCAGTCCAAGTTAGGAAGCAGAAATGCCTTAAACCGCAGGGTAAGGATTCTTTCTACTTGTATGTGAAAGCTAGATCCCATCAGGTCTCAGAAGCTGAGCAGGGCAGGGCCTGATTAGTACTGTGATGGGAGACCAGATGGGGTGGCTGCATACTGAACTGTTATGTCCCTAGGCAAGACACTTAACCCACATAGCCTTGAATGAGTCTATTGTAAAAGATTTGTCCAATGGCACAGACTAGTTGCCTTGCTGCTGTCAATCCGCCCCAGGCCAGCTATGGCTAGCAGCTTATGACTACTGGGCACAATAATGTCTTATGAAGCATCTTTGGGTGTCCAAAAAGCATTGGCCTTTGAGCTTGAAGGTCGTGGGTTTGAGCCCACCGTGAGACCTTCTCCTTCGACTTCCACTGATGTCTGCTGTCATTGTGTCCTTGGGCAAGACACCTTTCCAGAAGCCCCTGCTGGAAGATCAAGGCTATGCTCACACCGACAGAGCAGCCACCCTCCTGTGGACTCACCATCTGCAGGAGGATCAGTGAGGGGCTGGTGCAGCTCTGTGAAGTGGGTGCAGCTCTGACTGCCACCCCCCGACCCAGAAATGGTGTAAGGGGAAGAAAATGCATGGATGGAAGTTGTAAAGCAGTCAATAACAAAAACTGTGTTGAATGCAATGAGGACCTGCATGGCAAAATTTGTATTTGAGTCCTATTTGCTTCAAAGTGCAATGGTAAAATTCAAACAAAGGCTGTCTGTATTGAGCGCTTTTTCTCATGACCAGACATCCTTCACACTAGTAAGAACCATAACTCCCCTTTGATTCATCTGAATTATGTGTTGCAATACCTGGTGTCTACTGTTGAATGTTATCACTCCTTTGCAGAAACTTGAGGTAGGGAGGAGAAAAGGTGGGTGACCTTTTCTCCTCCCTACCTCAAGTTTCTGCACCTTTTCTCTCTTCCTTTTACCAATTTCTAGTGAGAAGTTAATAGATACAGTAGATACTTTGTGGATCCCTGTAGGAGGAATACAGGAGTCCAGCAGCAGAAACGCATCTATTCATGCAAACAAATTTCAATAAATTGCACAAAGACCATTTATTGAAGTATACCATTTACACTACAGGGCATTGGAACGCTTTAGTGTGATACAGAAATTTTATTTCTGTATTTTATTTTTTTCAACAGTTTCATGGATTAGCTTCCTTGTCAGGAAGCATCTCAGTCCTAACTGCCCAAAGCGGACATGTCAGATAGTGGTTGAACAGAGTGTCTGGTGTGTGTCCTGGTGGAATGGCTGTAATGGCTGTTTGTCTTCCTGCAGTGATGTCTCAGTCTGATGACAGGCCGAGCAGCAGTGGGTCTTTGTGACAGAGCACTGGCACAGGTCTACTGGCAGGAGGCTAAGTGGCTCTGTGCTGTAGAAGCCAAACTCCCAGTGCCCCCTGCCCCCCCACTGTTTATTTGTTTGTTGTTTTTTTATGCTTGTGCTTTGTTGACTCCCTTTGGTTATTAGTGTGTGCGCCCCGTCATTATGGGGTGGCGTGCTCTAATCATTTGCCCCTTGCCACTCGCTGTTTCTTGGCCACCGGGCTTGTTCTCTACAAGTGGAGGTTAAAACAGGGCAATGATGTGGCTCTCAATTTTATTTGGCATCTTGTCTTATTGAGTGCACTCATCATCATCATGGTTGGCATCCTGCTTCCTTAGTATGATAAAAATAGGCAGAAGTTTTAGACAGAAAATCTGTTGATTTGAGGCAGATACAAGGCAGGGCTGTCTTCGGTGTATGATAGTACCACCAGAGTGGGGGCCCATCTTTTATTTCTCTGAAGAAGAGGTCATGAGACCCACATTACAACTTCAAAGTCCTCCAAATGCCTGCGCTTGGCTCATGACCATGGCAGCTGTCTGATATCATCACAGATGTTATGTGCTAGATCTGTGTCTGCCTCTCTGAGTTTCTGTTTTACTCTCAAACTCTCTCTCACGCACATCTTACACTGCTCAGCTCGTATACACATATACAATACACTGTGAGTCTATACCTCACATGGATCAGTGTGATACAAGTATTCTTGAAGTCTGTGAATCCACAATAAAATGAACATTCTGCTTTTCTGTGTGAAGGACACGTACAGGAGGCGCCACATGAAGAGGACCATCACCAGACAGATGTCCTTTGACCTGACCAAGCTGCTTGTGACAGAGGACTGGTTCAGTGACATCAGTCCACAGACCATGAGGAGGCTACTCAACATAGTCTCTATCACAGGTGCCTTGAATATATGAATATAAGCTTTACTCTCAACGGCTTTACTGTCTTCAACAGACTCCTGAAAAAGTTATTTATTAATTTGAATGGGACAGCGCATGTCATACAGACATATTAAAAACTTGAATGTAAACATGCCAGATTTCCATCGGTAGTCCCATGGGGTTAGGGTCACAAGGGGTACGCACATACCCTTGATCCAATATTACACATGATCCATTTAAACACAATCCCCCATTTTACACCCAACAGTATCAATTGGGCTCACACGTTACACCTTAACCACTCTTTTAGGCGACCTTTTTAGATAAATTTCAAACTGAGGGGAGGGAAGTTTGCAAACTGCTCCATTGTACACAGCCCATATAGGACAGTCCATTTTACATAAGGACATAATAGATGAGACCTGAATTTAAACATTTTATAACGTTTTCAAAGCTCCCTCATTTATATTTTGTAAGTATATTTGTATGTATAAGTATATTTTCTATGTATATTAATTACATTTTTTGTCACTTTTGTTATAGACCCTTGATTTGCTTTCTGATTGTTACACCTGTTTGTGACCAACCCATGTAAACAATCATACGGTACAAAAACGTCAGGGCAGCTTAATGACGACCTTATTTGGTTAAAATATTATATATACTATATATATAAAATATAGTGTAGAATCTCCTCAGATATTTAGAATCTGTTGAATGATATAACGTCAAGGACACAAAAATCCTATAAAAATGTAATGTGGTTGACCTGCCTCTCTCACGTAAGGTCGCTTACTACGGGCCAATCAGATCCTCTTCAACTGGGACCGCTTGGCCTTGTGGATCAACCTGACTGAAGAGTGGCCCTATCGCACGTCCTGGATCATCCTGTTCCTTGAGGAGACTGAGGGCATATCAGACCAGGTCACTCTCAAGACCATCTACGAGAGGTACAGCCCCCACACGCTTTCATTTCCACATCCTATCAACATTTGTTTTTGTTTTTTTGTTTATCAACCACTGGAGGGCAGTAGAGGATTTGATGTCTTCAGAAAACAAAGACAGAAATTGTTGCCTATCTTCCTCATTGGGCAAATACAGTATTGATTATTTTCTAACAGCAGGCCTCATTTGGTTAGTGGTGTGCATCCGTGTGTGGTCTTTAAAGGTTACTCTGTCACAGTGGACTCTGGACCGAACCCACAGGGAGCAAGTGTCATACACACTCACTGTCATTTGTATTCAGCAGGAGCTAACACCACACTATAGTTTTATAGGGTTATAAAGAATATTTTAAAAGATTCAGGACCCATGTTGTATGTAGTTATTCATTTTGAACATGTATGCAGAAAAATGGCACCAAAACAACATTTGGTGGGTGAAGGTATCATGGATTAGTTGGCCAAATATTCTTTCAATCAATGAATTGTTTAAATCGGTGTTCTCCAACCTTTTTGATCCGTTGCACACCTTTTTCATTTAAAACAATCACATCACAACAACAACAACATCATCTCAAGGCACGGCCCACTGTTTGAAAAACACTTTTTTGTAGATTTGACAAAAACAAAGTCCAAGTGATGCCCCTGAAGAACATCTTCATAGAGAGGACTTGTTTCAGGAGTTTGTGAACTTTTTAAAAACATGTTATTTTAACGCAGGTCATTATAGAATTATCTGACTCATTAAACCTAAGTCTATAGAAGTTTAAAAACAATGATTAAGTAATTACTAAATTAGTTGACGACAATGTAAATTTTTGCATAGTAACGAATAATTGCTTAACTTGTTTCAGCAGAGATCCGAAGAGAGCTACAAAAGTCTCATACTTTAAAATGAATTTCTGTGGGTGCCGTTTTTATTTTACTGTGAATATGTGAGATTATTTTTTTCTGAAGAAATCCAACATCTAAAACATTCTGACTATTAATGCTAACAAAGATTTGTTTGAGAGACGGACATGATTGACCAAAGAGCCACGTATGGCTGAACTCTGTTACAGTCTTTCACATTGTTCTTTTGCAAATTTCATGTGTTCCGCTTTTAGATAAAAGTATAAATATTACACTTATGCAAGATTCTTTTGATACACTCAAGTAAAAAACTATCCATGAGCAATGTCTAAAAACGATTTACGTTGCCTATGTAAAAATCTGCCGGGTTCAGGACCAAGACTCACTGTGATGCTACTTTTGCACTTCATCTAGTTCTGCCCACATCCTGCTAACTTATAGAAGAGCGACATATGTGGCATAATATTGCACATCGTTACGTTACATTACAGCAGGCATGTCAAAGTCAAATACATCAGAGGGCCAAAAAAACAAATTTGCTGCGAGCCGAGGGCCGGACTGGTTCAATGTTTATTAACTCATTGCCTGCCAGCCCATTTCAGAACAGGTACTCCCATATTGCCAGCAGTTTCTGATGATTTTTATAGATTTTTCAAGACCCACAGAATATTGTGTACTATGACTATCTGAAATCCGAAACCAGATTCTGAAAGAATAGACTGTCTACTTTCATCAGCAAAAATAATTTTGTTTCTAGCTTGTAATTCCCAGTTGAGTAGAGGGAAGTTTTACTGAAATCACCAAAAAGCTGAGAAAAAGAGGCACAGCAAGTGCATCTAACTGTTTTCAAACCATTCAGAGAGCGCTGCTGCCACCTGCTGGCTCGATTCAATATGCTCTCAAGCTTATCCCCATACATATTAGATATTATAGACATCTGGGAACATGAAAATAGCGGAAAACGCAATTGACGTAATAGTGCGTCAATGGCAGGCAACGGGCCATGAAAAATTCATTCGCGGGCCGGATTTGGCCCGCGGGCCTTGACTTTGACACCTGTGCATTACAGTATTGCACATTTTGGTGTTTTTTCCAAATGGCTGCTCTGCCATGGCCTTCAAAGACGCTTGTTAATGATGATGACAGGAAGCCTCAAACGGGCTAAACGCAGCGCCTCGCCTCCAGCCCTTATCTCGGCTCTGATCTTCAGCTGATAAGGCTCTGCTCTGTGTTCCTCTCTGAGCCTCTTCCTCTTTTCAGCTGTGAGTTGTGTGTGTGTGTTTGTGTGTTTGTGCGTGCGTGTGTGTGCAGCACTTCCTGCAGTAGCCTTTCACAACCTCAGGCCTCTACCTCTGCGCTGGACTCTGCAGATATGAAACGCCAGTCTCGACAATGGATCACTGGAATCCGCTCTGCTATTTGCTTCTATTTTTTAACCACGGAGTCGCGATTCGATCATTCATTTGTGTGTACACGCTAGTTGTGCTGTGGCATTTAGTCACTACACAAATGCACATCCCCAGAGCGTTGTGCGGTAAGTGAATATATTAGTGTTGAAGTGAACATGGGGGTGAGTCAGACTTATAGGTCAACTGTCACCACAGATCTCAGTCATAAGGCTGCATGCGGCACTCTTCCTCTGACCCAAGCTCCAGTCACATTAGAAGCAGTCTTTTCTTCAATGTATAACAACTGTGTATCCAAATATGTCATCTATTTTGAAGGATAAAACAAAGAGAAATACTGGAGACACTTTTTTTTCAGACCATCTGCAAAGTAGAGTCTATAAATAACATGTAGGCCTCTTACCCACGATGTGTTTGACTTTAGTTTAAAATGTTGTGTTGTGACAACACTAATTTAAATTCAGATTTTGATACTAGGAACAAATACTTTGCTGAAGAAAAAACAATTTCTTCACCACGGCAATTATTTATAAATGGTCTTTTTGGACAAAACTCAATTTAGTAATACTTTTTGTGAAGCAAAACAGTTTTATTAAAGTTCCTCTGATTCAGTTTAAATACATTCAAATGTTTATGCCATTTCATTTTGTATCAAATATTTATTTGATTTTTGTACTAGTTTTAGTTTCCATTACTGTTTTTTTAACTAGTGTGTGCTAAACAATCCTTTTAGATACATTTATTTTAATATTTTTTTACTCGTATTTATACATATTGCAACTTTTTTTAGATATTTAATTAGATTTTATGACATATTGTAATAGAAGATGAAAATATTTTTCAACAATAGATCAAAAATGAGAGACTTAAACATGTAAAGAAATTCAAATTGCTAAAGGGGAATTTGATGTTGTTGTATATCGAAATAAAGGACCTGCACGGAAATGAGATGATGCTTCTCATGGGGTTTTTCCTATTTAAATAAATGTCTGAATTAAATGAATACATTTTTGGGGTTTACTGCACATTGGCTGCTTGTAAATGTGATTTACAAGTAGTGATGACTTTGAATCATCTTGAAACATCGTGACAGTCCCCAGCATCTAGATACACATCGTAACGTGTTGTCATGCATGCCCAGAAATGTTTGCGCAGACTCTGAAAAATTCCCAGCCATAATTATGTGTTGAATTATTTTGTTTAAAAACCTGTGGTCCCTTTTGGTGTTGTAAAGGGCTTAACAGAATCAGACCAAATCCTCACTCCTCCAGCGTCCCCATGGCAGCGGCAGCCCAGTACAGCTAATCTGATGGAGAATGTGTAATCGCTTAATAACCCTTGCAATTTGTAGCATTGACAGTGAGAGCAGCGAGAGCAGTGTGAACAAGGGTGCTTGTGTGGTGAGCAGATATTGGCTCCTGTCTCAAAGCTCACACACAAATTGAGAAAATGTTTGTCTCCCAAGACCTCCAGGGACCACTTCAGCTTACGGCAGCTTACTTCTTGGCCCAGTGACAGAAAGGGAACAAAAACAAGCGCTTTGGATCATTTCTCGTATTTGTGTTCGTGAAATTAACAACCACCCAAACTCTAATTTAAAATGTTTTTGGGTTTTTTTTTCCCGTAAAGATTTGGAATCAAAGTGCTCAGGGGTGTGTGGTTTTGGCTGTCATTGCAATGTTAGTAATTTCAAATAATCTTCCCTCGGTAATGGCTTTAATTTACGTAGTTTGTTTTAGTGTCAAAACCAACACATTTTTTGTTATTCTATAACAAGGCTTAACTTACTTTAGCAAGAGGTTTTTACAATTGGTCATAGCCTCTGGGCCAGATACTCGCCCACTTTTAGAATATTGAGATATTGTAAACAACACCAAATTATGTTGTTTCGATAATATATGAAAAAATGCTGATTTATTCTTGGTAAAATAAGTATTGCAAAGTCAAGGCAATAATTAAACTGCAATACATTTAAAGCTGCAGAACTCAACAACAGACTATTGTGTTGTTGAAGTAACATTTTATAAAGTTGCATCATGTTGTCTTTATTGTTTGAACACATTTTTACACACTGAGCTGGCTGAGTTAGGGTGGTCTGGAAAAAGATGCTCTAAAGATGTGACAGAGCACGAGGCACGAGTTACATTATTATGTTGTTATTTTTTGAGTGGTTTCAAGGTGAGATAGTTTAGAGGTTAGACTTCTGTGGGACTGAACAGTAAACCATAATTTCTAAACAAACCAAATTCAAAGTACCATACAACTAGGAGTATTGTATTAAATAAACTAAAACATACACAAATAAAGTGCATCTCAAATAAAGTATATAAGTCGTATTAAATATAAAGAATATAGATATATATTTCTATAATCTTTATCTATTTTTCAAGAAACATCATTAATCCAGGACCAAACTTGAATCTCAATGATGTGGCCTGATGTAGCTCCATAGACCTGCTCCATAAACATGTTTCCACTACATTTCTGAAGTAAGAAAGCACAAATTACAAAACCATTTCAACACCTTAAAAAAAAAAAAAAACGCTACGAGTTTCCCCAACGCAAATACTACAGCACGTGTGGTATTATAAGGTTTATGGTGCAACTGCCTGTTTCATTACAAGAGCATAAGATAAAAGAACTGCCTTTTATTAAAGGCACCTCCCCTCAGACACTCGGGTCTATTCAATGCTTTTTTTCTGACTTGATACCTCTTGAAATTAATGTGCATCCAGTGAAGTCTTAATAAGTACTTAAGATGGCACTTCATTCTCGTAATTGGCATGGTTATTAGTCTGTCGAAATGATGTCCTAGCATAAAAGCTTGCGTGGTTAACTCCCTTTGTGGGAAGGCCTATTTATTCATCTTTTCTTTTTTCCTTTTTTCCAATTTTAGTTATTGTTTTCCACAGACAAAAACCATTCAGAAATAAAGAATATACCATCATTGCTCGACTGTAATCCGCTCCTTTTTTCTTAACATGCTTTACAACCTGTATAGCAATGCGGCTAATGTATGCATTTTTATTGTGGGAGACTATCCCCCCAGGTGCAGGAAAGAATTTCTGCTCAGAGAGAACCGACACAAAGAAGAAATACAGGGAAATACACAAAACTAGGACTGATTAGGGCTGTTGACAGAGCAGAGTTACTATCACTCCAAATTAGATTGGTAAATGTACTGATATGGCTAAAGCTATTTACCTTTTTAGCTTTGTCCATGTCCATTTGATCACAAATGAAATGTTAACAAATGTGTTTTGAGAACCACTGGCCTAAATTTAAAAAGAGCTTGTTTTGCCCTAAAGACTGCTATTAAATGTGAATAGGACATCTGAGACAGACGGGGGAGGGAGAGCGTGGTGCACGCGGTCATAATCCCGTCTCCGGAGGTGAAACCAGACCAGGCCAGAACTCCCCAAAAACACTGTGATCTCACAGTAGTTCTGGAAGTTGGCATACTGCTGAACAGAGGACGCAGGTGTACGGTTTTTCACCTCAGGCGGTTCTGATTTTAAACACAGACTCGGGTAATGCTTGGCCTCCGCTCAAAACTGCCAACAACTGGCACAGGATGACTGGTTCTGGTCCTCCCACTTTCCCCCTAAACTCACTTTGGCCACATGTGCTTTTCTAACAGGTGGAGTCATCGTCTCACCTTCTCTCTGTTCGGATTGCTTGTCTCTGTGAAAACTGGATTGTCTCTGTGAAGACTAGCTATCGTCAACTTTCACTAAACCTTTTTCTTTCTTCTATTGACTTTGGAAACATGTTCTGTGTTCACTTGTTACCACTGTAGTTGAGTCATTCATGAGTAGGTTTTGTGGTATATGTCCCGTCAGTTTCGATGCGAGAGCTACCTTATGCCTGTCAGGACCCATGTCTGTAAAGTCCATGACACTTAGCTCTGTCTTCTCTGCTCTTTGCACTTCTAACACTTCTCTCAAACCCTAGCCACACTGGTATCAGGCGCGTCTGCCTCATGAAAGTGGGATACAAATGTTAATAATCAATAGTGAGTGTGAGATACTTGGTCCCTAATTTGACACTGAGACTCGATACAAGAAATTGGATACACGACTTCTCAGTTATGCGTATTTGTGCGTGTGCGTGCTTTATTCAAAGGAAGGCATCACAGAGCGGATTGTGCTTTCTCATGTGTGGGAGTCTGTGAAGAAGGGCGAAGCATGTCATCTTTGACCTGCTAGCATTTTGGATAAGTGCAGAAAGCCCCACTGGCAGAAGCAAACGAGAGCAGTTGGGCTGGAGACTGTAGAGCTGTGGCTGTAAGCTGCACTGTCAAAGAGCCCATTGTGTCACGATGCCTAGTTTTAAGTAGTCCCAGTTTGAAACTAATATGACTGGCTTCCTTAGCACTCCTAACCGAGCATTCATCTTGTCATTTGGCCACTGATGGCTGATAAGAAGGCTTTGTTCATTTGGTCCGTGTCGTCTGTTCACTGTTAGGATGACTAAATGTGAGATGTGTGTGGACTGCTTAATGCCAGGCCCAGTGGCTCATCACTCGTGGACTGTTAATGATGTCATTTGGAGTGGTTCAACCCCAGCACTTGTCCTTAAATGGGTACTCTGCTCCGGTACATTGTTTAAACACCATCACTCTATGCTGTCCTTTGCTGGACATACATTTTCTGATCCATCTTGTAAATGTCAAGTACTTGATCATTTATCGTCTGCTGCACTTTGGAAATGTCATTTTTGACAGTGCTCTTATTTTTGAAGGTTCCAACAAGAGCTTGCAAGTGTCCATCACACAGTCGAACAGAATAAATAATGGCATTGAAGTTTGAGGTTTTTGTTTTTATCACAACCGTTATCCACAGCCGCAACTTACTAAATGTGTATTTGACAGCATAGTCTCAGACTGCTGTAGTTGGTGATAACAAGCTGATGCTAAATGTGGCGCACGTCATGCTTCCGTCTGCTGCTCACTAAATGATGCTGCGATTGTCATCTTCTGAGGTTTCCTCCTCTGCTCAGGCCAGATAACAAGCCTTATTCTATCAGTGCTCCTACACCCCCTCACTATCTCACCTTCTCCAAATCCACGCAGCTCTGCTCTCTTGATGGCGGCTGCTGCATATCTCTATCATCTGAGCTGTACTTTTCCATTTCCTCTTATTTTCTCTGAATGTGCTGCTCTGGCTTCTAATATGCTCACCAGTCACAGTTAACCCAGTTAAAGTTTGTATACTGCATAATAATGAAAGTTATCATACAAACTTTAAATACATTTCTAAAAACACACAAAAAACTTGATTCTACAACAATAAATCTATCTGATCTTTAAAGGATTTCTAAGAGCATTCCGACCACAAAGGATGTGGAGCCTCTTCTGGAGATCGATGGAGACATTCGGAGCTTTGAGGTGTTTCTGTCCTCCAGACAGCCCTCGCTCAGCGCCCGAGACGTGGAGATGTTTCTGCCTTGTACAGTGAACCTGGACCCAAAGCTCAGGGAGATCATCGCAGGTAATTTTTTTGATCTGAGTGGCTTAGGCCTGTTGCATTTACTTTTGTTGTGTGATGTATAAACCGCAAAATAAAAGGTAATTTCATTTGTTTTGAGCTGTGGAAGTTCCTTATTTCACAACTCAAATATTAGTACTAAAAAAAATGTCACATTAGTGAGTAATATATAGATGTAAATGTGTGTTTTATAATGATGCCCTCTAAACGCATTGTTCCTTCTTTTATCCACTGAAACATCAGTCAACAGAATAATTACAGCTCTACCCACAAATACATTGTTTGTTTTAAAGCTTCTTGAACACTTAAATAAGTAGACTAATATATGTTTTCATTGTGCTTAATAACAAAATGCATTTGGATGTCCACGATGGCTTTAAAGAAAGGACTTTCGGAATAATTTAGATTTCAAACAACACCACTCCTGCTCATTGTAGTAGCAGCAGCACCATGAAAACATTCGGGATGTTCACTCCCCCACTCTGGGATTTGAGGAGGGTTATTCTCTTCCAGTGTAGGATTCAGTGACAAACTGTTTACAACTCACAACTCTTGTCGTGTGTCTTTTGGTAGCTTCAGGCATTGGGTTTGAAAAGTATTGTTTTTACACTCAAAATGGTGTACCTTTTTCAATATCAGAATTCACAAACATTAAACATTTACAGAGTCAGAAAGGAACAGTTACTGAGTTAATAAATGTGTATCTCACCTGTTGAAGATGAGTAACCTGAATATACTGCACTGTAAAAGTGTGGAATCTGACCTGCATGTTTTGGACTTGACGCTAGGACAAACATGAAAAATATTCAAGGCCATGAAAACGTTGATTATATTTGTTATGTCTGGAGAAAGTATTAATATCTCAAGGATGGTATGGCGTCTCTGTTCTGATGCACAACATATAAAAGGCTTTGTCTTATTTCATTTGTTCTGGAACATCTTAAAACTAAACCGGGTTACATGTGCGAGAGATTAAGATTAAGATTAAGAGATCCTATATTCGTCCCACAGTGGGGAAATTTCAGATCGTTGCTGCCTAATTTTTTTACACCAGAAACAGCAGAGTGTTGAGAATATTCTTCTGCCCGCTCACTTTGGCCGCGACATCAGCCTGAACATTGCACCAGGCTGTGCTCTGTGATCTCCAGCACAGACACCCACAGACAGCTCCTCATTTACAAACAATCAAATGTCGAGCAGGTGTCAGCTGCAACACTTTCAGGTCAGCAGAATATCTTCACCCGCTCGCACCAGGTTGCCACTAGCGCCTGACCAACTTTCACGGTTTGTAGTCCCAGTGACATCACAGAGCCTTGCGTTTGTGTGAGTCAGTTCCTCACGGCTGTTCCACACAACAGACAGAGGCTGCGGTTACGACATCACATTGCTGCTTTGAGAACTGTACGAGATTTATCCTGCACTATTGTATTCAGAGAGCATTTATTCTGTTTCAATAGTTTTTTATCCCACGTTCAGCTCTTGGAACAGTATTTCTATTTCCTGCAGCCAGATTTTTTGTCTTAATTTTGTGGGGGGGAAAGATATATATATTGCCAAATGTTCCAAAGAATGTGTGGGAGGGTTCTTTTTATAGTGTTTGCCAAATCTTCCACTGATAAACAGTCTCCTCATTTGGGATGGGTATGTGTCAGAGCCCTTTATTCAGGGGACGATTCTATATATTTCTAAATGATAAGATACAATAAACACTATTAATGCAATTATAATTTATGAATTTAATATTGTCATAATTTTTTTTTTAGATATATACATACATTTGAATTAAAAAAATCAAAGCAATTGTAATTAATCCAAATCTAAACAGAATATTGATATACAGTGGGGCAAAAAAGTAGTCAGCCACCGATTGTGCATTTTTCTCCCACTTAAAATAATGACAGAGGTCTATAATTTTCATCATAGGTACACTTCAACTGTGAGAGACAGAATGTGAAAAAAAATCCAGGAATTCCCATTGTAGGATTTTTAAAGGATTTATTTGTAAATTATGGTGGAAAATAAGTATTTGGTCACTTCAAACAAAGAAGATCTCTGGCTCTCAAAGACCTGTAACTTCTTCTTTAAGAAGCTCTTCTGTCCTCCACTCGTTACCTGTATTAATGGCACCTGTTTGAACCTGTTATCTGTATAAAAGACACCTGTCCACAGCCTCAAACAGTCAGACTCCAAACTTCATTATGGCCAAGACCAAAGAGCTGTCGAAGGACACCAGGAAAAGAGTTGTAGACCTGCACTAGACTGGGAAGAGTAAATCTACAATAGGCAAGCAGCTTGGTGTGAACAAATCAACTGTGTAAAGGGACTCAAAACCCATCTTTTTACTAAAGCGTACTGCTAATTTTTTTTATAGTCTTTTATCTGATTTTATGTGTTTGCTTTTATTTATGCTGCTGTTTGTAGCACTTTGAGATTTGGTGTCAAATGTAAAGTGCATTATAAATAAAAATGTATTATTATTATAACTGTGGGAGCAATTATCAGAAAATGGAAGACATACAAGACCACTGATGATCTCCCTCAATCTGGGGCTCCACGCAAGATCTCATCCCGTGGGGTCAAAATGATCATGAGAACGGTGATCAAAAATCCCAGAACCACACAGGGGGACCTGGTGAATGACCTGCAGAGAGCTGGGACCAAAGTAACAAAGGTTACATCAGTAACACACTACGACGACAGGGAATCAAATCCTGCAGTGCCAGACGTGTCCCCCTGCTGAAGCCAGTGCATGTCCAGACGGACATGCACACGGACGACTGATCCGTGTTAAGGAAAGAAAGAATTACCATAATTTACAAATAAATGCTTTAAAAATCCTACAATGTGAAATCCTGGATTTTTTTTTCACATTCTCTCACAGTTGAAGTATACCTATGATGAAAATTACAGACCTCTGTCATCATTTTAAGTGGGAGAACTTGCACAATTGGTGGCTGACTAAATACTTTTTTGCCCCACTGTGTGTATATATATATATATATATATATATATATATATATTACGTACGCACACACACGTGCATAACCATGCAAAGCTCTAGTTTTTGCAGCTACTGTTAAACACCAAATGATGTCGGTGCATTCTTTCACGTCTTTGCATTGACCTGAGGACGAGGGTGTTGAGGAAGTGATTATACTGCAGGGAGTCAAGTAAAGTTGTAACGTTCCACTGCCCTCTACTGGTCGGGGGCGCTAGAACTACATTGTTATCTGTCATCATATAAACACTGTTCACTTCGAATTTGAGCCTGGTCGTTTTGGTAATTTCTTTGCAGTGTCTCTGCACCATCTGTCTTAACAGGGCCTTAATAAACTTTATTAATCTCACAATGGAGAAATCTAGGCCCTGTTTAGACGGAGACGCTGCAAAGCAATTGACAAAAAAGGACCAGGCTCCTTTTTCAAAGTGCACAGCGTCTACCCCACGACGACTCCAAAACATTGTAGTTCTACCACCCGGCCAGTAGTGGGCAGTGGAACGTTACAACACAACACAGGCGACCTGCACAAGTATAACCACTTCCTCAACAACATCCTCCTCAGGCCAGTGCAAAGACGTGAAAGAATGCACCAACATCCTTCTGCATTTAACAGAAGCTGCGAAAATGGAAACTCCGGCCCAGTTTAGACAGAGACGCTGCGGCAGTAAAACGGGATAGTTGGATGTCGGTTGTCACCTCCTGTTTACATGGAGACTGTGCTTCAGGGGTGTGAAAACGTAAACGTTGAGATCCAGCTACAGAGTGGGACAGCTCCGATTTGCTGCTCAGCGAGGCGCTCTTTCACACCTGCGTGAAGAAAAAGTTATGAATTCTCTGCCTGCTATGACCCGCACTTCCCCGCACGTACATATGGAAATGCGCAGTAGCCGAGAACAAATGTAAACAACAATGGCGGTGGGTACACTAATTCTACTCCTTTGTTCATCCAAACAAAACCACTCAAAGCTCTAGTTTCAGTTTCCAGTTTTTGTAGCTGCTGTTTAATGCAGAATGATGTTGGTGCATTCTTTCCATGGATCTATAATAATATCTGGATAGGGTATTACTAGCTTAAAGCTGTTCCAGCCATGGGCACAGGGGGCGCCCGTGGTACTGCAGACTAAATTCTATGCAGGGGGTTGTGTTGTAAAGTACCTTTGCCCACTACTGGCCGGGCGCTAGAACTAAATTGTTTTCACAACTCATCTAAATGCTGCTTTGCAACGTCTGTGCAGCGCCTCCATCTGGGGCCTGAAACTAGAGCTTTGCGTGGTTTTGTTTGGATGGACGAACAAGTAGAATTCTATTTTGTGAATCGCTTGAAGCACACGCCACCATTGCTGTTTACTACTCGCTACTGCACATGTCCAAATAAACTTGCCGGGAAGTGCTGAGGTCATAGCAGGCAGAGAATTCCTCCCACTCCCTAGCGTATCTGTTCTGTTCCACTCTGTACACTTGCGTTTTCACCCCCCTGAAACATTGGCCATGTAAACAAAAGGCCAAACCAATTCCCAACTCTAATGGTGCTTTCAGACCGCCAACACTGAAGCCCCACTCACCAGACGCGCATTCTCTAGTTTTCAGACGCAGGGGTCTTCAGACCGAGATGTCCTGACGCTTTTCAGGACGTTCTGGTGTGAAGTCCTCTGCGTCTAAAAACCAGAGAATGCGCGTCTGGTGAGAGGGGCTTCTGCGTTTCAGCGTTGGTGGTCTGAATGCACCATTTGACTGTCCCGCCAAGTCCGTGCGTCTCTACTGAACAATTCGTCCGTGCGTGCCAAGAGGTCGGTGCGTTTTTACGCTCGAACGCGCATCACCATTGACTTTGCATTGAAAGCAGACGCAACGCATGATCCGGTCTGAAAGCATTTTACTGTTGCGTCTCCGTCTAAACACCACCTTAGGCTAAGACTATGGTGATGTCACTCTCTTATCAGTCCACTCCTAATGTACATCTATGGTCCTCTTAGATGTGCGTGCAGCCCGGGAGCAGATGCACATCGGAGGCGTGACCTATCCCACCATGCCCCTGCAGGAGGCAGCAAGCCGGGGCCCTCTAGGGTACGGACAGCACACAGCCACCTGCTCCCCAAGTGGGTCGTATGCCGGGTCTCTGCCGCCTCTCCCCCCTCAGCCTCACAGCGCCTACTTCAGTGGAATGACCGGTCCTCAGCACCCCTTCTACAACAGGGTGAGCCACGGCGGCCTCTGGAGGGCTGCTTACATACACATTCCACCCATTGATCATTCTAATTATGTTCTTTCTTCAAACTACGTGGTAAGTTTAGACTGATCTGACAAGACACCGGTTAGCTCCATGTTGTCATTTCCAAGATTATTTCTTCCTGTTCATTTGTCTGTTTTTCAGCCTTTTTGTTTTAGAGTTGTCCTCATGTCCATCCCATTGCTTTCTCTCCTCATAGCCTTATTTTCCCCAACCTGTGTATCACCCGCCCCGGCATTACTCGCACCACCCCCCCTACTCGCGCCCCTCCCATAAAGCAGCTCAACCTAAGGACACCAGCAATGACCTCGTAAGTAATGTGTGAACTCACTGATACAGTATATACTCACCTCTACAGTGTGTGCAATAACCCATTTTCAATTCCTGTGAAAGAAATATTGTTCAAGTAGGGCTTTAAAGCAGAAGTACCTAACTTTGAAACCACAAAGATGACATGTTATCAGATTTATTCACAGAATGTCACTTAAACAAAACTTTCTGTTGGCCAGAAGCAAAATGCAATTATGAAACAAACAAAAAATGTAGGTACTGTGAAGTTTAAGTTATTCTCCTTGAACATATTCCTAGCGAGTTGTAACTGATTGTATTTTTTTGATATTTTAAATTTCACATTATAGTTTCTTGATGATTACAGAGTCATAAATCCTCTTCCCAGCATGTTCAGATCTGTATATACACTACCATTCAAAAGTTTGGGGTCACATTGAAAGGTCCTTATTTTTGAAGAAAAAGCACTGTAGAAAACTTTAAACTAGTTTTAACTGTAAAGAAATACACTCTATACATTGCTTATGTGGTAAATGACTATTCTAGCTGCAAATGTCTGGTTTTTGGTGCAATGTTGTAATTGCTGCAAATGGAGGATTCTTTGACGAAAGCAAAGTTGGATGTAAAACAAATCTTATTTCAAATACAAATCATTATTTCTAACCTTGTCAATGTCTTGACTCTATTTTCTATTCATTTCACAACGTATGGTGGTGAATAAGTGTGACTTTTCATGGAAAACACTTGGGTGACCCCAAACTTTTGAACGGTAGTGTAGTTCAATAAACGATTAATCAATAGGTTGACTTCATGTGACAGAATGTAATAGTTGAATTTTTTAATTCCATCTACAAAATTCACTGACAAAAAATTACATCAGGCATTCATTGAAATAAAAGCTGATAAATGTGTAGTTTGTACGGGTTCTACTTTACACTTGATTGTTTTTTTTTTTTTAAGTAGATGAGCATTTAGGGCAGCACGGTGGCTGAGTAGATAGCACTCTTGCTTCTCAGCAAGAAGGTTCTGGGTTCGAATCCCAGTCGAAACAGGGCCTCTCTGAGTGGAGTTTGCATGTTCTCCCCGTGTCTGCGTAGGTTTCCTCCGGGTGCTCCAGTTTCCCCTACCACTAAAAACATGTACAATAGATCTGGCATCCTTTACTGGCGACCCCGCTCCCATCACTGTGTGGAGTGAGAGGACAAATGCTCACAAGTGTAAACCGCTTTGTGACTCTGGTCTGTGAAAGACAGAATATAAATAAAGATTACTTACTTACCATTTCAATCAATCAATCAAATTTTATTTATAAAGCGCTTTTCATACAAAAAGTGTAACACAAAGTGCTTTACAGTTTAGTTAAAAACAATCCAACATGCCCAGCCCTAAACCCTCCTCCCCACAGACCCCCCAAAATCACATTTATAATTATATATACAATACACACACCCACACACACACACACACACACACACACACACACACACACACACACACACACACACACACACACACACACACACACACACACACACACACACACACACACACACACACACACACACACACACACACACACACACACACACACACACACACACACACACACACACACACACACAAGTATAAAGTCATATCAGGTAAAATAGGTAAAACAATAAAAAGAAATGGGGCTGGGAGCAGATGTAACCGGCTGAAGAAGCGTCATCCAATTGTAACAACCTTGTACAACTTGGTCAAAATTAACGTTCATAAACACAAGAAAAATAATCCTAAAATCTTTTGAAGGACCAGGGTTCCTGGAATAGGAGCATTTGTCATTTGTTTGTGAAGTGAAGCCAGTTCGCCTCAGAACAGGTGACACCGTCCTCCATCAGTCCACTTAATGTAGTGTAAGATTTGCATGTCAAGTCGTCATTAAATGGCCCTAATATTTCAAAAGGCATTAATAAACCAGGCTCTTCAGCCGAATTCCTAAATTAATTTTACTGCCTTTAAATCTTGTTATTGTTTTCATTTCGATGTCCCGCCCCTCCACCAATCCGGGTTGCCAGAACTCACTGTGTCTAACAAAGTAACATGTGGCCGCTTTCTGCTGCTGTGGCTGCTTTCATGTCACAAAACGAGCCTTTTACCCCTAGTGATTTGAAAATGGTACAAGTGAACGCGCTTTTAGGCTCTCCTCAAAACAAACACAAATATTTAAACTGCTGTGTATCGTAGCGAAGAACTGCGTTGGTGAGAAATGGATGTCAAACTAAAGTCAAAACTAAAGCTTCAATGGCCTAAACGACTGTGCGACATCACATTCCCCACATTTCATGCATTCTTCTCAGGATTGTACTGAAGTGGTTGTTGAGAGTTTACAAATGTTTCTGATTTAATCCATTGTTTTCATTGAGCCCAGAGTGTTGGCGATCTTGTCCGTGTGTTTATGATGGGTGATATTATTATAAACCAGTGTAGGGAGCACCACCCACCCATGAGGGCAGAGCTGGAAGAGCTGTGAGGAGCTGGGAGGAGGTCAGCCTCTCCCAGCAGCTCCCTCGCTCTATCTACCCTCATCCTGTCAAGCAATGGTGACAAATGTATGAATCAGCAGGAAAAGGCTGGAGGACAGTGCATGCGCCAAAATAATAAACACATTTTTCTTACACAACATGTTGTATATGGTACTCAAAAGGTAGATTCATCTGCAACCAGCAATTAATGAATAGAAAATGAGAAATATACTGGGTCAGGATCTTTTAGTTGTTTGAAACATTGGCCCTAATATCTGCCCTAACTTCTTGTTATACCCAATTTCTCAGGAATTAAACCACATTTTTTGTACCTATAACAAATTCCCAAATTATAATTACTAACAATTTATAGAAAATGGAAAGAATATATATATGGGATGGTCTACCCGGGGATGTTTACCTTTTGGTCCTGTATAATTGCACTTTTATTTGTTCAGAAACTAGCAAACAACAATATCCAAACCCATATTCAATAAAATTCATAATGTTTGAAATACTTCCATAAAGAAAAAAACGTATAAAATATATAAACAGGACTTGCCACAAATGTAAAAGATGCTATAAAAAACCTTCTACAATTTAAAAGACAAACCTTTTTTCCCAAAAAGGCATTATAGAATAACCTAGAAAAATCTAATTGCAAAATTAGTCGATTAGCTTTAGACTCGACCCAAAAAGAAGCTGACTCGCCCTCTAAAATCAGTCTCTGAAAAGCCACATAAAATAAAACGTTATTGATTTCGCAATGGAGACATTTTCATGTTTCATTGTGCAAAAACACAGGAAGTGTGCAAACATGTATATCAGTAAATCTCTAATAATGAGTACACTTGACATAATGTATAACACTGCATTAGGGCAAAACGATAGACTCATGTCGACAATTCACCCATAAGTTATAATCATAATAAAATAAGTCAGCAATTACTACAGCCTTTCAAACAGGGAGGCTAATTACGATTTCCTTCTAACATACAACCATTAATTGGATCAGAATTGGACTATGTAGATATTTTAGTGGTCTTTTTTTTTGTAATAACGTTGATTTAGAAAGGTGACATGTATAATGACCACATCCTTCTCCAATCTACTCGGTACATAGAGACGACATGTAAGTAAGTGTTGGTGGAAGACTGTTGCAGTGTACTGAGCCGAAGAGACGACACCTGTGGAAACGTGTGTGTAGCCTTTTGGCTGATTTGATGTTGTGTTTTCTCTCTTCATAAAGCATTTAAAGTTGCAGCCGCACAAAGCAAAGAAGGTACATGTTTGGATTTACAGTCGTGCATTGTTCATCTCCATCATCTGGAAGCAGTCTCATATCACAGCATGTCGTCAGTAACACACAGAGCATGTGTAGAGGTTACTATACTAACAGAGTGGAATGGAATGCCATTGTAGTTTTTAGTTCATCTCTCTGAGCACCTGCCTTTTCCCTGAACCCACTCTGCACCTTATGTCTCGCCCTACATCTAATGCGCGGCTAGTTTCTGCCTAATATCCTTACAAAGTCCAACTAAGCTCCTCTATTTTCCCCAAAGCTGAACAAAGCCTAGAGCTTAGTACCAGTGTAGCACAGCATGTCTTAATGATGAACGAGGATGCCAGAAATATTGGATTGAAGCTGAGGTTCAAGTGGGCGCTATGTCTGGCATTTCGTCGTATCGGGCCTTTGGGTCCTCAGACCACAAGGCTCCGACTTAAGTGTAACGCACTCTCTCTTGTTTACACTGAGCTAAAGAATCAAAGCAGGTATGGGACTGTTTGTTAAGGCTCGCGGCACGTTTACTCACTGTGAAGTGACTGTGGGGACTGTCTTATGCTACAGGCCTGCTCTGAACCCACTGCTGTTGGTTTTGTCCTAATCAAATCAATTCTCACACAATAACAGCTTCTAACAGAACAGTTTGATGCAGCAGTAAACCTTAAAAGCAAATAATGTTGAAATATGTTTCTTTGATTGTGCATAGGTGTCTCCCGGAGTTCCTCTCAGCTCTTTGAATACAGAGGCGGTCTGTGAGCGCATCAAAGTCATCGATGGAATAGATCAGAAAATGCTGTCTCGCTACACTGCCACCATCAAGAAGGTGCTTAGTCTGAACTTTTCACTCTGTCACTCTAGTGTCTCTTCTTTGAGCTCCAGAGTCTTGACAAAGCAGCTTTTGACCACTTTTACCTTCTATTTACCTTGTTTTCTTTACTTAGCTGTTGTGTTTTTATTATTTGCGTAATTGTGATTTTTATGAATATTCTAGTGTAGGATGCCAAGTCTCGCTCCTTTTTTAATTTTAACTGCAAAGAGCTCTCCCGATGGGTAAAAATAAAGTCACCTTGAACCTTTCCTAACAGGCTAATATCAACGGGCGCGTCCTTATGCACTGTAACCTGGACGAGCTGAAGAAGGAGATGGAGATGAACTTCGGCGACTGGCAGCTCTTCAGGGGGATGGTGAGTGACGGCCTCTCATACATGTTTTAGGTCCAGGGGCCATGGGACAGTTTTATCTCACCACTCTGACCACATCAGTTAGCTTCCTGTGTGACTGAACACTTTAGCGACTCTGCGGGGGGGGAACTCCTTGCGACTGCTTTTGTCTGTGAGGTCCTTTTTGTCAAGGTTTCTTTTTTTGACCAAACAGAGACTTCAAAGCACTACTGAACTTTCCTGTAATGTTCCTCTTCATTTTTTTCATTCATGCAGATCTGTGTAGCACTGTATCTGACATCAAATTTCCCTTGGAACCATAAAGTTTATCTTAAGGCCATGAGTGAGAGTATACATGTGACACCGCTCTTCAGCACAACAGCACAACACAGGGACCACGCCCAGAGTCAGGACTAAACATTGGGAGGCAGCATTTCAGATTTATGCCGCTAAAATCTGGAACGGTCTGGAGCTGCATGTGCTCTGTCTGCTCTCTCTGTTGAACATGAGATCACTACGTGTGTTATTACCACAATAACATTTCAAACTTGGATTTGATACAAAGAACATTGTTACAGCCGTCATTATCAAATGGAATGCTACATTTTTTTTACAAAATATTAGAGATATAGATAATAATGAATAATGATTATCAATCAGTTTTATATACTGCTTTTCTGGATATTTCTTGTTCATTCCATACATGGTGGTCTGGCTTTCACATGCAGTCAGCGCCATGATCAGAATGATTCTAAAACTGCTCTAGAATGGTCCAATGTTGTCAGATTTATGATTCATGTTTGTATTATACAACATGAATATCACCAAAACGTGGTCCATGCATAATAGTGCATTTCATTTCAAGATGATCCAAGATTCTTATCCATGAATGCTAAAAGTGCAGTATATGATTACATTTGATAAGTGACAGCTTTACTAGCCGTCCTTACCCTGTCTCTGTGCAGGTGGTGGAGCAGAGACTCTCAGAGAGCCAGGCCCTGCTGCAGGAGGAGTCCCGGGCCCCCAGTGAGCAGGGCAGTGTGCTGCTGCACCCTGCGACCCGGGACCTTAGGGAGGCCCAGGCCTTTAGTCTGAACCTGAGCTTTGAGGAGCTGACCGCAACGGGTCTGGACGAGGCCCCTCGCCACAGCAACGGCTACAGCTACAGCGGCTCCAACTGGCCGGTCAGTCTCATAGACACATGCACCGACTCTGCTAAAGTCTTTTCACGTCTGATGTCACATCATTATTTACACAGGTTACAAATTACCGCACTACAAGCATGTCCAGCCTCGGCTCGCAGGAATCCTCTGTGGACTTCTGCAAACTGAGCGATCGGCAGCAGACCAAGTACAATGACGCCTACAGAGAGTACATCTCTCAGGTGGGACAGCTGGAGGGGGCTGGGGCAGAGTGCACTGAAGACCAAACTGTGAGTACACAATGCTGCAAATGAAGTGAGTGTAAGTCCAGTTAAAAGAAAATATGAAAGGAAAATTGGATGGATCATGCAAGATATTTGCTCCATTATATTTCACTTTAGTCTTTTTAATTGAATGATCTATTCTGCATGAAAATCATATGTTATCATTTTATTGCATATATTCTACACAGTTTATTTTCCTTCTCTTAAAATGGCTCACAGAATGATTACATGTTTAACCCTAACCCTGTTTTTTTCAGGCCAAGGAAGTCTGTGAGCACGACAGCCGCCCTAAGTCCTTCTCTAAGCCGGGCTGCAAAGGAGGCGACCCTGCCGACTTCTCTGGGAACGACATCCAGCAGCTGGACCCCATCAGCGAGGAGGACGAGAAGCTGGACCACAGCACTTCCTCCAGGCTGAAAGGAGACTTGTACCAAAAGCTGCCCAGCGATGAGGACTCTGGCCCGGAGGAGGACAACACCACGCCCCTGCTGCACAAGGAGAAGGAGTCTGCGGCGCACAGAGCCTCCGGAGCGCTCAACAAACCCAGCTTTCTCTCCGACATCCTGCTCGACAAGAAGGACTCATCTGACTCCGGGATGCGCTCTAGCGACAGTTCTTCTGACCGTTCTCTGGAGGAGGTGGACGCTCCTAAAGCCAACCTGCTGGAGCTGGAGGGGCTGGTGAAGAGGGCTCCGAGCGGGCTGCCCGAGAGCACGCTGGCCCGCATGTCCATCTGCTCCGAGGCTGCGTCCGAGGCCAGCCTGATGGCCAGCAGCCCCGACGGCGACTGGCCCTCCGACTCCATCTCCAACCTCAACGACAACCACGCACCACCCACCAACACCAACGCCAACAGCACAGACACGCCCACTATTCTCATCGCCCCTGGCAACGCCTCCACTACCACTACCATCGCTAGCATCCACCACAACCGCAACCTGCAGTCCATCAGTCTGGGGGACGAGCGAGAGAGTGTGCTGTGAGGCCAAGACGCCACTTTCTTCTTGCATTCAGTAGTAGTGTGTTGTTTGGATGAGGTCGTATTATAAGCTTTAAATCATACAAGGGCGTTGAATACAGCAGCTAAAAAATGGGAAAATTCTCTAATGAATTGTTACATGTGTGTTGAGTGGGTTTTAGCTTTGTTTTAGTCAGTTCTTGACGGGTTCTGTGGTCTCGGTGGGGGTCTATTTATTACATGTGTGTTGATCCACCTCCATACTTGGCTGATGTAGGGCTGTTTCGAGATTATGAAGTTGTTTTTAGGTGTAGAGGTAAAGATAGAAAGGCGTTTGTCAGAAGTAGAATTTGTGTTGTGTGCTGTAATCTCTTTGTAAAACCAAACTTCCTCATATTTAAACTCTCCTGCCTTTGGACTCCTGAAGCGGCCCATCTCTCAGGTTGTGCAAATGACAAAAGCAGTGCATACAAGTGTCAGTATTAAAAGTGTGCAGCCGTGTGCCTTGTGTTTGATAACCGCTCTGTCCGTTTGGTCAAGACTGTTGCGTTGTGACGTTCCTACTGTGATTGAAATGTGTTTGCACTCTGCTTTTTCGTGTCTCTGAACCAATAAATGTTATGGCTGTTACAAATATCTCATTAATCACATTATTGAATATAGCGTGATCCATCAGCAGTTAAAATGTAAAAGTTTAACTGCGAAGTCCAGTAGGTGGCGCACCTCCCACGTACATTTGCAGCTATAATTTATCATGGATAAAGACCATCGCCTGTAAATATTAGACTTGTTTGGATGTATACTGGGGGCATGAGACACACTGAACATGGTTACAAGAGTGAAAACGGGTCTTTGATAACTGTCTTGTTGAACGTGAAATGGTAAATGCCATGTTTCGAGTACTATAGAAGATGACAATATAATCTGATGGGGATGAGATTGGCCTAAAGTAAAGGCTTCTGATCCCTCTCCTCACAAGCGGCTGGTTCAGCGCCACCACCACATGCAGGATCACCACGCTCTGCCACATAATCCGATTTTCTTTAGACAACCGTGTGGGAAAGTTTACGTGGGGACTTCAGAGCTTATATTTTTACGCCTGGAGCAGTGTCACGTGGCTACACTTATCTGATCTGACAGCGTGTCCTCTCATTAAAGCACAGATTTGAGGACACGAACACAAAATAAGACAAATGTTCATAGCGTTTTTGGTTTATTTTCTATAAAAATGGTACAATTTACATTACTTTTATAAAAAGTTTCAGCATAATTACATCATTGATCTTTTGCAGAAATGTCTGCAACTGTACAGAATCAACTCTCGAGAAAAGTTGAAGGTCTAAATTTTCTTTTGATTTGCTTTTGAAAAAAAAAAAAAACAACGTGCCAACAGTTCTTACAAGACTCAACTTTTTACAGCTACAACCCAGTGTTCCACCCCCACCTCCGCAGACAGCCCCAGACCTCAGACAGAGGCTCGGGAAGAGTAATCCGTGCGACAGTCTCCTGTTCCCGCACTCGGGGACAACAGCCTTCCGTTCTCCAGAAAGGTGCCGCAAATAAAACGCTCTTTCTTTAAATTAAATAATAATCAAGTGTCCAAACACAAAACACGTCACGTAAGATTGTCCCATTTAAGCAAAAGTCTCCAGCCTCAAGAGGAAACCAACAAAATACGAAAAAAAAAAAAAAGAAACATCCAGCCAGAGCTTTGAGAAAGGGCTTTTGAAGGCTGGTGAGCGGGAGGTAGAGTCCAGCTCCGGCCTGCTGTGCGTCCGTGCGTCCCCTGGATCTACACCTGCAACACATCGAGACAGAGAGGCGTGTTTAGAAAGTGCAAACAGGGCAGGGATCCGGACAGAGCGGCGCCAGAGAGGAAGCCACACTTTTGGACAACACACTCCCAACACTGTGCGCTCCAGATGTAGGAACAGAGAGCAACACACACACACACACACACACACATGCACACACATACATACATACATACATATACGGCTTCGTCTCGCACAACTTGAGCCTACAATCTGGGGAAGAATCAGCCGTAATTGCCGTTTCAGCTGGCGCCTACCCACTTCTTGTACCAATTATGTGCAGACATCATAGCAGCAGCAATCCAAACAGCCATTATTCCCCCTGTTGCAGATGCTCTTCATTACAGAGAGGGCAGTTCTGTGGAGACGCGATGCACGCACACACACACACACACACACACGCACAAACACACACACGGGCAAAGTCGCGTGTGTGTGTTTTTATAGTTTTATTCCAAATGTCGCGTTGAGCATACTGTGGAGTGAAGCGGACAAATGGAGCGTCTGGGAAGGGCATTTGCAGCAGACTGATGGACAGGCGGGTGGACAGGCTGTGTGTGTGTGTATGTGTGTGTGTGTGTGTGTGTGTATGCCCTGGACAGAATGCAGCAGCAGACACAAACATACGCGCGCACACAGACCTACGTACCGCTTTAACGATGTAGGGTCCGCCTGTCATCTGCCGTCAGCTCTGGTGGGAACTCCGGAGACTGCAAGAAGACAAAAACATATTCTTTGTTATTACAAGAACAACGCGCGCTTTTGGCTCAGCTTCATGCCTTCTTGACGTGGACGCAGACATTACGCACAGAGACGCGCTCGAGTCTTTTATTTACCTGTAGTGACAAGATGCTGATGTCTGCGTTGAGCGCGGTCAGCGGGGTCCGGGTCCGTGACAGCACAACACTCGAGTCCAGAGCGATCTGCAGGTCCAGGATGTAGTCTATAACGTGCTGGAGGATTTCCATCCTGCTGACGCTCTTGTTCGGGGGTATGCTCGGCACCAGCTCCTTCAGTTTGGAGTAGCAGTCGTTCATGTTGTAGAGCAGACTCAATGGGTCGTCCACGGGGGTCTTGCTCCGGGAGATCCCCAAGTCTGAAAAATTCCCATTGTTTTTTCGCAAAGACCGCACGGGGCTTATTGCTTTCATTTCGTTGGCGTAAAGGAATAGTACGTGTATTTTCGGTCCTGTAAGAGCTACACGTCCAGCGCTCAGACTGGATTAAGAGCTGTCACAGCAGTTTAAATAGGCAAAAGGCAGGAGGTGCCGTAGAGGCGGGACCTACGCGCCTATTCGCTGTCTATCAACACCTTTCCTGCTCTGCCATTGGTCCTTGCTCTAACATCCGCCCTCTCTTCTCTTGGTTGCCCGGGACAACGCAGTTTGGGGGCTGGGCCAAGGGGCGCTTCAGCAGCTCCGGTGGGCAATTTGGAAAATTAAGCCCTTACCTGTTTCTGATCAAGAAAATTAATGGTTTGCATGGTTGTCAAATGCACATGGTCAAGTGTGCGCACGCAGCTGAGAGAGACAAGCACACTGTTTAGACATGTACGCACGGACAAGCTCACGCACACGCACGCACGTACACACGCACACAGTGTTGTGAGCTTTTATTCAGGGCACGGATGCCCCGTGACACGCGGACTGGAGCTGAGGTGTGAGGAGTGATGATAAGGATGCTCAGGCGCGTCTCATCATCCCTAATTCACTGCAGCTCCGGTGTGTGCGCGCAGAGAAGCAGAAATAGAAAAGAACCGCTTTTGGGCTCTGGACCCCAAGGCCCATATTCAACATGTTTGCAACTGCAGCTGTGTGGATTGATACAAGGTATCAGAAAGTTTCTTTACGGAGTGAAGTGGAGACTGCAAAGCTGCATGTACCACTGCTGTTAAGATCCATGCTGCTGTGCAGAAGCCAACGACACCTGATCCATGGATGATTGAACTTTAAATAACTAAGATCATTTAGTAACATGAAACCGATTTTTGTGCACTGTTGTCACTGGTCCTGTTTGGTTTATTATTTAAATGTGGTAAATTATAAGTAAAAGCTACTTTTGCCCAAAGCATTTCTTAGAGTCAAAAGTAGGCCTACTCTGATGTGAATGTTTTGCTGCCAAAGGCTGGGGCGGGGGCGTGCGCCAGATGATGCTCTATTTGGCACCTGATGTGTGTGTTGTCTTTAGTCACGGCTCCAACACGTCACGTGACAAACGGATTTCATGTTTCTCTCAATGGCCTGCGTGTTTGCTGCACTTCATTCTTTCATCTGGAGCAGAGACCAGTGGATGCTGCGCTAATTGTCCCCGTGGGCGGTGGACTTTGGAATGCATGAATAAAAGAAGATATCTTTTTCACTTCTTAGCCTTTTTAAGTTTTGTATATTATAGCAACTTGACCACCAGTCCATGAAATAGTCCACGTCAATCACGCGAAAGGCTTTAGCGACCTCTTGCGTGCGCAAACCGAGCATGCGCAGAGAACGAGCCGCGCGTCCCCGCTCCTGTCCTCGTGCTATGTCTTGGGGCAGACTCTCTGGCGCCGGCCCCGTGAAGTCACTCCATTCACGGGAGCCCTCGAGGCGCCGGTCAGACGGTTTCCCAGGTAACGGGGTTTCGGGGATTGAACCAGAGCTCGGGTTCTAAAAGGATGGAGTCCAGGGCGGGTTCAGACCTGGTTCAGACCTGGTTCAGACCTGGTTCAGACCTGGTTCAGACCTGGTTCAGACCTGGTTCAGACCTGGTTCAGACCTGGTTCAGACCTGGTTCAGACCTGGTTCAGACCTGGTTCAGACCTGGTTCAGACCTGGTTCAGACCTGGTTCAGACCTGGTTCAGACCTGGGTCAGACCTGGTTCAGACCTGGTTCAGACCTGGTTCAGACCTGGTTCAGACCTGGTTCAGTGAACAACTGGCCTCTGTGTGAGCTCTGCTCTGGACACAACAGTGAAGGAACACACACTTCTGACTTGATTCAACTCAGTGTAACTCAGAAGTTTAGCTTCTGCTGATGGAGGTAGATCATATTAGATCCTCGTCACGACACAACCACATTCAAACATGTTGAACATACAGGTATTGAAGTGTCTAAACAGCTCAAAGAAGAACAAGTACAAGTGCAACCTCTGTTAGAGTGTTTCTTTTAATCATTTTTCAATTGAAGTCAAACCCTGAAGTATTCGCAGGAATGCACTTTTTAGTCCAGTACAAAAATGTATCACATAAAGAGGCTTCATGTTCTCAAACAATACAATACAAGTTACTATGCATGTCCAGAGACCAGAGACCAGAGACCAGACTGAGCACCACATGGGAATGCACCTGTGGCTCAGAGACTGTAAAGCAGCTCTGCAGTGTGTAAGTCCATATGACGCAGCTGAGACTCAGAGGAGCTCAGGGACAGGGCTGCTGCTGGTGCTCCAGGATAAACTGGGAGTTTCACACTCCACAATCTGCAACAGTCTTCATGAAAATGTAAGAGAGGCCACATTCTGTTCAGCTGTACAGACAACGCTGCTCTTATCTTTAGAATACATTTATTTGTTGAGTTTATGAGCGTTGCATCTTTCCTGACAGATTCACAAACTTAACTGTGTGAAGTTATTGAAATTCAAGTTACTTATGTTGCGATGAAACTCTCAGATATTTTGGCCAGCACAGAATCCACCAACCAGTTGGCAGAGTGAAGATGTTGGCCACAGTTTTACTTTTGGGCAATATTGCCCATTGGCAACGCATCACACGTCAAGATATGTGTCGCCCACCTATCAGAGAGCCACAGCTGTCACTGCAGCTCCCCATGCACCGGAGTAGTATACTGCAGCACTGCACCTGCAGACATCCAGACCCCCGCCCAGAGTCCCTCGCCCAGAGACACTCGCCCAAAGACCCTTACCTAGAGACCCTCATCCGGAGACCCTCATTCAGAGATCCCTCACCCAGGGTCCCTCATCCAGAGACCCTTGCCCAGAGACCCTCATCCAGAGACCTATACCTCACCTATATCCACTTTCCTGGGCTTTGTCACGGTCCATCCTGCAGTTTATAATCCAGACATCTATCTGTTAATCCAGATACAAATCAATCATCAATGCTTTAAATGTCTTTGTTAAAACCTATAATCGATCCAGATTTCAGAGCTCTCAGAGGCCCCAGAGCTGTGTAGGTGCAGGTGTAGTTTATGTGTTGCAGTTAGCTGTAGATTATTGGGACTTATTGGTGTAATGAGCTAATGGAATTAAGGTGCTAGATTTCATGCGCTGTTGCCAAGATCAGACATTAAAAGGCGCTGTGTTGAATAAGTAGCACTTGGGGTTGATGAGATTGCCACGCTGCGGAGGTGCTCTCAATGTCTGGAGCTGCATGGACTGTGGGCATCTCTCAATCAATCAAGATGTTTTTATTCCAGAACATGTATGACACAATTTCAATGCAATCTTGTTTGTATATTTGCAACTGCAGTCGCCTCGAAGGACTTTACAAAATTGTCGATTTGCCAACAACAAGCTAGAGGATCAAATCATTAGAACACAGGAGATTCCAACGCATCAGAACATTAGAACGACTATAAAAATCCAGCGGGAAAAAATACCAAGCCAAATAACACACATTCATATGATACATAGAGATTTTATTTTATTTTATTTTATTATATAGTTATTGTTCATTTGTCTTGTGCTCCTCATTCCTACTGTTTTGTAACTGGTGATGAGACATTTCCCTGCTGTGGGTTGAATAAAGGATCTTTAATCTAAATGTACATGTTTTGAAAAGGGGTTGGATGAAGCGGACGTTTATAAATGATTTCACTGTTTCAGCACAGACTGACAATTTGAAACAAAATCGCTCAAAACCAGTATAAAAAAACAGAAAGAGAAATAACACAATACAATACCCTATATAATACAGCACACACATACACATATAAAATACATTGAATTGAAATGAATGGATTTGAAAATGAATTCAAATGGTTGTGACTTTTCTTTATTGCGTCCACTTACACCACGCTTAGTCTCACAGCTGTAAACACAAGCGAATCAAAGCGACTGAAGCCTCCGTGACTGGCGCCAAATACAACTACAATGGGAAAACCAATTAGAACTTGGTTAAAGTGGATTTAGCGTAACATGTCTCTCGTTTCTAAACTCCGTCTCAAACAAGTAACCGCGAGAAGTGCACGGAACATGAGCCTGTAGATGAAACGGCAGCTTCTCCAATCACTGCTATATTTGCCCCGATACACGAAATGAGGAATAAAACCAGATCCAAATATTTACCAAAATAAACTGCATTTGTGTCGCTCTGTGTCTGCGCTGCCAGAACGCGGGCCTCTCCATTACAGATAATTCATGTGATGTTTGTGTTTGCTGGATTAGCTGGGAGGCGTCGTGTTGGCCCGCGCTCTCATCTGTATTTTAATGAACTAAGAAGCAGTGGGAGGATGTGGCCGCGCGCCATCTCTGCACACTCAAAGAGAGAACGTGGAGAAGGTAATCTGCCTGTGTTTTATCTGTACAAATGGAATTAGGCGCTGCTTTTTGCAACACGTGTGAAATACAAGCGAGCGTGTAGGAGCTTCTGTGCACGCGTGTTTGTCACTGAGTAACACAAGGTTTTGTCCTGGAGCAGAAATGACAAATGATTTAAGCTAAAGGACAGCGTTATGCAAAGTCGACTTTGAAGAGCTTTCACAGGTTTGTTGGCTCCGGTTTGGCCTTTGTTGTGATGACGTCACAGTGAAAAGACGGGCGCAAATAAAAGCAGCAAAGACATTGTATGCATTAGGACGGAATAACTCGCACTGCTATAGTTACTTTTGGTTTTACTGTCCATAATATATCTTGCACAAAAGAGACTATATTTTAACCTATTAAACATGTTTGCACACTTCCTGTCTTTTTGCACATCCTAAGTGATCCTATCTCTGCCAAATGTGACATGCACATTTCTCCATTGTGAGATCAACAATCAAGTTTTCCTTATCTTACCTTATTTTTGGACATGATGGAGACAAGCAAGTATAAAGGGTAAACAATGCATTCTGGGTATAACTTCCTATGCTACCACGAAAGGAAGAAGTTGAATTTGTTTAGAAAATTATTGGTTGAAAAAACTGCCATGCGGTTGTAAATAACATAATATCACCTGAGAAATGACCAGTAATGTAGTCATTTATGGAAAATTCCTTTATTTGAGTTTTAGTGTTGTCCATTCAGCGATGTTGTTTACAATGGTCCATAGCTGTTTATCGGTGCTAGTACTACCAACGTCTCTTGCACGAATAAATCAATTGTTTCAATTCTATCCTAAAATTCCAGTCAGAGTTTCCCAACTGTTCGACAATGATTGAAGCACATACAGCAGCATGGGTGTGGACTGATCCATGTTGTAACATGGTTAAAAAATGATGTGTGTGTGTGTGTGTGTCCATGTGTGTATGTGTGTGTATGTATGTCCATGTCCGTGTGTGTGTATGTGTATGCATGTCTATGTGTGTATGTCCATGTGTGTGTGTATATATTTCCGTGTGTATGTATTTCCATTTCTTTGTATGTGTGTATGTATCTTTATGTCCATGTGTGTGTGTGTATGTATCTTTATGTCCATGTCCATGTGTGTGTATGTGTGTGTATGTGTGATTGACTCATGGAACAGCAGTGCAGATATGGGTGAAGGTGGTGTGAAGGTGGTGTGAAGGTGAAGGTTGCTGATACAGACGACCGTCAGCTCTCACCGTGATCTCGCCTGTAATAAGGTCAGCGTCCGCGGAGTGCTCTGTTCCCGGCCTCAGGCTCCACATCCCTCTACAGCTCCCGCTAATGCCTTCTATCAGTCTTCGAATCATTGGGGCACTGTCACAACCCCAGGTACTGGACGCTCCTCTCAGCCCTTTAGGCTTTTACTCATGAAAAACAGCTCTGAAATGTTTTGTCATCAAATTCAGTTTCAAAGAATTGTGTGCCAGATCTTGCATATATATTCCTGAACAAGCTCTGAGCCGTGAGCCAGCGTTACAGCAGGAGACATAATTATAAATATGTTGAAACTGTTTGTCTGTATTGTAAGTGAGTTAGCAGCACAAGACGTTGTTGTTCAGTATTTCTCCCAGGGATCCGGGGGCTCTGGTTCCGCTGCTGTCAGTCCACTGTACAGGGCTAAAGAGGATGTGAGAGGAGAAAGAGGATGCGGTCACAGGATCCACGCTTGTGCCGACATGTGACTCCTTGGGTCATTTTGAATCATTGCCTCTTTCATAATTTATTGGATCTTTTCTCAGCCTACAGTGTACTGCACCTTTTCCAATTCATGCATTGCTCCAGTGCTTATCTGTTTAATGAGTTCGGGAAACAAAATGTGACATGTGCCAAAATGTAGAGCTGATTGGAATTCCATGTGAATCTCAGTGCGTGGAGCTACTGTGAGGAGTTATTTAGTGAATACATTGTGTTTTGCAGGTTTGAAATAAAAACAAGCAACCAACCACCCAACCAGCCAACCAACCAACCAGTCAACCAACCAGCCAACCAGTCAACCAAACAGCCAACCAGTCAACCAACCAGCCAACCAACCAACCAACCAACCAACCAGCCAACCAGCCAACCAACCAGACAACCAACCAACCAGCCAACCAAATAACCATACTGTACTAGCCAACCAACCAGCCAACCAACCAGCACACCAACCAACCAGCCAACCAAATAACCATACTAGCAAACCAACCAGCCAACCAACCAACCGGCAACCAACCAACCAACCAACCAGCCAACCAACCACTTTACCATACTAGCCAACCAACCAGCCAACCAACCAACCGGAAACCAACCAACCAACCAACCAGCCAACCAACTGCAAATTCTCGTTCTAATTCATGCATTGCTCCAGTGCTTATCTGTTTAATGCATTCATGAAACAAAACCTGACATGAGCCAAAAATTAGAGCAGAATTCAATTTCATGTGAATCTCAGTGCGTGGTGCTGTTATTAGGAACAACTTTGTGGATGAACTGTGTTTTGCAGGTTTGAAATAATAAAAAAGGGCTTTTTATTACTTCACTTTATTACTTTAAATTATCTTTAATGTGTGTCCCCAGATAAAAGTGAAATATATACAAATCAAATGTGACCTTTTCTTAACAACCGTTTAAAGTGTTGTTATTCTTCATTAAAAAATCTATAGAAAATATGTACATATACAAACAAGAATAAAGCCAAGAACTTGTCTCTTGCAAACTGAGATTAAAAACTGAAAATAAGGGATTCAAAGTGCTCAAGTGATTGTGCAGTTCTGCAATAGTCATGATGTCTATAATATTTATGTTTAACATTTTCAAGCACATTATCCAATCAGAGAGCTAAATCAGGCTCTTGTTTGGGTTGCTAGTTTGTGAGGCAAAATCTAGCTGGTCCTAGCTACCACAAATAGCAACACACATGTATACACATTTTAATAAAAAGCAGATACAAAAATAAGAAGTCGTATGTGATATACAGAGTTTATGCCATTTGTAGCTAAACCCCAGCAAGTAATCAATTCGTTACATTTAATACATTTGTCACAGGCAGGATTATTCTGGCAACAAAAGTTGGTTTGTAATTGTATTTACTTTATTAGACCACGTACAGTCCCTTTAGCAAACAGATTCAGATCCCGTTTATTTGCCATTTGCAAAAAAACCACATTGGAATAACTGTACAAGACTACCTCAGTGTGCACCAGATAGAGAAAATGAAACTAACCAATCAACTAACCAGCCAACCAACCAACCAGCCAACCAACCAAGTAAGTAATCTTTATTTATATACCGCCTTTTCACTGCACATTGGAGTCTCAAAGCGGTTTACAATTGTGATTTTTGGGAGTGGGGGTGCCAGTACAGGAGGCACATGCCAGACCTATTGTACATATTTTTAGTGGTAGGGGAAACCGGAGCACCCGGAGGAAACCTACGCAGACACAGGGAGAACATGCAAACTCCACTCAGAAAGGCCCTGGCCAACCGGGATTCGAACCCAGGACCTTCTTGCTGAGAGGCGAGAGTGCTATCCACTCATCCACCCTGCTGCCAACCAACCAACCAACCAACCAACCATTGTTGGGATAATATCCGTTAGCTTCTTCGTATTGCATGTCTGTATGTGTGATACAGAGCAGCTCCTCTATAGGGTTGAAGTGGCCCTGAATCCAAACAGAGCTGGAGACCTTGGAACCTCTTCAGACCCTTCACACAGCCCAGGATAGATCAGTTAAAGAGGCTTCACTCCGCTCCACAGCAAACCCACTGAAACAAGGCGTCACTGTCTCCCGGTCTCTGATATGGACGGAGCAGGCCCAGAGCGTGCAGACAGCTGGAGTGAGTGTCTGTGCAGGGAGGTCTCTGCTCTGGCCCACTGCTGATTGGAGAGTGGCCGTAGCGGGGCTTCTGGAATCTGCCCACAGCCTTTGTGAACACCATGACCAAAGACAAGAGGGACTTCTACAGATGGCCCACTCTATAAATAGGTGCCAGTCTATCTCTGTGCTGTCAGTCTTTTTCTCCACACACACACAAACACACACGAGACACCAATATACCCCTCCAAAAAGCTGTTCTCAGACCCTTCCACTGGGCTCCTGCAGGATGACGGGGTAAATGTTGCGAGATTCTCCTTCACTGGGATAAGTCAGAGAAAAGTAAGTCATGTTTATACGAATAGCACATTTTATAGACCAAGGTCACGCAAAGCACCTTACAATGTTCAGAATTCAGATATTTTTCCATTCTCTCCACACACACTGATGTATCAAAGCCCCCAATCAACACCATCCATTCACTCGCTCATTACATTCATACCTCTTGTACATGTTTTTAGTGGGGAAACCGGAGCACCCAGAAGAAACCCATGCAGACACAGGGAGAGCATGCAAACTCCACACAGAAAGGCCTAGAGGAGGAATCGAACCCAGGACCTTTTTGCTGTGAAATACGAGCTCTCACCGCTGCCCCCCAAAAAATCAGTGTACTTGATTTTCACATAAAGAATCAGAATCAGTACCAGAATTCTTTTAATGGTCATTGTGAGTAACAGGAGGTCACAAAATTGGAAATTGCTTTGGTTCTCGGTAGACACAAGTTATTCAAGTAAAAATAGTACATTGGTTTTATATAGAGCTTTGGGACAGTTAAAGACGCTTCAAATGTCATTATTCTTTCACTCCATACACGGTGGCGATATACCACTATTGTAGCAACAGCTGCCCTGGGGCACACTGACAGAAGCGAGGCAATCAGTATGTGCCATCGGCCTGGCGGTCTGACGGGATCTGGCTTTCACATGCAGGTATACACAAGTGCAAAACACACAATAGACAAACAGAAGACAAACAATAGACACACAAATAGAAACTACACTGCCTACAACACTTAAGAATGAGCGATATAATTGGGTACACGAGAAGAAACGTCAAAGACCTCACTATCCAGACTGTGGGCGCCTTGCTTTCCTACAGACTATCATTACAGACACTATGCTATTAAACTTTTAAAGGAATATGTATGTATGGGCAAACCGTCGGCTCAAACTCAATCGCTGGGAACAAAAAGTACTCTTGTGATGTTGCTGGCTGGGTTTCTGCGCCCCTTTAATTCACACACATTCAAAGGTCCCATTTGACAAGAGCAGTTTTTTTGTCTTTCTCTGTCTTCCCTCTGCATATGGTCCGTCCGTCATTACTCTGAACCGGAGTCTGTGCGGCTTCGTTCTGGCTGCGATGGCTGCAGCAGATGTTGCAGCTCGGGACAGAATGGATTCCCCCCACCGAGAGCAGCTTTTCTTGGCCTGCTTAACGGAGGCTCCTTGAAATGCTAATGTCCGGCCATTAGTATAGTGGTGGTCCAGCATAGTGATATAAGGAAGCAGCATAAAGGCCGTGGAGGACTACATCTGTGCTTTTCAAGTCAGCAGCACTAAAGCTAAAACCTAAAGCGATATTAACCTTAATCCTTAGTCAATGAGGAAATATACAGAATAATGTAATCACTTATTACAACATCCAAATACAGGGTCTGGAGCAAATATCACATAAGTACGAAAGTAAGTAATTTTTATTTATACAGCGTGTTTTACAGACCAAAATTTACAAAGCTCTTTACAATTGTTGTAGGCATCTGTCTCTCACTCCACAGAGAGATGGGAGCGAGGTCGCCGTACAGGAGGTGTGTGCCGGATTTTAGTTATATTTAGTGGTAGAGGAAACCGGAGCACCCAGAGGAAACTTACACAGACCCAGGAAAACAAGCAGTCCAAACAGAAAGGTCCGGAATTAGAATTTAACCCAGGACCTTTTTGCTGTGAGGCACAAGCGCTAACCACTCTGCCACTGTGCTTTCCATATAGTTTACATACCTTTCCACTCTGTATAATTTCTTTTTTAAGATAATATGAATGAAGAGATATTTTTTCCCCACTCATGGTTCATGAGTGAGTACGGATGCATCAGCTTTAAAAAATAGAATTATACTTACCTGCAAACTCCTCTTAGACAAGCCATTAGCAATAAAACCACATTGGAATAACTGTACAAGACTACCAGTGTGCATGAGACAGAGCAAACAAAACTAACCAATAAACCAAACAGCCATCAAACCACCCACCCATCGGGATCCAAACCCAGGACCTTCTTGCTGAGAAGCGATAATGCTAACCACTCAGCCACCATGCTACCCATATATTTATAGCACTTTTTTAAAACAAATATGCTTTGAATTTCATGATTTGTTCACTCTGCTCATGCCGATGTTAATTATTTTGAAACCACTGTCACCTCAGGGATGAAAGTAAGCCTGCCAATCTCAACGACCACCACCCATCATTCAAGCCCACGCAAGCAGCACTTTACAGCTTCAGCCGCCCCACCTGGCACCTGGTGTGTCCAGAGGTCTCCCAACACAGAACTAACCAGGCCCTGCCCTGCTTAGCTTCAGAGGTCTGACGCAATCAGGTAATCACGAGCAGGTGAAGCAGAGTAGAGCCAATTATGGGTTAGGTCAATGGTTCAATCCTGAGTCCGTCTGAGCCTCTGTGCGGTGCAGCATGTGTCTCTCTGTGTTTGGGTTGGTTGCTCCGGGTGCTCCGGTTTCCCCCAGCACTAATGACATGTACAATAGGTAGCGTAGTCCGGACCAAGCAGAGCCTTACTGACTGGAGACTGCCCAAGACAGGTTAGGCCCTATAGTGGCACTGAGTAAAAGTCAAATCCTGTCTGAAGATAAGCAGGGCAGGGCCTGGTTAGTACTGTGATGGGAGAACTCTGGGAACACCAGGTGCCACAGTGGGCAGCTGTGGCTGTAAAGTGCCAAATTGCCTGTGTGAGTCTGGTATGTATGAATGATTGGTGGTGGTCAGTGGGGCTCACTGGTTGCCTCGCTTCTGTCTGTGTGCCCCAGGGCAGCTCTTGCTACAGTAGTAGCTCTCTGTATAGAGAGGAAGAATAATGCCATATTTGAGGGATGAAATATTTGTTTTTAGGGCTGTACAAAAATACATTAACTTGAATTTAATGTGTAACATGCCCTAGTAGCCTATTAACCTCCTACTAACAATATATTTAAGTTTAAAACTTAATTTTAAATAATAATTTCAACTTCCCCCAGTAATACCCCTGCATACCCAGAGGGGTCCACATACCCCCGGTTGAGAAACACTGACATAGGTCTAAAGTTTTAGGGAGTGGGATTGCTCTCAAACCCATCCTGTGATAGACAGTGCAGAAGTCACCTCCAGTGCCTCTTCCCCGTGCACACTCCTCAGCAGTCCTCTCCTGGTAACAGGCGGATAATCGTGGCATAAATGGAGACGCAATTTGGCCCAAAGGATCAGGTGGAGGTTGTGAAATTAGAAAATGAGAAGGCTGCATTATTAAAAAGATGCAGGCTCTAGTTAACACTGGTTGAGAGCTAAGCATCCATGTTTGGAGAGATGAGAGCTGGTGCCACTGGTCTGTGCTGGTCAAACCAGGAATTTGCAAATCTCACATTGGTGCGTCTCTGTTTGGACTAATGTTGTCAAGAGAATCAAAAATCAGATAATAATTTATGCTGAAGCTAGAATCGAAGTAAGATACTTATTCATAAAAGTATCAATACTTCAAAAAATACATAAACAGGACAGAATGGGGGACTCTCAGTAGTATTTGAACTGTTTTCACTACAGAAATAGTATGAAGTTGTGTGGTGCCATTAACAAGTACTAAATGTTTTATTGTTATTTTTGTAAGACATTGCAGCTCATGGATCAGTGGTTCAAATCTTTTTGATACAAACATTACTTAATAAACAACATTAAAATTAACTATTGATTATTAAACTACACAACTGTGGGGGTCTTGGTTTGTCCTGCTTTAGATAGATGGCTGAACCTAGAGCCAAAATGTGAGGAGCAACAGCCTAGCAACCAAAGAGCCAATCAGGAGTGGTCCTGGTATTTTCCTCACTCCTAATGGCTAGCTGAAGCCGAATTCTATGAAAGAAAGAACCTGATTGGTCAGTTTTTAGGGCTCATTTCTGGATTCACAAACACAACATCAAAGTACAAACACCAGGATCATACAGAGCAATGAACCACAGATTTTCAAAGATGAAAATGGTGAGTGTGACACAAACGGTTACAGTAAGTAACTGTAAGTGAATGGAGAACACCCCTATATTCATAGAGCTAGCAGGTTAGCATCGCCCAGTTCGTACATTCTATAATCAGCACCCAGAGCACCAGCCCCTCACTGATCCTCCTGCAGGTGGTGAGTCCACAGGAGCTGAGATCTTTCAGCGGGGGCTACAGGCAAAGTGGGGTTAAGTGTCTTGCCCAAGGACACAACAACAGTAATCATCATTGGGAGTCGTGAAGTGGGTCTTCTGGTGGGCTCGAACCCACGACCTTCAGGCTCTATGGCCCATGCTCGACCAACTGAGCCACTGTCGCCCCCATCTATAATGTGATCTATAATCAGTGCTAGTTTTAAAATGGATGATTAGCACAAGAACACCCAGAGCAGTCAATTTGACTCAGCTCATGTACATTTGTGGTCTCCATGTGGTTTCTGCATTTAGTTAATTTTTATTTTATTATTTCTAAATGAAAGATTGGTTCTAGTGTTCAGCTTGGTTTTTCACGAGAGCAGAGCAAATATTATAATCACCAGTTGTAGACCTTATTATAAGTGAGTGAAGGTGAAAACGTCATAAATTACTTGAAAATTGTGAAAAAACAAATTCACTTTTTTGAGATTGTTTCTGAATTCTGGGAGACCTAATGTTCAGTTGGATACTGACGTTCCTTCTTTCCAACAGGACCAGAGCCTATATTGTCTTTCACACGACTTCAAGCATCCACTGTCTGTAGCGGTTGCTCGCGGCTGCACTTCTGTCCGTGCGATCTGCATAATCTATGTAGTGACACATCAGAGCAGGCCTTCTGCCGGAGCTGGCAGAGTTCCGGGTGCACATGTTTTCTCCTGTATACCTGCTCACCGCGCTGGAAACGTACTTTGGCAACTAGCGCCAGGCCTCGTGTGGCAGCAAGATGGTAAGAGAGAGAGAGCAGCCCGGGATGAGGCGCATTCTTCCTCTCTTTTTTCGTGGGCCAAGTCTTCTTCAGCTCCGGACTTGTGTTTAGAGGTCAGTTACGGAGAGAAGCTTTCCAAACTTTAGTAATTACAAGAGCCGAGGGAAACGTGGAAAGTGGAGGAGGGTGTTGGGAGGAAGATGGTATAAAGTGATTTGGTTCTTTTATACCAGACAAATGTAAGATAGAGATGTTAGAGTCAGGACTACCATGGGAGACTGTGTTTCAGATATGCAGCTAACCTCTGAAACAGTCTTCCTGAAAATGTGAGACAGGTTTCTGTTTGAATCCAAGTTAAAAACAGTTCTGTTCATCTGTGCATACAACTGAAGGATTGAATCTTTTTTAATGTACTTAAATTATTTATGATTCTATTGCCTTGTGTGATTTTAATATTATTTTGTTCAGCATTTTGAGTTGCCTTGTGTATGAACTGTGCTATTCAAATAAACTTGCCTTCCCTCGCCTTGCTTAGTTATTCTGTTTAATACAATATGAGCCAAATAAGTAAAAAAAAAAAAAAGACACTTTGAGATTTACTTAAAAGAAGAAATATTGTGCATTTATTTTGACCATTAAAATTGGTAGTTTACCAATTTACGAAAAAGGGATTTCCATCCAAAACAGCTGATCTGAGCGACAGTGGCTTAGTTGGTAGAGCATTGAGCTTTGGGCCCAAAGGTCGTGCGTTTGAGCCCACCACGAGACCTTCTACACCAACTCCCACTGCTGTCGTTGTGTCCTTGGGCAAGACACTTAACCCACTTTGCCTATAAGGAGCACGGAAGTGATGTTCGCTGCTTGTCTTGATGTGTATGGGCATATATATGTGTATATACTGTATGTATGTATCAAACTGAAATTTCCCCATCATGGGACGAATAAAGGACCTTCTCCTTCTTCTAAAACCGGTGACAAAGGCCAAAAGACTAAATATGTATAGTTCCATTGCCTACAGTTTGAAATCTTTAATCCTTTCTGCAAGAATATTTTTAATGGCAGTTGAAAATTGAGCCTGCAATTGCAAAGTATTTTTGACTACTAAAATCCTACCTTTGCGACTTGAATGTCTTCTTCAATACAATAGTGCAAAGTATTGTAAAATATGTTATTTCTTGGTATTAAGATGACAAATGGTGTTAGATACATAGAAATTTGGCTGCTGCAAAAGAAAAGCAAAGTCCAGGTTTTATTATCTGAGAAAGAACCATTTTTACAGAGCTGTTGAAATGGATGCTGACTGTTAGACGGCAGGTAAAGCTCCGAAAATTAGAATATCGTTCAAAAGGCCATTTACTGTACTTCTTTGAGCTTCTGTCAGCTTACAATGTGAAACCAAGACTCAGTGCACGCAAAGTGAGATATATCAAGCCTTCTTTTGTTTTAATGCTGATAATTGGCTCACAGCTTGTGAAAAAGATTCAGAAAACGGCAAAAGTACTGGGTCTAGAAACCGATCATACAGTATATTGGTTTCACATACAGTAATTTGAATTTGATTACAGAAATAAATAGTATAGTGAGAAATCATTTCAAACGTTACGCAAGAAAAAACAATAAAAAACAAACAAAAATGTCTAAATAAAAACAAGACACAAATAGAAAACACGACGAGACACAGGCCCAAACACTCTCTGACCACACACCTCCCTCACACTACTCGCTCTGTGATGAAGTTACTGAAGAAATTAAACTTGTATGCATCCTATGTAACAGATTTGGTCTGCCATGATCATATAATGGCAGTAATAGTAGCAGGAGCGGTGGTGTGTACAATAGTGAACACTGGAGTAATCTTGCACAGTTTTTACAATGTGGTTTTCACTGCAAATGGCAAATAAATTCTTGAATCAAATCTTAAAGAAAATGTCCAGTATTTATAACTAAGTAAATGTCTCTTTCCTCTGGACCGAATCTCTCTCTTCAGCCACTCAGCCTCAGATTCTGCATGTAACACCCAGTTCCAGATCCGAGTCCAGGAAGCACCATAAAGGGCCTCTTTCTGCCGTTGTCGTCGGACTGCGGACTCACGACTTGTTCAGATGAAACATGTTCATCTGTGTCCAAAGCTCTCCTCTAATTATCTGCTGACAGTCTCCTCGTCTCACCATGGCGGGCTTCCTCCAGAGACGGCCGTGCAAGCTGGCGTCCTCCGCTCCACAGATGTCTCTGTTCCTATAGGGCTCTGGTGAGGCGAGCTGGCAGTGCTGTGAACACACCTCACACACAGAGGCGCTGAGATCCTGCTGCTGGCACCGCTGCAGGGAGTAGGCTGTGAAGACGCCTTCCTCTTCCTGGTGCTTCTAACGAGGGTGAGAGTATAGTATAGACAACACATCCTGAGACTGTAACGTGTGCTACCTGCGCCTCACACCTGTCCCTCACTCACTTTAGACACTTTGATTTTCCCAGACTAAGTACAGGGGAGTTTTGCAAAGACAAAGGAGACTGTTGTGACCACAGAGGTTCAAGAGGGAAGGAGAGGGTGCTTCAGTATGGTTTGTAATCTGCACGGGAGACTGAGAATAGTAATGGGACGGCCGTGGCTCGGTGATTAATACATGCTGTTGGGTCCTTGGAACACTTCACCTTGGCTCCAGCATCATTTATACGTGCACACATGCATAGACTTGACAAAATATGAACAAGAAGTTGCCAGGAAAAGTGCTCTTTACATTACAAGATATTATCCCTTTAATGATTGTGTAAACTCTCAGTCGTGCAGAGATTATTCAAGCAAAAGCAGGTTGCTCATCCATCATCACATTCAATGGTTTCCTTAACCATTTGGTGGATCACTTTGAGTCTCTGTATCTACTTGGAGCTTGGAATTGAAATCTGCCTCATTGAGGAATCTCTATCACTTGGTTTTAGGCACTTATACCATCAAACCGCATCTCAACACTTTGTTAAAGGCCACATCAATGAAAATCAATGAAAGAACACTGTATATTGCTTTCTTAAAGGAGTGGACATTAAAGGGTTAAACTAATTCTTCCAGATAAAACTTTGATTTATTCTTCCACCACATATTTTTGTTTTGGGATGCCATCCTGTGTCATGTTTTTGTGCATAGGCTGTACTGGGTTGTGTGGTGGTGTTGTGAGGATGCAGTTGGTGTGCGTGCGTATGTGTCCACAGCATGGCAGTCCATCTGTCTTCAGGAGAGAGGCTTCCTGTTCTCTCTTTCTCATCTCTGCCACTGCAGAACACACAACCTGCTCTGACATCCGCTCACAGCTCTTGTCTCTCTCTGTCCCTGTCTGTGTGTCCATCTGCCTGTCTCTCTGACTGTCCCTCTGTCCACCTGTCCTGCCACACAAAGCCTCATAAAGCTCCTCAAAGCCTGTCATCAGCCTTCTGCTGTCTCACGCTCTGCTCATGATAACGGAAGGGTCATTACTTTTGAAAAAACAACTACACCTTTGTTAATACGCAATTGCAAAAGTACTGTTTTTATATGGTAGGGTTGATGTTGGGAACAATATTGCTAATGAAGAGACTAAAAGTGAGGAAGTATTGTCCAATGTGAGTCACATAAGTATCAGGGCAGATGGACAGCACTGGCTGCTGGTCTGATCCCTGTGTACTGAGAACAGTGGTGCCTGAGGAGTGTGTGGAAGAGGAGCCAGTGTGTCCAGGGGAACATTGATTGGAGCTATTTGTGCGTTGCCACATGACAGACGCAGGCTGTTCACAGCACAAACGTCAGAGCCCACACCTGCCTGGGTGCTGAATGTGCCTCCAGAGCAGGCCACAGACAGAGCAGCAGGACCACTTCTATTTGCACTGATCGGCTGCCTCTGCTCTCATCAGCTCTTTATTAGTGCTACAGCCTCACCATCTGTAACGCACATATGATCAATATATTATTGCTTACTGCTTCGTACAGTTGGGTTTGGCAGTGTTATGAAAATATACATTGTGTTTGACTTGTGGTTGAAATGTTGGTATGCCACATGCTACACTTGCCTTTCCGCCCAGTATTAGCTCCCAACTGTGCTTTACAACGGGGCAATCTGTTGATTTCAAAGAAAGATAAGCCTACATTATAATATCCCTGCACATATGGGGCAACCACGCAAATTAGGACTTTCCTGGCACATGACATAGTTTGAAATGAGGAGTGAAAAAGCCCATGCGTCGGGGTGTGTTTGACGCAGGTAGGATTATAGGCCCTAATAAGTTCTAAATGATAGTAATGGCCATCTGTTCTCCTATAGGGAGCGCCTAGCCAGCTCGCTTTTGGCATGCCAAGCTGCAGCACCACAGACACTCCTTTGAGCATTGGCGTTTAGAACGCAGCCACCTCGTGCCTGGGCATTTGCTAAATTCAGACATGACACTCTGGCAGCAGATGCTCCTAGCCAGACAAGACGAGGATAAGTAAAGATTTTTATCTTCACAACAGGAGAGCCATAAAACGCCATGGTTACGCTTCATAACGGCTGTGAGGAGGCTGAGCTGGCGCAGAAGGAGAGGAGGGCCTGTTTGTCAGAGCCCTGAGTGGCACCGGTGTCTGCTGTAGATAAAGACATTAGTGCGAACAGCAGAGCCCCAGCTTTAGCCCAGCTCACGTTCCTACTCAGGTGGAGAGCTCACGGCAGCCTGGTGCGCCACATGTGAGCCGGCCACACAGAAGCACTGACACACTGAGGAAATCTCCTACAGCACACGGAGAACTAGGAGAACAACCAACATCACACAGTTACCACTACTGTACATGTGAGATCTCCTACAACCATAATGTGCAGATATGTGCAGATAAAGGGAAGATCTAATGGAAGTGAATATTCATAGCAAACAATGATTGTGGATTACACACAACATATCTTGATGAAAGTAGCCTTTTGCTGTTGACTGTAAAGATATTGACTCCTGACGTAGGCACATGTGAGCGGCTTGATGAGCGCAGCTGCAGAGCTCTTACAGGTATAAGCCACACTGATAATACTCCACAGTATTACAGCAGCTCACGGCGTCACACAACAGCAGCTGGTCACTGAGGCTATGAACATTTAGTCATCTTTTTAGTGGAATTTTATGATCATTAAGATACACAGAAGGTTGTTTTTTCTGCTTATGACTTTTTGGGCCTTATCTGTTTTAATGGTTATAACTATCACCAGTATGCAATTCTCCCATCCTGCTTCCCCCTTCCTCACGTCTCCTCATGTCTCTGTGAGTGAGGCCTGTCCGCCCCCTGGAGCGTCTCTCTCTAGTGCCATCCTCATTCTGATCCTAATCCCTTCTTTATCTACAAGAATAGAGCAGCGCTGTCTCTGTCCAGCCTGAACTTCAATACCCACAATCCCCTTGTGCAGTCTTTGTTGTACACCTCTGCAGTTCTCCTCAGCTCACCCCTGAGTCACCCTCTGCTCTGACCCCCGTGCCCAGGCTATTTTCCAATATTATTTATGCAGACTCCTTTTAGTCCTCTCTAATCTGGCTTTTTCAAAGCTTTTCACTAAAGGCTAAAAACACTCAAATCCCCCCAAACCCTGCTCCTAGCATATGGAGCACTATACCTTAATCAGAGCGCGTGTGCGCACTAATATTAGAATAATCCCTGGTGATTATGGCAGCAGTTATTGGGAGGAATATGGCAGTGGGGACAGTTCGAGTGCTGCCAAACAGATGTCCATTGACCCACATCTGCAGAGCATGCTGGGACTTTGAGTGCAGGTCATGGTTCAGCCACCTCAGGACTGTACAGCTGCCTTCAAAGCAGCTTTATCACGCCTCAGGAAAATAGACTCTTTATTTAAAAGAAACAAAAATCTTGTTTGAAATCATTGTTTCAAACAAGAAACATTGTTTCTTTGTTGTGGTTATTGTCATTTCCCCCCGAGCCAGAAGAGAGAGCCACCAGGGGCCACTAACCCTTCACTTGAAAGCAGCTCAGGGTTAAACACAACACAAATATTTGAATCATGATTAACCCAGTATTCAGCATGAGTTCACTCATACAACCTTCTGAGTCACATGAGAAGAACAGGCTAAATGTATTGTCTTTGTAGAAAACAGAAAAGTGATAGATCACTACTGTCGATAATGTGCATGTGTGATATAAATGTCTGAGTGTGTTGTGGGTTGACGCTCCACCTGCCAGGTGCCCTGACACCCCTCCCCCCCTCCACAAGGTCATGTGTGTGAAGAGCACAGTGCACCCATCTGCCAGAGCCTCCTCTGGAGCTGCTGCAGCTGATGAGGCAGGATACTGTGCTTCGGGCTCATACACCTACAAGTGACACAAACGCTTCTAAAACTCAATGTACGATGAATATAACACCAACAATCATCGCCTCACAAAATCTGTACTCAAAAACTAACAAAAACCATTCAGAGACTGAGATACTATTTGGTCCAGGGTTGTCCATTTGTTTTACCTTGTAGGACAGCACATGTATATATTTGTACAATGTATGTGTGCTTTGAATAAACAAAAACGTGAACACTAAGGCCCTGTTTAGGCGGAGACGCTGCGGAAAGAAATGAGTGAAAACAACCAGGCTCAGCACACAGCATCTACACCACAACGGAAAATGATGTCGTTTTTCGGCCAGTAGGGGACAGTGGGACTTTAAACATGACACGCGTGACCCCCAGCAGTACAATCACTTCCTCAACAACATCCTCCTCAGGCCGCCGCAAAGACGCGGAGACATTCACCAACATCATTCTGCATTTAACAGCAGCGGCGAAGAACGAAACGTAAACTAGTGCTTTGTGTGGTTTTGTTTGGACGAACGAAAGAGAAGAATTCTCCTCTGTGTAATGCTCAAAGCACACGCAGCATATTAGTTGATCTGCCGACATTGCTGTTCACGTTCGTTCATGTGATTCAAGAGGCCACAGCCACATCTCGCACAGCTCTTGTACACGAGGCCTGAACAGCACAGAGCTGACAGGAAACAGCTCGTCTCTGCTCTGAGTGGATCTGAGCCGCTGTTGTATTGATTTTGTGCTGCAGGAGGATTATTGTTGTGTCCGGTCAGAGGAGCAGCCTCCTGAGGATTCAGGTCTGCACACATCCAGCCGCACACATCACATTCAACATAGATTTTTTCCTGTGAAAGCTGTTGTTAGCTCTGTGTGGAGAACCGGGTGTCCAACGCAGGACGTGTGGAACATAATGTACACTCAAGGAATTTCCACATTTCATTATATGGATACGGTACCAGATACTAAAACATGATGGAAACAAAACCAAGTAGAGTAGAGTAGAGTCTCAATAATTGCGACTTTTCCAATTTGAGATTGCATTTTATGTTTTGGATTTAGTTATAGGGGAACCACAGCACCCAAACAAACCTCCACAGACACTACATGTGCAAACCCCACACAGAATTTGTAACTCAGCAAAATCAAACTGGATTTGAACCACGGGCCTTTTGTGCAAAGGGAGTTAGAGGGAGGTTAATCAGTAAAGTTTAAGTGGATCAAGACAGTAAATGATTAAAATATTGATGTTTTATAATATAATGATCATATTACATTATTACATATAATAATAATAGAAAAAATAACAAAAACAAGTTGTAGTGGCCATTTTCATTATTATAATCCTTTTATCTATATTTTTCTGAGTTTTTCTTGAATAGGTTCATAAAGCAGCTCTGCAGAACCGAGTGTGTGGGTTGTGTGTTCGTTGGGTCAAGTGCAGGCCAGACGTATTTATACATTTGTAAAGTTAACGTGTCGGTGCCGGGGAATAAGTCGATTACAGGCTTCTGCTGCTTCTGCTGCTGCTGCTGCTGCGAGAGAAGGACGTGATGAGAGCCATAATGGGCACAGGAATAAGCCCGTCTTACCCCCCTCACCACAGCCCAGCCCTAACACTGCAGTGTTTCAATTAAGAAAATTACTTTTTAGTTCAATTAACAATAATTCACGCTTAACTGAATAAAGTTTATTACACAATCAGCCTGACAACAAAGGAAGTCCCAAGGCCGCATTAAAGACACACACACACTCTAGCGCATGCACCAGGAAGAAGAGGTTAGCACTCACAGCAACAAGGTCCACATATTCTGCTGCACAAAACAAAGCACGCAGGACCTGGTGAACGAACCAGATCCTGCGACATGCACTGTTGGCAGCCGAGTGTGAAGCCGCTGGGATGGGAATCAGCACCTCCAAATCCAAGGCCATGGTGCTCGACCAGAAAAAGGTGCCTTGCCCTCTTCAGGCGGGTGGAGAGGTGGAGGAGTTCAAGTATCTCGGGGTCTTGTTCACAAGTGAGGAAAGCATGGGGCGTGAAAGCTCTCGATTTACCGGTCAATCTTCGTTCCTCCCTTCGTTCCTGCTTTGGGTAATGACCGAAAGGACGAGATCACAGATACAAGCGGTCAAAATGAGTAGCTGGCTGCTTAGAGATAGGGTGAGGAGCTCAGTCACAGGGGAGGAGCTCGGAGTAGAGCCGCTGCTTCTCCACGTCGAGAGGAACCAGTTGAGGTCGCTTGGGAATCTGTTCCGGATGCCTCCTGGATGGCTCCCTGGGGAGGTGTTCCAGGCACATCCCTCTGGGAGGAGGCCCCCAGTGATTTGATTTGATGTATGATGGAGACCCACACAAGGAGGGAAGAGAGAGTTGTGTGATGTAGTGTGTCATGGCTTCTCCTCTTCTCTCCTTTTGCCATGTCCTGGTGGATCAATTATTGGTGCCATGTTAAAGAATGCTGTGTTAAAGGTTGTGAAGCTACTCCTTTGCTCCAGTTTTGTCATTGTTTGTTTATATACCTTGTCATTGTTTGTTTATATACTGCCTGTACGCCATGTATCTATAATAATATCTGGATAGGGTATTGCCAGCTTATAGCTGTCCCACTCATGGGCACAGGATACTGCAGACTAAATTCACAAGGGCTACCAAGAAAAATGTCCCGTAGAACTCAATGTAAACAAAAACAGCTGGACCTCAGCTGACAGAGAACCTACAGCTTTCACAGAAGTTGGATTTTGTGGGATTTTTAGTGTCCCTTGTCTTCCTGAATTTTTTGTTGTTGTTAAATTCTTCAGTTCGCTCTGGCTCTGCTCTGATCAGCAGCTCTGATTGGTCAGACTCTGGTCGAGCCTCTATGTGCACAAGGCATCATGGGAGCTCATCCGCTGCGCAGAATCGGGAGGGCCAGATGATGCCCAAATATCATTATTTTAGTTTTTCATTACAAAAATATAAACAAATAGGGTACATTTTATATTTTTGTATATTTCAGAGACATGGGTTCTTGGCAGGAGCCTCCCCTTTCCTAATGGTCCGTCCACCCATGCATACACTAATACAATACATGACACTACTGCTGATGGTATAAGACAATTAAAAAAAGAGAATACACACGCACCAACACACACACACACTCACTCACACATGCACACACACACACATTGACTTTGCCAGCGTGATTTTACATTTCAAATTATTTTGACCCTATGACTATGCACAATACGTCATACGATAGGATATGTATTTTGTTTTTAAGTTTGCTTCCGTTCAAATCAATATATATAAATCAATACATATTTGATTTGAACACATATTTGATATTTCTATTTTCAGTATGAAAATAGAAATAGATAAACATTGCTGCATGTGGCCGCAGCTGTAACATTAGAGCAGTGTTCCCCGACCTTTTTGAGCCGTGGCACACCTTGGTCATTGCTAAATATCACATGGCACACCACCAACTGAAAATGATACAAATTGAAACTCCACAGCCTTTACTAACAAAGCAAAGTCATTCTCATCTGTATGTTTTATGTAGCAAATCACAAAAAAAAGTCTTTCTAATTTCTTTTTTGACCAAGCAGGTGATATTGGACTATTTCCAAGACACACTAATAAACATCTCAAGGCACACCACTGGTTGAGAAACACTGCATTATGGTTCTGTGATGGGGTGAGATTGTCTAATAGTATTGTTGCTTTACACTGGCCCCTCTCTGCTGCCGTAGTTCCACGCTCCCTGGTGTTGTGTTGAGTCCATACATCCTAACAGCTCTGATGGAGATGGATGGCGGACGTGGCGCTCTGAAGCTCAGATGAATGCGAGCGCTCAGGCCCCCAGTGCGGCGGGAACACACTGTGACCCCGTTTGTGTGTGGGCCACCTGAGGCCACGCTGCCAGTGCCTTCAATGATGATTAAGGACAGGGAAGTGGATGGCAAAATGTGGATTAATGGAGCTCCAATCAAATTAATAACTGTAACATCCCACGACAGAGGAGCTTTCAAATGAGAATATGGCAGGGTTCAGTCAAGTCTCAGCGCCGCTTCTGTTCAAGGTTATACTGACACCAGGCTGTTCTTCTTGTAGCGTTTGTTTTGTTTATGGGGTAAAGATAATTCTATATAGACTTCTATATAGAAAAAACAACATATTATTACAGCACTTTTTTACTCTGAGAAAAAAAGCGTATGACAGTTTTTGCAAGGTCCATGTTGTTTTGGAGGGCATAGTCTCTGGGCTGTTTTTTTTAAAATAACAATTTGTTGAAAGCATATGCTATATTTTTCTAAAGCAATGGAATGTAAATGTTTTACAATCAACACTAAAACAAGCCACAACCAGGACAAAACCAGACAACAAGAGCAAATGGTTTATTTGTATGAAGCCAAGCCCCATATCATTTCAAATAAACAATGAAAGCTAACTAGCTACCTGCTAACTACTAGCTAGAGCGGTCCAATTCCATTCAATTTATTCTTGAATTAATCAAAAAAGTAGTTATCTCGGAGGACTCCGCACAACCGTTGAATTATCCAACACAGATCAGAGAATCAAACAGTTCAAACAGAGAAATGCAACAATAAACACAGGTATTGGTCAACAAGGAATATTGATGAAAGTCCACAAATGTGGATCATCACCACTGTCCTTATGTTGGAACCTCCTGCCTCGGCAAGGAAAGAAAAGACTTTATTAGAGTTTATTTCTCTTTGCTTTATAAACGTATTTTATATGCAGTGGTCTATGTCTATGGCAGAGATTACGTTCTATAGATATGAGGTTGTTTATGATGTTGTATATGATGTTTTATATTATATGTTGTTGTTGGAGTATAACGTGGAACATTAGAAGCACGCTGTAAAAAAATGCACACAGTAATTTTTCAAAATCCAGGGATATGTTTTTATTCAAAGTCTGCAAAGTAGTAAACAACATTACTGTTCACAACTTATAAATATAAAAATACCAGTATCAAACTTTTGAAAACATATTTTTTTATTATCTGAGATTGTTTCCGTAAAT